AGTTTATTTTTGTTTTTTTGTTTTTTTTTTTTTTGGTTTTTTTTTTTTTTATTCTTTAAATTTCCACTTGTTACTTGTTCACCATTTCACACAACTAATTTAATTCCCCACCTCAATTTACCTCGCCGAAACAATATATATTCAGAAATAGCCAATAAAATCGACAGAACTCCACCAAACACTCCACCTTCTCCATAGTTCATTTTCGAGGGAAATTAACTACATATCCACTGTACACATATTAAATTCATATCCGAACAAGAAAAAAAAAAAAAACAAATATATGTACTATAAAAAATAGTAAATTTAATTTAACCCATGTTACATTTATACACTTACAAAACAATCGAATTAATTTAAATAAATATTTATTTACTACTGTTTTATTTAAAGGAGGTATGGTATTGTGTCCACCAATTTTCTTTTCGATTTGTTTCAAACTGCAGCACCATAATCTCAAAGGGAAAATAAAAAATCAAGCCATCTGACTTGATATGTCAAATCTCCCCTCAGAGGTTATTTTTCCTACTTTACTGATGTCCAAAATAACTTTTCTAGGGTTTATAATTTCAATATCATTGTTGTTTTTCATCATCATTTGCACTCCAATAGATAATATGTGTTTAATTTTAACATGACAAAATGGAATACTTGACATTAGTGGACATTTGAGAGATTAAGGAGTTGTAAGGGGGGTACATTTTATTTAATTCTGTTATGCTTGTTGTTTGTTGGCAAACAGAGAAGAATTCTTTTTTGTTTTCTTATTTGAACTGTGTATGTTACTACTCCTAAAATATTTAATGTATATGTTAAAAAATTAAATTAATTAAATTAAACCTATTAATCTTGTTATTTTTATTTCAAACTAAATTTTATTTTAAATTTACAAATTACGTTTTAACACTGTAACCTTTTATTTCATATCATCAAAACAACAACTGTTTCAACAATAACAACAACCATAAAAAACAGAAACAATACTATATTTGGATATTTATTAGAATGAATTATTGTGTTGGTTTATGTTGCTGTTGATTGTAGTAAAATCCTTCACATTAGTATTTGTTGTTATCCACTACAATCTAAAAATAGCTTTAATTAAAATTGAACAAATATTTTTCATAATCTCCTCAAACTCTATATCTACGACTTGTACTTCTTTATCATTATTATGACAAAAGATTTCTTTTTTAGGATATACCAATAATGTTGGTTTGTTTTCTTGGGTCATTTTTAATAAAATCTGGATGAAGTAATACTCAAAATCTATTTTTTCATTCACTATATAAAATTCATTGCCAATTAACTTAATTATTTATTTATTTTTTAAGAACAAAATATTTAACTATATAAACTATAATAATAACATTTCCAATCATAATAATTCTATTCAATTGTTTACCTCATTTAATCATCTTATCAAATATTAACTTTTTTTAAAGATAGTCAACCACAGAAATTCAAAACAAAAATCAAAAAAATCCAAACACTAAATTAAAAGTAATAATTATAATAGTCGAACTCGTGGACCTATAGTCCTAAATAATTTATTTAACAAAAAAGGTAATGTTCAATATTTTAATTTTATTGTTATTTTATTTTATTTATTTATTTTTGTTGAGTTAATTTAAATATTTTATTTTAATACTCCTATTATTTATATTAATTAATTATCTACACAACCCTTTGTAAATTTTATTTCTTTTTTTTCCTTTTTTGGTCATTTCTCTCAACTATCCTTATGATTAAACAAACCAATTATATTTTACTCTATCTTTCAAAACCATTTGACTATCTATCCAATTTATCCTTTTTTGGATAAAATTGAAGAGGGTGATTAAATCATAAAGATTTAAAATCAATACAATCGATCTGCATATATATCAAAAATCATCATAAAAATATGCACAGTGTGATGAGGGAATGCATGGTTGATATCTTATCTTTCAAATTTCTAAATTATATCTTTGTTGATGATAGGTGGATAGTTTACTTTTATTTTAATCTCAGTAACATCAATTGAATATCAAACAATAAAAATTTTAACACGAGAATAAAATTTTATCCTCATTGTGTATAATTACATATCAAATGCTCAATCTTTAAGCTATCAGCTGACCATTCTACCATTTTAATATAATCCTCAATTTCTATCTATCACTCCAAAGTAAAAGACAATGACCACACCACATTCACATTCACACCCATACTCACATTCACTCATCAGTTTTTTAATTTTCCTTCAATCATTTCTTTTCAATCGATCAGCTCTAATACCACAAACCAACCCACCACCACCAAATACTAATCCATCCAACTTACTTAAAGAATAAAATCAAAAAAATAAAAATAAAAATGACTATAACCAGATAATATAATACATTTAATTTTTAAAAATGGAAATTTATTATTATTTGCAAGTAACCTAGTTATGTCTTTGTGGTGTGTTATTGAATTAATAATAAAGAGAGGTGTTTGTGTGGTGGGGTGTGGTGTATTGTGTTGTGGTATGCAATCAATCAACAAAATCATACATAATTGTATATGTTACCTGTTGTTTTAATATGTAATAGACCGATTATTGATTTCGGGATATCTACACGACAGCTGAGAACAATATCGATACCACATCTCAATAAGCAATAAACAACAAGTGTTGGTTTTTAGCCAGACTCATTGTTGTAAATATATTTTCAATATAAAAATTAAAGGAAAGAGCCAAAATAAATAATCAATCAATCAATAACAATATTATTATTATTATTAACAACATCAACAATAAATTTATAAATATAAATTTATAATATTTTTTAATATTCCATTTCAAAAAAGATAAAACAAGAAGAAAAAAAATAAAAAAAAACAAAAAGGTGACTGTTCGGTTTCATCCACAAACATTATGAGAGATATATTATCGATAATTTGGTAGTTTTAAACTATCGATTATTAGTTATATTATTATTTGTTTGTTTTTTTTGTACTGTTTGTATTGTTTGCTTGTCATGTCATGACTTTTAGATTGCAACATCATCACTCACTCACTCACCAACACCATCACCTACAAAGAAAAACCTAAAAAAGGAGAGATACTTGATAACTTTTCCTTATATGTGTTATCTTAAGAGTAAGAGGAGAGTTTAGTAGATGATAGATTATGTGGCCACACCTCCATCAATGTAAAAGTGAGAATTAGGCATGGGAATGAACAATACACATTAACGATAGGACACACTTAAATAACATTCTCTTTCTTGTTGAATCGTAGCTACTACGATTACAACAACATCATCGATATATTTGTGTTTCGTTGCAATATTCATTGTCATTGTTTGTTTGTTTATGTTTATTTTTAAATTTCTTATTTTTAAAAATCGAAGAGTTTTAAATGTTTGTCACACTATTTTTTTAAACAACAACTAACTTAACATAATAATATCTTATTTATTCATTTATAAAATAATAATATCAATTCATTTTACTAAACATTATTTATTAAAATCTACAAATCATAAATATTAAAATTAACAAAAAGGTAAAAAGTTTAGTAAATTTCTTCTTTTTTTTTTTTTAACCAAAGAATTATTTGATCTGCAACCACACACCATTTTTAAAAAAAATCATGATAAATCACACCAATTCCATGAAAGATAGTTTTAAATAACATCACATATCTCTATTTTCTATTTAAACCTCTTTTTCTTTTTTAAATCCCCAATAATGAGAGTGGGTTATTATTAAAAATTTGCTAAAGATACTAATCTTGATTCTATATATTACAGTTAGATAAACGATCCTGTTGTTACAACTATAGTATCCACAACCTCTTTTTTTTTCTACCACTCTACCCTGCAAATAAGCAACTCTTGGTCCGAAAACTGAAACGACAACAACCTTTCCAACACTCAGATACCAATTGTCAAAAACCAAACCGCTGATCAAAAAAAATTTTTTGTCTCCAGACATAGTAAAAAAAAAAAAAAAAACATCATCAACCCACAAGAATTCTTTTGCAAAATTCAGTGGTGACCTTGCTTTTTTTGTTTGACAAACACACCCAACTTTGCAACTTTTTTAAATAACCAATTTTTTGTTTTTTTTTTTTTTACACCACACACTTTATTAATAAGTTTTTGATTTCAATCAGCAACATCAATCAGGTGCTTGGCCCGCCCAATAATTGTGTTTTGTGATAAATATAAATCATATCAAAATAATATTGTATTGTCTATCAACAAACAAACAACAATAACAATCACATAAATACTTTACTTTCAACAATAACAGTTCAGAAGAATCAATCGACCTTCATATATACAACTACCACCACCACACCAATTTCTTCTTCATCTTCTTCTTCTCTTCATTCATTTTTTTATTTGTTGAAACAAAACAGTTAGGTTTTTCAAGTCATTTCCTGAAGTTGTTTAGTTTTTTAATTGTTGTTGTTTTTTTGTTTTGCGCCCAATTTAACACCCATCAAGTCAATCAACTTTGTGAATACCAACCACAAACAGCAATATTCATCCCTGGTTGTATTTTTCCCACAGCGATTTCCAAAACAATCAAACAAAGCAAAAAGTGAAAACACTTTAAAGTTTTCTCGTCAGTCATTTGTTGCTTATAGTACAATTTCCAATTAACTTTCGTCAACATCAGTGACACCGACATCATTTCAGTATCAAAGTCGACACAAGTATCAACAAGCAATAACATAGCAACAACAACAACAACCAGCACTACTTTTGGTCAGTAACTAAATTACCAAACCGGTGACGAAACATTTCACCTCCTCACCCACACACCACCAACCACCCCATTACTTTTAATCGAGTGACAGGACTGGAAAGAGAGACTCTTTTCTTACCATCATCGATTGAAGTTGGATTCCAAAAGTATAGCATCCAAACAAAACAGAGAGCAAACCAGTCAATCAGACAAGTCAGCCACCAGCTACAACAAACCTTAAATACATATAATCTATATATTATTATATGTATTTTACTCTATATATAACACAACCACAAACTATATAATCAATCTACTTACTATATATATATATATCATATAACTATAATCATATATACTTTTATCACTCACCACACACTCTCTCAATATATAATATAACACATACACAATAAAACATGTCATACTCACATATATATATGCCACATGCCGATAAAGGCTATTCTCACCACCTTGGTAAGTACAAATCTACAAATAGTATAAATAGTTTAATTAAAACTAACTTTGCTATTGTTTAATTAATTTAGATCTACTAAGTGGATCACAAATGAATTACTCTCCGGATCACATGATGACACCTGAAGATGATAAAAGATATGAGTACTTAAAATGTGTAAGTATACTTTACTTTTTAAAAGATTCCAAGTTATCATTGTATTTAACCAACATGTTGCTATAACAGGCTCCATTTATGAAATATCAACCAGCTGAAGAGGAACCATTATATGTAAATGCAAAACAATACGCAAGAATTATGAAACGAAGACAAGCAAGAGCAAAAACAGAATCTGATAAACCACCTAAAGTTAGAAAGGTATGTTGTTCTTGTTATTATTATTATTATTATTATTATTATTATTATGAGTAAATTACTAAAGTATAAACTAACTAATCTTTTAATTCTTTCTACTATTTTATTAATAATTAGCCATACCAACATGAAAGTAGACATCAACACGCAATGAGAAGACAAAGAGGTAACGGTGGTAGATTCTTGACTGCCAAAGAGAAAGAGAATTTGTTGAACGAAGAGAAGTTGAAAGCAGAACAACAAGGTGGATCTCCAAAAGGAGATGCATCACCACCATCTTCCAACACCACTTCACCACCTCTCATTGACAATATAACCAATAATAAAAACAAATCAAATAATAGTAACAAGAATAACAATAATCAAACAACACTTGGACAGCATCCGTCACCATACCCAACAGCACCGCACTACAGTCTTCAACATCAACAACAACCACACCCAAACACTTTTTCAACACAAACATTACATCCTCAACAACAACAACAGAATTTAGATGAACTATATCTTGTTAATACATCATCACCACCATCCTCGCCAAATCCAGCCTATGAAGCCAACGGACTCAACAGCAGCAACGATCACCAACCACAATTTACTTATCACGCCAACAATAACTACCATCTTTACCAGAATGGAGTATTGAACAAATAAATATACAGAAAAAAAAACATATATAATAGTATATAGAATGTAAACATTTAACAAATATATAAAACGAAAATTAACTTTAAATTTATTTAATTAGACTGTTTCTTTATTTAATTACCAAAAATAACAAACATATAACAATCATTAGTTAAATATAATTCGATATATTTATATATATTGTAATTTTATTAGATTGATTGTATCAATACATAAATGAGATGTGTTGTAAGAATCTGTTTCTTTTTTTTTTTGTATATATATATATTTTGGGTTGTTTTTCTTAATTAATTTGGTTTGTGTAGAGGTTGTCTCTCGTTGTAAACTATTCATCATCACTGTCGAGTAGATCTAAATCGGTGTATAAACCATCTGTGAAAATCAAAGAATTATCATTTGTGAATACCAATGTTGAATCTTTAACAACCGAGTCAACTAATTATATTATTAAATATTTGAAATTGAATTAGATATTAGTCAATCAATCTTATTATTTGAAATGATCAATAATGATCTTTTGATTTGATTTTTTTTGAACGAAAAATTTGTAAAAACAAAAAAATAACTGCAACCACCAAAAACAACACGCTCGTTGCCAAGCTTGCATCTTTCTTTTTGTTTTGCTTGCTGATGTTTCTAATAAACAAGTAGTCAAAGTTTGTGCAATGAAATGAAATAATATTTACCTAAAAATAAAAGAGCATCCTCCATGGATACCGGTGTTTTGAATTTATGTTGTTTAGAAGTGGATACCAACTTGGCACCTTTAGTGATGAAGGCATATTTAACTTTCCACTCTGAGATCTTCTTCCAAATGTCATCGGGTATCGACTGACGAATGCCGTCGAATGTGATTGTGCTTGCAGCTTGTTGTTGTTTCTTTCTTTCAAATGAGTTGGTTCTTACAATCTTGTTGGCCGCACTAGCACCACCACTGATTCTAATATTTTTACATGTTTCTTCACTATTATTACAATTATTATTTGATACACTACTACTATTATTATTATTTTCATTTTCTTGTACATTTTCTTCATCACTATATTCATTCTCGTCGTCATCATCATCACTATATTGATTTTGTTGTTGTTCCATATGATTTTCATCAACTGCCAATGAAAAAGATGCTGCCTTCTTTGTTGGTGTTACTTTTGTATTGTTATCGTCAGAGATGACAACTTTGGTAGCAATGTCATCGACGACCTCACTGAACCTCAGAGAAGATGGTGATTTTGGTGTTGACATTGTTTTTTATTTATTTTTATAATTATTTTTTTAAAACTAAAAAAGTTTCTTTCTATTAAATAAATATTATATTTATATTGTTATTTTTTATTATATTATTATAGATATATATATTGTATGTTTATAAACAATGAATAAAAATAGTTTAGTTTTGATGATTGAAAAAGTTTTACCTGAATTGTTATTATCCAGGCTAAAAAAAAATAAATCTAAAAAAAAGATCTTTTAATTTTCTATTTTTTTAATTTTTAATTTTTATTTTTAAAAATTGGAGATAATCTTTGTAAAATTTGTTCACATAAATGATTGTTTTATTTATTATTGTAACTACAACTCATAAATAATCAAATAAATTTTCAAATATTAATCAGAAGTTAACTGAGATATTCACTCAGATTAGATTCAGATATGATGATGATAATGATGTGATAATACCTATTTTTAAATTGAATCCATCATTATTTTTATAATTAATAGACTTTTTTTTTTTTTTTTTGTTCTCTTTATGATTTATGTTAGAACATCAAAAGTTATAAACTGAGTATTCATTGTTCATTTAATTGGAGTACACCTAAGTAATGCAAAAAGAATTGTGATGTTTGCCAAGAAAAAAAACAAAAAAATAAAAATAAAACAAAAATTTTTTTCAAGCATAATAATAATTATTTAATTTGAATAACTGAACTTAACTGATGATTATATGATTCATCAAATACTAAATTAATTTAATCAAACTCATTATATTTAGAATTCATACTACTGTATATTGAGATATATAAGCTAATAGATAAAGAATAAATTTAAAATATATATATAGACAGTAACATTTTGTTACATTCATATTTTATAAAAATATATTCATAAATTATTCAATTCATGATATAATTATATTTAATAATCAATCATCATTCAGTTCAACAATAGTATAATCTAAAACACCAACTTTATAATAGATAATAGTAAAGATAATAATCAATTGATAAGATAATAATAAGATAGTATATAGCAAAAGGTAGATAGATAAATCATGACTGATAGTAATAGTGGATCAGTTCCAATGAATGTATCTACTCCTGGTGGTGGTGGTGGTAATGGAGAGCCTCAATTAGGTACTCATTATATATTTTCAAATATTTATAATACTGTAAGTTGAATTAGAGATTGTTATCATCATCAAAGTATTAATATTTATATATTCTTGATATCAATATTTGTATAGGCATTGAATGATGTACAATGGATACATTATAGATCGGTGATTCAAGACAACAATGAGTTGTTTATTAACGAACCTATTATACTTGCTTATCTAAAGTTGATAGAAGCAAACATTCCATGTATTTGGATAAAGTCATATAAACAACAACAACGAAATAACAACAACAACAACAACAATAGTAAAATGAATAATAATAGTAACAATAAATCAAGCAATAATTCACCATCGCCACCATTATATAGTTCAAAATCATCAGTGGGTACAAGTAAAGGTAGTAATATTGTAAAGACACCGACTGCTACTACTACTACTACTACCGCTACTACATCGACAACAGCAAATACAAATACACCAATATTGAGAAGTTCAACGACAACAACGACGACAACAACTAATGGCAATGTAATGACACCTATTTCACCTGTATTATCAGCCAACTCACCGCATTATAATGTACCAACATCACCTACTGCTAGCACAGTGGTAAACAATCAACATCTTCAACAACAACAACAACAACAACAACAGCATATAATAGATAGCAATATGATGTCAATAGATAGTACACCATTTTCAATAGATACTATTAATAACGATTCAATAGATCTATGGATATTCCCAATACATAATATTAATAGTGGAATTGCAAAGACAACAACAACAACAACAACAGATTCAAATACAGATGACACTTCATCGACGACGACGACATCAACAACGCCTTTTGACATTAATTCAATTATTGAATTACAATCAATAACTAGTAAGTTGTAGCAATTAATAGTCAAATTATAGTATAATATAATACTAACACTCTCTTTCTCTCTCTCTTAGAAATTGACAGTGGAAAATGGGATACAGCTGAACCCAATCAAAATCCAATTTTAACGAATCTATTTTATAAATCATTATTCAATTTAATCGAACAGTATGTAATCAATAAGATATTAGATGTTCGCTAGCGTACTTTAGCAGGTTCTAATTATAATGTGTTTCTCTCTATTTTTAGTCAATTGATTCAAACCAACAATTTCGTTAGGGTTGGTAACTCATTTATAAGAAAGAATTCCATAGATAAAAAGACTGTAAAAAAAGATCCATACTTTGAAGGTTTAAGACAATTGTAATTATTATTATTATTATTATTGATCAACATACATATATAAAATCATTACTAATTATCTATCTATATTATTTATATATATTTTGTAGAAATAACGATGATATTAGTGAGCTTTCATTTTCATTCTCTTTCTTTCTTGCCAATAAAACACTGTTGTTTCATTTGTTTGTAGAGAGAAAGAGGATACAAAACCTTGGCAACCTCTCAAAGTTGGATTATTTAAAATCACCAAGTAAGATATGAGCTATTTATAAACATCATTATTGAATCGATTGCTTATTCTTCTTTTTTTTTTTTTTTATATTGCAATATAAATACTTAAACTATATATATAGTTATTACATCACCTAATTGTTATTTTGGATATCAAAGATTAACAAAGCAACAACAGCAACAATCATTACAATCATCGAATGGAAATAGTAGTAGTATTTTTACAAATGGTAGTAGTAGTAGCAATCATATTAATATCAATGCATCGGATCCAAACTTTACTTTGACATCTAATCAGTGGAAACAACTATTCAATATCAATCTAAAATCATCAATGAATAGTAGTACAAGTCATTTACATCATCATCATCAATTAATGAATAGTAGTGCTGGTAGTACTACAAATGGATTAAAAGATAGCACCAATAGTAATAATATAAAGAGTATACACTCACTCTCGATATCAAGTTCATCATCTAGTACACCTACAACAACAACAACAACCACCATCAATAATAATAGTACAAATAACTCTTACTATATAGACAGACCGAAGCAGTTGGAACTCTATGGTATCTCAACTAGACATGGAATGTACTTCCCAACAGAGTTACTCTATCGCTATGTTCCGTACACCTCCGATGTCTCTGCCAAGTTCTATCACGAGAAGATGCGTGAATTTGGTTTGGAGAATGAAGATCAAGGTGTTTTATCATATATTGAACGTGGATTATCTTTATTTGGTAGAAGACAACAACAACAACAACAAAATAATAATAATAACAATAGTAATAATAATAATAAGAGTATAGATTATTGGAATTATCAAATACCATTTATATTTCCAAAGGATCAACAACAGCAACAACAACAACAACAACAACAGCAGAATCAACAGTCTTCCGATCAACAGCTTATGAATAAACAGATGTTTTCACCATCGACCAACTCACCGTTTCCATCGTCGCCAAGTCAGAATCAAGCAACTACATCAGCACTACAATCTCCATTCACCAACTCACCGAAATCACCTGCCACTTCACCAATGGCTTCGCCAGATGAACAGCCATCTCCGGCCGATCCCATGGATGCAACGAAGAAGAGATCGTCAACTAAATCAGCTTCCAGCCAAAAGAAAGGAAGAACAACCAAGAGAAAGAAAGATGATGATCCAGAGCCAACTGCATCAGGTAAACCACCATTACCACCACAAGCAGAAGTCAAACAGCAACAGCAGCAACAGCAACAGCCTTTAATTCCACAACAGCAACAACAACAGGTACAGCAGCAACAACAACCAGTTTCTCAACCACAGCAACCAGCATCTCAACCAGTTTTACAACAACAAAATTCATTCGGTTCAATGGATTTGTTTGGATCGGATTCACTTGGTGATGCTCTGTCATTTAAGAAGGATGATGATCTTATGCATCTGTCAGACACTGATATCGATTTGGACTCTTGGACCAATCATTATTCATCTTCATCATTTCCACCTCAACAGAGACCGAATGCATTGGCATCTGGTGGTGGTGGTATCAACAACATACAATCAGTACCCAATATCTCTGATTCATTTGTACCCAACAACAATAACAATCAAAATATGCAACAACAAAAGACAAATGTTAATAAACCAAATGATAATCAACAACAGCAACAGCAGCAGCAACAACAACAACAACCATTACAGTCACAGACAAATCCAATGACTTTGAACGATTTGAATACCCAACAAAGACAACAAACAATGGATATCAATAATACTACTGCTGCTCAAATGATGAATCAGCAACCATTACAACAGCAACAACCATTACAGTCACAGCCAGCACAGATGTTAAACCAAGCGAATCTACCACAACAACCACCACAACCTCTAACATCACAACCAACACAACTAATTGCCGGTGGCGCGACTACCAATGCAAATACATCCTCGACAATGCCAATCGATCATACCAAATCACCTATACATCCAGCTTATCTCGTACCATACAAAGCACCATCTCTCAGCCAGGCAAATATTCCAACAATGCCAGACGTTGTTCCTGAACTCTTTGGAAGTGGTGGAAGTGGATCACATCATCTCTTTGCACACGATGTTCGTGAGATCAATGGAAGTGGAAGTGAGTCATCCTCTTCCAACTCACTGCTGCTCTCTGGCGGAGCGAGTGGACTTGGCGGTCACCAGAAAACACTGTCCAATCTGCAGTACACTCCAGAGGGAACATCGTCTGCCTCGCTAGCACAATACCTCCAGCAACTCACTCAATACAAAGAGCACACTCTACACTCATCGCTCGATGATTCCGTCGAGGGACTGACCTCTGTCTATAGTACACTCGCCGTTTCCAAGCTTGGCGAACAACAGATCTCTAATTCCACCGCCAAGAGCAAGTCGTCTTACTACTGTCCACCCTCTTACAAACCTATCGATGAGACAACTCTTCCATTTCACACAAACAAGCTGGAGTATAGCTATGTCCCATTGTCCAAATCTCTATCGTCAACCTCTTCAAATGTTAAATATACCCCAACAACTCTTACCAGTCAACCATCGGCTCTGTCGTCACAACTGACAAGTTCAAGTCTGGCTGCAGTCAAACCATCGTCATCTAATTCCACCAATAGTTTGTCACGCAGTCAATTACAACTACAACAACAACAACAACAGCAGCAACAACAACAACAACAACAATCACAACTTAAACTATCACAATCGACAGTGACTGTTAACAATCTACCGAATTCACCTATATTCTCTTCACCAGCATCACCAGTTCTTTCGAATAGCCAAGCCAACTTGTCCGATAACGGATCGTCAGATTCTGATCCCAATCAACAGTCATCGGCTTTATTTACATTTGACAATGTACTTTCACCAGTGACCAACTCTTATATTCAACAATCGATAAGTGGACAGAGAATAGTACACCAAGCATTCTCCTACGAGAAGACCATGACTGCCGAGGAATGCCAAGAGTTTGCTAATCTCATCCAACAGATGGCTATCTCCAACTATGACATCAACCAAGGTTACTCTGTTGAAAACTCTCCACTCACCAAACTAACAGTGGAAATGCTATTGGAAGAGTGGATCAAGTCGTTGGTTGCCACCGATGGCAATCTCTACAGTCCGACACTTCAATACCACGCACTCACCGAAGAGGTCAACTCTGAGTCAGTCTATGCTGCACTCAATCCAATGTCGAAACCAGTGCTTCTCAATCTTACGGCACGTTCACTCTTTGGATTCTCATCGATTCTCTCCAACATCTTTAAGAACGAAGAGATGGAAACCAACTCACCGCTCTCACTATCGGACACTGACATATTCTCTGGCGTTGAATGGATGCCTGCTCCACGCTTGATGGTTGGCTACAAGGAGGAATGGATGGAGGCTCCATCCACCATCATAAGACACTGGGACAAAGCACTGATAGAACCATACTCACCAAAGAAGAATATCACCTACTATGTGCTCTGTCCAGACACTCAGGTAATGCGAGTACACATACCACCATTCTTCTCGGATGTTAGTAACATCTATGAGATCAACCATCTCGGTCACCACCAACACTTTACCACCACCCTCACAGTCACCACTACCGTACCAAACACCAACTTCAACGCTAACAACCAGTATCAAAACAAGCATCATCATCATCACCAACAACAACAACAACAAACAACCACAACCACATCGATAAACAATACAGCCTACAGTGGATTGTTCCCACAAGGTATCTACTATATTCCAACGTTGGCGTCAACAGCAGCACCACTAAACTCATCCACTCAGCAAACACAACCACCACCACAACCACCACAACAACAACAATCACAACAACAACAACAACAAGATCCTAATCAACTGTTGATGAATAGCTACCTCACTGCATGCTCTAAACTAAGTGATCATCTTAAGGAAATCTCATTACAATACAATGAAAACAATTGTATTGTCGTATATATTGTTAATCCATTCACAGAATCATCTCAGTTTGGCACCAACAAGGAGAATACCAATGGCGACTCTGACTCTGTATTCCTAAGACAGAGAGAATCTCTAATGTTTATAAATTCATGTTTCCGTACAATTATGAAAGAAACTTATTCAAATGAATCATTAAATATAATGGTACAAGTATGTATTATAATAATAGCTGTAGAATTTATAATAATGTAATGTATTAATTTATTATTATTTTAATATATAGTCAATTCCAATTGAACAAGTATTTTTAGATGATTCACAAACTATTCCAATTGCCAAAGAGATTGCATTTTCGATATTTAACAAATGTCGTAGAATTTCAACACTTTCGCCGATACTCAATGGTGTTCCACCAACAAACAATTTCACCAATTGGTGTCAGAGATTCGCCGATAAAATATTCGAACCAATATTTATACTTTCACAACCAAGACAGCCACAGGCATTGCAATCATATCAACCCAACAATATCCATGTGTCCTATATGTTGAGCGACAACAATCGATGGGTTGCATGCACGATCACCGATGATCGTGGTGAGATGTTAGAGTCCAAACTGATACCGGCAATCATGTCAGAGTATACCGGCGAGTTGGTGTGGCGCGATACACTCACCAGTGTCTGGACATTCATTTACGATACCATCAATCTTATTCTACTCTCAAACGGAATCACAGCGAGAGCTGTCATTTCTAAATTTGGACTCATCTCCAAAGAGGAATACGACGAATGGCAACGACTGGTCTTGAACATTCCCGATAGAAATCCTCTAGAGCATGTTTTATTTGTCAACTTTACTATGCATCCATATCTTCAATTATTCTCCTCAGAGTTTTTCAATGGTAATGTTTTAACAATAATAATATTAATATATTGATAAACGCTCTAATTATTAATATAAATATTTTCAATTTCCATTTTTAGATACATTCTCAAAATCACAAGATACACTTATTTTACCAGTATTTTCACTTAAAGGTCAATCATATGCCGTTTATCCAAAATCACCATTTATTTATAACTATCATTTAAATAATCCGTTGCCGTTGGTATCCTCTTTCGTTGTGACTTCTCATTCGAATAATGCAGTGTTGAGTCAACAGCAATCCAATTTCGAGAGTAAAAAAGAATGGCCAGTTGTCTATATGATTTCGATTATTGGTGAACAGAGTGTAAAGCAACAGACGATCAATGTCGATCAGCAAACGACATCCGATCTCTCAGAGTCGATCAAACAGATCACAAAGATCTATCATCGATTGTCGTACCTGAACCTCTCACCACGTTATCCCGACCGTTACTCTGTGCTGCCAATACACCACACCGTAACAAAGAGAATGAGCAGACTAGCAGGATTCGTTGCACCCAAATCACCAAAACCATTCCACCTTCAACAACAACAAAAGACACCCATCAACAATTGGTCGGCGAAAATGCACAATCTCTCACCACTCACCAACAATCCTACATCGCCACAATCAATATCCTCAGCAACAGGATCCTCTCCGATAAACACAATAAAAGATGATACAATGTCATCTTAAAATTAATAAATAAATAAAAAAAGTAGTACTTTAATAATTAAACTTTTAAAAAATATTATTTATTTATTCAATTTGTCCAATTCACAAGACGCAAACTGTTATAGAATATATTAATCGATCTAGAATTTCCTAACCTGGTGAGACATCAGATAAAAAGTGTGCTTATCCAATACCAACCAATGTAATCGAATGCTTCCAAGACATTTTGAAAATACGAATAGTAAATCATTGACAACAAGTCAATGATGACAAAGAAGTTTAACGCGCCGCTAATGACCAACAGGTACGTTTGATACTGTCATTCTGTGGATCTGGGGTAATTACCTCAGATCAAAGTTTCTATATCATTGCTAAAGAAAAAAACACGAGTAAATTTTCATCTGCTGACTAGATATAATACATACTATTTACTGTGAGTTACTTAACTAAATTCTAGATCGAATAATACATAGTTTGCGGTTTGTGAATTGAAGAGTTCATTTGATGACGAACGACGTTTAAAAAGCTATTTTATAAGAAATCACTTTCCCTCCTTTTTTTTAAAAAAAATCAATTGTTTTTGATTTTTTTTTTTACTTTCATTTAGTGAAGTTAAAATTGACTGGTCATTTAAGTTATAATATTTTAAAAGATGAATGTATTAGATGAGAATATTTTAATTGAAGTTAATAAGCTGCAAAAGCTAAAACAATCATGGATCAACGAAAAATCAACACCCGATATATTACCGTATAGAAGAGAGTTGGTCTCGGATATCATGGAGGAGATCCAAACAAAAGAAGAACTTTGTACATCTGATATTAAGAATCCTGCAATGCAGTTCACAGCCAATATATATGAAATGGAGATTGAAAGATTAAAATATTTAATAAAATCTTATCTAAGAACAAGATTACAAAAGGTATGTTCTAAATTTTTATTGTTATAAACAACAAAATAATTTCTAACATACAATATATTGATATAGGTAGAGAGATATCACTCATATATATTAAAACATGAGAGTATAAAAGTTAAACTATCTGATTCAGAATTACAGTATTGTCAAAAGTAAGTTTGATACTAGTTCATTCTTCTTGATAATCATTTTAAAATTCGTCAAACTAATTGCAGGCTTTTCTTCTTAAATCAATCAATCTAATAGGTATTCAAATTTAATAGAAAATCATTTTAATCAATCATTTCTGCATCATATACCCGGTTTTTCAAGGATAGAGCCTAATAGTTGTAGGTTATCAACTTTTATCATTTAGATTATCGATTCAATTTAAATTAACCAAAGAAACTCTTTATAGATCAATCACCTTTTGTTGATGGTTTTATATTTTGTTCGCCAGCTGAAAATATTGGTACAGTTCAAATGGATGAGTATGTATTTGATTTCTTTATTTTTCATTTCAAAGACTAATACTTAGTCTTCTTTTTTATTTCCAACCAAAACAGTGATTTCAGCATCGATTTTCAAAAAGGTGAAATCTATTTAATTAAATATAGCTCTATCTTTTCATTAGTGGAAAACGGTAAAATGAATCTGATATAGAATATTCACTATCAGAATCTTTATCATCACCATTGTAATCATCATCATCATCATCTTCTTCTTCTTCTTCTTCATTGTTGTCATCACAATGAAAACTATTTCACAAGTATATTTAGATGAAACTTCACAGACAAAAGACATCTTTCACTTTTATACACTAGTAGTGACTTGAAACATGTTATTTCAATTCTATAGACCAGAAGAAAGAATTTATCTCGATCACATAAAATAATAAAACTTTTTTTTTTTTTAATAAAGCTCAATGATTTTATATAGTCAATATATTAATAACTTATTATTACATATACACTCTTATCAATGATATTATCAAAAAGTCATAAAAGTAACCTCTTCTCTCTTACTAAGAGAATGTCCTCTGTGTACAACACCAACCTTACCATACAGAATAAATATCACCAATCATTTATTGTGCGCCGCTTTACATCCAATGATGACAACAACAACAACTATGCCTCTACCATCAGCAATCACTTGAAGAACATCAAAATGCACAAGATCCCTACCCAGAAGATTCAACTACTAAATATCCAACAATGATTTTACTTCATACTCTTAATTCTGACTTTTGTTTATAGCACCAGAGAAGCAGCCCTGATCGATTTGATCCTAAATGGGATCACTTGCGATCTCTGGAGTCTCAGCTCCATGATTGGTAAGACCATTCAGTTGCCAGGTTTTTCAAGGAAATACCTTCCAAAAGAGATGAAGCTTGAACAATTTGATTCCTTTCTCTTAACACAAGAGGGATACAACCTCGTGGTGAAGTTTTGGAAAGTATCAAATGTCAGAGAAGGATGTCGATGGAGACGAGAACAATGGCATCATCTTGTCGGTCCCACTGGATGTGGAAAAACATTTGAATCATATCTTGCTTATGTTAACAATTCCATTGTTACTTACATCGTAAGTAGCTTCTTTGTTTGATGTTATGTCTCACAGAATACTCACAATTAATAACACAGGGAAGAGCACTTGAATGGGCAAAATTAAAGACTGATCCAAATACAAGAACATGATTATCATTGACAAGAATTCTTGTGAAAAAGACCTCAACATTTCAATTAGCTCATTTGCATTTTTGTCCGAAATCACAGGAGAATAGATTTTTTTTTGAGTGAGAAAACTTTTAAATAATAAATCTTTGGAAATATCTTTTCATATTTCATTTCTTCAATAATAATATTATTCTATTATTTTAATATTTATGTTAGAAATACAATGTAAATTTAACCAAAGAACCAAGATTTCTTTGGTTTTTCTTGGTTCTTTGGCTTTCTTCTATAATGTCTTTGTTCTTGAGATGCCGAGTCGGGTGTCGATGAACGGAAACCTTCAACTTTTGGTGGCGCTTTAGCGCAATTCTCTTTAACAAACTTTTGATTTTCTTCTGTGAGACGATCGAATCCTTCGAGTAGCTCTGCGTTTGGAACTTGAGAGATTCTAGATTCACACCAGACAGTAAGGGATTTAAGATCGTATTGCTTTGAGAATTGAAACATGAATAGCAGTGAAGTGTTGTCAATCGATGGTCTGATCACGGCGGAACACAACTCCTTTGCTCTTGCGATCTGATGGAAATCCGCTAAGATCACCAGCTCGAAACAATCGTTGGGGTCACTCGGTACTTCGTTACAATAGAAATAGTGTAGTAGATCTTTAAATGAGGAGATAGAGACGTCGTGGATATTAATGGAATTCATTGATCCTTCAATAAAACTACCACTCAACATCATCTTGAAATATTTCGAACGCAAACATAACATCACCTTGAATGATTGAACCTCGGCAATATTTCCAGATGGTTCGTGTACCTTGAAAGTAATGTCATACAACGATTCGGCAAATGTTGGATCACTGAGTTTCTTGAAATCCTCTGACAAATTTGAAGATGGAATCGATTCCAATGATTTGGTTTTACCTAACACTAAATTACATAAAAATGCCAATCTTTCAACTCCCAAGCATGTCGACAACATTCCAATTTCATCGACATAATGTTGAATCTATATATAATAAAAGATTAATTAGTCTCAATTGCTAATAAATTATTCCTTCTTATATATGTTTTTTAACTTACCAATGGAACATGATCAGTATAAATGAATTTAATGAATAGTTTCAATGATTCAAATGAAATTTGTTTGAAATCTATGTAGATAATTTTGTTAATGGTTGATGCGGTAATCTTAGAGGTGATTGAAATCTCGTGAGAGTTGTCTGAGTTTGGATTCTTTATCTCACTGGAGATCAATGGCAACAGTTTTGGAACTCTACAAGCAACCACTGCTCGATGACAATTTACATATTGAGCGGTATCTCCATTTACAATGAATCTCAAATCCACTAATGACTCATCGGTGAGCAGCGATGCCAATTCGGAACCATAGATGTTGTGACCACTGGAGAGTGAGATCAACGATGAGTTTCCACCGGCAGCGATCTTAAAGACAGTGGAATTATCTGGAATCTTTACTCTTGTGAAGTTGCATACCTCCTTGATTGCTTCACCAACACCACATTGCATCATTGAATTATCTCCAAAAGTGAATACTTCACCAGTGTCTGTCAAGACGACAACATGTTCATAACCAACCTCAATCGTACTAATTGGGTATGGAAGCAATGTCTTTACAACCTGTGGTTCACCAGTGTAATTTCTATGATCTGGCAGCAAAACACCGAGCTGACAATGTATATTGCTTCCCCAGGTATAAATAGCATTCGATTCCGAAAGAACGGCATTGAAATTGGCACCAGCACCGATCTTCTTAATTTTACTTCCGATTTGCACCATAGTTGGTGTGCTACCATTTCCGCTGTGACCAAGACGGCAATCGATATTTGAACCAAAAGTATAGACATCACCAGATTTACTGAGTACCATGGAATGCCAGTTTCCACAAGAAATCTGTGAGGCAGGTGGAAGCATTGGAATCACTTTCGGTGTCGATTGGGAGAGCATAGTGCTTACATCGTAACCCAGATTTCCATGAAGACCTTTACCCCATGAGAAGACCTTTCCAGAATCTGACAGAGCCAGCGAGAACTCTTGTCCACAGGCAATCGAAGTGATTTTCTCATCTTCGAAATGCGGTATGATCTTTGGAATGCTTACGACCTCACTGTTTCCAAGACCAAGTCTTCCACCGGATCCATTTCCCCATGCATAGACGACACCGATTTCATCCAATGCCAAGCTGTGATCTTTACCACAGGCAATCTGTGTAATTTGTTTGTTCTTGAATGCGCTAATCATCGATGGAATAGAGATATCGTTCTTTGTTGGATGACCTAGTTTTCCATAACTACACAAACCCCAACTATAAACGCCACCGGTATCGGTCAGCATCACAGCGAAATTCTGACCGAATTTGATGGTTGTTGGCGAGTGTTCTTTCTGGTTGAACAACACCCCTGTTGGTGTGCCAGTAGCAATCAACGATAGTGACGGACACAACATCTGACCCCATTGATAGATTGGAACACTTCCACCGGTTCCATTGCTTACTGTCATCTTTGAACTGCGTAAACTCGTCAATAGATTTATACATTCTTTCTTGTCTAACCAAACGGCAATATCCAACGCCGTCAAATTTCTATTATCGACAAGACTACCATCTACTTGCAATCCAACCAAACTTCTAATATATTGAATATTTTGATGCATAGCAGCTAAATGTAATGGTGTCTAAAAATAATATTTATAAAATATTCCAGGTTAATTTTCAAAACATAAAATTTGAATAACTAAACAACAACTTACTTCATCATTTATATTTCTTTGAGTTAGTAGATTTTGAAGATCCGCACTTATATTGTAGTCAAGCTTTCTAAGAAGTATTCGTATATCATTGATGAAATCATCGCGTGGAGGACAAAATGCAGCAGTATGGAAAATAGTGTTTTGATGACGATCGTATCTTGTGAGAACAGCCATAACAATACTGATACTACTGTTTCTCAGAAAGTACATAAAATTTGGGTGATGAAAATTGATCACCTCTTGCCAATCCAATTGTTCGGCTTCCAACATCGCTGCAATCGTTTCCATCGTATTTGAATGATATTGTTTATTTGATTCCCACATTCTACTTAAATAAAGGAAATTTGAAACTATATCACTAAATATATTATTATTTATATTATTATTGCTATTATATAAATTATTATTTTCTAAATCTATACTATTATTATTATTGTTGTTGTTGTTGTTGTTGATGTATGTTAATCTATTTTTTAAATCTCTTAAAAGATTTAACAGAAAAGAAAGAAATGAAAATAAATAATAAAAAAATTTAAATATGTTAAAAATATAATTCATATACAAGAATAGATTTTAAAAAGGAATAGAGTTGATACTCATTGATTGTGACCACAATCAAACCCTAAAATAAACCTAAAATAATTCAATATATTAAAAATTGTAAAAATCGGAAATTTTTTTGATCAAAAATTCATTGAATTTTTTTGGAATTTGGCAAACAATAATAAAAATAATAATAATGAAATAAAATATGTTTTCTGGTTTATTAAAAAAGAATCATAAATTAAAAAATAAAAATAAATGGTTTTTATCCTAAATCGTAGAAGATCTATCCCATTGATCAGAAAATTGAATAAATATACCTAAAATTTAATATCTTATTGGTTTTAAAAACTAAGTTTGCAAAAACAAAAGATTTGGTTTTATCACAAACACAAAATATTTTTCGTAATAATTTAAATTTTGTTATGCAAACTACTTTTTATTAAGCTGATTTTTGTTGACCATCATATATCATTATTTATTTAATTCACCACCACAGAATATATATAGATAGATAGATAATTAGATAAGATATTTGATATAGATATACATACAGAAGTTAAAGAATGTCGAAATATATAAATTTATTAAAGAAAACAGATGTTATTATACCTTCGTTGAGAGAATCTTCACAGAATGGTATAAGAAGTTTTGTAAATAGTAGTAGTAACAATAGTAATACGATCAATATGGTAGGGCAATTGTCATCTGAAGTTGGTAGAATGAATTACTATTCTGGTGGTCACTACGGTGGACACCCACAGTTCTATGCAAACTACCCTGCCGATCCAATGCGAAAGAAAGCAACTACCATTCTCTCGGTGCGTCGTGGTAACAAAGTGGTGATCATCGGTGACGGTCAAGTATCACAGGGACACTCTATCGTCAAGCCAAACGCAAAGAAGATAAGAAGATTGGCAGACGGCAAGATCGTTGCGGGTTTCGCCGGTTCGGTAGCTGATGCCTTCACACTGTTTGAGTTGCTCGAGAAGAAGCTCACCGAACACCGTGGACTGCTGCTAAAGTCGTGTGTTGAACTCGCACAGCAGTGGCGTACCGACAAGTACTACCGTCGTCTCGAGGCAAGTCTGATCGTTGCCGACAAAGACATAACACTGAACATCGATGGTAACGGTGATGTTCTCGAGCCAAACGATGGTGTACTTGCAATCGGTAGCGGTGGTGAGTTTGCTCTTTCCGCAGCGAGAGCACTACTAACCGTACCAGACCTAGATGCCGAGGAGATCGCCAGACGTTCAATGAAGATCGCCGCCGACATTTGTATATACACAAATCACAACTTTATTTTAGAGACAATCGAAATCGACCCATCGAAATCACCATCGACAGCTTCAACTCAATACTCTCAACAATTAGATTTATCACAAGCGCCACCAACCACAAAAGATGAAAATAATAATAATAACAATCAAAAATAAATTAATATATATAAATGTCTATACACACAAAGTTTATTGTTTATAAATTTATAATAATGATAATCAAATCGAGCAAATTAATTTATCATAGATTGACTGATGCAACCTTTTATTAGGTAATGTTTAAAAAACTAGTACTTTTAATAAAAAATAACAAACCACAACACAACTTCTTTAAAGTCAAAATGTTGAACATTGGCTGTCTGTTCAGACTTCTATTTATAATATCACTATTTTAATGTTGTTGTTTTATTTCTTAACATATAAAAACCAATAAAATCATGCTTTGTTGTGTTTTATTTTATTTATTATTTAGGTTTTAATAACAAACAACAATAACAACAACAGCGGTAGAATTGTTCAAAGCTAAACACATACTTTGAATATATTAAAGATAGAAAGTGTTATTGTGATCAATCATAGACTATTTAGGTATTTCTGTTTCAATGTAGGGTGTTATCAACAAAAACAAAAAAAAAAAAAACAAACAAAACAAAACACATAATAATATTAAACCACAAATAAAGGTATAAAACAACTATATAAAAATGATCAACAAAGGTTGGTTGTGTATGAATTTAATTAAAAACACATTTCAAAATAATCGAAAAAGGGTGTGTTTAAGTGTGTGGGTTTGAATTAAACAACACTAACTAAAGAAAAACATAATAATACTTATATATGTTGGTGTGGGTAGTTATTATGATCAAGTATATATGTTGCGAGATAGTTTGGAGAGTGGAGATTCACTTTCGATGAAGGTACAATTTTTAAATATGACTTCATATTTAAATATTTAATTTGAGGGGTATTTTGTTTTTTTTTGAAAAGGTTCAATTGTGTTAAGTTGTATTGATTCATATGATAAATATAAATATTCTTGTGTGATTCTTTATAAAGTGGGTGATCTACTATGATGAGAAAAAAGTGAATGATTGATTGACATCAATTCTTAAAATAATAATTATTTCAATATCATATGTATTAATTTAATTTAATTAATTTAAAAGAACAAGAAATAAGAAGAGTAATAAAATATATTTTGGAGCTATTTGTCCATTTTTTATTATTCTTAATTTCATTTATATTTTTATTTATATTATATATTTAATTTTCTATAACTTTTTTAGAAATTTTATTAAAATAGTTTGCAAAGAATAGATAAAAGTAAGAATTTTTAAATTTCAAAAATTAAATTCGATTAGAATTAAAATCTAATTAAAAATAGTAATATTAAATCACCATCTATTAATTGTTGTTTTATTTTAATTTTTAATAACTTGATAAAGATGTCATGAACAAGTAGAATTTATATATCCCCTCAAGATTCTATCAATATTTATTTTTGATTCCACTACCCACTTCATTCCAATCAACCACAATTCAAAAATTTTCTACTTTTTGTTGAGAAACAAAAAAACAACAAATAATTGTATTTATGTATGGTATATCATCCTTTTTTTAATTGATAAAATTAAAATGTCATCACACCAAACAATAAATAATAAACTCATTAATAATTAAATCATATTCAAAACTGACAATCAAACAGATATACTACTTGATACTGACTATACTTTGTTAAATATAATTTATAATATTTTTGGGCTGATACGGAAATACACCCTCACGTTAATATAAAATATTTATCTAAAAACTGAATAATTAATTATTAATCAATTTCCATGCATTTCACACCTAAATCTACACCACATCCACTCTAAATCAAATCACTAAAACATTAATTATCCATCCAAATATTTACTTTATAATTATTCTTTTTTTTGTTTTGTTTTTGTGATAAAATTAACTTAATCCATTTATATATTATAATCCATTTATTAATTACAATTTAAATATTATAGTTTTTTTTTTTTATAATATAGTTTTTATTAAATAATAAATTTCAAAAAAAAAACAAAATGGAAACATTAGATGTTGAAAATAATAATAATATTAATAATAGTGATGGTGGATTATCTACACCATCAAATGTATTAAATAATATTGAAAATGTCAGTAATCATGATGGAGAAGAAGAGAATCTAATGGTGGAGAATGACGACGAGTATGCCGGAATTGAAAATTTGTCTCAAGAGGAATTGATAGATATTATTAAAGAGATTAGAGAAGAGTATTTCAATTTGAAGGACAAACATCGAGGTTTGAAGACTTCACTTCAGGAGAGTCAAAAAGAAGTTCAATTCCAGCGAAACTTGTGCGCCGAACGTGAGGATCTCTTGTTGCAACTACAGTGGGATCCATCGCAAGACAAATCATATATTCACGACGAAGATGAAATCAAGCAACAGAGAAACCAAGCACTGCTCGACCAGATGCGTATCATGGAGAAGGGTATCTTTGATCGTGACGACAAGATAACAAGTCTCCAGAAGACCATAGAGAATTTGATTGTCAATCAAATCAATGCTGGATCGCTGCCATCCGACTTCCAACCATCCAACACAAATATAGAGTTGAACGCCATCAACAATAATTCGCAAGCATCGAGTAGTAACCAATCGACTCCACTCAATCAATCGCCAAGCAATGCCATTCCACCGGTTACCAAGAAGATATCAGAGTACCCGCTGAACTACAAACAACAGGATGTCGTAGAGTTGTACACTCCCGACTACCAATTGCCTGCAGGTAAAGCACCAACTCGTAGTCCATCCTTCTGGCAATCACCAACAGGATTCCTTTCATACTGGGTCGGTTGGGATACTCCAATGGAAGAGATCGCCGATAATAGCAACGATGACACAGCCAGCAGCTCTAGCTCTGCACCAAAACCAAAACCACCACAATCCTACCCAATTACCAAGACATTTGAAGAGAAAGCACCAATCAAAACATTTTCACCGTCGTCATCTCAACCAAACCCAGTTTTAATTCTACCTGCTTCTAAAAAATAAATTAAAAACTAATAATAATAATAATAATAAAACAAAATGCAAAATGTAATAAAAAAATACAAAAAAAGATATTTTTTAAACAAAAAACTTATTGTTTTTTTCTGATTAATTAAATGATCATTCTTTTGAATTATTTTAATATTAAATGTCAATGATTAATAATTTAATAAAACAACAATCAAGATCTATTTATTTATATAAAAATAGTTATATTAAATTATATTTTTCAAGTAAATCTAAATTAACTACATTATCAGCTACAAGAAATAAAGTTGTTAAAGATCATCATTTAGCAGATAATAATACAAGAGTAAAAAGTAAAGATGAAGATAATAATAATCATTTAAAAGTTGTACATGATTCATTCATTTCATTGGCAGACCTATCACCTGTTTCAAAGGTTTCATCTACGACAACATCTAAAGCGAAAAAGATTAGTTTAAAAGATGATAGCAAAGCAGTTGATAAACCAGCAGAAATCAAATCAAACAGTAAACCAAAAACTAATGAAAAGAATAACAATCCTAAATGGATGTCAAAGAAATGGTTTACAACTACTGATATTGATATTGACAATGATATTAATAGTTTAAATCTAAATGATAATAATGAACAAAAAGAAGTAGAAGAAGAAATAATAGCAGAAGAAGAAGAAGTACAATTGGAACTACTAGTAGAGAAATTAGAAGAAGTAGAAAAGATAAATAATGTAAAGAAAGGAACAGATTTTGAATTGTTAAGTATTAATGCTCTATCGAAATATGGTTTCGATTTGAAGAGAGTTGGTGGTGCTGGTGATAAAGGAATAGACTTTACTGGTGTTTGGAGACTGCCAGAAAGTAGTAGTAGTAGTAATGGCGGTGGTCATAGTAAAAGTAGTAATCAAGAATTTAATATAGTTGGACAATGTAAACATTATAAAACAAGAATAGGTCCTGTTGTATTAAGAGAGTTTGAATCAACATTACAAAGATTCATTGATAACAATAATAATAATAATAATAATAATAATTGCAATCAATCACAACAACAACAATTTAACTGTATAGGAATCCTAACAAGTTATACAAGATTCTCTGATATCTTACAATCAGAAATCGATTCAATTAACAATCCATTGATTCTCTCTCAGATAACAGAAAAAGGTATACTTGCATTCATTATGAACAAAACCGCAAGAAAACTATTACCATCACTCTTGATAGTCAGTAGAAAACAACCATCCAATTACAACAATAGAATCAATAATAATAATAATAGTTTAAAAGATAAATATCAATCAACCGTTGAATTATGTTATACTAAATAAAATATGTTTATTTATTCTTATGACCATACATCTAAAAGATATCTCTTTTCTTTTGACCAATTAACCCAGATTTCAGATGCACTGTTGTCATCTGTGATATCCAATTGTTCTTTTATGATCTCTATGAAACTCTGTCTTACTCCGACTGACATACCTTTGGCATCGCCACAGATGTAAACATAGGCACCACCGGTGTGCATGAGATCAAATAGTGCTTTCGAATGATTCTTTATCTTCTCTTGTACATAGCCAAGAGTCACATCTTTCGTCGACGACTGCTCGCTCAACTCTCTTGAGAATGCAGTTACCAAGTGTTTAAGAGTATTATTCTCCAAAAATTGATTGAATTCCTTTTGATAAATAAAATCTTTTGTTTCACTTCTACATCCAAAGAATAACCATGTTTCATTGTTATTATTATTATTATTATTATCTTTATCATGTCGTTTGTTTAGTATTTCTAAATGTTGCAAGAAACCAATGAATGGAGCAACACCTGTGCCTGGACCAATCATAATGATTGGCTTTGCGAGACAGTCTGTCGGTAGATGGAAATGTGGTGATGATTTAAAGTTGTAAGGAATATAAACTGGTTGTTGTTGTTGTTGTTGTTTGTCATCGTTTGTAAGTGAAAGTCTTGAAAGTGTAGATTCAAGATTGTTATTATTATCATCTAATTGAGATGATGATATTAATAGTTGATTATCTTTACAGATTGATTCTAACCATGTTGTACACAATCCGTAGATATGCTTGCCATCGACATTCGGGTAGTCGACAACGCTAAACACAAACGATGCTTTGGTGGGATCGATCAATGGCGACGAGCAGATCGAGTAGTCACGAGGTGCTTGCGGTGAGATGATCTCAATGAGATGTTGAATCGATGGTGGTTTCACAGATGGGAATCTTTCTAGTAACGATAGCAGGTTGACACGCTCCTCAAGGAATTTTGCATATATATCTTTTCCTTCGATGGTCGCACTCTTTAGCAACACAGACTTCTCTTGTTCATCTGTTGCCAGCTCTCCAAGCAAACGAAGCAATCTCTTTGGTACGATTCCACAGATATCCAATTCGTTTGTCAGTAGATAACGAATTGATCTTCCACTTGCACGTTGCAAGTTAACAGGTAATGTTACTGTATTAGTTGTTGCTGCTACTGTTGGTGTAGTTGTTGTGGCTGTTGTTATTACAATGATTTGTTCGCCGTCATTCAGATCTAATCTAGCTAAAAGACGATCTACTACCACATGAGGATTAGGAGAGAATACGGAAATGTAGTCACCGGGCTGGTAATGTACATCATTTTCCAAATCCAACTTGATTTCAATTACTCTCTTGATACTACCGAGTTCAACATTATCAAACTTTGTAAGATATCTGTGTTACAGTTAAAAAGGTAATGTTAAAATTTTAAAGAATAAGAAGAGTAAGTACAACAATAATATCTTACTTTGCACTTAATATTCTTGCTCTTTTATGATCACAGTTATTAAATGTATTTAAATTAGGTGTTGTTGTTGTTGTAGTTGTTTCATCTGATGTCGGTTTTGAAATGATTTGAACTTCATATTTTAAAGGATCATTTAATACACTGGTTGAAGCCACAGCAGATCGTCTTAACACAATCTTTTTCTTTGCAGGTGCAGGTGGCTGTACAGATGTAACCTCTTTATCTTTCTGTGTATCTATATCAGTCATCCTGTGCCTATACTATGTGTTTGTTCGATTCAGCACCCGAATTGCAATTATCATTATTTTTATATCAAAAAAAAATATAAAAAAAAATAAAAAGGTTCTTTATTTAGTTCTATAGAGCCTACAACAAAAAATTTGGTGTCATAGAAGATTAATATTGTAGAATTTATTCTCATATTATCACAGTAAATTATTGTTATAATTTTGAAATAAATTATGGTGGTTCAATAAATCTTCTGAAGATAAACATTTTTTTAAATGAGAATCATATTTTTAATTTTGTCAGTGTATATAATAGCAATCAACACTCTTTTATAACTTATCCCTAATATTATTTATTACTTATGAAGAAAATAGAATAAAATAAATAAATACCAATAGTTTGAATATTATAAAAATAGATTACAAAAAATTATTTATTAATAAATTTTTGATCATTATCACAATATTTATTTATTAATAAACTTTTGTAGATTATCAATATTTATTAATAATTTATTATTAACATCTTCATAAGTCCATTATCGCAACATCACAATCTAGTATGAACAATTAATGTTATTGATTGAACACTTAATTCGTATGAAAATAATATTCATTGTATTGTTCAAAAAGAGTATTATCGTTTTTGGTCAGGAAGAGCAAAGATGTTTATTTATCTCTATCAAAGAGTATGGATGTTAATCTCTTTATATATTAAAAATTGAATGAAAGAGCAATGACAATGAGATTTAATCTTAATATGTGTATACATATATAGGAATACCATTATTTTGTCAAAGGAATAGACAGGTGATTAACTTGTTATGAGAGGTTATTTTTATTATTCAATTTGAGAAGAGATCATTTCACTCATAGGATATAGAACTGATAAGGTTATTTTTGTCTATATTTGGTTATAGAAATAGTTCAAGATTCAAACCACTGTCCAATCAATTAAATCTATCGTTAATCAATCAGAAATGAATAAATAGATACTATATTGGGAAAAAAATCAATTTATTATGACTGATATAGACAGATTCAAAATATCTATTTCATAAATGATCGAGGTGTGAAAGATTTAACTGAACCAAACTATTACCAAAATGGTGGGTATAATTATTTGATCAATCTCCAACCGAATAAAACAACAAAAATCAAAATAACCCACTTTCTTCTTTTATCAAAAAATTGATATCTATACACATGCCTGTATCTCTCTCAAAATTGAGGATGATTCGACTGTTTTTTATACTAGATCTAAAATGTATGGACCATATCCATTTTAAATTAACATAGACTTTTATTTTTATGGAGAGATATAGATTATTATTTTGCTTGAATTGTAAGCGTCAAAGGACATTGATTTTACCAAAACGATACAACTAACGGTTGTTCTTATAATTATTGAAATCGTTGCAAGCACATGGGGATTGTTCGGAACTGACAGAACTTTTTTGGTTCGACAATTAAAACAACTAACTACAGTATAATTCCTAAAGGTTAGGGTTTACTCGTGTATCTGTAAAAGCAAGAGCTTATAACAAAGTAAAAGAAAAGAATTTAAAATAATACAACGCGATCACATAATGATCACATGATCTCATTAATAATGTTACCATTTATCTTAATCAAAAGATCAAGTTATTGGAATTTGATCACTAAACCATCGAAACAAAAAAAACTACCCAACAACCAAAGCACAATAAAACACAAATGTAATGGTTGATATCAAAACCTACAATGACGGTTGTTGTAACGATTAGGTTAAGGTACTTGAAAATGAATTACCCTTTTATAGAATAATCAATCGTTGGTGCAAACTCTATAGAGTGTACATGAGGTTGTTGTTATTCTAGAAATATTTGCCAAGAGATATGGTGTTATGGCTCATTCGATCAGCAAAGCACAAGGTTGTTGCTAGCCATTAGTGAAACATAACGATCAGGCACCGCTCCGCTTTCACGCTCCGGTACTAAAGAAACCAAAGTATGAATGTGCAACATTCTCTTTTCTTTCATGAAAAATAAAACAAAATACACTGTGTCATTATATCTAATAATTTATTATTACTTTGGATCGTTGGTTTATAAAAAATTGGAAAGATTTTTGAAACTAATAGTAAGATTAAAATTTTAAAAAAACTTGACACTCAACAAATCTAATCATAATAATGCACAATCAAACAAACACTTTAACACACACACACAGACTTATTATTTAAAGAAAATCTTTAGTTTATGATACGAAACATATGATCAATTATGTTGATGTGATTGAGCGAGATGGGTATGTAATTCTCATATATAATTTATTTTAATAGCACCAACAATCACACACTAAAGATTATCAAGTTATGACATAATTGATAATTCTGTCCAGCATTGGACACTCTAATATAACACACACTATCATCAGTATTGGTGTTTGAGTGCATGTGTTGTGTGGTGTGTGAAATGTGTGGTGTGTTTATATCATTCTGACTTAACAAACACACAAGTTTTTGTTCTTTATGTAGTAAAGAGAAAGTCTGTGTTTTTACAGCATAACTAATGACTATCTACAGGGTGTGGAATCGATTTTAAGTAATAAAGTGTTGTAAGGAAAAAGGGCAGGACTGATAGTGCTGATGATTGATATAATCAAATTAATAAATAATTGGATTCAATTTAATTTGTTTGTGATTGAACGATCGGCTAAAATATAGATAGTGAACTAATCCTTGTTTTTATGAATAAGTGCAGCAATAATATTATTGGTATTGATCAGGTGTTAGTTGTTTGTTGTTTTGGACAGACATAAAAATAAATTAATTACAAAAGTATTCATTCTACCTGGCATGCTCTCTTTCTACAACTATCATAACAACTTAAAGACAAACATGAATTCTCTTTCTCCCCAATACATAAACAAAAGAACACACAACCTTCCAAATCCATATCATTATCCAAATCCAAACAACACCAAACAAAAAAACTAAAAAAAGGTTTAGAAAATAATTAATTATTAAAAAGCAATTTGCTACATTTACATTTGTTTTTTTATTTATTTAGGTGTTGCCATATTGTTATTAATTGCTGAGAGAAAGGTTACCTAACCCGCCACACGCGCGCCGCTCACATGTGAGTGTCCTGTGCGTATTACCTCCCAAAATGAAAAACTATTACTAAGTTGGTGTAAATGCACAGTTGTCAAAAGCTATATAAATGGAATAATTGCGTCTGTTCCATTCGAATGGCTCCAATTCAAAGTGAAATATCTTATCTTGTTACAATAATAGAGGTAAGCTTACCTACTCCTCACCAGGTTTACCTGTAGTTTCTCTGCTTTTCTGAACCATGAAAAACTGCTTGCTCTTTCTTTTTATGACTGATAAAGCTATCTACTACTACCTTTCTCTTCGTTTGCAATTGTTATTATTATTGTTGTTGTTGTATTTATATATGTGTTCCACTTTCAATATGGTCCAACATATTTGAATGGCAAATGTCTGTTCAAATAGTATGGACATTTCAAATTTCAAATATAATAGACCACCCACCTCTTTCTTTATTAGTAAAGATTAATGAATTTATACGATTCTCTGTCTCATATTAATACCAAATTCACCACCAAACAATTAAATTTCAAACAATTATTTACTCTACTACCAAGATCTAATAGAAAGATATCTAACACAACCACATGACCACAACACTCACCTCCTCACACACCACCACCAACAACAACAACAACAACAACACTAAACACAACACGACAACAATTAACACATTAATTAATAAACACATGATAAAACTAAACACTTTCCAACATTGGCAATATATGATATCACTATTCAATAGTTGCATCCTCTATATTCTTAGTAATATAATATATGGTCATTTCCTTTCATATCCAATCCTTTTCACTGGATCACTCACACTACTACTACTTTTTCTTACTACTTTATATCAATTCCATTGTTCCAATTTTTAACAATTTTCATTAAAAATGTACAGTTTATTGAATTTTCACCATTTATTAGACGCAATCGTTCTATTCAAATATCTATAGATATATATCTAATCCATCAAATATTGCATCCAAATAATAACTCAATCTATGTATGTATCTAATTTTTTATCTCTATTGCTTCTGTAATTTTAATCTGTTGTTGCAGCTCTTTATGTTTTATCAATATGTGTGAAATCCAGCTGTAAATAATTTCAAAAAAAATATCATGACATCACTCCAATTTTTATACCATCCATCACCAAAACAATTAATTTTGTGAAATATCCAAACACTAAATTTAAGATTTTAGTTTAAAAAAACAATCGTAGTATCTTAGTATGTATGGATATCGACAATCATATCATATGTGATATACTATTAATCAATCAGTAGTAGTGTTAATTAATCAATATAATATGAATAGTAATATATGTGGTTTGTTTTATTATTTTTATATTTTTTGTGTCTCTACTGAAACTCTGGATATCAATCCAATCCATCAATAAATAATACAATAAATATATAATTTCATAAACACCGCGGTGGAACAAAATCGATAGCCATTGGATAGAGTGTTGTTTTTTATATGCCTCTCCATTAGCTTGTTAAAAGGTTTGCTTCATATGGTTTTGTTTCGGTCCTATAACCCGCTCCCTTTACCAAATATGGAGCATCATTGTTAATTTTTTTGGAGCTAGAATCAATTAAGGATGTTTCGTTTGTAAGGGGAATACATAAATTATAACTGTTTAGTCACTAGGAGTGAGGTATATACTCCCTTCCACCAAACAATAAAAATCTCTTAGGGTTTGTTGAAATAAATCTCTTAATCTGCACCTCCACCTTAATCGTTACCAAACATTTAAACCAACATCATATTTATTTTATTTGTTAAATATTGTTTCCAAATACAAACAAACAAACAGAATTCATTCATTATTAAATATCTCTAATCCCCAATAGCTTTCAACTATAGTTTTCGATCAGGTATGATTTTACACTTTATATTTATTTTTTAAAACAAATTTTTTTTATAATAATAATTTCACTACTATACCAAAATAATATTTATTTAATAATTTAAATCACTCTTTTTATTTTTAAAAGTAACGACAATAGTAACAATAATATTTAAAATAAACAAACCATCACCTCAATTTTTTTGTATGATAATTTTATTTTTTGCCAATAACAATTGCCAAAAATATCTTTAATATTAGTAGTGCAAACAGTATTGTATTACTATATAAATAATAAAATCAACTCACCACATCATCAACCACAAGTACTTATCAACCATCATTCAACACAAAAAAAATATTGATCATCAACCACCAACCACCACCACCACTCATTTAAATGGTAATAAAAAACTTAATCACTCGTCCTATATATATGTGTGTATGATATCATTCACCACCACATCTACTAGAAACATTGTTTAGTGTAAAAAATTTTCCATAAAAAATAATATTCAACTATACAAACCAATACCAAAAAAAACAAATTTATTAAAACAGCAGTGATCATTAGCAGCTACCTATTTTACACATGCTGGTATCACAATAATGAATTTGGCAATTATTAACCATTAATTAATGACCAACACAAAAATTAATTATAAAATCAGTTGTTTGAAAAAAAACTACTACTTTATATCGATTTTGAAATCTATCAAACGATCTGCACTAGATACAATCAAAAAAGTAGTGGAGGTTTAATTGCAGACATCACCTACACCTAAAAAAAAATCTCACACTCACGAAGTAACCAAAATCACTGCTCCTATATATGTCTAATTTATATTTTCAGTAAAGGGAATAAACCCTTTTACTAATTGTTTTTATGATTATATTAATTTTTTTTACCATATTACTATTTAATCACAAACTCATTTTATAATTAATACCATTTTAATTTTAAACCATCCTTTTTAAATAAACATATTGATTTTGGCATTATAGTTTTACCTAATGTCCAATTATTATTCAATTCAACAACTATTTCTAACACCAAAATCATTTATTATAATTTTAGTAAAATAGACACGAGATCAATTCACTAATTATAATAAAATTAGTAGGAATTGAAATAATAAGAAATATAGTTATCATTAAAATATATAGCTGTGTAGTAGACTGCCACATAAATTAATTAGTTATGGAATTAATTAAAGAATTATTTTTAGTTCAACAACCAGCCAACAATATAAATTTCAAATCATTTGACCAACACTATACAACCATGAATAACTACAATCAACTATATAAATCCTACGATCAGTTCGATGTCAACAATAGTCAAAATGAATGGATAGTGCCAACAACCATCTCGACACCTGGTTACATTAAAATTGAATATACATCGTCACTTCCAATATATTTAACCATCATTTTTTCAATTGTTATTTGTTGCATCTATAAGTATTTAAAGGCTGATCGTCAAATCATTCAATATGCCAATACATTCAAAGAGATTTTGGACCACACTCCAACTTTAATTTTGGTCGAAATTTGTTTTTCTGGTCGTCGTCTCGTCAAGACTTCCAATCCAGTGTTATCACGTCAATCACAAGATCAAATTCTCTCCTATGATCACCAACAACAATCCATCAACCAATCATCGATTGAATCGTTCTGCGAGCACTATGGTTTGGATGCCTTCAATTTGGAGCGTGTCCTCTCCACCAGCATGACCCGTGACTCCATTGTCAAGGGTAACAACTCACAGAAATACCGTTTCACCGGTACCTACGATTCAAACACCCAAACATTCAAGGGTGTTATTTTTGACATTAGCCAAGAAGAGTCGGAATTGAAACGTCTCAAATATATTTTGGCACACGATCCACTCACTGGATTGCAAAATCGCTATCGTTTGAACCAGAAAATTCAAAAATTTTGCTCAAAGAGCACCACCGACTTGTGTGCCGTCTTTTTCATCGATGTAAATAAATTCAAACAAATCAACGACACATACGGTCACGACTCTGGTGACTTGGTCTTGAAGCACCTCTCCGAGCGTCTCCAAGAATCACAAGGTAACGATACCCTGCCAATCCGTCTTTCTGGCGACGAGTTTCTCGTAGTCAAACGCGGTATCTCATCGATTGAAGATGCCAACCAATATATTGTCAACTACTTGAATGGAGTCGCCGCCGCTCCAGTCCAAGTCGCAACCGGTGTTTCCATCTACCTTTCACTCAGCTACGGTGGTGTTGTCTTCCAAAAATCCGAAACCGCACCACAATCGGTCGACCAAATCATCAAATCCGCCGATGAAAAGATGTATCAAATGAAACGTAGTGGTGCATCAGTTCAAAACGTCACATTGTACCGTCAAAACTAAACATATGTACTTTTCCACCAAACCTTAATATATAGATCTCCAGCTTTAAAATACAAAACAAAAAAAAACCAACCTGATAATAATAAGTTATCATATACCGATTTAAACTTTACAAATACTTTATTTCATAATAAAGCAATCGACTCAAACAAGGATTAATGTTATAATAAACATAATCCATTGTTGTTTTTACTTTTAATTTAAATTTCTTTTTTTTTTTTTTTTCAACTGATTGATCAATATATTTATTTCTTTTTTTTTAAAAAAAACAAAACAATCATTTTTTTTTATAGTGTAATAAATTAAACCACCCAAACAAATATGTGTTTAAAAATGATCAATATTATTTTTTTAATTCACATTATTAATTAAATAGTTTTGAATCACTTATCTATACAAGATAAAATTAATGATATAACAATCTTTTTATATTTATTTATTTTTTTATATTTGTTTTTTTTTATTTATATTTATTTAATAGAGATTAAAAACATCGATTATGAATATTTTTGGTGAATTATTTACATCAGTAGAAGCATCAGAACATCATGCAAAAGGTATTTATATTCTTGTAAACTAAATAAAACTTTAATATTTATTAAAAACAAAAACATATATTTATACTATTAAAGATATAGTTGAAAGTATATCAACAGAGACAATGTTACTATACTTTGTGTACAGAGTCATAATAAATATATTAATTTTTATAGTTGGATGGACAGCTGTAGCAGCACTTTTATTTTCAATAATATTCTTGGTGATGGCAATATCTGAAGTCTTGTTTTATATTTTTTCATGGTTATTCCCCAACAATCGATATCTTTTAAAGCATTCTATATTATATAAGCGGGCATGTCCACCTCAAGAATAGATCACCTGTATAAAATACCAAACAATTTAATCTATAATTAAAAATAGAATTTACTTTTTCTTTGCAAGTTACTATTAATAATTAAATTTTAAATAAATAATTAATCTTAAAATTAAACTGTTGCTTCAAAAGTTTTTATTTTATTAAGGAAGTTCCCAAACAAAATTGATGACTAATAAAAATTTCGAAGAAATTATAAAATAGTTTAATTATAAAAAAAAACACTGTGTTTTATCACAGTGATAAACATCAACAATCATGAAGCATGTACAACAAATGTTTGGAAGAATACAAGTTATTTTCGGACCGATGTTCTCTGGTAAGACCACTGAACTGATAAGACGTATCAAGCGATTCAACTTTGCCAATAAGAAGTGTCTACTCATCAAATACAGTAAAGATATCAGATACAATGGTGCTGAAACTGATATACTATATACACATGACAAGTATGCTGTTGTTTTATTTTATTTTTGATAAACATATACAAGTTATATTTATAGATATTGATTTATGATTATGATCGATTCTAGACAAAACTACACTGCATTACCATGTTCAAGACTCGAAGAGGTTAAACAACAAGCATTGGAATATGATGTAATCGGTGTAGACGAAGGTCAATTTGTAAGTAATTCTTTACTTTTTAAACTAGTTATATATTTAGATTAATGTAATCCTCAAGTTCCCAGATATCGTTTCATTCAGTGAAGATTTAGCAAACAATGGAAAGACTGTTATTGTGGCGGCATTGGATGGTACTTTCCAAAGGAAATCATTCCCAGCACTCGAATTAGTTCCCAAAGCAGAAGAAATAACAAAACTCTCAGCGATTTGTATGGTTTGCTATAGGGATGCACCATTCTCAAAGAGAATCGTACCCAACGAAGAGATTGAACTCATTGGTGGTGCCGATATGTATATCTCTGTATGTAGAGAATGTTACCATAAAGATACAAATGTAAATAATTTAAAATCAAGTAAATAAATATTCTTTTTTTTTTTTTTAAGTAATAATAATTCAATGTTTGATTGATTAAATATTTAAACTTTACAATGATGGTTACTATTGTTTATTGTGAATAGAGGTATTGGCATTGGTGCCAATTGCTGTCTTAACAATTGATGTTTATATATATTATGTTGAATCTGTTCAATGATAAGTCTACCACTTCCTGTGTCATTGCCAACCAGAATCAAATTCTCCAACGGGAATAGGTTTGTTGTTGTAGTGGTGGTGGTGATATCTACAGGGGTCATATATGCATCTGTATTTGTACTTGTTCCGTCGATACTTCTTTGTTGTTGGGTATCTACCAATAGTTTATTGATCTTTTTTAAACCTTCATCCAATATTTTGTTGTACGACAAGTTGAGTTGGATCGGTTGGACGCGGTGTCTTGATGTCAGCAGAGTGTGAATGATTTGATAACTACCCTCTGGTCCTATCCAATTGAACGATAGATCCAAGTGCTTCAACGTTTGATTGTACTTGAACAGTTCAACCAGGTAGACAACGCAGTCTTTTCCAATGTAGTTACCACTGATATTCAATGATTGTATCGAAGTATTGTAGATCATAGACATTAACAACAACTTGGCGCCTCCGTTGTTCAACTCATTGTTTGACAAGTCTAGATGCACAAGATTACATCGCACCGATAGGTATTTCGATAGGTATCTTACACCTGCCAATCCAATTGTATTACCCGATAGATTTAATTTTAATTTTGGTTTTGATTTTGTAGAGTTGAAATGTGAATTGTCTGATGATGATGATGTAATGAGTGGTTTTAATAACTTAATAGATAGATATGATAGATAATTATTGGAAAGATTAATAGTTGATAGATCGAAATAGTTGTAGTAATGTGAAAGTGGATTAACTAATGATTGTAGCGATGAACTATCTAAACCGAATGTTAATTGTATAGATTGTAATCGAGGTAGTTGACATTTCGATTGCTTTTGGTTATATAGAATCGAGCTTAACGATTCGATTTGTTTGTTTACATAGTCTCTATTTCTAAAACATCCTCCAATCGTTATTTTTAGAATGAGTGACTCTAATAGTTCTTTCCAAAGTTGGCAGACATTCCTCAACGAACAAAAACTTTTTAAACTATCAAGTGAAATGTTCGCTCCACCAGTTGATTCACCCAACAAATCCTGTAAGATTATTTCCAAAATTTCATTTGGTAATTTATTGATATCATTAATATAATTTAACATTTCTAAATAGATATAAAAATAATTTAATTTATTTATAATTTATATAGATATTATTTTTGTATTTAAAATATTAATTAAAAAAATGAATAAAATGACAATGATACTATTCTGATTGATTGATTGTGAATATTAATAGAGTATATCAGAAGAAAATTATTACTATTTTTATTATGTTTTAGTATTTATTTTTATTACATTGGTATTATTCAGTGTTATTGTTAATATTAGCTAATAATATTTTAATTTGAATTGGAAGAATGATGCTATTAAAGTTTGGTGTTAGGGTTGATTAGTGGTTGTGTGTTTTGGTAAATATATATTAAATATAGAGTGGTTGGCTATAAGTATATAGTACTATATATTAATTCTAATACATATAAATAAGTAGATGTACAAAGAACAAATTAAATTGTTAAAAAAAAAATATATTTAATCTAAAAATAGTTTAAATTTATAAATTAAAAATTTAATATAATAAACCCCCACAATCACCAATTCAATTTAAATAAAAAGATTTTACCTTTTTCAGTAATGTTGGAAAGCAAAAAAAAAAAAAAAAAAAGGAAATTGGTTAAAAAATAATAAAATAATAAGAGTTGTTGGATAAAAATTATGATAGTCGAGAACAAAAGTTGAACTTTTGTTGCTTGATTAAAAGGTCAGCAAGACAATTGTAAATCTGATCTATTATTCTCAAGTCATAATATTAGTTTATTTTATTTTGAATAAATATTTATTGATTCATATGTGTATGTGTGATTGATTGTCAATCAGTTGAAAGATATGTTTGTTTATTTGGCTCCAATGACATCTTGTCTTGTTGTTCTTTTTGCTTTTTGTTTGTTTTACAAAAGGGGGGGATGCTAATGGATTTTATTTTAAATCTAATCTAAATATTATTTTATAGATTGATTCAATTCGATTCGATTCGATTTCGATTAGATTTAAAATATTATTGTTAAATCTATTATTATTATTATTGTTGTTGTTGTTGTTGTTGTTACTGTAAATCTATATTATTTATTATTTATTAACACTACTCTATTTAGACTTGCCAAATAATGAAGAACCTCTCTTTGACTTTACAGTTAATGATCCGTAGATCTTGTTAAGTGTTGATCTGATCTCTTTGAATTTAGGTCTCTTCTTGGCCTTGTCGACCCAACATGCCTTTATAAGCTTGGCATACTCAGAGGGACAGTCAGCGGGCACCACTGGACGTTCACCTTTGCAAACCATCACTGGAATCGACCAACTGTTGACACCATCGTATGGATCTCTGCGACAAAAGATCTCCCAAAGTACGATACCGAACGAGTAGACATCACACGACTCTGTATATGGTTCATTTCTAAAAACTTCTGGTGCCATCCAACAACTGGTACCCAAATTCAATGTCATCTGCTTTGACAGATCCAAAGATCTACTCGTACCGAAATCAATGACTTTACCTCTCATATCATCTGTAATTAAAACATTTCCACTGTATTGTTGTTTTAAAAAATAAGAAAATATTAATAACCAAGCTACTAGTAAAATAATTATAATAATAATAAAAACATACCTCTTTAGATCTCTATGAATTACACCTAATGAATGTAAATACTCCATACCATTAGCAACATCTAAAGCTATTGAAACTTGTTGAGCGTAGGTCAAAGATATCTCTTTGTTCAACAGTATATCTCTCAAACAACCACCTTTGATCAGCTCACTAACATGAAATAGATAATTGCTCTTCTCTGTATTTGCACCATAAAACTCTGTAAAACACTCGTGATCTACCAAACTATTAAATAATAAACAATTTATAAAGAAAGATTAGTTGTTGTTGTTGTTTGTAAATTAAGAAATTATTAAGCAACAACATTCAACTTACCTCATAATTGAAACTTCTCTATCGAATTCCTCTCTACTGAAACAAATGTTGTCAGCGCTGTAAACTTTGATCGCTACATCTTTACCTTTGTATAGACCTTTGTGAACTTTACCAGATGCACCGGATGCAATAACTTCACCCAGTGTAATGTCGGTACTCTTTATTTCATTGTGTACTCTGATCTTGTTTCTCATTACGTTGGTCAAGATATCTTCGAATGACTGTGTTCTAAGTAGTTCAGGTAGAGTCTTTCCATTGATCAAAGGTACGAATTTTTCAATCTGTACTTCCGGTGGTGACATTGGAATTGGTTGTATGGTTGGCGATGATTGTTGTACTGGTCTGGACACTGAGCTATCCGTGGAAATCTGACGACGATGTAAAGCAGGTGAATTATTAGCACTGGTGGTTGGTGATGATGTTGTTGTTGTTGTTGGATTGATTAATATACCCTCACTACCATTGAGTGAAAGTTGTGATATTTGGTGAGTCAAGTTGGGATTGGAGTTGTTGACAACGTAGATGGTGGTGTTTGGTGGTAGTTGAGAAAGCACGATGTTAGTGCCTGGAACTTCGATAGAGTTTCTTCCAGTTCCATTCTGAAGATCGAGTGATTGACGATTATTATTATTATTATTATGTACAAGTGGATGGCTATTGCCGTTGATCAGTGGTATCACTGGTGATGGTGGTGTGTTGGTTCGAGAGAGTGGCGGTGTGACCGGCGAAGCAGATGCACTGATTGAAATGTTTGGAATGGGTGTTGTTTGTGGTCTTGGTTGCACTGCTGTTGGTGTTGGTGATGGTGTAGACGATGCTGACTTTGGTTGAGAATCACAGGAATCACAAACAAAACTACCATGTATATAGAAGAATCCTCCTTTTATAATTGTATTACACTATTTATTTGATATTTTTTATATTAATAACTAATTATATAATTAAACATCTAAAAAATACTTACAGTTGAACATATAAAACATTCTGGATGAAATATTTTACTACGAGCATTTACTATTGTGCTTTGAATGGGTAATGTGCAGTGATCGCATTTCTTGGCATAGAGAGCGACTTCACATGGATCACAATATAGTTTACCATCCTTGTAGAAAAATGATTCTAAAGCAGTGTTACAATTTGAACAAACGAAACACTCCTCGTGGAACAACTTTCCCTTGGCTCTGATTCTAGAGGATTTAATCACTCCACCACAAACGTCACATGGATCTGACATCTGTTTATATTATTATGATTATTATATGATGATCTGTCGACCTAAAATCTCTGTTGATATATTAATCTAATATCAAATAGATAAAATATTTAGAATGTGCTGTGTTGTATACTAGTATTTGATGTTAAATAATAGAGTGTAAACTATCTATATTTTGATGTTAAAATGATTTTGTATTAGTTTAGTTCATGTAAATAATAAAAAAAAAGAATAGATAATAAACAAAACAAAAAAAATAAAATAAAATAAATAATGGCTAGATTGAATTTGGTTGACTGAATAAGGTGGCTGTTTGCGAGTAGATCGGCATCGCTCCTTTTCGATTTGACTGTATCAGATAAAGTGTGAATGGTGACTTTTTTTTTGGTTTTTTTTAGTTTTTTTTGATTGTTTGGTGTGTGATTTTTTTGATTTACACCAAATTTCATTGGCAGACAGGTTGATTATCTGTTTATTTTATCTTGTGCTAATAAATGTGATGTCACATTTGAATTATTATTGGTTTGTTATTAATAGATATATATGTTGTTGCTGTTGTTAATATTGTTTGTAACATTTTACAAACAAGTATAATTTGATTTTACGCATTTCGAAAAATGCAATCAAATTTGATTGTTTCAATTTAATGTTTATTTGAATGTTGAATTGGAAATGTCTCGACAGTTTATTATTGTGGATTGGATATATTCACGACATTTTTATTGATTTTATTGCAAATTTAAAATAGGAATTAACTGTTGTTTCAAAAAATAGTGTAAAAATCAACTACTAATAATATTATTATCTAATTAAATTGTTATTATCAATACCTTTTATTATTTCTCTATTTCCAATTTTTGTTTAGCTATATATTAATGAAATTCTTGTTTAAGAAAAATAATAATAATAGATCAATAACAGTCAAAAGTTAACTTTCTTTTTTTTTCACAAATCAAATTTTGTGCCAGACAAAAAAAAATAAATTCATAAAATAAAAATAAAATAGTTAGAGGTGTGCACAAAGGGGTATGTCAACAATTCAAAGTATAATATTCATAAAAAATTCATACAATTTATTTTTAATTTTTGATCAGAAAGTGAAAAAGGTGATCGCTGATGTTAGGGTGCACCCCAACATTGCACAAATTGCAAATACAATGAAAAGTTGTTGTTGATTTTTGAAACCGATCGATAATCTCTGCTCTAATTAAATACACAATTTTTTTCCAACACGCGCAAGTCACCAAAACACACATGCCCGCAACACAGGTTTTTTAGCCTTTCAAAAACTAAAAGATTTTTGTGATCTTCCATCAATCACTCTTTATGCTTTTTTTTATTTTTGCTCATTTTATTATTATTTTTATTTTTTTCATCATTATTTATTATTTGGCTCTTTAAAATTGATTACAACCAAATTCTGATTGTTCCGTCAACAGATCTGTAATATAAAATAAAGAGAGCGATGAGGTGTTAGATAAGGATCTAAAAAAATATTGGTGTTTTTTTTTGACAAAACTACATACCCTGAAGCAAAAGATTCACCATCTGGAGAGTAACGACAACAATTTACAGGACCATGATGACCTTTGTTAACTTCGATTTCATTTCCAGTATTAAAATCGTAAACGTGAACCCAAAAATCACTTCCACCTGCAATAAATCTAGAATTGTCTGGATGTAAAGATGCACATATAACTTCGAACGGCAGTGAATAAACCTTGACTGGGTGGAAGCTGTGGCGATGATGATGATAATAATAATAAATAGGTAAGAATTTGAATCAAATTGATTAGCGATCGAATTGATCAATACATACTTTTGAGCATTCCAAAAAGTAACTTCATTACCAGCGGTGGTAACCAAATATTGTTTATCTTTGCTAAACTCCATTGAGGAGATTGGTGCCTTTGCGCATAGTGCCATCTGAGTACCGGAACGTAAATCCATGATTCTGATGACTTCATCGTTACCACCACTCAGAATGACATCATCGTTGTAAACACTCCACATGGCTGTTTTGATCATTGATTGGTGACCTGGAATCTGAGCCAAAGGTACGTTTGGTTTCTCTAAATCGTATATTCTCAATATCTTTTCTGCACCACCAGTAACAATTCTATTATTAAATCTTGAGAAATCTGCTGTTTTTACAATTGATTGATGTTCCAACGATAATAATTCACCTCCATTAAGTGTATCCCATAGTTTACTATATAATTGTTTGTTATTGTTTTTATTGATTAGTTGGTTAGTTAGTTAGTTAGATCATCATCATCATCATCATCATCATTTAGGTAGGTGATGTGTAACATACACAGTGTAATCTGCAGATGCAGTTAATGCTTGAGTTGCGTTTGAGTTGAACCTAGATGACCATACAGCACCCTTGTGTCCTTCGAATGTACCAATCCAATCACCGTTGTTTCCGTCTCTCAGCATTGGTTTACCATCTAAACATGCCGATACTATATAACATCCATCTGCACTTTCGTTACTGTAAGCTAAATCCGATACTGGTCTCGAGTGACCTGAACAAATCAATGGTTGTTTCATCGTATTATATTATTATTATATGTATATATATATATATTTACTGACTATTATTACTAACAACAAATACTTTTATTTATTAATTTTTAAAAGAGTTTGTCTCTGTATTTATGTGTGGTGTGTGTATGTGTGTGTGATTAGGATTCTGATTGTGATATTTATATTGTTAGATAGTTTACTAATAAATAAATATTATTACTTTTAAAATGATTTAAAAGTATTGATTGCAATGCTAATTAATAAAAAATAAAAATAATTTGTTTTGTTTGGTTTGATTTGGTTTGGTTTTGTCTTGTTTTGTTTATTTGGTTGATATGATTGATTTGGTTTGATAGAGTGACTGATAAACAGTTAAATAGTTGGTTTGATTTGATTGGGTGAGTGTTTGATTGATTGTTTAAATGATCAAGTATAAAAATAGAAAAGAAATCGATTTACAAGATTATATGTTAAATATATATGTGTATAGTTTGGTGATTATAAAAAGAAATAAATGATAGTAATCGTATTTAGAAAAAAATAAAAATAAATAAAAAAGTAAAAAAATTAAATTTTCTAAATTTTAGTTGCAAAAAAAAATTATTATTATTAATAAATCAATCAATTAATTGAATAATTGATTATGATGATGATGTAACACTTATCAACCAACTTTATAAATGGTTAGATGTATATTGTTATTATTGTTATTATTATTATTATTATTATTATTATTATGATTTATCTTTATTAGTGATTAGTTATTATTTATTTTATTTATTGTTTATTATTTGTTATTATTAATAAGTTTATATCTCTAGATAAAGATAAAGATCGATCACAACTGTGAATGACACAACAGATTTAATTATTAATACCCATTACAATTTGATTAAATTTTTATTTTTTTATTTTTTATTTTTTTTTGCTTTTATCTTTTTTAAGAATTCCGGAATGTGAGTAATTTTTGGTGTTTTCTAGAACTCTGTTTCAAAGGATTGACAAAACTTTGTTTGGTTTAGTTTAGTGATTCAATCATCATCTGATGATGTATAATGAGATTGTATTGAGTTGGATCGACCAAATTAATATTGCTTTGAGCACTTATTATATTTATTTATTTATTTATTTATTTATTTATTTATTAGTTGGAATAGGTGGAAAGTCTAAATCAATATCTAAAACGTCTAGTTGTAGTATATCGGCTTCAGTGTTTAGTAGAGATCCTAGGTTGGGCGTAGTTCTACCGAGATCACCGTGAACGAATTCTTTGATGTAGGTTCCTGCCGATGCCCAGATGTCTAGCACCATAAAGTGAGGCGTGATCAACTTGAACTTCAATTTCGAAATGGTCTTCTTTCTTTCCATCAGTGAACGACGATGCATCACTCTGACAGGTGTATTTTGCTTCAACGTTAGACTGCCAACAGAATCCAAAGCAGCGTGCAACTCTGACTCACTGAATTCCTTTGCAGTCCACACAGTACATCGATAGATCTTTTGTTTCGATGTTTCACCATCCTTTAATATCGATGTTTGTTTCCTTGATTATTATTATTATAAACATTAAATTAGTGAGAATTTCAATAGAAAACCGACCGATATACCAAACTTACTTTGTAATAACTTGTAATCTTGATACTCTAATATCTTGATTTTCATTGATCTTATTCTCAATCTCTCTGAAATCATTATATTTCATAAATATTCTATGTGGATTGGTTATCTCCAAGAAGAAAGGTCTACCTTCTCCAAGCATTCTTACGTCGATATCCTCACGACCTGATGCAACAAAGTTGGTAGCTAAGTTTTTATAAAAGAATAAATAAAAAGAAATGAATGAGAATCTAGTTTTAAATATTTATTAGGTAGATGATACTTACCATCTGCTTTACATAGATCTTTAATTGGTTGACTAATGAATAGATCGACACTATCGATTTCAGAGTCGGGTGTTGCAGCGGCACCTTTCAATGTCCAAGGTGTTTGACTGAGATTTCTGGCGTACTTATTGTAACGACCGGCAATAAAGATCGGTGCATGCTCAAATGAGAGTGTATAGTCAAATTTGGTGGTCGGACGACTTGGTGGACATGTTCCATTCATTATGAAGTCTTTCATTGTCAGCTTGTCCAAGACATCCATGATCTGATAACTAGAGTCAGCAGCACTTCTCTTGTTCTTCTTTTGTTGTTTCAACTTCTTTCTGTCCGGTAGCTTTATATCAAAGAGGAAGAGATGCTCATCTTTAGATTCTTCATGACCATAGTTCATATTCATTCTAAAGTCACTCTACAAATAAATAAATAGGTTATTAAGATGATGTTAATATTGTCTAATAATAATAATAATAATAATAATAATGTAAATTCTATAGAAAGTATAGTAAAAAAGCTATCTATATAGATATATATATATATATATATAAAGACATACAGATGGTTTAAAATTTAAAGTTAAACTTTCTACAAATTATTGGACCAAGTACCCATTTAACAGCTTCTTTGATTTCAACGACGTTGTCTTCAGGTGATTCGTGTTTGAATATCTGTGTTTTACTTGTATCATCATGATGCTGCTTCAGGTGGTACCACACGGAAAACTCTCTAATGATCGTTGAGTAAGGTACCCACAACTGCAATGAATAGTCTACAAATTCATAACCACACTTTGAAACATTCTCCAACAACTTATCAAGGAACTCTGAATCATTGGTATTTTGTAACATTCCAAAGCATGTTACACAAACTAACAACACAAGGTAAATCAAATAAATATTAATAATTATTATTGTTATTAATATTCAAAGTATTGTTATTAATTGTGATTCTTACTATTATTTAAATTTGTTAAATTTGCTAAACTATTATAGTCATATTGGAATTTAATAGGTTTAACATCTTTAACTTCTATTGTTGTATTACTATTACTATTGTTATTATTACTAGTTTCAGTATTATCTTCTGCTTTAATTTTAGCTTGTACTTGTTCTTGTTCTTGTTGTTGTTGTTTTAGTTTTGATTGTTCATTATTAAAGTTTGTAATTTCTATTATATAGTTTATTAAGTGATCAAGTGTATTTGATGGTTCTTGATATAGTCCAATCTCTCTTATGTTAAAGAATCTTAGACAACATCTTGAACATACACTGATATTGCATAACTCAACTAATGCAGGTTGATAAAAATACTTGTTGGTTCTACTATAGAGTGATTCAACTTTCCAAATCAAGTTTCTTCTTTCTACATCATTTGTACTACTACTACTACTACTACTATTATTAGTTGTAGTTGTCATATCTTATTATTCATTAATTTTGTCGACAACCAGTAAATCAATTTTTTTTTTTTTGAAAAGAACGAATGGTTTTCTCATTAAAAATAAAAATCTGTCATAAGTTTTGAGAGAAAATAAAAGAAAGATCATAATATCTTGATTTATTAAACTCAAAGGTTTAATAATCAATCTATTAATAGTCATCAAATGAAATTGGTTTAATAAAAAGTACAGAAAATGTAAATTTATGTATATGTAATTAATTAATTAATTTTGTTTAGTTATTCTTTTTGTTAATTGTTTGTTGTTTAGATTTTGGTGATTTGTTGTTGTTGTTGTTGCTGTTTCTATGATGATGGTTATTCGTACTACTCTTGTCATCTTGGAGGTGTGATGGTGTCTTTTCATTCTCTTCCTCTTCTTCACTGTCACTTCTGATGTCGTCTACCTTGTTTCCTTTGATAAGCTTGGAATATACGATTCTCAAGATCAAGTAGAACCAGAACATGTGCAATATCAACAGCAACAGGAGTGCCACATTCGTCGGATAAAACAATGGGAAACTTGTTGAAACAAAGAATGCTTCGAATCTATAATAGCAACAAATAAATAATAATAATAATAATAATAATAATAATAATAATAATAATAATAATAATAATAATTTGTTAGTAAGTGTATAGATATATTAAATGTAAATAACATGATGATTTCTCTATATAGACACATACAATGTTGTTCTAATTAAGACACCTGGTAAGAACATGAGTCTCATAATGAGGAAAGTGACGGCAAACATGACAAATAGAAATTCGGCTAAAATGTAGAGTGCTTGGTCCTTTGTCTCCTTCTGAATGTAGTTGAGTGCCTTTGCGCTGTATAAAAAGATGTCGCTGACATTGTGGATCCAAAGAATAGCAATACCGATACGGTGATAACGATACCAGTACGATGCTCCCACCAAGAAAAAGGTTGCAATGTGATGTGTCAGCATTTGATAGAAATCCTTTCTTCTGGTTTCAAAGAAGAGTGCAATAGTACAATGAAGATAGAAGGATAATTCTAATAAGTAATATGTTCTGAATAATGTTCTATAGAAATTGAAATAACAACACTAGTGTTAGTTAATTGTATATTTGAAATAGTTAAAAAAACAAACAAACAAACAAGTTATTAATAACACTTACGAAAAAGGTTGAATTGGCCAACCTAACCAGATATTCATTGTTGGGAATATTGACCATGATTCTTGGCTATATACGTAAGATCCAAATAAAAAGAAGGTAATATAATAGAGTGAGTACCATCCATTCTCAAGGAATCTGGGTACGAATGATTTTCGAATTGAATATGATATTGCTATTGGCTATTATAATAAAAGGAATAAACATGATGATTGTTAATAAAACATATGGGTTTGATGGGTAGGTTGATAGATGATGATCTCTGACAATACCTTTAAAATATAATGTTGGTAAAAGAATCTAATTAAAAAGAATAAATTGGTTGCCAGAAATAAGAATAATATAGCATTGAGTTCCGACACTAGTTTACGCATCGAAACAAAGATTGAGTTGTCTGGGTTGTAGTACCTCTCGTACTCGAGCTCCGATATTCCATTTACATCCATCAACATTTTTACTGATTTTATCTGTGTATCTCTATATATATATATATATATATTAGTTTTCTATCTACCTTTATCTAATTTGTATGTGTGATATATATATATATATTTCTCTCTATATATTTACTTTCACTTTTTTTTTTGTTTTAGTCTTTTTTATTTTTCTTTGTTGGTAAAAAATAAAAAACTATTACTACTTTTTTTATTAATACTACTTATATATAATGATAGTTATATAAATAGGAATGAAATTAATGTTAGTTATGATAAATTGATAACTTTAGAGTTGACAAAGAGTTGAAACAAACAAAAACAATCGAACAATCAGACAAATAATAATTAAAATAATCAATTTTCAATGTGTTGTTGTTGTAGGTGAGTTGTTTTTAGTTTGAATGTATGATGTCAATGTAAGGATACTGGAGTTGACAAGACTTCTGTGCAGTCAAAGTCAGTAAGAGAGATGCTTTGTTCTAAAAATAAAAATAAAAATAAAAAATGAAAAAATAAAAATGAAAAAATAAAAATAAAAATAAAAATAAAAAAAGTATAACACTCGAGTGAGTTGTTTTGCTCTTCAGATGAAGTTTTTTTTTTTTTTTTTTTGTTGATTGGTTGTCTCTGATTAGATTATTTTTAAAATAAAAACTATAAATATCTTTGTTACTTTTTTTTGTTTTTTACTTTATGAGATCTGTTCCAAGTATTATTTATTTCTGATATGAATTGAATTCAAGAGGACCAAAAAACTAATGAGTGGAAAAAAAAATATAATATTGTTGTGATTACAAAAAAATTTGATAAGTTTTTGGTTTTGTTTTTTTTTTGACACACAAAAAATTAAAAAATGAAATTAAAAAATGTCAAAAAAATTTGTATCGGTGAATCAATCAATCGATAGGCAAGTTGGTTTTTAAAAAGTAATCGCAAGGGTCATATGATGAGACAATGGTGGTGTTTTTTTAAACTTGTTCAAAACACCTGAATAGGAATTAACATTTTTAAAATAATTGCAATTTTTTTTGCAAAATGCTCCCTGTTCGAAAAAATTCAAAAATATCTTTAACTCTGTTGTGTTTTGATGATTATTGTTTTCTTATTTTTCCAAGGTGTCGAGACCTGTTGTATAATATATTATATTATTTTTTAATCTGGGAAAACCGACTGTACAAACAATTGCTGAACACAATAAAGTGTAAAGATGTTTAATGTTTGTGTCTAGATATGATAGATTTAATAAGATATATTGGTTATAGCATGAAGTTGAAGAAAGAACATTGTTTGCAAAAGAGAGAAATAGATAGAGTAAAGATTATGTTGTTCTAATACCAAAAATTTTACAATTAATTTATTTGTGTTATATATAGGTGACTTGACTAGGTTATTATTACTGCTTTTGTTATTAGTTGTTGTTGTTGTAGTTATTTTCTTTTTACGTATTGCTATATATACTGGTATTGCTATCAAGTTACTGATAAATATTGTTTTCATCTATCTCTTCTATTAATAATTAACTCTACTTTTGAAAGGATTTCATTGGCGAGAGTTATGTATCGATAAGTTATTATTATTATTATTATTATTATTAATTCCACTCAGTTTATTAGCTATGTATTAATTTAAAGTCGAATTCTATAAAGTTATTAAAAATTATTTTGTTTTACAATATTATTTATTATTTATTTGGAAATTGGATTGAATTTTCAATATTCTAGTTTATTTTATTTTTTATGATGATGAAAAGAGGAAATAAATAATGAAATTAATGACATTTAATATTGATATCGATAATATGAAAGATAATAAGATCCAACATCATATTAAATTTGATTTGATTTTTTTTTTTTTTTGGAGTGGTAGAGATATATAAATAGTTAAATTGGATAATAGTTGTGTTTGCATCATCTTCATTTGTGTTTTTTTTTTAACTCGTGTGTGTCATGATTTTCTTGTTCAGACAAAAAAAAAAAGTTGGGTGTAGAGTTTGGTGTATACTCGTTTTCAATATCTGGACCATAAAAAAACAAACAGAATCTATGTCTTTTCTTATTATTATCAATTAAATATTGAAAAAAAAAGAAAAGGATATATAAAATTCACCTACCTTTTTTTTATAAAAAAAAAATGTATTTAAATTTTTAGAATATATTTTAAGTACTTTATAATATTTTTTTATATCTACTAATATTTTTTAATTTTCAAAAAGTTAAAATATATAATAATATTATAATTAATTTTATTACAAAAATTGTTTTATTTATATATATAAATATTTAAAGGTTTCATAAAGCCATGATGAATTGAAGCTTACTTCTTAAATAGTTTGAGTAAATTTGGGAGAAACAGAGATCTATGTACTTTGTTGCAACAATTTCCAAAAATGGCAAAAAAGTTATATCCAAAAAATTAATAATAAAAAAAACTCATTTCTTTTGAGGTCTTGTTGTTTTTAGGGTCCTCTTAAATTAAGCCTATCCCAATCCAATATGGTGGGGTTCTTTCAATAAACAATGTTACTGTTTTTTTTCTTACTTTTTATAGATTATATAAATTTTAAAATTAATGTAGATATATAAAATTCGTCATATTTTTCGTTTTTGTATGGGGAATAAACAGTAACATTGTAATATGAAGTGATCAATTTCAATTAAATATTAAAATAATTCCCAAAAAGGGAATTTTGACTACCCAAGCTAAATGACATTTGTCTTTAGAATTTCCAACTTTAAAAATAATAAATGTTTTAACTTAATTAATTTTTTTTTTTTTTTGTTAACATAAAAATGAAATTCAAATCAAATTTGTTTTTTCTATAAAAAATTTTGTTTTTTCTAATTTTATTGAGTGAGTTAGCTAATATTAGATTACTTATGTTATCGTCAACTAATAGATTAATAAAAGTTAATAGTAAAATATCAAGTTTATCAACTACATGTATAAACGCAACAAGATGTAATAGTAGACTAAACTATTGCTCATCAAATAAGAATAATAGTAGCAATATTAATAATGCTAATAATATATTTCGATCATCGCAACCAAAAGAGTTAACATTTTCAGTTGATAGAAGTGGTTTAAAGAGATTCCCTTCGTCTGTACATAGTAAGTTTCAGTTCACTCTGCATAACTATCAAAAAAAACAATAGTTCTTTTTTTCAAGGTTATCTAATCAAAATGGTTGTTGGTTTGGATTCGATTAGCAAATGAAAAGAAATATCCAATTACAGAGTTTGAAAAATATCTACAAACTAGTGCACAGATTAGAGGACCTTTCCCAGTGGATACATTGATCAAAGAGTGTCTAACCAATCCGAAATACGGTTACTATATGAACAAAGATGTGTTTGGTTCCGGCGGTGATTTCATTACTGCACCAGAGATTTCACAGCTATTCGGTGAGATGATTGGAATTTGGTGTGTTGCCACTTGGGAATCCATGGGAATGCCTTCAAAGTTGAACATCGTTGAGTTGGGTCCTGGTCGTGGTACTCTAATGCATGATATTCTAAGAGTAACTATTCTCTTTTCTCTATTCTTTTTTTTATTTTTAAGCAACTTTATTAATCACATTATTTATATTAGTCAACTAAAGTATTTAAAGATTTCTATAAAGCAATAAGTTGTCATATGGTCGAGGTAAGTCCTCATCTGAGAGGAATGCAAAAGACAAAACTATTATATTTCAAAGACGACAAGGAAGGTGCAACCACTGGAAAGACACCGGAGGGAGTACAGGTTTCATGGTACGATAACATCGATCAAGTTCCAAACAAAGTACCGACATTATATATTGCACAGGAATTCTTTGATGCGCTGCCAATTAACGTATTCAAATTCTCAAAGGCAAAGGGCTGGTGTGAAGTGTTGGTCGATGAAGACATCTCAAAGGACGGACCATATCATTTGAGATTCGTCATGTCGTCAGGTCCGACCTTGATGACCAACGCCATTCAATATCTGCTTCCAGAGTTTGGTGTCGAAGACTTTACTGTGGAACTGGGTGTTGCAGGACTTGGAATTGCACAAAAGATTGCATTGAGAATACAAGAGAACTCTGGTGCTGCACTTATCATCGATTATGGACAGGACAAACAAGTACAGACATCACTACAGGCCATTAGAAACCACGAGTTTGTCGATATCCTAGACAAACCAGGTTCTGCCGATCTTAGTTCATGGGTTGATTTCTCATCCATTAGAAAATGTGTTAAGCATCTAAGTAAGTAAAGAGACAGGTTGAATCGTTATCGGTCAATCGACTATCTAACTAACAACAATTGTAAATTGAAATTCTTATAGAAAAAAATGTTTCAGCAATAGGACCAGTCGATCAAGGTATATTCTTGAAAGAAATGGGTATTGAGCATAGAATCGAAAGAATAGCAAAGAAAATAACAGATGAATCAAAGGTAGAGGATTTAGTAAAGTCATATCACAAGTTGGTTAGTCCAGATGAAATGGGTTCAACCTACAAAGTAATTACTATCATTGACAAGAAATTGACACCAATCGGTTTCTCAACATCAAAAGTATATGAAGATGAGGATTTAATGTTAAACTAAGAAGTTAGTTAATAATAGTAATCAAATATAATAAAAGATATATATTTTGGATAAATCGATATCCTTAATTTAATTTATATACATATAAATCATAATAAATGTTATAATTTATTATTCTTTATTCAATATTTATTTATTTAAATGTAAATCCTGCATATGATCTTTTAAGAATAGAAATCCTATAGTTATTGTATAGTAGTTTGGTTTGTTAGAATTGTGTTCTTTGTGGTTGGTTATTCAATGATATTTACGTTAAAACCTGGAGGTGGCATTTCATCACCATATCCACCTTGACGACCGGATGGCTTCGAACCTGGTGGACCGAATGGATCGAATCTAGCTCCTGGTGGCACTGCACCTCTGGGCAATCTTTCACCAAATGGCAGTCCGCTACTGTCATCACCGTGCGGGAAATGAACTCTACCGAATCCTGGGTGATTTGGTCCAATGCTAGTACCGGCGCCAGGGAAGTTGGGACGGAATGAACCACCACCCACCATGTTTGGAAGATTTGGTAGACCAGTTGGGTAGAGGTCAGAGTCGCCTGTGCTAAATTGAGGTCTTCCACCTCCCAATGGATATCCTCCAATGCCACCGCCACCAACCGGTGAAACCATCGGTGGTGGATTATGCGATTGGGGTGGGTGATCCATATGTGTTGATGAGTGCTCTTGCTCTGGATGTCTTCTCGATTGTGACGACGAAGCGGAATGTGACGATTCCTTCAGTGGTGAATCTGGTGCTACGTTGACCAAAATCGAAGTCTCATATAATGCTAAAAGCTGATCTAAATGTTTGAATGCATCCTTATAGTTTGCCATTAGTTTGAACGATGGATTAACAAGTTGTGTAATACTAAAATTGATTTATTTTTTAGTAAGTTAATGCATAGAAGTTATAAAAATATAAAACTTACTCAATATCTAATGTATATATTTTAGCTGGACTATGGTGTTGCATTGCGTTAACAAGTAGAGTATGTCCGATTCTAAGACACTTCAAGACGAATGTGACAGCAGGATCTTTGTTATTTTTGTAGACCAATGTGAATGCATCCTTGTTAGCATTCCAACCTGCTGGTGGCTTGTTGTTGGAATCATTCTTATTCGTATCCTTTGCACTCTCTTCGATTCCAATGCAGGACCAACCACTCTCTACAGTAGCAAGATGCAACAAATAGACAGTGAGATCAAATTCATCTTTCAAACCACTGACAGTTCCATCTCCACCCTGATTCAAAATATTTATAATTTTATCTTTATATTCCATTTTTTTGTTTTTAAAAACTACTAATTCTATCTATTTAATAATAATAAAATAAAATGAACAAAATAAATTTAATTAAAAAAATTGGACAATGAAGTTGAAAAATTTAAATTAAATAAAAATGTTACCTTCAAAAGAAAAAAAAAACACCACTTAAGATTATTTTATCTTATATTATCTAGATAATTCAGATGTTGTTTCTTATTGTTTACTCACTTATATAATGTTGGTGGTGAGGTGTTATCAGTTGAAATGATATAAAGCTGAATAAAAGTGTTTTAATAAGGTTTGTTACAATGAAAAAGAAACCTGTAATAACTATGAGAATTATCAAATAAATATCCATATATGTATAAAAATATATTTATATTTCTAAAAATAAAATAAACAAAACAAAAAATATTAATTTATTTATAATAGTATAAAGGTCGACATGTCAACAAAATATATTAAAATAATGTAATTTATATATATGGACATGATTTTTAAAAATAATAAATACAAAAAAAGCCAAATTTGGATCTGAAAAAAAAAAAAAAAAAATCAAAGTTTAAAAAAATTTTTTTATTTGTTTTATTATCTGTAGTTTAAATTTCATGGTCTTTCTTCAAACAGTTCTTTGATATTATTATTTGATTATTTAAATAAATTTAATATTAAACTTAAATAATGTTTTGTTTTTTTTTTTTTATTTATTTAATCAAAAAAAAAAATTAAATAATCCGAGTTCAATGCAACCGATCTAAAAAAAAAAAGTTCAAATAATGAGGTATTTTTATCAGGGTGCTAAACAACAGCTTAAGATGTTAAAAAAAATTATGATGTCAAAAATCAAATTTAAAAAAAAAATAAAAAACTAAAACAAGAGTGTGATTCACTCTTTTATTAGGTTATATAGTGGTGATAGAATAATGAATCAACTCTAGTTCTGAGGTGTGACTTTGACAAACATTTAGAATGAAAGGGTAATATCAAGTCGAATTATAATGTAGCATAATGATTGCCACTCACAACATTCAACAGAGTTTATTAATAACCTTTGGCTGGGTAGACTTAGAAGTCAAACATGAATGTGTACACTTCAGTGAATCGAAGCATCAGTATGTATAATTTAATAGATTTCACTATTCACCCACCTGAAGACTATCTAAAAATATTTCATATTACCACACGTCTATTTTATTGATAAGTTGAAACTTGGAGATGCAGGCTGGCTCGTAAAATGACCAAAAAAGCACCCAGACGCTTGTATATTTAAACTGTTTCAGTGATTTATAGTTTATTTCATTCTTTTCAAAGTTATAAATAAATTTTTATTATAATCATATTCTATCATCAAATAATAATAATATTTGTGATTCAATAATTTAATCCCATTATAAATAGATTAAAAATACATAAGAGGGATATTGTTAATTGTGACCCTTTGCCCAAACTACAAATCAAATATTCATTACCTAATCAAATAATTTGAAAAAAAAATAATTAATTACATAGAGAGAGAGACACTGAGAGATAGATATTAATCAATCATAAATAGTAAGTTATTATTTGTTAATTTTATTGGAATTACAGATAATTCGTTTTGTCCATAATTGTTTGTTTATTTTAATAAATATATATTTACACAAACGGAAATCACACCCACAATTTTGCATCAACATACACACACACAACAAATTATATAGAATATAACCACAAATTAACAAACAAATAAAAGTGTGAGATTCTAAATCAGTCCATAGATAAAATCAATTTTTGCGTTGTGGAGAGATATGTGATGATGTCGTTTCATATTTATTTTATTTAAGAACCTAACGAAATACTTTGTAAATGAAAAATGAATAATTATATAATATAAAATATAAAATATAAAAATAATCATTTCATAGTTATACAATTATTATATCATTCACCTCATAAAAATAAAAACACATGTTTTCATTGATCTCCATATTTATTTAATTCATCGAACTTAAGGAATATTAATATTTATTAATTTTTCACCAACTATTTTTATAGTTAAATTTTTAAAATGGCTTTTGGTTCACAGCTTAAAGTCTTGTTACAAAAGAATTGTTTATTAAAAAAGAAATCAAAAGTTGGAATATGTTGCGATATTGCTTTTCCAGTTGCACTCATCGTGCTATTAATGGTCATGATGTGTAAGTTTCTCAATTGTCCAAGATCACATAGCTATGTGTTAAAAACAAAAAAAAAAAAAAAAAAACAAAAAATTAATTTTTTTTCTATCTATTTTATAGCAATTTTTGTTTTATTTAAAGCTAAATCAGAAGATCATCCAATACCAACATTTGGATTACTTGTCCAAAATAATACGGTTATCTATGGACCTTCCAGTTCATTGAACACCGAACAAAAGGCAGTCGTTAAATTGATCATCGATCAGGTTAAACTGTTCAATCCGAATGCAGAGAATCAATTTAAAGGCATGGAGTCACTCGAGCAGATGGACAGCTATTATGCCAACAACAGTGAATCTGTTAAACTTGGATTGTGGTTCCCGACGAACCAGACTGCCTCTGCCAACAACCCATTCCAATACTCGATCAGAATGGATTCCGATGTATTGCCACCGACCGATAAGATTACAGAACAATTTGGAAACTCGCTTGGATATGCTTCAAGAGGGTTTGCTTCGTTGCAAACCGCTGTCGATAATGCAGTTTTAAGTACACTCGGCAACTTCCAACGTAATCTAGGTGTTACCGCTCGACTCTTCCCAGATCCATTCACCGAGCAATGGCAGACCTGGAGAACTGCAAGAGATTTAATCTATCGTAATATGGCTGGTGTTATCATTACCGCTGCAATATTCTTCTTTGGCTACCGTTTGATAGTTGATCTCGTCGTTGAAAAGGAAACAAGAATCCGTCAAGGAATGAAAATGATCGGTATGAGTGACATTGCATACTATCTCTCTTGGCAAATCCAATCACTCTACATTGGTATTCCTATTACCCTTGTCATATTAATCATTCTCTATGCATCCGCGATCATCAAGCATGCCAACTTTGGTATAATGTTACTTTTATTCATTTTGTATTTCATTGCATTAATTCAATTGGCATGTGTATTAAGGTAAGTTCTGTTTAATATTTATATTGTTAACATTTTGTAACTAATGAATATAATCAAAACTAGTTTATTCTTTGATAAATCAAAGTTTGCAGGTATTATGTCATTGTTCTTTGTTGTTGGACTTTCTGTTGCAGGTATATTCGTTGCAAAAGAGAATTTCAGTAAACATTTAAAACTATTGATAAGTTTAATAGCTCCAATCGGTTTCAATTGTGCAATCTATACGGTTGCTCTGAAAGATTACAATGGTGAAGATCAAGATAAATCAATTTATCCAACAGAGTATGAAGAAACTGGAATGATGTTGTTGGATGCCGTCATTTATGTATTGCTGTTGGCCTATCTTGACAAGGTCATTCCAGGTGAATTTGGTGTTACCGAGCCATGGTATTTCCCAATCTCTCCAAATTACTGGCGTCCACGTCGTAAGTCTTACGAATCGATCATGAATGACCACGAACAAAACGATGATGTAGAGATGACACCTGTTGAGTCTGCCTCGAGTGTAACTGTTTCCATTAAGAACTTGAAAAAGGAGTTCCACACTGGTAACGGTCTGAGAACAGCTGTCGATGGATTGTATTTAGATATGCACTCTGACCAGATTCATGCATTCCTCGGTCATAATGGTGCCGGTAAATCAACTACTATCGGTATGTTGACAGGTTTGATTCCACCAACTGGTGGTGATGCTTTCATCGATGGACATTCGATTGCATCTCAGATGAGTCAAGTTAGAAATGTAATTGGTGTATGTCCACAACACGATGTCATCTGGAAAGAGTTGACTGTATTCGAGCACTTGAAGATCTACGCTGCACTAAAGGGTATAACTTCGAAGCACGTAGATGAAGAAGCCGAGAAGATGGCATTTGAAATTGGATTGGGTGAAAAGATTAATGCACCAGCTGGTACTCTTTCTGGTGGTCAGAAACGTAAGCTTTGTCTTGGTATCGCATTCATTGGTCATTCAAAGATTATCTTTTTGGATGAAGTAACCTCTGGTATGGATCCATTGTCGAGAAGAGGTGTCTGGGATTTCCTTTTGAAATACAAAAAAGGTCGTACCATTATTCTCACAACACATTTTATGGATGAAGCTGATTTCCTTGGTGATCGTATTGCCATCATTTCACATGGTCGTCTTCGTTGTGATGGAAGCAGTCTCTTCTTGAAGAAGAAGTTTGGTATCGGTTATCTCTTGACTTGTGCAAAGGTGGCCGATGTATGCAACACCGCTCAAGTTACTCAGTTTGTTCAACAATTTATTCCAGAGGCAGCCGTCCTCTCTGATGTCGGTACCGAGTTGAGTTTCCGTCTTCCAACATCTTCAGTTACTCAGTTTGTTCCATTCTTCCGTGAGTTGGATCAACAAAAGATTCTTCTCGGTCTCGGTGGATATGGTATCTCTGTTACTACAATGGAAGAAGTATTCCTTCGTATTGGTCAAGAGACTAGAAACAATGCTAAAGGATTCAATTTGAATGCCAACGAGAATCGTAATGAAGCTGCCGTCAAAAAAGCAATTTCAACAACATCACTTGAGAGAAGTCCGATGCAGCAATTCAAAGGACTTATTATTAAGCGTCTTCAAACTAGCTACAAAGACTTGAAATCTTTCACACTGTCCATTCTACTTCCGGGTATCATTCTTGGAGCAGCGATTGTCGTCTATAAGTTTGTAGGTGAAGATGAGGAAGTACACCCATTGACACCACTCACTTTCAACATGTCAGACTTTGGAAACAAAAACTACATTCCAATCAAAACCATCGATAACGATATCCAAGCATTTAGAAGTTCACCGTACTTCAATGAACTTCGTATGGTTCCGAACGATCTGGATGACTATCTCGAGAAAAACTACACTAATGATGCAGGTGCATTCAATCTCCTTACCTCATTCAACCAGAATTTCACAGCACCCAATACAACCAACTCTACTCTTTCCTACACTGTTTTGTTCAACATTGATTATGTTCATTCGATACCGATGCACATGAATATGCTCACCGATTCACTGCTAAGAAATATTACCAACAACATTGGTATAGTTACTACTAGTCTACCATTCAAACATGTTTTGACAACTTTCCAACTTCAATCCCAAGAGGTCAACCGAAATGCTATTCTCTACTTTATTCTGTTGTTCATGGGTGGCTATTCATTGATGGCTGGTTCATTTGCAGGAAATGTTTGTGCTGAACGTAATTTCAATATCAAACGTCTTCTCTATATCTCTGGTTGTAAGAAATATGTCTATTGGCTGTCCAATTTAGTATGGGATTATATCTTTGCTCTGATTATCAATATTGTTATTTCTGCAGTTATTGTCTCTGTCGTCGATGAGTTCAGTGGTAAATTTGGTTTGATATTCCTAGCTCAAATACTCTACAGTTTCGGTATCATCCCTCTCGCATATTTAATGTCATATCTATTCAAGACACATGGAAAGGCAACCGGCTCCATCTTTGGAATTCATTTTGCTTTGGCATTCATTTTCCTATTGACCACAATGAAGATCAGAATAGACACTTACCAAAACTCCGACTTGGATCTCCAAAAAAAAGGAGATATTGTTGATTATGTATTCTTTATAATCTCCCCTGTGTTTTGTCTCGCCAAAGTAATGATTCTCAATTCTAAATTCCCAGGATTCTCTAGAGTCGGTGAGATGAAGATTGAAAATCAATGGGCATGGAATGCTTGTGGTGCTCCGATCTTGTTTTTGGCATGTCACATGATTCTCTGGTTATCGTGGCTCTTCATTCTCGATCTCGTTCCAGAGATTCGTGGTAAATTGAAGAACCCAAGAAACAATGCATCTCCAAATCCCGAGCCAAACGAAGACTCTGATGTCGCTGCTGAAAGAGTTCGTCTACACAGTCTTGACCACAACCAAGAGGTCGTAGTTATCAAAGGATTACATCGTGTTTTCAGATCCAAAGGAAAGAATCCCAAAAAGATTGCAGTACACAACACTGCCCTCGGTATTCCACGTGGTCAGACCTTTGGTTTACTAGGTATGAACGGTGCCGGTAAGACAACAACTCTTTCAATGTTGTCTGGTGATATCATTCCATCCGCCGGTAGTGCAACTATCAATGGATACGACTTAATTTCAGAGCGATCGGAAGCACTTCAATCGATTGGATCGTGTCCACAATTCGACGCTCTAATTCCATTGTTAACAGCACGTGAACAACTCTGGCTCTACTGTCGTATCAAAGGTATTCCAGAGCATCAAATCGGAGAGACTGTCGAGGCATTCCTCACTATGATGGATTTGCAACCAATTGGAAACAGCAACTGTCACGGTTACTCTGGTGGAAACAAACGTAAGGTATCACTCTCCATCGCTATGTTGGGCAATCCATCTGTTGTCTTCTTGGATGAACCATCAACTGGTTGTGACCCAGAGATTCGTAGATTCATGTGGAATGTCATCTCTGAACTCGGTGCCAACAAGGTTATCATCATCACAACTCACTCGATGGAGGAATGTGAAGCACTCTGTCAACGTATCTCTATTATGAAAGACGGTAAATTCACTTGTCTTGGTTCGAATCAACATATCAAATCCAAGTTTGGTTCAGGTTACTCAATTGACATCAAATTCAAGAAAGAGTATTACGAAACTGGTATTAATATGGTATTGAGAGAGTTCCCATCGTCTTTCTTGCTGGATCAACACGATCTCATTGCCAACTTTGAACTTCCAAACAATACACACAAACCGATCATGGTATCAGAGATCTTCTCTACTCTCCAAAATCAATTGGCACATATCATGGATGATTACTCTGTCAGTCAAACATCATTGGAACAAGTATTCCTCAAGTTGACATCATCCAAACACGAAGAGCGTCTCGATCAATATTCAGAAAGAGAAAGAGAAGGTGAGCAATTACTATATAATTGAACATTTTTTTTAAATAATATTCTTTCAACAATAACTTAAATAAAATATATAATTAAAAACTTGTATTAAAAAAAACCAAAAAAAAATGTTTTCCTCAACAAAAATATAAAAAAATCATAAAATTAAACAACAATTATTTGATTATAAAATTTTTTCAAATACAAAAATAAAAAGGTAAATATAATATTAGTTAGAGGTGTATCCTTAAAAAAGGATATTAAAAGTTGTAACCCCAAAAAATTTGATAATCATTTGAATCATACACCAAAAAATATGAAAAAATCATAATATATTAAGCCTCAATCCAAAAAAAACGACCAAAAGATTTTTAATTTAAAGATGCAAAAATTACAAAAAAAAAAGTTGTTTATACTACATTTTTTAAAGGGTAAAACTCGTAATTAGTTAATGAAACATCAATTCGATATAAGATCTTTTTATGATGCTCAAACAATGTTTTTTGTGATTGTTATTGGGTTCATCCAAATTTATATTTGGGTTTGTGATATATAAAGTAAAAAAAAAATTAATTTAATGTTTTTGCAAAACACAACTGAACCTTTTTAATAAATTCGTTGAATTTAATTTATATAACCACAAAAAAAAGATTAATTAAACAATCAGAATCGTCATTGTGCAATTACACAATACTGTGTTAAAGTCAGGAGAACTTCAAATAGTTGCAAAAAAATGAGTAGTTTATATTTTTTTGCAAAAAAAATGAAAAATTTTAATTGTAACCCCTAACTGATTTACCACTTTTATTTTTACTCGCTTTATTATTCAAGACTCAAATCATAGAGAGTGCTTAAAAAACCTCAATCTTTAAGAAACAATTTCTGTCAATAAGTATCATTAAAGTTTCTTGGGTTATAAGGAATCGATATAACTCCACTAAAATACACCACGAAACAAACCAAATCAATCTGATACAATACCCGTCGGTCTGTACACACGCAGACCTCATCAACCAACCATTCATAAATTACCCACCCCCACATACTCATTGTTCCAACCTATTTATTGTTCTCTATGATTCTCTTGACCCATCTATAATTATATTACCCCATTTTAATTTTCAGATAGTTGACCTATTTATATTTATTGTGATTAAAGTATTTTTAATTAATTTTTTTAATTTAATTTTGGGTTAGAGTCAAATCTGAAGGTCAACCAGAAATTAGGAACTATTTCTATATATATTAAACTTTTAAAGTTGACTAATACAGAAATATACAATTTACAATATATAATAATCTTTAAACTAAATAATTTATAATTTGTATTATTTTAGGTTTTTTTTTTACATTAGTTTTCTTTTACAGTTTTAATAGTAATATATAGTTATCTCAATATAAATATTTCAAATCTACTTGAAATATTTAAACTTTTTTTTTTTTATATTTTTTTATATCTTATTTGTTCTCATTAAAAAATGGAATTTGGTAGTCAACTTAAAATTCTATTATACAAGAATTTGTTATTGAAAAAGAAATCCAAAGTTGGAATCTGTTGTGAAATAGTATTCCCATTGGTAATAGTTGGTATTCTTTTTATGATTTTAGGTAAGTTATCTTTAAAATTATTACTTTATTTATAAATACTTATTTATATATTTATTTTTTAATATTTCTTTTATTAGGTTTAATTCAATCATTTAAACCAGATTATGATTTATCAACGGTTCATCCTTTAGCGTTTAGAGTTGGATCGGATAATCAAATTTTATATGGTCCAACCCCATTGTCAGCTGACGAGGCTGCAGTCTTATTGAATTTACAAACACAAATCTCAGTGTTGGCTGAGATCTCTCTTAATGAGAGTCAGAGTTATTTCTTGCCATTCTCGAGTTCCACTGTAATGGAGGCATTCTTTGCCAATCATTCGAAATCAATTTTCGCAGGTATATGGTTCAACAATACTGGTGGTGCATTGTCTTCCACCAATCCATTCAGTTACGCAATCAGAATGGATGCTGACAACACTCCAGCAACTGATGACCAATACAACAAAGATGAAGATGCCAAAGAGTATACCTCATCAGGTTTTGAGTCACTCCAAGTTGCAATGGATCAATCTATTATGAATCATCTCGGTGTCAATGTTTCACAAATTGCAGTCGGTTCCAAGCGTTATCCAAACCCATACAATGCAAATTGGCAATCTTGGAATGACGGTCGTGATGCTATCTACAAGAATGCAGGTGGTGTATTCATTACTGCTGCTCTCTTTATCTTTTCATTCCGTCTCATCACTGAGTTGGTCATTGAGAAGGAAACTAAAATTCGTGAGGGTATGAAAATGATGGGTATGAACGATCTCCCATATTTCCTCAGTTGGACAATCACTTCTTTGATGATTGGTATTCCAGTTACTTTAATAGTCTACATTATGAATAGAGCCAGTAATTTAGTATACCATACAGATTGGGGAACTCTGGTAGTTTTATATCTTTTTTATTTATTCACTTTGATTCTCATTGGTTTCATTGCCAGGTATGTATATATTAATCTCTTTATACTATTATTATTTATTAATACCTAATTTATTTATTTTTAAAATTAGTATTTTCTTTAATAATTCTAAATTTGCTGGTATTTTAACATTCATTGCAGTTTTGGTATTGGCTGTTATTGGTATTTTCATTTCCAAAGCCGATATGTCAAAATCAGTTAAATATTTACTTTCTTTAATATCACCAATTGGTTTTGCTTGCGCAAACTATGAAATTGCTACCAAGGATTTGATTGATGTCATGGCTCACCCAACTAATAATACTTCTGTTGGAGGTATCATTTTGATGATGTTGGTCGACATTGTTCTCTATTTGGTAATCTATTGGTATTTGAATAATATTGTATCTGGTGAGTTTGGTACAAGCAAGCCATGGAACTTTTGTTTCAAGAAGAGCTATTGGATCTCTGAAAAGAAAGATCCATCTCTCATGTCAGCCGATCTCGAGTCGTTCGGTAGCAATGAAGATATTGAATCGATTCCAACAGAGGTTCGTAAGAATGTAACTGTTAGCATTCGTAGTCTTAGAAAGGAATTCCAAACTGGAAACGGTTTGAGAGTAGCCGTCGATGAATTGTCTTTGGATATGTATTCAGATCAAATTCATGCATTCCTCGGTCATAATGGTGCCGGTAAATCAACTACTATCGGTATGTTGACAGGTCTACTTCCACCAACTAGCGGTGATGCCTGGGTTCAAGGTTATTCTATCAACTCACAAATGAACAATGTACGTCGTACTCTTGGTGTATGTCCACAACACGATATCATCTGGAAAGAGCTAACCGTCTTAGAGCACTTGAAGATTTACGCCGCTTTGAAAGGATTGAGTGGAAAACAAGTCCAAACTGAAGCCGAGAAGATGGCTCAAGAAATTGGATTAGCTGAAAAGATTAATGCTCAAGCAGGTACTCTTTCTGGTGGTCAGAAACGTAAGCTTTGTCTCGGTATCGCATTCATTGGTCGTTCTGAAGTCATTTTCTTGGATGAAGTTACCACTGGTATGGATCCATTGTCGAGAAGAGGTGTCTGGGATTTCCTTTTGAAATACAAGCAAGGTCGTACCATTATTCTCACAACACATTTTATGGATGAAGCTGATTTCCTTGGTGATCGTATTGCCATCATTTCACATGGTCGTCTTCGTTGTGATGGAAGCAGTCTCTTCTTGAAGAAGAAGTTTGGTATCGGTTATCTCTTGACATTGGCCAAGATTCCAAATGCCTGCAACTCTGAAGGTGTTACAAACTTTATCCAACAACACATTCAAGAGGCAGTTGTACTCTCAGATGCTGGTACTGAGCTGAGTTACCGTCTTCCAACATCTTCAGTTGACCAATTCGTTCCATTCTTCAAGGCACTCGACCAACAAAAACAATATCTTGGTGTTGGTAACTATGGTATCTCTGTTACCACAATGGAAGAAGTATTCCTTCGTATTGGTCAAGAAGGAAAGCATGGACATGGTGGACAATTCAATATCAATGCTAATGAAAATCACAATGAAGAGGCAATCAAGAGAGCAATCTCTACATCATCTGTCGGTGTCAGCTGGAAGCAACAGCTGAAGGGTCTCATTATCAAGAGATTACATACCTCGAAGAAGGACTTGAAGAGTTTCTTCTTAACCATCTTGGTTCCAGCTGTTATTATTTGTTCTTCGATCGTTGTCTACAAGGAACTTCGTATCGATGGTGATTATTTCAACAATGTAACTGTGCCACTCACTTTCTCCAATGCCAACTACGACTCTTCCAATATCATTCCAATCAACGTTCCAGGTCACAACTACGATATCTTAAAGAATGCACCATATGGATCTGAACTCTTTGCCATTCCGTCGCCATATGATATGTCTGATTACCTAAAGAAGAACTTTGTCAACTCGACCAGTGCTCTCAATTTTACTCAACCAATTAGTGATCAACAACTTGCTTACAATGTTTATTACAACAAAGGTTACCTCCACGCAACACCAACACAAGTCAACTTTGTTCACGATGCTATCCTTAGAAACAAAACAAACATTGGTATTACAACATCGAGTGCTCCATTCCCACATGTACTCTCTGCCATTGAAGCGGCGGTCAGCTCTGTCGATATGAATGCAGTAGTATACTTTACCATACTCTTCATGGGTGGATATTCTTTGATGGCTGCATCGTTCGCTGGTAATATGTGTGTTGAACGTGTATCAAACATCAAGCGTCTTCTTTACATCTCTGGTTGTAAGAAATACGTCTATTGGCTTTCCAATCTTCTTTGGGACTACCTCTTTGCTATTGTCCTTGTATTCATTGTCTCTGGTGTACTTGCAGGTGTTGAATCGCACTTTGCCGATCAATTCGGAATCATTCTCTTGGCTCAATTGCTCTTTGCTTTTGGTGCCATTCCATTCTCCTACATTCTCTCATACAAATACACTACTCATGGTAAAGCAACTGGTGCCATATTTGGTATTCACTTTGGTATCGGTTTGGTCATGTTGATCACCTCGATCAATCTTCGTATCCAAACCATTGTAGAGCAAAGCTCAGGTATCCAAACTGCATCCGATGTTATTGACTACATCTTTTACGCTGTCTCACCAATCTATGCTCTTGGACGTATCATGATTATGACTGTTAATTTCCCAGGAACAATGCGTCTTGGTCAATTCAAGATCGATAGCTACTGGGATATCAAGGTTTGTGGAGCTCCACTCATCTACTTGGCTGGACACGCTGTTGTTTGGACAATCTGGATTCTCCTCTTGGACTATGCTCCAGAGATCAAAGGTGCTTTGAAGAATCCAAAGAATGTGCAATCTCCAAAGGTACCAGATGATGAAGACAGTGATGTCACTTCTGAGCGTCAACGTCTACATACCTTGAAGGATAACGATGAAGTATTGGTCATGCGTGAACTTCACAAGATGTTCCCAGGTAAAGGAAAGAATCCAGCTAAGATTGCCGTTAACAATACCACCCTAGGTATTCCACGTGGTCAGACCTTTGGTTTACTAGGTATGAACGGTGCCGGTAAGACAACAACTCTTTCAATGTTGTCTGGTGATTTGGTTGCCTCTGCTGGTAGTGCAACTATCAATGGATTCGACTTGATCTCTCAACGTTCAAAGGCTCTCAGATCGATTGGATCGTGTCCACAATTCGACGCTCTAATTCCATTGTTATCTGGTCGTGAACAACTCTGGCTCTACTGTCGTATCAAAGGTATTCCAGAGCATCAAATCGGAGAGACTGTTGAGGCATTCTTGAGTATGATGGATTTGCAAGGATTGGGTAACACCAACACCGGTGGTTACTCTGGTGGAAACAAACGTAAGGTATCACTCTCCATCGCTATGTTGGGCAATCCATCTGTTGTCTTCTTGGATGAGCCATCCAGTGGTTGTGATCCACAAGTTCGTAGATTCATGTGGAATGTCATCTCTGAACTCGGTGCCAACAAGGTTATCATCATCACAACTCACTCGATGGAGGAATGTGAAGCACTCTGTCAACGTGTCTCTATTATGAAAGACGGTAAATTCACTTGCTTAGGATCAATTCAACACGTCAAATCCAAGTTTGGTTCAGGTTACTCGATTGACTTTAAGTTGAAGAAAGAGTACCTGGAGACTGGTATTGAGATTATCGAGCGTACCCTCCCAGGCATTGAGCTTTTGGATCGTCACGATCTTATCGTAAACTTTGAACTCCCAAGCAAGAGCGGTGGTCGTGATGTAAAGGTTAGCGATATCTTTGATGTAATCCAACAACAATTGCACTTCATGGTTGAGGATTACTCTGTCAGTCAAACATCATTGGAACAAGTTTTCTTGAAACTTACCTCTGCTACTTATGAAGCTCGTCTAAATCAACTTTCAGAATCTCAACAAAATCAACCATTATATATGAATTAAAAATATAAATTCTTTTAAACATAAAAATAAATAAATAAATTTAAATAATTCTAATCTTTAATATTCAAAAAAGTTAAGTTTTGTAGATATGAAGAAAAAAAATAAAAATTTTGTGTATATTATAAATATGTGTTTTTTGCTCTATACAATTTATTTGAAGACTGTGTGATTGTTTTCTTTTTCCAAACTTTTACTTTAATTTTTCTCCAAGTGTGCTCTTCTTGCCAACTCTAATGCACCGACAATGCCTGCATTACTTCCAAAAGGTGATTGAACAATATATTTATGAACATTTTCTATAGAATGTGAAGAAATTATTTAGTTGGAATCATAATAAAAAATACAAAGAAAATATGAATGATCATACCTTTAGTTAAAAATTCGGATTTAATATATCCATTTAAAATCTTTAATAGTTCATCACGAATAATTGGGTAGAGAATAGTTCGATTGAGCACTCCTCCACCCAATACAATGACTTGTGGCGACATGATGCAAGTGATTGTTGCACACAACTCTGCCAAGTAGTGACCAACGATCTGCCAAACTGGATCATCATCGGGGATCACTGATAGTTTATCAGCTGTAACACCGAGACGCTTTGATATTGCACCAGTGCTTACTAATCCTTCAATACAATTTCCGTGGAATGGACATGTTCCTTGGAATTGATCATCCTCCAACAACTTTGTACTGTTTTTTAGCGCATTAGAATTTATTGGTTCTATAACTATTAACATTGTTAACAACTTACAATATATGTCCACCCTCTGGGTGAACCAATCCATGAATTGGTTTTTCGTTGGCGACCACTCCAACTCCTACACCGGTTCCGACGGTGATATATGCACACGAGCTAATGGCACCACGTTCATGTCTTCCGTGGAAGGTCTCAGAGATAGCAGCACCATTGACATCGGTATCAAACTTCTTTGGACATTGGAACTCATCGAACCATCCCAAGATGTTTGTGTTTCCCCACATTGGTTTCGGAGTGGTGGTGATGAATCCAAAAGTGCTACTCTTTGTATCGAGATCGATGGGACCAAACGAGGCAACTCCGATCGAACTGAACTTCTTTCCACGCAACCACTCCAAAACGTTTGCCTTTGTTTCATCTGGTGTAGTAGTGGGAATCGACACTCTATCAACTATATTATCTGGGGTACCACTTGCAATTGCCAGTGTGAATCCAGTTCCACTTTGTAGTTATATATAAAAGATTAAAAATTAATATTAACTTTGAATATGTTTGATATATCTAACATATATATAAAACAACAATACCCTGCTTCAACACCTGCATATACATGAGGATTTGAATCCATTTCTATTAATTAAACTTGTTACTTTGTTATATTATAAAAAGAAAAAAAAAATGTAATGAAAATGAATGTACTCCCAATGATTTAATGAAAATTAATTTTTTTATTATCTAAAAATATAAATTTTTTTTTGCACACAAACTTTAACCCCAATTTTATCAATACATGGTTGGGAGCAAAAAAATTGGTGCAAAAAAACAAATAAATTCCACAAGCAAGATCATAAATCAAATGTGTAGAATTGAATACAAGATTTATCAACGAGAAACAAAAGATCGTATCGATTTATTGCAATTCAATATTCAATGTTTATATCTTGCAGGCAATTATATTGTTTGGTTTTTCAACATTTAGTTCGACAAAAAAATTTTTTGTTGTGCATCTTTTCAAAAATTAATTAATAAATTGCAAAAAAAAACAAAAAAAATTGTGTGATGTTTTTTTTTTCATGAAAAAAAATTGAGGTGACAAACAATAGTAATAACTATAAAAACAAATATAACTTGTTTTTTGTGATAAATTTTAGTATATAATCATATATAATGTATAAATAAAAATAAAAAAAAATAATATGATAAATAACAATATTAATAATATTAATGTGTATGTTCCAATAAAAATAAAGATTAATAGGATTAATAAAACCTACAACATTATTATACTAACTTTTAATACCATCATTGAATGCCAAACAAAGAATACAACAATGTTCAATAGTTGATATATTTAAGAAAACGATTTTAAGAACAGAGAATGACTTTTATTTGAACGACGATAGCAGCAATTGTAATAGTAGCTTTAGTAGCAGTAGCAACAGTAGTAGTAGTAATAGTAGATTAGATTCACCAAGAAATACAAGAAATACTAGCAATAACAATAACAACAACAACAACAATAGTAATGGTGGATTATCACCTAAACTACAATCTGTTAATGGAACAGCCACCCCATCAAACAGTTTGAACAACAACAACAACCATAATAATAGTTCAGATAGTAATAACATTGTACAACCAATCAAGTTGATGATAAACAACTGTAGAAAATCAAATATATATATACTGGTGAGCATTGCCATTACTACGATTAGCAGCTGTCATGACTGTACAATAGTCCTCGGACCATGTTGTGACTACATAGAGATGAGCGATTGTTCATCATTGACAATCATTGCACTCACCAAAGGAATTAGAATAAAGTATGTAATCCACCAATACAATACTACTACTACTACTACAAACAAAACATATATAACTAACAATATTAAAAGATCATCAACCAATATAAATGTAAATATATGTACAAATCAAAAACCAATTATTAGTTCAGATTGCAGTGATATTAGATTAGCACCTTACAATACACATTATCCAACGTTGGAAGCACAGATTCATCAATCGAAAATACAAACCAACCTCTCTAGCAACCTATGGGACTCTCCTTTAATATTTAAAACACCAGGAATTCCAACTGACTCTACAATAGATTCAACATCAACAACAACAACAACTACAACATCATCAAATCAACATCAGAGTAATAATCTCGACACAACATCAGAATTGCTAAAAAATCTAAATATAACCGACAATAATGGAAATAATAGTAATAATACATCATCTATATATTCTATCATTGAACCTGATGATTTCTATCCTTTTTCAGTACCATTTTTAATGAAAGGAAAAACAAAAGTAAATATATTAACATTATAAAGATCAAGTTCAAAAATACTAACATCCATAACCTAGTCTAATCCATGCGAATTACCACCTAAATATACTAAAAGCCTTGCAAGTAAAACCAACTCAATACAATCACTTCATAAGATGATTCAACAATCTACATCCGATCAGAAAATTAGAGGTCATATCATGCATTTAGTAGAGTCAAAGTTTCAAGATTGGTTAATTGAAACCGATAATGTTAGACAGATAAATGATTTAATAAATATGAAAAAATAGAGTTTAAAATTAGAATAGATTTGTTTTTAAAACGGAGAGATCATTTTAAGATTTATTATTATTTTAGAATAATAAGTAAGTGGTATGAATTGTTTGAATTTATTTGTTCCTTTAAAAGATTTTTTAAATGGTAATATTAATTTTTTTATACTCAAACAATAATAAATGTTGATTCAAAGTAAGCATCGCCAATAATATAATAAAAATGACAGTTTGATTTAATATCGACAAGATTAACTGTTTTTGGTAGAGGTACCCCTAATTCCACTTTTGTTTTTTCACCACTCTACCAATAGATTTTGAAATATAAATATAAATGGATAAAATTAACCAATCACACTGTACTGTATATATATATATATATATATATAAATTTATATAAAGATAGATATCATTCCTATTTAAAGTTTAGAATGAGAGATTGTACATCTCATTAGAAAATAATGGTAGTAATACACACTTTTTATTAAGAGATAAATTCGAACATTTCAATTAGGTTGTACTTTTTTTTGTCTAAATTGGTAGGAGTAAAGGTTCCCCATAATTAACCCTTTTATTTATCATTTTAGATGAGAGTTTTTGAAAAACCCTATCTACACTACATTTCAATATTCTTGTACTACTGTTGAAGGAGAATCTCAAACAATACTGTAATTCAATCCCCACCTCTTAATACCACACACCATCAATGATATATCTTTTTTTTAATATTGTATTTATAAATCTAAAAAAATAAGAGGTACAATTGTTATGATTTAATATGGTAACAAATAATTAAATAAAAATGCAATAAATAGGGAGATTAAATAGAGCAAACTATATTCAAACAAAATTATAATTTCATAAATTATATTCTATTTGTAATTAGTTATCTAGATATCTTTAAAACTATAATTAAAAAACAAAAATATGATGCAAAATAATATATCTGTTGAAAAGGTTTGGTATGTAACCGGTACATCTAAAGGTTTAGGATTGGTATTCGTAAAGAAGTTACTACAAAATGGATACAAAGTTGTTGGAACCTCTAGAGACAAACAACATTTGATTGATGCCGTCGGACCTATTGGAAATTCCTTTAATTTCTTGGCGGTGCAAGTAGAGTTGACTAATGAGGAGAGTATCAGAGCATCGTTTCAAGAAGCCATCGAGAGGTTTGGTCGTATAGATGTCTTGGTGAATAATGCTGGCTACGGAATATGTGGTGCACTCGAAGAGAATGCCGATGAAGATGTCCGAAAGAATTTCGATATCAATGTTTTCAGTGTGTTCAACATACTTCGTAATATTACTCCGATCATGAGAGAACAAGGTTCAGGTCAGATCTTTAATATCTCCTCAAAAGTTGGATTGATTGGATTGCCTGGAATAAGTGTTTACTGTGCAACGAAATTCGCTGTCAACGGATTGACCGAAGCCTATGCAGCCGAAGTTAAACCATTCGGTATCAACGTTACACTGGTCTGCCCAGGAACTTTCAGAACAGAAATTCTAAATGTAATTGTTAAACGATCGATCTTTAATGTTAATGTCAAATCTAACATTTATATTATTTTTTATATAGTCTGAATTTTATAATGATTACAAGAATAAGTTGGAACATTATAAACCAATACATAATCGTTTGGAGTTTAATGACCAATATCTAAGTGGTAATCAGTGGGGTGACCCTGAAAAGTTGGCTGATCTCTTAATTGAGGCATATGAATTGAATCTTACTCAGAAGGAGACTGGCAACTACATTGTTGTTGGTTCGGAGGCTTATCCCACAGTCAGAGCCAAACAAGAGAGATTCGTTAAAGATCTTGACAAGTGGGAACCAATCGGTTCAAAAACTGATTATGAAGGTTATGATCATAGTACTTTTAATCAAAACCTACAAAATTTTATGTTAAACAAAAATAAATAAATATTTATCTGCTCAAATCTTTATCTTGAAAAAAAATTTTGAAAAACGCTAATTTTTATTTCAAACTTTTAAAAAAAAAAAAAAATTAATTTTTTGAAAAAAAAAAAAAAACGAACGAAGAAAAAGAATTTAATCATTTATTTTTATTCTATATCAAATTCATAAACAAATATTTTTATTTATTATATATTAATAATTTTTTAAATAATGAATTTGAATGGTATAGATTTATCAAAAGTTAAATTTGTAGAGGTTGTGGAAGATGAAGATTTAGAAGATTTCGATGATGAAATGATTGATCAAGATGGCGAGGAAAATGAAGATGATCAAGTCGATTATGAAAGTGATCAAGTAATTAAAGTTGAATCATTGTATAATGACAAGAAGGATAAGAAAAATAATAGTAATGAAAAGAGAGAAAAGAAAACACTAGAGATCAACAAATCAAGAGCACAAACAACAACACAAAACAGAAAGCTAAAGACTGTGTTCAAGCCAGAGTCAGTGATCGGTAGTATCTACACAGGTGGACCTATCATTGTCAACAGTGAAGCATCGTTCATGATTACAACATGTTCTAATCGTGTCTGTTTCGTCTCTACCGAGGATGGAGTGGAGTTGTACGAACCATTAGTATTTGAGGCCAAGGTCACTGCATTGTCACTCTCACCAGACAACACCAAGTTGATGGTTGCACTCAATAATCTCCATCTGCATATATATGACATGACCAAGTTGGCTGGTGTTGCTGCCGATGAAATCAAGTTGGTCGATGCCGACAACGACCAACAAGCCGACAAAACCGATCAAAAAGAAAAAGAAGACGACATTACCAGAACATCCAGACTTTTGATACGTATGTGGAAAGCACACGAAGCACCCATCTTATCGATCGACTTTCATTCATCGGGTGGTGTAGTTGCCACTGGATCTGCAGATGGATCGGTCAGAGTTTGGGATATCGATAAGGGATTCTGTACACATAATCTTAAAGGTATTTAAATCATTCATCTACGCCAATATATAAAAACTAAACTAAAATTGTTATGACTTTGTAGATGATTGTGGTGTTGTTTCCATTGTTAAATTCCATTCAAAGACATTGAGAGTAGTTGCAGTAAGTGATGACAATAACATTAGAGTATGGGATCTAGTAACCAAACAAAGGTAAGTAAAGTTTTAACAGATGTGCGTAATTTTTATAATTCTAATTCATTTAATTGTCTATAGAGTAATATTAGAGAATCATTTGGCACAGATTTCAGGTATTACTTTTTCAAATTCAAAAGAAGAACTAATTTCATGTGGTAGAGATAAAGTACTCAGTCTATGGGATATGACAACACTTAAGCTCAAAAAGACTGTTCCAATATTCCAAGAGTTGAGTGGTATAATCACACTTCCAAAGAGATTTTTAAATAGTACATCATTACCCGAGAAATTGCAAGCAAAAATAAAGGCAATTAGAACAAAATTATCTGGTAACTATAGTTTAAAGAGTACTCTTTAAAGACTTTTCAAGTACTAATGACTATGTTTAATTTATAGCAAATCCACAACTTTCAAGTAAAGTATCAAAGGAAGATCTTACAATTGTTGTAGGTGGATATGATGTTATGCGTGCTTGGTGTATGGAGACTGGTGAATCGGTATGGAGAGAAGACGGACTTGAAAAGAAAGATCAAAAAGATAATGATCAAGATATTGAACCATTGTTTACCTATACACATATATTGTAATTATTTAAACAATTAGAATCATTTTATTTGAATTGTTATTAATATTAATCATAACATCTAGACAATCAAAAGATAAGATCATTTCAGTTACCTCGGAACATAATATGATAGTATATGAATGCGAATCATTCGATAGAGTATCCGAGATTATTGGATACAACGACGAAATTGTAGATATAAAGTATTTGAATAAAACAGAGATAGCTGTTGCAACCAATTCCAACGAAGTAAGTTTAATTATTTAATTAGAGATTGATTCTATAATTTTTATTAATTTTTTTTTTTTTTAATATATTGTTTTTTTAGATAAGATTATATGATTTAAATACAAAGAAATCAAAGTTATTAAGAGGACACAGTGATTTGGTCATGGCAATCGATGTGTCTAATGATGGAAAGTTGTTGGTATCAGCATCACGTGACAATTCAATTCGTTTGTGGAATGTCGAGACTTTGGAGTGTCTGAGTGTTGGAAATGGACATACCGGAGTGGTCTCTGCCATTGCAATGTCAAAAAAGTCTGGCTATATCATCTCTGGTAGTTTAGACAGAACTCTCAAACTGTGGAAGTTGAACGGAAAGACCAAGCAGCTCGAAGTGCAAACCACTGTTATTGCTCATGACAAAGACATCAACTCGATTCAGATTGCACCAAACGATAAGTTGGTTGCAACAGGTTCACAAGATACCTATGTGAAGCTATGGAATGCTGCCGATCTCAAATCGGCCGGTGTCATCAAGGCACACCGACGTGGTGTGTGGTCCGTAGACTTTTCTCCGGTCGATCAATGTCTTCTTTCGACTTCAGCAGATGGATCCATCAAGATTTGGTCACTTGCCGACTTTAGTTGTCTAAAGACCTTCGAAGGTCATTCTGGATCGGTTTTGCGTGCAACCTTTATCAGCTATGGTATGCAGATTGTCTCTGTAGGTACCGACAGTCTTGTCAAACTCTGGACTATCAAGACAAACGAATGTGTCAACACATTTGAGAAACACGATGCTAAAATCTGGGCATTGGCTGTTACACCTCAGAATGACCAACAGCAATTCATCACCGGTTCTTCAGACTCTAGAATTATCGTATGGAAGGACTATACCATATTAGAGGAGATCGAGAAACATCTTAAAGAAGAAGAAGCAATTAAAAAGTAAGTATACTAAATAATTTTTAAATCTTAAATATTTTTATACTAATATATTGTATTATTATTTATTTCCTATTTTTACCAGTCAACAATCATTGGATACTTCACTTAGACAAAGAGATTTCAAGAGAGCATTAAAATTGGCATTGATTCTTAATCAACCAAGACAATCACTCAATATCTTTAATATGATGATGGAAAGTGAGAATGGAGAAGATCTAATCAAGTCTACACTAAAAAAGTTTGGTAAATTGGATATTGTAAAGATTTTGAAATTCGTACGTGATTGGAATACCAATTCGAAATTCGTACCAGTATCTCAAATTATTTTAAGATCAATTATGACAATGTATGTATAGTTATGGTTTTGGAGTAAAAAAATTATTATTTACTAAATAATTATATTATAAAATAGGTATTTACCAAGTGAGATAATAAAGATCCATGAATTACCAGAGCTATTGGAATCACTTATCCCTTACAATGAAAGACATTTCCAGAGATTAGATAGAATATTACAAAAGACTTATCTGTTGGATTTTACCATTTCTTCAATTAATCCAGCCGCATCAGATTTACTGAAACAAAGATAAACAAAGTGAAACAATTTAAATTGAATAAAATTAGTTTAAAAAAATATCAAAAACTGAGATATTAAATATTAATATATAGTTGTATAATAATTCTCGTTACTATGGATTTCAGTCAACAGAAACTCTGATTAGACTAATTAGAAGTGTGGTTGTGATTCTCTTGATTGTAAAAAAAAAAAAAAAGATTAAGAGATTGGTTTTATACAGAGATTTTTATCGAAGTATCTACCGCTCGAAAGAATCATTTTGCTCATGTTCGCTGATGACACTGGTGCTTTCACCCGGAACTTGGATGAACTGCAAAGAGTCATCCATTGGTTTAACCTGTTCAAACTATCCACCACTGCGGACGTTAACTCTAGTAAATCGGTTATCATTCCGCTCGGTAACACTTCCACTGTTAACCTTCCGTTCCCTCTCTCCACCGTGCCTGAAAGATACTTAGGTGTCAACTTCAACCCGGATGGTCACTGCCCCAAACTGGCAAGTATAATCAATCTCATTAAAGCTAACCTAGATCTGTATAAGAATAAAGTTTATACTCTTAGAGCGAAATCAACCATCATTAAATCTTATGTACTTCCCATGCTCTTCTATCACTTCAATCTTGAATCACACACCTAATCAAATCAAGCTTGTCAACAGACTTATTGCTTGGTTCTTCACTAGTGCACCTGATGCCAAAGCAAAGTTCAAAGCGCTTTGTAGAAAAGTCATGGATATTTCAGTGAACACTCATAGACAATACTCCTAAATATGACAAATTCTCTCAAATATAAATAATAAATTTTAAAATATTTAATTTAAAAATATTTAATATTTAATTAATATTTACAAACAAATATAATAAATAAAACATTTATCAAATAAATAATAAAGAAAATTCAATAATAAATAAAATGTTTAAACACAGTTATAAAGAATAATTGTTAAATAATCTAAATTTATTTATTTTAATGTTTATTTTCAGTGGCAGTGCATGCACATCTGTGGTGTTGTCAATATACTCAAAGGTTTATATTTGGGTATTGTTGGCAACATGCTAAATATGGAAAAAAGAAAAACAGAAAATAGATTCGAATTAGCTTAAATATTTATTAAAAAAAGAATTAACATACCATTAATATGAGAGGTTGCACAATGTCCAACCTTTTTGTTTGATAATGAAATTGTGAAACATTCACATAAATTACATTCGAATCTGCTGGTGAGACGCGAAAAAGTAAATATGTAATTAATGTTGAAAATTTATTTTTTTTATTTTCTAATATTTTGTTGAAAATATAATCTTCCAAATCAGTGATATAAATCATAAGATTCCTCTTTAAATTAAGTTGGAATTGATTTATATGGATGATGTTGTTGTTTATGTTGTTGTTATTGCTGTTGTTATTGCTGTTGTTATTGATTTCATATGTGAGATCAATGATTTCTTCTGTATACTTGTTTTCCTTTGTTAAATCAATTATAATCTTCATTCTTAATATAAATTGTTTTTTCTATACAAAAATGAAAATATGATTTGCTATTTATATTAAATTCTATACTATCAAAGTAATGAATGAGTTTACAGTAAAAAATAATATTTTACAATATTATATAAAAAGTTAAAAAAGTTAAAAAGATTACAAAATATATTATTCAAAAAATAAAGTTTTACAACAAAAGATAATTAAAATGATCAGAAAATAGTTATTTTTGAAAATTCTGTAAGTTAACATGAGATAGAGTTCTAAATAGTTTTGTAAACAAGTATATATCCACATTAAATTGTGAACAAATACTCAAGCAAATCATATAAAATAAACAAGAAGTGTGAGTAATGTTTATAAACACTGAGAAAAAAAAATTGAAAAGAAGAGAGAGAATATATATATATATATATGGTTGAAATAGGTGAGTAAATAAATTTAAATAAATCAATAATTCTCAATTTACAATTATATTTATGATAAAACAGAAAATAAATAAATACAGATACAACAGTGAATGATATTTTAAGTGTTATATCACAGTGCTGTGATTTGGATTATTCAACACTCCTCAGTACTATTAATAGATGAATATTATTAAATTTAATTGATTTATTTAATTGATTATTTGATAAAATCTAATTTAGAAATGCTGTTAGAACAGACTTGTGATTTGATAACTGTTTTCCCAAGAGACCACCTATTTTTAGTGAGCATGTCAGAGCTGTAACGGAATTCAATCTCTGCAGGTGTAGATGTGCATTGAATGGCGAGATAGTCTCTAGCAATCCTAGATAGAACTGGGAACTCAATTTGATTCTCTTTCCAATACTGCAATGAGTCATTTGAGAATGTAGTTGGTAGATTTTTATATTTTGATAATTCATTCTCATTTTGTTCAACAATAATCTTGTTGAAATAAAAATAAAAATTAATAAATATAATAAGAGTATTGATAGTGTAGATATAAAAATTAATTTAACTTACTATCTTTTGAGTGGATAAAATAAACTTCATTCTATCCATCTCTGGTTTGACTGATTCTATACTGGTTTTATTTCCCTTAGTACCTCCATATTTAGTATAAATTGATTCAATTGAATTGTTTATGTTATTCCAATAATCTTTCCAAAATTCACTTTTAAATACCTCTAATTTGGTGAATGGTGCAAGAAAAGTTGAGATATAAAATGGTTCTATTCCATAATCAAGTGTTGTATAGTAACCCTAAAAAGTTTATGAATGTTTATATGATTAATAGTTTTCAAAAAAAAAAAGTTTTTTTAAAAAACCTTCAAATTTGAAAATGCAAATGTTAATAAAATATGATTACATACATCTATTTCTTTCCAAAAGGCTTCAGCAGCAGTCTTGAGAATCTTATTGGTTTTCCATTCCTCTCCAATGTCCAAGAGCCGACCATACACAGGTAAACTGCAAGACAGATTAACATCAGCTCCTTGTAATGCCAAAGTAATAAAATCCACACCATCCAAGAATTTATTGATTTGTTTGATGATATCCCATTCATCGGTAGTGAGATGGATATCATGTTTCGTAATCTTATATTTAATGTCGTAATCAACTGCATCTTTGATCCTGATGAATCTACTAGTCATCTGAAAAGCAGATGACCAACGGATTGGGTTCAATACTTTTGGCTTTAACCTGTCCTTCTTTTCAGTTTTTAGAATTTCAAAAATTCTAAAATTTTAAAATTTTTTATTAATTATGTAAAAAAAAAAATTATAATTGTGTTTCTTACCCAAAAAAAGCATCTGTTTGGTTACTGGAGTTTCTTAAATTTGAACCATAGGAGTGAATTTTATCGAAAAGATATTTCGTTGATTTATCTCCTATAAATGCTTTTATTGCTGAAAAAGAAGGGTTAATAAATTCAATGATGTATAGGAACAAATTGTTTGTTTAAAACAAAATATTAATATTTTAATATTTTTTTTATTTTTATACAACTTGAATAGCTAATGTATTATTTTTATTATATTCACTTACCTAAATTAATCACATGGTTTAAACATAAAATATGTCCACCCTGGAATCCTTTGTAATCATTGGAAGGATCTTGGTTTTTGACAATGTTCTCCACTGTAGTGTGGTTGTTCGAGCAGTTGTCAGAAGTGGTGCACATTATCTTTTTGGAGATATCAAACTTTTCTATAACATCAAAAAAAAGTTTTGATAGAGTTATACCTGAATCATGTTAATAAAATAATATTTGATTGAATTAATAAATTGTAAATTAAAAATTCATTTTACAATACCTACCTGTTTTATCGCTTTTTAGGCTCTCCATTCCTAACAAACACTTTCTAGCTTTAAATTGACTATCGATCCAATGACCAGTTACACCCAAAAAAGAGATATCCTTGACACTCCAGATATCGAAACAGAAACTGATTTTGGAATCCATAGTCTTGAAATACTCTCTGAGTTGTACAACTTGATCATCATATCTTTTTATTATTCTATTTTTAATAGTATCTCCACCAACTAAATTGAACTCTGGTCTTAACGATGAAATAAAATTTTTAAATCTCTCATCCTCTGTTAAGTTGAAGGGAAGATTTTTTTTGATTACTAAATCTATTAATAATTCCCTATTTTAATATAGTTAATAATTGAATATTCAATTTAAGATCATATATACATACTCTGATACACCTTGACTAAAAGGTTTTGATATAGCAAGTGCAAGTGTTTCTGCTTTTTTCCTTTTTTGTTCTGCGACATACGACCAATCTATTTCACTTTCTTTGTGGCAAGATAATCTCACATCTATAAAAAAATTAAAGAGAAAGAAATATAATAGGACAATCAGATCACTTGAAATTGTTATTATTTTGTTAAATTTAAAAATCTTACTCTCAAGATGTGCCCATCCTAAACCACTAGACACTGATTTTTTGTCTACCTTATCGTATTTAAAAGAAAATACTTGACAGTATTTACACTTCATTTTAATTAAATTCTTATCATTCGAATCTATAAATTTAAAAAAGTGTTCATAAATAGAACTATTATATTTATTGGATCTTTTTTTTATTTCTTTATCAGATGAACTATAAGGGTGATATTTTTCACTCATTTTATAACTATTATAAAATTAATTATTATTAATAAATTCTAAAACTCTAACACTGAATCAATCAAAAATTTATAATTGTAATAAATGTGAAATCAAAAAATAAATTTAAAAAAAATTCATAAATATTGTTAAATATTTGATAAATATTTTTCAAAATCTTGAATTTACCTCCCCATCGCACATATACCAAATTTATGATCAAAGTTAGTGTTTGAAAACATATTATTCAAATAGTTACAAGAGTTAAATAATAAATCAAATAATATCAGTAATACTATTGAAATTAAAAAATTTATACTACATTTCACATGTGAATATGTATGTCATATATCATATATAGTTTATAAAACGTTTTTTGATTTTAATCACTTGACTTTATGTATTTTTTGGTGTATTAGCAATTTAAATACTATACACCGACTACTATATAGTCTCACAGACTGTGATATAACTATTTTATTATATATGTAATTAGTCAATGACTGTATGACATATAGTATGACATATGTAGTTTGAAATTTCTACACACTGGTATGTTTTTCAAATAGATTAAGTTAACCAATTAAATTCCGTACAAGTACAACGCACCACGAATCAATTCAACTCCTAAACATTCATTTAATATCTTGATCCTTTTATAATGGTATAAACAGTCAATGAACTATATATATATGAAAAAAAAATAATTTGTTTTATTTGTATTTTTCAAAAAAATCATACAAATATGAATATATACATATGTATTTTTGTATGTCAAAGTGAAAAATGTGTTAATTAGTGTTATTATAAAATTAAATAATTCAATTCAATTATATCGTACTTCAATTCATTCACATAGTGTTGTTATATTAACATTTAATAATAATTTTATTGATATAACCGATCGAGGTTTAGAAAATTATTTAATTTATAGATCTATAAATTTAATAAAGTTTATATTTATTTAATATTTATATTAAAATATATTTGATATATATTTATAATAAATATTAAATATTCAAATTTAATATTTGAGTTGAGTATTTATTTATTATATTTAGGAGTATTGATGTTCACGATCTAGTGCCATACACTCCAAATGACGACACACTATTCGACCCAGCCATCCGCGATTTCCAAGAACCAGAACCAGAAGAAATCGACAACGAACTGGAATATGAAGTAGAAGCTATACTTAATCACCGCAAGTTCGGAAGAAGCAAGAATTACAAGTATCTAATACGATGGCTTGGATATGGAGAAGACAAGAGCACTTGGGAATACGAGGAGAACCTAACCAACTGTAAACTAATTCTAGATAACTATAAACAAAAACATAATATAGAATTAAATCAAAATTAAATTAATCAGCACACAACACTCAGCAAAATCAAAATTGAAAAATTGAAAAATCAAAAAACAAAAAAAAAAAAAAAATAAATCAACACACAACACGTCACAAGTCAAATCAAGTCAACACACAACCTTAAAGAAGAAAGCAGAGTGTAAGAGATGCTCGTTACCAATTACAGCATACAACTACAGATATATGATATAGGACTAATTTATATTTAAGTTATAGATCAACTAGATCTAGATAGATCTACCAACTGCAACAACAAGTATATAAATAAACTGCACGATTGCAAACGTTCATTATTCATTTTCTTATCACTTAAATATAACCTTAGTCTTAAATACCACGTTAATAGTGTTAAATTCAAGTGTGAGCATTGTTTATATTCTTATAGTGAATTGACCAAACTCAATAGGCACAAGAGAGAAAAGCACCCCAATGAAATGAAAAAGTCACATTGGGAGCAGCCATTCCAAGTGAATGCAGATATAAATTCGAAGCAGTGTTGTCATAACAACTGTGAAGTAAAAGTGACTCTATCAAACTATGCAAAGCTCTGAAAACCAAACATCCTTGGTTGGGAAACGAATAATAAACTGGAATTAGACGAAATCACATGTTAAGGGTGCAAAAACAATTGGATTGTTTTCAGATCAAAAGAGAGAGAAATAACCTTGCAGTGTCTACTCCTATTTGACATCTTAATAGATTTATTGTTTTCAGTGTGTTTACCTATTTATTTACAAAAAAAAAAAAAAAAGTTAGAATTAATATATAAGTTTTCAAAGTATTTGAAGGTATTGGTGGATTGACATTTAATCAAATTGACATGTGTTTGGATCGATATTTAGAACAAAAGAATCTATTTGTAGAAGTAAGAAGTTACTAAGAACTCTTGACTGTAATACTACAGAAAGAGATGATGAATATTTGGATAAGGTATTCGAATTGGAGTTGTGCTTTGATGGTGATATATGTAGTCGAAATATCAATCGCCAAATGGAAATCAACAAACATCAGATTGGAAATCAACAACATTAAGAATATACTAGATGATATTATGAACCAAAAATGTGATGATATTAAGAACATAACATTCAACGATAATTTAATCGTTTTTTTGGAAATACATTTAAAAGAGAAGAAGAGAGAATTAAACAAAAGAAAAGGAAGATACAGCAAGATAGGCAACAAGATAAGCAACAAGATAAGCAACAAGACAAGAAACAAGACAAGAAACAAGATAAGAAACAAGACAAGAAACAAGACAAGAAGCAAGACAAGAAACAAGATAAGAAGATACAATACAAGAAGCAAAACAAGAAACAAAAAAATAAAACAAAATATTTTAGTTATTTTTTTAATATTATTCTTACTTTTTTGCAGTTCTTTTATTGTGAACTCTGTTCATCTTTTAATCTATTCATATTTGCTGAACTGTGTTTCTGATATGCTTTAAATTTTTAATATTTGATATATTATCGTATAATCGATCAAAATAGATGTTAATGTGATGTAATTTTTTTTTCAAATTTTTTTCAAATTTTTTTTCAAATTTTTTTTCATTTTTTATTATTCCAAATTTGTAAAAACTGAAATAAGTGGGGTACGACTTTCTGAAGTGGATAAATACTTTTATATTCATTCTTTTGAATTAATTCATAGATTCCAAAGTAAATGAATCATATCAAGTCATGTGAATTGAATAAATAAAGTAAAAATTTATTATTTTAAAGCTGAAACTATATACATTTTTGATCACCACTATTTACAATTGTCATTGATATTTGGAGATCTGCTCTAAATGTTATTGTCTCTGCGTTACATTTTATAATTTCTATTGTTATTAATCTAATAGATAATATTTCAAAATGTTGTTGTTGTCGTTGTTGTAGTTGTTGTTGTTGTTGTTGATAATAAATATATCTTTTTGAATGTAATCTTCTTTAAATATCTGTTATCTAAATTTATAATTTCCTAATAATTTCCTAATAATAATCAATAAATGTTAGTAAAATTCTATTAATAAATATAAATTATTATTTCTTATCTTACTGTTAATCTTTTTGAAGCTATTTAAAGATTGTTGGCGTCTATAATTGTAATCCAAATGTAAATGATTTGAAACATTCGATCTCGCTTGTTCGATAGTGACCATATCTTCTTGTAAGATGGTAGTGGCTGCATTAACTTTAATCAAAGTGTTGGTGTATGTTTCACCTAATAGGTAAGCAAAGTAAGCCTTAGAACAACAAGTTGTACTTGATCAATATCATTTTCCAATGCTTGTTGAAATAAAATCTATTTATAAACTAACTTGACTCTATATGATTGTGATGTATATTAGATAATTGCAGTATATTTAAAAATGTTTAAAAATATAAATTTACATACCTCAATAGCACACCTTGGCTTTGTGTAGCAGGCCCGTCTCCTACTGTACTTTCATTGGCATCGCTGAACCCTCTGTCTTGATAATCTTGATGACCATACTATTAATTGGTTGTACTTGAAATGCATTACTATTGCAACAGTTCTTTCACTCTGATAGTATCTTTAATCACGTTGATCTTTGTCATGATTTAGCCAAAGAGTCGATCACCGCTATTGTCCTATTTCACAGCAGCTTCCAAAATAAGTATCTATCTTTGAGAGTATAGTCAATTTGATATCTAATCTTCATTCATCAGAACCAACCACCACTCAACTAATATATTGACATTGCTGTCAACAAACGATATCTAATCTAACGTTGCATACTCTGTATCTGTTATTAAATTAAAATTAGTTTGTTAGTTTGTTAGTTTAGTTTAGTTTAGAATTATAGGAATGATCATTATCTCAATATTACTCTTCAAGTTTACTTTTTGTGTTCTAAAAAGATATAATAGACAATAGTAAAAAAAAAAAAAAAAAAAACAAAAACAATTCATTGATCATAAACACTGAAGATCAAAAGTATTATTTTAATATTTTAATTGTTGTTTAGTTTCATTGTTGTTAACAACAAATTACGATCATTTATCATTTAACTATAGTAAAACAAATATTAGCATATTTTATATTGACCTCTATTATCATGCAAACTCTTGTAAAGATAATTTAAAAGGTTAGTTATCTTTTATTCTTATTTAATCTACACTCTATCTTTACTGTTTTTTATTCAATATTATATCGATTTAACTTGTTCATAGACAAAATACAATATTAATCATGATTCAGACAACTTGGATTACCAAATATTTAAACTTAAACATATTTACACACCAACAAAATAATCATATATAATTAAATTAAAAATAGAAATTATATCAACTATCGATGAATCATAAATTACACAATTATTAAAAATAACATAACAGAGAAACCTATACTTTGATTATACTATCCTTTACACTAATGATTTCAAGCTACAGAATGTTCATAACGATTATTCACACTTTATCTACAATGCGAAGTTGATTCTCAATTCAAATATCTCATTTTATTTATTCATTTATTTATATAATTCATTTAATCAATCATTCATTAGTTTCCCATTCATAGACACATATTTATTTTTTTATCTCTATCATAAGTCCTATAAAATTTCAATAAATTAAATACTATACTATCATTTATTAATTTACTAATATTTTTAAACTTTAATGATCTAAAATGGTAATCATACAAACAAATATTCAAGACATTTTGAATTCTTTAGGAAGGATCTTTGAATAAGACATCTGCTCCACTGACCACTTACTGTTCTTGAATAACATATTGGATCTGTTGTTGGCACGAATACAATATTTTTCTGGTCCAGAGATGACAGTTTGACGACAATTAATCGATTAAATCGTTGTAGAAACTCTGGAAAGTGATGCTATTCCTCTACTATCTACTTTTCAAACCTCAAATAAAAAGCATTGAAACTCTTCTATTATTTGGTAAGTTTTGTTAAACTATTTATTTATTATAAATGAATAACTAACTAACCAACTATAGTTAAAAAGAGAATTGTTGAACCCATGGTGAAAGAGAGAAAAAAAAAACAGTCTATTGGTGAATTATCAATATTGCTCATATTAATATAGGACTGATAATGTACAAACGATTTAGATTTCAAGAAAGTTGAGTTGATGATGTTTTAGGGTATGATTTTAATTGTAACAGCAGTTCCTTTAATGCTAGGTGTGTTAGTTGTGAATACTTTTGTATTGTATAAAGAAAAAAAACAATTCTAATTCCAATTATTATAGGTTTAATATTAAGATACATCTATATCTATAGTTTAGTGATTTATCATTTTTTTTGAAAATATCATCAATATAGATACATAAATTTGAGAAGAAAATGAATGATAGAATAGGTTTCAACTAAAGATAAAATATCGTTTAATATATATTATTATTATTCTTTTAAATTGATTATTAAATTCTATAACTATTTTTATAAAAACTATAACAAATAAAATGATTAAAACAAATTTTTTTTTATGACTCCAATTTTAATATTAGTTTAATATTAAGATACATCTATATCTATAGTATATTGATTGATCATTAAATTTTGCAATGATAGTCACTTAAATTATTTATTTATTTCAACGAATTCCTATTTTGAATTTGTTCAATATTAATTACGACTTTGTAAATGTGTGAAATTATTCTTTAGAAATTCAACTATTTCCAATTTATCATGTGATTTTGCAATTTCATACAGTCGCTCAACGACTTCTTCATCTTTGAGAAATGCGGTCTTCTCTGCGAGGTACTGAAACATTGGTAAATGACCAATTATGATTGCATTAGAAAGAGCATAGACACTACAGCCTTCCTTACGATTTTCAATGAGAAATTGGACCACATGGAAATGACAGTTACCAGCTGCAAGATCTACGGCTGACTGTGAGCATCCTTTGTCCGATCGTTCGTGAAGTAGCTTCACAATATCCAAATGTCCATGCATAGAACTCAGGTCCATTGCTTCCCGTGTGCATCCTTCACTTCTATTCTCCAATAGGAAGTGAACCACTTGATAATGTCCATTGTAGGCAGCATAGTTGATGGCGTTTGTAGTGCATTTCGCTTGTCTACTATGAAGGAACCGTACAATTTTCATGTGTCCTCGCGCAGCTGCATTATCTAAAGCAACAGTAGTAGTGGGGAGATGGTTGAACTGATCTAGAGCGATCAGGATATCGAGATGTCCATTGTGTGCAGCATGTGCAGCTGCTAAATTTGGAATAACCTTCATTTCGAGGAGGAATTGAACCGTTTCCAATTTGCGATTGTCAGCGGCTGCATCTAAACCAAGATGATTACAAACGGTAGCTGTTGAATCGCCAGTCTGATACATCCATTTCAAGACTTGGAGATGACCATTGCTCGCAGCGCAATTCATCGATTTCGTAGTGATCTTTACATCATGATTTCCATAAGTTTCAATCAAGTATTTTAAGATATTTATATGTCCTTTGCCTGCAGCTTTGTTAAATATACTCTTTAAATACTTTTGCTCCAATTTTATAATGCTATCATAGAAGTGGTTATTTGATATTATTTATTACCATTTCATTGCTATCATAATGTTACACTATGTGTTATTATAATTACCTTTTGGGAGAAATACTCTTTGTTTCTTCTGATTTTTGTTGTTTTGTTGTTGGTAATTCATAGAATTGTGAAAGTAATTAGATGATTAAATCCAAGTTACCATGAGTAGCATTCGTTTTTAATCCATACAATATGTAATAGATAACAAACTTTGGATTTCCATTTCTATTGTTGTTTTTAAGTTTTTTTTGTTTTTTTTTGTTATTATTGTTATTATTATTATTATTATTACTATTTACTATTTAATGATTGTTCTAATTTAAAGAATTTTTTTTTATTTTTTCTATTCTCGTTTAAAATTGTACATCGTAAAGTGTATCTATTTTCAATAAAATATTTGATTATTGATTTCAATTGATCGACATAATTATATATAACGAGTTGCTGTGGACAAAACGCTAAATCACTCCATTTATATATTTCCAATCCTCTGTCTAGATATTCACCTGATAACCTATGAATTTGCTCAAAAATCAATTCTCTTAATACTTTTGATTAAATAAACCTCTAATATCCATATTTACAATTATTATTATTATTATTACAATTACTGTGTAAATTTTTTCATTTTTGTGAAAACTCACAACTATATTTTAAAAGAATGAATTAAGATTGCAAAAAAAAAAAATTTAATTGCATTTGCACAAAGAAAGAATGATATTACAAAGAAAAATTCTCAATAATAATATATATAGAAACTTTTCAACTTTCAATTACAACAATGCAGTTAATCATTCCGTTATTCCTATAATAGATATAAAACAATTTAAATATGGTTCAGACCAGACAAGACAATCAATTGCCAATGAGGTAATCATAACATGTTTAATAATATCAACTTTACATAATATTAATTATTATTATTACTAATCTAGATTTACAATGTTGGTAAAAATATTGGTTTCATGTATATAAAGAATAGTGAAATAGATGTCAAACTAAAGACAAAAACATTGGAGTACAATCAGTGGTTGTTTAATCTACCTATTCAAAAAAAACAATTATTTGCACAGACTGATCAAAATATAAGAGGCTATTATCGATTTCAAGGTGTTGGATATGGTGAACAACTCGTTATCGATGATGAAACCGGTCATGCAAAATCTATAGATGAAAATAACAATAACCACGAAATAGAAGATGTAATCGAAGCTTTTCTAGTTGGTAATGACCATCAAAAGCCTTGGGTATTGAAAAAGGATTACTATGAACAAAGATATGGCAAAAATCAATCCTCTAGATTCAAGTGGTTGCCAAATTGCCAACCAAATCAGTGGCCAGCAACTGAACCAAGTGAAAATGGATTTGAAAACGATGATACATTGACTGAAAACGATTTAAAAGTGGCGAAAGCTTTTAGAAATCATATGAATCACTATTTTGATGTCTGCTCTCAGACTGCATCCACCATTGTGAGTGCAATCGCGCTGTCTTTAGCTCTACCTTTAAATCATTTCGATCATTTTCACTCAAAGAACGATCATACAATGGAGTTAAAGCATTATAAACCATCAACAAATACCAATAAGAATAACAAGGTGAGAATGAATGAACATGCTGACCTCAGTACTCTCACACTTTTAATACAGAATAAAGGTACTGATGGATTACAGCTTTGGAATCAATCAGAATGGATCGATGCACCTTTCCTAGATGATGCTATTCTTGTTAATACAGGTGACGTCATGGAACGACTAAGTAATGGTCAATATAAAAGTACAAAGCATAGAGTGGTCATGAACAACCAGAAATCACATCTATCGAGATATTCAACTGTTTTCTTCTATGTACCAAACTGGGAAAAGGAAATCACAAACTCTGACCTCATGGGTGATCTCATACCTTTTAGTTAAAAAGATACTCTAAAAATTCAATAAAAGATTTTTATTGCTCGAAATTGATAAAACTTTTATGTTTTAATTATCCAGATTTATTATTAATATTTATTATTAATCGGATGTCCATTTTGATTTCTTTGATTAATACACCATCTGTTTCTCTTCTTTAACTATTATTATTTTAATTTCAACGAAATAAAAAAAATGATTATTTTTCAAAAAAATAAAAATAAAAATTAAGATCTTTTTAAAAAAACTTTCTTCTTATTATTTTTAGAAAATCACTTATTGGTAAAAACAAGAGAGTTGTAATGAATAATAACTAAACAGATCAATAGTAAATCTACCACATTTAATATTAAAATAATTATCTATTTAATGAATAAAGAAGTGAGTTAAAAGTGTATAAAATAAATTTTAAAATTTAATTTTGTTTTATTATTTATCTTCTTTGTTTTCTTGAAAGATATATGAAACCAGTTAAGAGTAAAGCATTGAAAACCCAATAACATGCGAGGATACCAAAGTTACGCCAATCATTTTCTTCGGACCAACCTAAGGTATGATAATATGATCTACCATCCTTATAGATACAATAACTACATTCTGAAGAGTTTCCACCTGTGACAGTACCAGTAGCATATGTTTGGAATACTTGGGTGTATTGGTCACAATTTTGATTGGGTGGTGGTGTAAATTTGATTTTATCTTCTTCAGTGCATACAACAGTGACATGTTGGAGGACATTGGTTACGATACCCTCCACGAAGTATCGGCTTGGCATCAAGTGATAAGTCCACGATTCCCAGAACTTTGGTAACTGATCTGGTGGAACCATTACACCACAAAATAAGAACAAGAATACAATGAGCAATGGAATGATGAATTTTGCCATAATAATGTTGACACAGATGGCACCGACTGCTTGACCAAATGATACACAAAAGAATAGGTACAGTACAAAATAAATCCAAAAGTAGAATCCTGTGATAGCACTATATTGCAATCCGGATGTCCAAAAAGTGCAGACAAAGAAGATGGTTCCTGTGATTACGAGGTATGGCAACTCAACCAATACTATTGAGATTGAGAATGGAAGGTAGGAATAGAATTTACTGGCATAATCACGTCTAAAGTATTCTCTTTGATTGAATAGTTGAGGAAGTGCAATAAAGATCATCATAATACCAAGAATGAGAGCTTGGAAGATTACAAAGATACGTTGAGTCATATCAGACGAACTATCTTGAAGGTCATAAAATGTGAAACCAATAATTAATCCAACGATTCCGGCTTGAGCAAAACGACCGAAAGAATAATAAGGATCACGCCACCAAATAATATTCATACGCTTGTAAACCTCCCAGAATTGGTACCACTGGTTGGTGGCAAATTCTCTAGCTGGACCATTGTGTGATTCATCTTTAGAGAAGGAGAGATCGGTTTTTTCAAGTCCATCCAATTCAGCATGGATTTGTGCACACTCTGGTGAAGATTTCCATGCAGCTGGCCAATCAACATCAGATTTACCATGTACACCGGCACCAATAGCTTCCAAAATGTATTCAGCTGGATTCTCTGATTCAGTGCATGGTCGAACTCCATGGTTTTGGAAGTATGATGTAAGAGTGTGTGATCTTTCCCCGATATCACCAAAGTACACAGTCTTACCACCCTTGGCCAAAAGTAACAAACGATCAAAGTATTCAAATAATACTGATGATGGTTGATGAATTGTACAAACCAACGGCATACCAGCATCTGCAAGCTTTCTAATAAATTTAACAATATTATAAGAAGATTGAGCATCTAAAAATAAAGATTATAATTTTAGTTTACATGTTTTTTTTCTATTATTAATAATCAACTTACCTAAACCTGAAGTTGGTTCATCCAAGAAAAGAATATGTGGTTTAGCAACTAATTCGACACCAATTGTTAAACGTTTACGTTCTTCCACAGAGATACCAACACCAGTTTCAAGATCACCGATGAGTGCATCACCAAGATGTTTCATCTCCATCATTTCCAAGACGTGTTCAACATATTCATATTTCTCTTCGATAGAGATCGATGGATCTTGACGCATCTTGGCACTGAAACGAAGTGATTCACGAACAGTGAGATTTGGGTTGTGGACATCCATTTGCTCAACGTAACCAGTGATACGCTCGAAATCGATATCCAATGGTTTTCCATTGAGACATTGTTTACCTTCAATGGTACCCATTGTTTTACGTTTGGCTAAGACATCAAGGAGAGTAGTCTTACCGGCACCAGAAGAACCCATAAGAGCGGTCATCTCACCTGGCTTGATCCAACCCTCAACATCATCCAGAAGCAAACGAGTTCCACCTGGAACTGGTACAGTGTAATTGATGTGCTTCCATGTAAAGACACCACCTCTCATTTTAAGGGTCTCCTTCATTTTACCGGTGGCCTCTGCTACAATCTTATTTTGGATCTTTTCATCCTCTGCATCATTCATCTTTGGAGCCTTGCCTGGCTTGTAGACCTTTTGAGTGTAACCACCAGATGTCCAGTCGAATACTTCGAGTGCAATCATGTTCATGGCAATAAAGACCAACCACCAGAGATAGATAACAATGACATTAAGAGCACGTTGACTGATCTTGAATCTGAGCTCCTCATAGAGGTAGTCGGTACCATAGATTTTAAGATCACCTTGTGTGGAATAACTAGTTGGGCAGATACGGTAGTCATTCATATTTTGGTAGGCTGGTCCATATGGAATGGCAGCCTCAGAACAATCGAAAGTCATATCCTTAAATTCGTTGGACATCAGAGCTTTGAAGGCGTAGGCGAATGGATTGATCCAGAAGAACCATTGGAACCATGGATGCATCTTTGGATAAGGAACTGTGTAACCTGCATAGGTTAACATGAAGATCAAATAGACGGACATCATATTTTGACCAACATAGAGTGATGGGGTAAAGTTACCAAATGCACGGAAAAGATTGGTGATACACAATGATGATCCTAGTAAAGTGAACAACCAAATAAAGAACTGATCCGCACGATATTGGAAACCAAACATAAAGTATGCGATAATGGAAAACAGAGTCACTTGGACAAACGTAATAGGTATATCGGTGATAATCTGTGCCAAGTGATATGCCGATGGTCTATAGAGAGCATAGGTTTTGTGTTTCTGAAGTACACGACGTCCCATATAGGTCATAACCAACTCTCCCTGTGAAAGGAATGCGTTGAAAAGCAAACTACCGAAAATAGCACCACCACGAGTAAATAGACCCTGGAGGTTATCTTTTTGCAAAAAGAAAACTGAACCATAAACGAATGCTTGGATCAGAACAGAGGTATAACGTGAAAACAAGGAGAACTTGTTACCCCAGATCAATTGGAAGTGACGGATGGTCAAGGCACGAACTTGTGTAAAGAATGATGTTGTGTATGGACGACTCTTTGAAGTGGTACGAGATTTCTCGGCTCTAACCTCTGCAACAAAGTCGATCGATGGTTGTTCGATTTCGATTTGCTTGTCATAAGCGGATTGCTCGTCAAGCATTGCATGATACAAAGGAGAACGCAACCATGCAGCTTCAAACTCTGCCGATGTTTGTGGTGCAGACTCTTCAAAGCCTGGACGAATCATTCTCTCTTGTGGATTGGTTACACCAGTCAAAAAGTCTGGTGTTGATTTACGTGGCTCGCATTCGAATCCGAGATCCAAAAAGTATTTCTTGGCTTCGGTACCTGGACCAAAGTAGATACAACGACCCTTTTCCAAGACTATAACCTTGTCGAATAATGAATAGATTGAATCGGACGCTTGGTAGAAAGAGCAAATAGTTGTCTTGTTCATGGTGTCGGACATGATACGAATCGATTTGGCATAGTCAAGAGCGGATGCAGCATCGAGACCACGGGTAGAGCAATCCCAACAGATGATGGGTGCACCAGATACCATTGCCTCTGTGATAGTCATACGCTTACGCTCACCACCAGAGAGACCACGAACAAATTCATTACCAACCATGGTGTCGGCTTGTTTGGCGATACCAAACATATTGACCAAGAGATTAAAGATCTTCTCACGGAAACTACGTTTGGTCTCATCGGGTAAACGGTTTCCTGGTGTTTTGCATTTCAATGCAAAATCGAGAGTTTGACGAAGAGTAAGGGTTGGATGATGAACATCTTCCTCTGGTGTGTAGATGGCTTCACCACGATATCTAGCCCAGTCTTCAGATTTGATACCACCATAGTTTATATCACCTTTTACAGAGACATAAGTATTACGTTGATTGGAAATCAATCTAAGCAAGGTACTGCAACCTGCACCCGGTCTACCAAGTACTAATAATAATTCACCATCTTTACAGAATGTATTTATATTATGTAAAATATCAAAAGTGGTACCATTATTATTAAACCTGAAAGAAAAATAATAAATAAAAAACAAAAAAAAATTAGGATATTTTAGATTTTTTTTTTAATAATTAACTTACCATTTTCTTGGATTGAAAATAAATTTAAAAGGTGAAAGCATATTACTAATAACACTGACGTCAGCACCTCTACCAACAACGGTTAGATTATGAATAGAGACACCCATCTTTTTTGGTTTTACACCATTTTCCATTGACATACGGTGGGAATCTTCAAAGTATTTTCGGAGTTTAAAGTCTTCCTCTGTATCAACAGCACGTCCTTCCAAATCTTCTTTCTTTTGGTCAAGTCGGTACATTTGGGATTCGGATTCCAATGCTGCAGCCATGGTTCTAAATTGAATCTCTGACTGCTCTAAATTAATATGACTATGATCACCAACAACCATTTCATCATTATTATTATTGTCACCACCTGATGTGGATCCATTATCTTCGAAATGATCATCCAAAGCCATTTTTTTATAATATTAATAAAAAATATATATATAAAATATTAATATATTAAAAATTATTTGAAGAGAAAATATATATATTATAATATAAAAAACAAGTTATAAATTTAATAAATAGAAGTGGTAAGAAATTTTGACCATGTAAAAAGAGATAAATAATAGATAAAATAAAATTAACTTTATAATTCAAGTAAAAGATTTAAATAAAAATGAATGAAAAAAGAACAAATCAAAACTATAAGTAGTGTGATTTAGTCTTTGAGTGATTATTATATATTTAGAATTTTGGTAAGTTGAAAGGAGCGAATGTAATATAAATACTAAATGTAGAATAAAATAGACAATGGGTTCACCTTAAAAGAAAATTAATTAAAATTAAATAAGAATACTGGATACAATTGCGTTTAAGAGGAGGTTCTATTTGTTCTAAATGCCTCACCCCTATGGAGAGGATGGCGCATAGATCCCTTTCCAAACATGATTTCAATCTATCGTCAGAACAACGATTTTCTCCATTTCCGAGTCTGTGATTTAGAAAGGGTCCAAACATCTGTAAACTATTGAGTAGTGAGAGTGTAGAACGAGAACGACATAAATGCTGACAATTTCCATGTCCAACCCTAAATTTACCTCTCTAATCCACCATTTATGATGGTGGTTTATTTGTTTTTCGTCAGCATAATTTCAATTTCGAAAATTCCAAAAAAGGAATGTTTAATATTTTTAAGCTATCCATTACACCACATTGAAAACAAAACAAAACTGAATTTTTCGTTTTTTTATTTTTTATTTTTATTTTATTTTTCAATAATTTTGAAAAGATGAGTGCATCATTAATGATATCATTATAAATTTCAGACCATTTTTTTGAAGTATCCTGTTTAGAATGGTGAATTGTTTAACGTGCAAAAAGTTATCTTTTTCTTAAATGACGATGTGATGTTGAATTTATTCTATTAATAAAATAATGATGAACATTTTTAAAAGATATATTAATGAAATAATTGAAAAAAAAACGTCATAATCATGACCTAAACTAAAAGTTATAACTTAATCTCTTAATCTTTGCTAAAAAAAATTTTTTTTTACTATCAAAAATAATCAAAGTTTGATACATCTTAATAAATAGTTTTTCAACATTACTTTATTTATGAGTAATAAATTTCTCATCATTTTTTTTTTTTAAAGATCAATATATTGAAGATAATGAATACTGGTTTTGTTGTAATTTAAACTGTGCAAGTAATTGACAAAACATAAATTAATTTGTTGACTTGGGTAATTTTTTTATTTTTTTTAATTTTTTTTTTTTAATTGTCTAAATTTTTTTTTTTTTTTGTTTTTTGAAGTTATATGACAAAGATTGGCATTAGATAGGAGAATAGGATGGATCAATTACAGAATATTGCATTGAATGCAACTACATCATTCAACAATAGAGAATATGAAAAATCCTATCAATTCTTTAATGAGTTGAAGAGTATTACTACTTCAAACAATAAAGAAGTCTTGATGAACCTTTCAATAACTGAGTACTATATGAATAATTGTAGTAATCCCAATAAATTAATTGATGAACTCACAAGAATCAATCAGTTACCAACAAGTACAACACCTTCAACTGGTAACAGTACAACAACCAATAATAATAATAATAATAATAATAATAGTACACCAACAGAACAATCTACATCACCTGCACCGACCTCACCAAAAGAAGGTGACTCTGACAGATCGACACCACCAACAGCATCAACACCCAACGACAATAACCTGGTTGATTTAGATAAGGATCAAGCGTTGATAATCTACAACCAAGCGGTACTATACAATGCAACAAAACAATATGGTTTGGCACACTCCAATCTAGAGACACTCTATCAAAACATATTGTTTCTCGACGACTACGTTGCCATTAGAATATGTTTCCTCATGGTGAATGTAAATATCACACTTCAGCTCTATGATAAGGCATACTCAGTACTGTCGTATCTCGAGCAAAACTTCTCACATCTCTACTACAACAAAGATACCGACGAGCAACACCTACCAACCACACCGACACACAAAGACTCTACCACCACTACAACCACCTCTGAACCAAACAGTATCAACAGCAGCACCAACAGTAACAGTAGCAACGATTCAGACGATCTAAACTCTCAATCCTCTTGGAGCAACACCTTAATGTCGCCAATAGAATTTAGATTTATGATTCACTTTTATAAATCTAAACTATATCTTTTGTCCAACGATCATTTCCATCTTGCCAAAGATGAAATCAATCATGCAATAACTAGAGCTACGAAGGTAATACCTTACTTACATTTTTATTTCACAATCAAGATTATTAATATTTTGTTTTTTTTTTTTTTTTCTTTATTATTAGATAAATTATAAATTATTACCATCTTGCTATCTTTTAAAATCAAACTACTATCATATTAGCTCAAATACAGCTAAAACAGTACAATTTCTACAACAAGCAAGAGATTCAGTAACAAACAATTCAACATCATCCAACAATAATAATAATAGTAGTACCACTCCAAATAACAACATAAATTTATCATCATCATCAACAACCACAACAAACTCATCAACACCATCAACTACAGAAGATAATGGTATAATGATAAATCCACTCTCTTTTGGAATCGATCTGCAAGTCGAAGAGATAACACCACAGATATTCTATAATGACTTGGGATGTTTACATTTTAATTTACATAGATACACTCCATCGATATTTTACTTTACAAAGTCACTACAGGAGGAATCGACAACCAACAGCAATCCAAATAATGTTAATTTAGATCGTCGTACAGAGATCTTTTATAACACTGGTATTCTGTTGTTGCTGACCGGTCGTCCAGAACTAGCATTCTCTTGTTTACAAGAGGCTTGTCTTGTACTTTATAATAATCCGTTGGTATGGCTACGTCTCGCCGAGTGCTGTATACTTGTTCACACTCAGAAATCCAATGAAGAGTCATCACCCCAGGGCATTTCGTTGATCGGCGACAACAACAATACTAGTGGTCGTCGTGTTCTCCTACCAACAACAAGTGGGTTGCACCAAGGTTTACAGATAGAAGACAGCGATGTACAATCAACTCTAGGCGAGGAATCAAACGAATCAGCCAGAATCGGTACACTCTCACTCGAGTTTGCCGCCAAATGTCTAAGAAATGCACACTACCTCCACAGCAAATCAATGAAAAATCTAAAGCAAATCAAGCAAAATAGCAACTCAAAATCAACTACCAACTCACCCCCATCGAGCACACCTCTGACCTCTGCCAACAGCAACAACAACAACAACAACAATAGCAGTTTGTCAACGAATCCAAACATATCGGATCTCTACCATTCCAATTCAGGTGAGCTAATGATGAACGTTTTAACTTCGATGGCCTATGTTGCGTTGTGTACCTCCAATCCAGTTGTTGCATTGACGTCGACCAAGGAACTTCTGCATTTGTGTGAGGAAAACCCCAACCAGAGTATCGTCGAGAAGTTTAAATACTACGGTCACATGTATGCTGCTGAAGCCTGTATCATGATGAACTGTCCAAGCCAAGCCATTGTATATCTCTCACCAAACTTTGTAGACTCTATCAAAGACACTTCCTTTCAATCTAAACTTTACAGCAATCCCATTATAAACTCTATCAATTCAAATGATTATAGAATGTAAGTAATATAATATTAGAGGTATCTTTTTAACTATTCTAAACTAATATGTTTTTTTTATTGAAAAGTGTTTTTTATATAAACTTGGCGATTGCATATCTTTTGAAAGATGACTTTGAAAATGCAAATAACTGTATAGCAACATTAATGCACGAACAACAAATCAACAATAATAATCACCTCACAAACATTACCAAAATCTCACTTCTCAAAGTATATATAGAAATTAGAAAAGGTAATATTGAAAATGCTCTTGCTATACTCTCTAGAGAAAGGCCATTACCGATAATACAAGAATAAAATAAAAATAAATAATTAGATAAAAAAATATATATTATTAATATAATTCTTAATAAGATAGTTTAATTTGTTTATCGAACTACCATATAAACATTTGATTTTTGAATGTATGATTTTTTATTATTTTTGTTTATCGAGATATCATCGATTGACATCCTATTTAAAATCGAGTGACTCTCTATACATATTTGTGTTGTTGTTGATTATTATTATTATATTTCATGTGAAAATGTTTATCTATAATTAAATTAAAAAAGATATATCAAATTTAATGTTTAGCCTCTTCGTCGTAAACCTTGATGATTGGGAGTTCCTCAAAGTTGTGTTCTGGGACTGGCAATGGAAGATGGTATTCAAATGAGCTGTCACCAGCTGAAACTTCGAAGTTTTCAAAAAGATCTTTCTCTTGCTCTGGAGTCAAATTGTATCTGAACAATAATTTAAAAAAGCATCATATTAATATTTCATTATAATACCTGGTGATGATGTTGTTGTTGTTGCTGATAATTACTTTTCTACGACGTGCTTGTTGTATTTGATGACAGAGATATGGAGAAGTGGGTCATCGAGGAGGGCATCTGGGACACCGGTCTCTTGAGACAATTTCGATGGAGTGAGCTCATCGTAGAACTTGTCAAACTCTGGGTTACCTGGGTAGATACCTGCAGAGTGCAACTTGTTGACTCTGACTTGTCTATCAGATGGGTAAAGGAACTTTTGGAAGAATCCTCTATAATAAATAGATTAATTATTAATTATTTAATTTTTTTTTTTTTTTTTTAATTCTTATTTATAAAACACTGTTCTGTTCATTCTCTTTTGACGTTACATATATCTGCTCTCCTCTTTTTCTTCTCTTCTGTGTTTTTTTTTTCGTAAAATTTTAATCTTTTAATCTATAAACTCGATTCTGTGTGGTTTTTTTATTATTATTAAATATATTTATAAACTCGTAGTTGATCTTTCTGTAATATTCCTGTATTTATTATCTGATGGTGATCTAAAGAGGAGGCAGTATCGAGAATGAACTGATAATTGTGTTGTTGATGATGAACTTGGATCCAAATCCTACCTTGAACCAGCTGGTTGAGCAGTTTGTTGGAAAACTTTAGTTACTGAACGAAGTGATGAGAACATTTTTTCTCTCTAATATGATCACAATTAAAAAAAAAAATAAAATGATGAAAACACTCAAAACAAATTTTTATAAATCAATTTTGCAAAATATGATTTTTTTTTTATTTCTTTTTTTTCATTGCGTAACGTTTTTTTTTCCTCTCCACATTTTTTTTTATCACTGGCAGTCTACTTTTTAATTTATTTTTTTTAATTCTTTTGTTTCAATTTGTTATTATTATAATTCAATGAATGAATGAAAAACAAATTAGTTCTCGTTTATAAAATTTAATATAAATAGTAATGTTTTGTTAGTAAACACATTTTTTTAAATCTCAATACTATTTTTTTTTTTTTCAAAATTTATAGATAACCTTGGTTGTGAGGTGGTATCAAATAAACTTTTAAAAAAAGTATATGTAACAAAGGGATTTTGTTTTTCTTTTTAAAAAAAAACTGCTATTTAAATAAATATTTTATTTAATATTCATTTTATGTTATAAAAAAAAACATAAACCATCTTGTTTAATGTTTGAGCATTTATTTAGTCTATTATGATTTAGTCTTATTCTTTTTGTGTTTATTGGTAGGTTACATTATTGCATATTTCATCACATTCATTACAATATTATTTAATGTTTAATATTAGTTAAACAAAAAAATGTGCACATTTTTTGAACATATTTTTTGAATTATCATATGTTTCGTGAAGTTTCGACAACAATCCAAATCAAAATCGATTTTTTAAATAAGGAAATCATAGGCAGTTTGTGCACGTTTGCAAAAAAAGAAAACTAACAAAACCATCGAATTTGTGGAAAACTTCTAAAGTCATCCATGTTCTTCATCTTTGCCACCAGATTAAAAATTTTTTTTATTTAAATTAATTAAATTTAAAATCAAAAAATTAGAGGTGATTTTAATTCTGCATAGAAATCTCACCAAACCATTTATTATTATATACGATTTTACCCACTATTTTTATGTATTAACATTTTATAAGATTAATATTTAAATTTATTTACTTAGATCAGTAAATAAATAAACAGTACAACTATGAAGGATACAGAGGAACCAAAAGAAACGACAGAGAATGAAAACTCCACATTGGACAAGAGCGATATCATCTTTACAAATCCGGTGAGCAAAGGAGATTTAAAGAGTTCGAGTGCTGACAGCGATGAATCTATCAACAACAGCGGTGATGATCTGATCAAGAATACTGAAGGTTCAAGCACAAACGTATCACCTGAATTTACAAAGAGTACAGTATCTAAAACAATCATTACAAATGGAATTGATCAATCAATCACAGTTCCTACCAACTCTACTTCTATTTCACCCATCATCAATACTACAACAGCTGATATAATCAACAACAACGGTGTTGAGATTCCTATTGATAATCATATGAATGGTTTACAAATAGCAAATAGTAATTCTAACAATAATATCATTAATCATACTATAATAGAGAGTCAACAATCACTACACACAGATATAAAGATACAAGATAATAAGTTGTATAATAATGTTTCGATTGTCACTCCCATAAGTTCACCACCGGTAACACAGATAGAGCTTGCCAATACACCAAAGCTATCAGAGATTTCAGAGGATCAAGAGACCTCTGATGACAAACCAAAATCAATAGACATACAGACAAGTGAAGAAGACGAAAAGAGAGCAGAGCAAGAGGCTAAAGAAAGAGGAAAGTTACATTATTTCAAATATTTATTTAAAAAGAATAAACACCGTTTAGATATTAAAGGAAATAAACGGTTTTATCTTGCAGCGCAAATTATTACAAGAATTGGTTTCTTTTCAAAGTGTATGTTATCAATATTTCAAATTAATTAATTATCTTATTTCAACAAGTTGTTAATTAGTATTTCTTTATCACTTTTTTTTAGTTTTAATGTATGTAACATTAGGATGTATTTCGATAGCGGCAGCAGTTGACAAGACAAGACAACCTCTGGGACCTGCAGGTGCATTTGAAGAGCTACAAGAGATGTTTAGTGGTGGAGTTAGTTTTTTGTTAATTATTGGTCTCTGGTGTTATGGCACATGGGGAATATTCTTTGTAATCTTTGATATAGATCAGCTTGGAAGGAAAACAGCTGGTGCTATATTGAAGAGATTTGGTCGTATTTTTTCATCTGGTTTCTATTTTGTGCTTGGTGTAGATGCCGCTCAAGTGTTGGCGCATACCCGACACGGAGAAGACAAGTCTGGTACAGAACAAATTCTAATATGGCTGTATGCAAGTGTTGCTGGAAAAATCTTGGTCTGTGTCATTGGTGTGGTCATGTTTGTAGTATCAATCGTTTATTTGGTGTATTTCATTAAACCCGATAAATTTAAAAAAGAGTTGTCCACCGAAAGAATGACCAAAGGTCTATTCTATACTTCTCTAGCATTTGCAAGAATCGGTGCAATCGGTAGAAGTATGTTCTTTGCTGCTTTTGGATCATGTTTAATCAAAGTAAATATATCTCGAATTGTATTCGCAACCTACATTTTAACTAATAATTTATTCAGGCAGTAGCAGATTTGAATAAAGGTCGGGATGCAGATGCTTCATTACTGGGTTTCCAAGGTGTATTTAGAGCGATTGCAAGATTTAACTCAACCTTGTTGTTTATTATAGCAGCACTAATTGTAATCTACGCATTCTGGTGTTTGTGGTTAGTTGCATTTAGACGACTCCCGGCACATCAAGATGCCCAAGTTGCTCAGAGTTTGTTGGGTACAAAAATTGATAAGCACTTAAAATTCAATGGAATAATTTTTCACAGTCAGCGTAGTTATTATGCTAATCAAGCAGAAATGGAGGAAGCAGGAAATCAAAACGACCATTGAAATAAAATATTGTTTATTATTTTTATCAAAAAAGTAATTAGTAGTTTACTAGTTCTATTATTAGAATCAATCAAATTATTCTATAAAATTAATTATTAATAATTGTATTGTATGGAGAGAAATTTTTTTTTTTCCCATTTTTTTATTACCACACAAAAAAATTGTCATGGTTGTAAACCATCATTTTTGTTTGTGTTAATTTACAAAATATGATATAAAATAAATTACGATTTATATGATATCATATCTTTTAGATTTACTATAAAAAGATGGATTGATTGTTTTTTTTTAAATCAACAAATTCAATTAAATCTAATTTTATTAATTAAACAAAATAAACTTTTATAAACTATGACTATTCTTGGTAGGTCAAAAAAAAAATAAAAAATAATAATAATAATTTGAAGAGGATTGATTATTAATAAAAAAATTTTTTTTGATACAGCTTCATTAAGTTCATTGGGTGCTGGTGGAATGGTATCTGGAAATGTATCGAAATCCATGTCGTTTGGTACCGGAAGTTCAATCAAACAAGGTTCAAACATGGTCAGTTGTGGTGGTGGAAGAGGTGGCAAGTCTGCTGGGGGAGGACTTTTAGGTGGATTGCTTGGTGGTAGTGGTGGTGGATTACTCGGTGGATTGCTCGGTGGAGGTGGTAATGGTGGTGGTAATACATTCCTTTCGGGTAGCAATGATGCTGGATTCGGATGTAACTGTGGATGTTAAAATCAAATATTTATATATTTTTTTCAATAAATTAATCATTAAGTTGGTTCAATCTTCAATTACTTATTAGTATCATTTAATTTATTTACAGGTTTTATTTATTGATTATTTCCCACCTAAAAGAGCTGGTGGTTTGAATACATTCCAAAACATATCTACTACACCACCTGTGTTTTCTGATCCTGCAATCGAAATCTTTAAAGAATAGGTTAGTTAGGGAAGTTGTCTCTAAAATAATGAAAATCAATAACATACAGTAAAAGGGAAAGGATTTTGATCTTTTGCTGTTATTGGTGGTATGTTCTTATCTTGATTTACAATTACAATAATCTTTTGTATGGTATCTCTAAGTTGTTGAAATAATGCTTGAGAATCCAACGTAGGTACTAGTTGAAAAGTTACAATCCATTGTTCCCAACAAACGTTTTCTGTCGATGAAAAGAAAGTAGTTTTCTGTCGTTTTTCATAAAATGATACGGATAGCTATATAATAATTGTTAACTGGTGCACAAAGTAATAAAAGAGATTATAAAGTACTTACTTGAGCAGTTTTAGCTTTTCTTTTTATGATAGATGATAATAGTTCCTCTGATTTCTCTTCAACATGTTTCGTAGTTTGCTGATCGTCTAGCTTTGTAAATGTAAAATCAGTGCAATCTAAAGTTGCTTCTTTAGGTTTAATCGTACCAAGACATCGTTGAAACAATATACTATGTAATAGACATTGAACAACTTCTTTAAGTTGTGAGTATTGTAAATTCTATTATATTTACATTAATAAAGGGATATACGTAATACCTAATTGTACAATAGAATAAATTATATACCTACTATTTCTAATATATATTGTTGTGCGTTCATATTGAATATATTTCCATTTATATATTTGTGTGTGTATTAATTATTATAATATGAATAACAAACACAACACCATTAATATTATTAATATTTTTTTTTTTTTAATATTTTTTTTAAATAATTTTATTTTCATTTCTAAAATGATTCATGAAGTGATAAGATAAATCTTGAGCAGAGAAATAAGAGTATTAAAAAATAATTATAATAAAAATGAAAGAGTCTGCATGGGCAACATTATTTGTTGGAACATTAGTTGCTTATGGTGTTTTAAATCGTCCAAAGAGTACCATTATAAATGATATAAGAGATCTCATTAGCCATAAGAACATCACCAATAATAATGAAATTACAAAACAGAACTCTGTAGACGATACAAAAGCGACAACTGTGATTTTGGCAACACCAAACAATCAATTACCTACTTTAAGCATAGATAATGTAAGCAAAGCTATCAGAAATAAATACAACAACGCAATGAACAAATGTTAGCAGCTATGAACCCTCATACTAATTTCCACTAATATACTTAATAGTTATCCAATGTCGATAGTAGTCTACAAATATTTGATAAAAATAATACAATCAAAAGAAGAGTATTTTTTAGTTAACAACAATAGAAAAAAAAAAAAAAAAAACCTTTTTTGTAAATAAAAAATAAAATAATTTAAAATTAATTAATATATTATTATTATTTTAATTTTTTTAAATTAATTTAAATGAATCAAAGATAAAGAAACAGGATGAGTATAAACTATCATACTCTGATCTGGTGGTACGGAAAGATAAAAGTACACCATAACGACGTTTGACTACTGCACACTTGAATGTTGCCTTGAGTTGTTCATTACCGATCTGTCTGTCGAAACCGAGCATCTCTACCAAGCTTGCTTTATATTTGTCGAGTCTTGTGATTTTATCGCTGGCAACTCTTGGTTGTTCAAGTGATTCATTGTGGAAGTGCATGATAAGTTGCTTGTACTCCTCTTGGTTGACTGCCGATCCGATATCCTCATAGGTGATGCTAAAAACTGGATTGTCAATCTTACTCTTTGTGCTGGTGAACATGATCGCTTCGTTGGTGGAAAACTTTGCGGCAACCTCAAAGTGCTTTGGGATTTGCAAAGCGTATGACTTGATGAGGTGTGCAAAGATAGAGTATGACAAGAGTTCACCCTCGGTATTAGAGTTTCCTTCCTCTGTCAACTTGAAACCAGCCAACACAGCATCGAGTATATTGCTCCAGTGTTTCATGTCGCCGGCAGCGGAAATCAAGGTTGTTGTAAAGACGTGTTGCTTACCGATGACTACCATTGCAATCTGTTGGTCTTGACCTTTCGATTTGTATTGAAGTCTGAGGAATTCTACGTTGCACGATGGCAGACTGACGAGTTTGGCCATTGACGAGCTAAGGTCAACAGTAGAGTCGCGATCGGCACGAGTACGTACACGTTGTGCTTGTTGGGAGAGGAACTTTGACACCGATTCAACTTGCTTTGGGAATTGTTCGATCGAGTGAATCAATGTGAGATTGTCCTTCTCCGATTGATATTGGATAATGGTTGAGGTTTCACTACGCTTATCGAGAGTGACCTTCCATTGTTTTGGTGCAAATAGATTGTAACGCATAATGCTCTTGTTGTTGTCATCGACAGTCAGTGTACCTGTTGCTTCATCTAAAATGATATATTTATAACCTTTGGGTGAGAAGATTCCGAATGAGCTGACGGCTTTCTCATAGACCTCCAAGAGTGATGCCTCACGAGATGGTACCGACAAGGTGATTACATATGTAAAGTAGTCTTTAATAAAGAAGGATTGGTTGATCTTCAACAAAGTACCTTCGTTCTCCAACATATAGGACATGTAATATCCGTCATGTACTTGCTCGCCACTACCAATCTTTGTACTTCCATACTTTAATGATTTAGCTCCCATCTGTACGACTTGTTGCTTAGAGATTTCTAAAAATTCATCTGATGATGGAAGTACATCACTTCCTGTTGCAGCTTTAATTTTAAATTATTAAAATAGAAAATAAATATTAATACTCGGATGATGTTTATCTTTAGAGTAATATAGTAGTAGCATACCTTTGAGATCTTGAATGCTTACATTCAAGTTTAACATTCCATTCTCTTGTTGTGATTGTGAAGAAATGGGTGGTGTGAATAGTGCAACAGAGAATCCCATATTCTCAACTACTTTCCAACCCTTTGGATATTCTAAAGTGAATCCATGTGTAAATGTTTCGTATTTTGAGAATTCCATTCCTTTTTTACTTAATATTATTAGTGATAAGTATAAACTTTAATACTGATAATGAAAAAGTAAAAAAAAATCGAAAAAAATTAAAATTTTTAAAAAAAACAAAAAAAAACAAAAAAAAATGTAAAATTAAAAAAATAAATATTTTCATGAATATTTATGTCATCGATCGAATGTATTATTTAAAAAAAAAAAAAAATGTAAATTTATTTTTTATACATATCCTTTGAAAATAATGGATTATTTGAAATCAATTTAAGATCGATGTTTTGTTGTTTATCATCTTTGTCGTGTTGTTTGTCAAGCAGATCCTGATAAGCTTTTGTTGGTATCCATTCGGGGTGTGGCAATGCATTGTTGTCAGCAAGACAATCGACAACACGTTGTGCATCAATTTCCCAGCGATCCAAAGAGAGACTGAGATCGGAAATGATCTTTCGTAGAAATCTAACTAAAGAATGTCTCATCTGATACAAAACTTCACCGTGAGGTAGACACATGTGTTGTTCCAACAGTGACATGATTCCTGAACTTTGAAACTCGAGAGGTAGCTGAACGATCGCTTCTTTCAGTTCTTCAAAATTGTTGTTGTTCTCTAGATCGTTGGCTGTTTCTGACTGTGCCAATTCCTCTGTGAATTTCTTATCGTCAGCAACCCAACATTCATTATCATCATAGGTGATAGTCTCTTGATCTTTTGGTTTTATTTGATTTCCTTCAGTCTGTTGTTGTTCTTTATCTTCATTTTCCTCTATGTTATCTACATCTATTCTTTGTTCATAACAAGCTACTAATTGTTCATGTAACAATAGATTTGACTCTTCCATCTCTGTAATATATAGTCCAATGTCAAACATTGATTTACTGTTGTTGAGTGCCTTTGAAATGAGTGACCACAGTCCAATTGGATTCTCTTTCAACATCGTTGGGTATCTATATAGATAATTGCTAACCATTATCTTTTCTGCTGATTTAAACTGTGTGACTGCTTTATATTGCTTGTGATTTGGATGGGTTGTTGATAATACTTTTGTCATCATTGTTTGTTGTGACTCTGATTCTGACTTTGATGATGATTGATTTGTTTTAGATACTTTCCAACCTAAATCGATGGTTGGTATAACTTCAGAGATATTGTAATCATAGGTCGGTAGTATAGAAGACATTGTTTTGGGAGGTGTTGTGCTTTCAGAGAGTTTAAAAATGACACCACCTCCAAAGTTATTTAAATCACTATCTTGCTTATTATTATTGTTAACTCTATCATTTGGTTTATCTACTTCCATTTGTTGTTGTTGTTGCTGTAGTTGCTCATCATATGGAATGATATTTAATAATGATTGTGTTTCTGTTGTACTTTGATTGGGTAATGGCTGTTGTTGTTGTTGAGGTAGTTCTTTCTGTTCTTCTTTTAATAATGGTGCATTAGGTTTGCTATTCAATGTATCATTATAGAAAGAAGAAGTTTGACTTGATCTGTTCCTTTTCAGTAGTCGTTGATAAAGTGTACTCTGTTGAACAGCACTACGCTTGTTATTAGTGACACCAATGAAACCGTGATTGAATGTTTGGTCTTGTTTATCATATCCACAGTCAACGAAACCATTTTCGAGATCTTCTATATGCCAAGGAAACGGTTTTTTGAGTTTACATTCACATATGTTTTCACTAAAATCATATACATCATCATAGTCTTGATCATCCAAATGCTTATCAAGATCTGCTGAATAGTGAAGCATAGTAATCTATATCGATCTTGTTTATTATATATTTAAAAATAACAATTAAAACCGCTGAATGATTATAAAAAAAAATATATTTTTTTACTTGATAAAATAATTTATCTAAATCGTTGCATTAATTTAACTCATTGGTCAATTATATCAACATAATATTAGAGAAGAATTAATTGTTAATTTTTTTTGTAAACATTGTTATAAATTTTTATTAGATACAACCATATAAGAGAAATATCTTCTACAACTATGGACGATTGCCAAGTATGTAACCGTTACCAGTGCGACTGCTATTGTTTTCTGGAACACAAAGAGATCTCGAATTACTCTTTTTATTAAGAAAATTAATTCTTTGAATTAAACCACACGGAATATGCACATAATATTCATTTTCTTATAAATCTTTAAATTAAAAGGGAAATTTCTATAATTGTAGTTATTTTAATATAAATCTACATCAATATTTATAATAATTTAAACAAAACCAATAAATTACTTATGATAATCTTGAATTTTTTTATAAATTATATCAAAAATATTTTTAAATTAAATATCTCAATATATCAAAACTCTCTTGATGTGTCAATCGTAACCTTTTATTTGAATAATGCACAGTTTGAAATAAAATTAAAGATTGGTTGTGTTCTTATTGCAGTGTGAAGATGAGTGGGAACTATTATTTTAATGATCGACTCATCGTCTTTATCTTTTTCTTTCGAATAAACTTCATAGGTTTTACCGATTAATTCGATAATGAATTTCAAGGATGCCTGAATAGATAAAAAAAGGTCATGTTAGTTTTACATTTTCCAATTATTTATTTTTTACGATATCATTGTATCTTACCATATATAAAACTTCAGTTGCATTCAAATCATCTAAATTGATGTTTAACAAAGAAACCACCTCTTTTATGAATTGGATTTGATGAGTACCACTTGAATATCGTTTATTATTCAATAAAACCATTTGGCTCTGTGTAGAAGCAAAAAAACATTGTTAATAGATGTTAGATTGGAATATAGATTAGACAAAGCGAAATAAAATAGTTACTCTTGGATCAGGTGATGGTTGTTTTGATTCAGAATCGAAATACGATGGATAGGTGATACGAATTTGTGGGAATGAGCTGTTTAATGTTGTATATGATGTCAGACATGCAACACTACCACAGTGACGCTGTTTTTGATCAAAAAAGTCTGGTGTGTGGCCGGTACCACAGTATTTACAAAAGAAAATGGGATAGGGTCCAAGTGTTTTCTTGAGTGGTAGGTTGATCGTTGAGCTTATCATTTGATTGTTGTTGTTGTTGTTGTTGTTGTTGTTGTTGTTGATTGTATTCGGTGTGATATTGCTAGTGAGTATTGAACTGTTATTCATAACCAACGTTGATTTCGGTTCATTGAAGGCCACTGTCGTTGGTGTTGTCGCTGTTGTTGAAGAGGACGAGGAGGAAGAGGAAGTAGCTGCCGATGGTGAAAATAATGAGAGTGCCCATTGTGGTAGTGTAGGTTGTTGTTGTTGTGGTTGTGCTGCAGGTGCAGGTTTCTTAAATTTAGTTGCTTTTGGTTTTGGTGTTTGTATAGTTGGTGAAGGTAAAGGTGATTTACTCTCTTCTGTCTTTACAGGAATATTGTTGGTGATTGGTATAGTAGAAGTAGAGACGACAGCATTGGCTGTACTATTATTATCTCTAGGTGAAATTAGTTCTTGCTTAACTGTTATATTATCAATATTATTGATTGTTTTAATAGATGTATCTTGCTTTTCATTATTATTTGTTTCTTTTGACTCTAAACTATTATTATTATTATTATTATCTATTGTAGGTTTATCTTGTATCCTATCTTTAAGGTCAGTATCTTTGTCTATAATATTACTACTAGTGGTGATGTTGTTGTTGTTGTTGTTATCTTTGCTATCTTTATCTTTGAGTGCTTCATTGTTATGCTGCTCTTTATCAGTAAGTTTATCATTTTCCTTCTCTCTTTTGGTTGCTTTTTCCAAAAGAAAGTGTGCTCTTTGTAGATCAGTCATTGGAGTATGTTTGTGCTCTTTACACCAATCAATGATATCTCTTAAAGTAAAACTAGTATTTAGCTTCTTGTTGATTGACTTTCTAATTAATTTAAAGCGACGATACTGTAATGATATTAAATGAAATGTTAGTGATTATTATATCATTTTTAATAAAAGCTATATACCTCTGTTGATTTCTGTTTACCGACAGTCCATGACTTCCATTCTTCTAAAGATGAAGCTATTCTATATGGGAATTTAGATTTATTATCTTTTTCTAATGTTAAATATAGATTGTTAGTATCTTGGATTTAAATATTAAAAATTGATTCTCTCATAATTACCTCTTATCGTTGGATATCTAGTTGCAAGTGATTTAAGCTGTTCAAAAACAGTCTCTGATTCAATGGTTAAAACTGCTGAAATATCTCGCTTCTTACTTGATTTACTTTTTTGATTATTATCATTCTTAAAATCACTATCTTCTTTATCATCTTTCTCTTTCTCTTTTTCTTTTTCTTTTACTGTATCTTTTTCTTTATCTTTATCTTGTTCTTTCTCATTCTCTTTTTCTTCACTGTTATTATTATTATTATTATTATTATTATTATTATTTAATTCTTCAATCTTTGATTTTAATAACAATTTTTCTCTTTGGTCAAAAAAGAACCTATCTAAATTAATATCAGTTGTAGTCTCACCACCGACAGTGGTAATACCATATTGTATTGGAAGTTGATTTAACTAATTAACAAGTACAAGTAAGCTATGTTAGATGATAATCGATCAAACAAAGATATTATTGCTTACCTTTAAATTATGAAATATATCTATTGGTTTGTTCCTGTGATCCTTAAAGAAAAGTGTAACACGTACGGTAAACTCACCCCAGCCTCTTCTAGTGATATGGAATGGTGGATGCTCAAGTTCGATAATGTCGTTCGGTGCAAATGAATCGTGAAGATAGACTCTTACTTTTTTGATAAAGTATGAAAGATCTGGTTCTGCTTCAGGTCCTCTGACATACACCTTCCATTTATGAGTTGATTTGTCTGCACCTCTCTGATCAGGTGCTATTTGTGTCGATGTGTTACCAACAATAATTCTCTTTTTAACATAGAATCTTGAACTAGATTCCTCTGGTAGATTGGTATTCGTAGATGATGATGATAATGGTGATACCACTGGTGTTGTTGGTGATGGTAATTGTGTTTCACCTGTTACTGCCGATGCTGCTGCTGCTGCCGTTGATGACGATGTGGTTGTAGTAGTGGTTGTTGTTGTTGTGGTTGGCTTCTTTTTCTTTGTTAAAGGAAGATAAGGTTTGCTTGGAGTATTAGAGTTTGGTGGAAATTGAATTACATTGTTACTAGTTTGTAAAAGTGGATGTGTTTGTTGTTGTTGTTGCTGCTGTTGTTGTTGTTGTTGTTGTTGTTGTTGTTTATTTTTAATATTATTCTCTAAAAGTTCTTTACTGTTTGTTGTTGAGAATCCCATGAGTAAATCTCTGGACGGATCATCGTATGGCACCACCTTTTCATCAACAACAATACCACACTTGAGTAGAAGATCATCAAGAGTATCATAGGATATTCCATGCTTATTTCTGTTGTGATGTCTAAATCCTGTCATGTTATGGAAGTTCACTCTATGACAAACTCTACACTTTAATCTAATTAGATTATAAACACATTAGTTATTAATAAAGCAATATATCTAAACAACAATTAATAGATATTTACTGTAAAAATACACCATCATTTCTTCTATAGTATAATGGATAATCACTATCATTCTTTGATTTTTTAGTTGAACCACTGCCAGTGTTGGAAGTCGAAGAGTGATTGGAGGAAGATGAAGATGAGGTTGTCTTCTTGGTTGCCGATAAACTTGTTGTTGGAGCATCAGTTTTCTTCTTGAAATGTGATGATCGGTATCGCTGCATCTGATTGAGCATCTCCTTGACCTTTAAGATATTGGTATCGATCTTAAGTAGTTCATCCTCTTTGATATGTATCTCAAGTGTAAACTCTTTTTCAAACAATTTCGAAAGTCTATCGGCTAGCTGTACTCTATCTTTAAATCATAAATAGTAACTTGTTAGTCAATGAAATGAAACAAAATATTCGATAACATAAACAAACCTTGTTGATTATTAATGATAAGCTTTCTCCTTAGCTTTGAAAGTGATTGATTTAATATTGAAAATAAACTTGTATCATTCTGTCGATTATTGTTGTTATTGTTATTGTCATCGTTGTTGTCATAAGTGTAATGATGTCGTTGCGTCAGGGTCATTGGTTGACGAACATCTTCACCATCAACATCATCAGCAACAGAAGAATCATCATTACTCTTTTTCAGGTTATCTTTTCTTGTTGCTGTTGCTGTAGTTGTATTTATAATGATTGTGTTACTATTATTATTTTTTTGTATAACATTATTTAATTCATTTAGCTTGCTATCTAATTGTAATTTATGATTATTTAAAAGTGATGTGTAGTTTTGATTCAGTTGATCGATATGTAATCTTTGAATCTCTAAGAGTTGCTTGGTAAACTCTAAATATTTAGGATCACCTTGAAACTGTTGTTGTTGTTGTTGACTCGTCAACAAAGTATCTACAGCCAACTGATATGAATCAACCACATTATTACTACTAATATTATCTTTATTGCTATTAGTATCTGTTAAAGCATTGTTCTGGTTCACACTCATCGATGATTTGTCTTCATGACTCATATCTTTTAAGTAAAATTAAATTGATTAAAAAGCTATGATTGTTGTGCTCTTCAAATTAAAAAAAAAAAAAAAATTTAAAATCTTAAATAATTTTTAAAGTTCTCAAAAAAATTAGAATTATTATTATTTCATTTTCTTGTAAAATTTTGTTGCCCTTCAAAAAAATAATAATATTTTTAATTTATTATTATTTTAGTTTCAAATTTCCTCAGTTGAAATAAAATATTGTTTATTTTTATCATTAAATAATTAGAAGTTCTATTCGAAAAATTGTCTGAAAAATCAATTTCATTATAAATTTAAAAAATAAATAAACTTTAGATATTTAAAAATAAAAAATAAATTGATCAATTTATTAATATAGAATTATATTTTATGATTACTTGTGTGTCTATTATTGTTTTGCAAACCCGAATGACAAAACAGTTGGAAAAAGTGTGTGGGAAAAATATAAATCTTTCATTTTTCTCAGATCAAAAAACGAGTAATTTTTTTTTTTTTTTTTTTAATAAATCTATCTTTTTATCTCTTTTTTTTTTTTTTTTTGTATATTTTATATATATTTGTAACAACAAAAACTATGGATGTTTTAGAATTAATTAGAAGCAGTACAGATGTTGTTTGTCAACAATCAAAACATGTAAAGATCAACGATGCAAATCTGACAAAAGAGTGTCATGAATTCGTAACGCAACACAAGATCAAAGCACACAAAGAGATTTGGGCAGACAATGACTTTCATTTTTGTGATGTCGACAGAACACAACCTGCAGGTCACCCAACCTATCAATCAGAGTTGACTGCCAAGTTTATTATCGTTTTAGATTGTTTGAATCACTGTTTCTGGCCAGACGAATCGTTGGAGTATCACCATCTTGGAAATGGTTTGAAGCGAACACTACTCGCCGACTCCAAGGCATTCGATGCCGATCGTCTCATCACCGTTACACCAGAGATATTGAAGCAATGGTTCGACAGAGAGCTACCAAACGCTGAAGAAAGATGTCGTCTCCTCCAAGAAGTTGGACACGCACTCATTGAGCACTTTAACGGTAGCATTCGTGAATTGATTCTCTCTGCAAAAAACAGTGCATCTAAATTGGTTGATGTAAGTAGTAGTAGCAGTAGTAATAATAATTAATTATAATAATAATAAGAAAGTTATTAATTAATCTTTATTAATAATAATCATAATAATAATAATAGATTGTAACAAGATATTTCTGGGGATTCAGAGATAGTACTGTATATAAAGGAAGACAAGTATTCTTGTATAAGAGAGCACAGATTTTTGTAGGTGATTTATGGGGTGCATACGAAGGAAAAGGTCTTGGTCATTTCAACGACATCGAACGTTTGACAATGTTTGCCGACTATCGTGTACCACAAATTCTGAGGGAAATGGGTATCTTGGAGTACAGCGAAGAACTCTCAAAGTTGGTCGACAACAAACAAGAGATTCCAGTTGGTTCCGAGATGGAGGTTGAAATTAGAGCAGTCACCGTTCAAGCTGTCGAGAAAATGAGAGATGTATTCAACGCCAATCAATGTAACCTTTTAGCTTTGGAGATCGATTGGATGCTTTGGGGTAGAGGTGAAGCAATGTTGGATAGATTACCACCACACCACCGTACTTTTACCATATTTTATTAAATAAAATAATAAAATAAATATTTATTATGTAAAACCTCCCTGAAAAAAATTAAATATCTATAAACATGTTGAACAAAAAAAAAAAAAAAAAGATATTATAATATATATATATATATATATATATATATATATATATCTAGTTATAACCTAATTAATTATTTAGTTTTTAAATATTTAAATTATTTATTCTTATTATTATTATGTTATGATCATTAATTATATTATATATTTATTTTTTGGATATCTTTTGTTTTTTGTTTTTTTTTTTTGTTATCAAATGTTTAGGTTTGATGATCTTTCTTTTTAACAGAGAACATCAACGCGCTCGAGTTTAAAAGATAGTTTTAAGGGAACCTTCGAATTTAAGGATTGAGTTGATGAATGAATCGGTTTCTTTGGCGTGGAAACGGTTGTCGATGTGAATCATATCTTGGTCGATGGTGAAGTCGATGTCCATTTGGTTGTTCCATTTGTTGTCACCCTTACCCAAGACGTTGATGAGCTTGTGTTTGTAGCAGGTGAGTTTAACACGGAGATCCTCTGGATCCATTTGGAGGAGGGTCGCCAATTTCTGGATGGAGATACTAGAGTAGAGTGTGATATAACTACGAATGGTGGTCAACAATGATTGTTGCTTGACCTCTTCGATGAACAGCGAGAGTTGGAGACGGGGTGGGTCAAACACTGTCTGGTTCAATCCAGAGATGTACGGTGACACTGGTCCGACACAACGTGGTGATGCGAAAGTAAAGAGCTCTTCGTAGACAGCGATCTCTCCCTTTTGCATTCTGAGTAATTTTTCACCAAACTTCTCTTTCAACAAGTTGTTTACGTTCTCGTCGATCTTGCTTGGGTATAATGCTTGACAGATGGCCAACAAAGCATACATTTTATCAATCTTTTTCTCATTCTATAAAATAAAGATATAATGCAACGATTATTAATATTACTAATAAATATTAAATTATGATTGTGTAAACTTACATGATCGGCTTGGAAGTTTTGAGCCTTTGATTTCGAAGCCATTGAAATTAAAATGGTATTCAATGCTTTGTTTGCTTCGTTGTATCTTCTTGACATAAGATAGGCATAGGCGAGATAATAGTATAAGGTAATATGACAAGCAGTTACAAATGTATACATAGCCTATTAATTAATAATTAGTTTAATTTGTTAATAAAGTTGATTGATTGATTGATTATTATTTGTTACATACTCTTTTACCCATATCGATTAATTCCAATGTCTTTAATGCCAAAGTGTAATCACCGAGTAAACATTGTACACGAACCAAACTTATAATACTGTAATAACCGAGCATCTTGTAGACTGGATGAGAACAAAAGTCGTCGAGCGAGGATTCGGTACCAGAGGCGGGACTGTTGAAGATCTGTGATTTTCTGATGAGGAAGTAGAGGTATTGAATGACAGAGGTGGTATCCCAGATATCTGGATTCTCACTCAAGAATTCAACATCGGACTTCTTTAATTTAGCCTTGGCAAAGGTGTGATATTGATAGACAAACTCATCGACAATATCCCAAACCCATGCATTTGGCAAATCGATTTCGACTTCGGTTGGTGTTTGAGCGTCGAGAAGTGTGTTGAAAATCAATGCATAGTTTTGCCATGACTCTACACACACATGAATATTTGGTTGACTTACACGTGCATAATAATAACGATAGTAAATCTCCTTATATAATAAAATAAAGAATTTATCAGTGACTAAAAAATAATAATAATAATAATAATAAAATAAATAATAAATAATAAAAAATAAAGATGTTAGTTTAAACAAAGTTTTTAAATAGCTATTTTGTTATTATTATTATTATTATTATTATTATTTACATACAGTTATTTTCATCGATTCTATCACCTAATAATGCAAGGAATACTTCTACGGTTGGAAGTGCACAATTTGGATAGTAGATTTCACATGAACGGAAAAAGTTGTCATAAGACAAGAGAATGTCTTGATGTGATTGTGAACGGAAGTTGTTGAGGAAGGTGATCATGTAGTTGACGACTGGGGTGTAAAGTACGGTGGCTGGTGGGAGGAAGTTCAAGAATTGGTTAGATCCTTGTTGTTGAGCTTGTTGTGCTTGTTGGTATTGGTGGAGTTGTTGCAACTGTTGTGGATTCAAACTAATTGGGAATGACTCAACATTGGCGGGTGGCTTACGATGCTTTCCACCTTGTTGTTGTCCTTGTCCACCTTGTTGTTGTTGCTGTTGTTGACCATCTTGTTGTTGACCACCTTGTTGATGATTGTTTTGATTACGGTTCTTTCCACCACCAGCTTGTCTGTTGTTGTTACCTCCTTGCTGATTATTACGTTGTTGACCACCTTGACGTTGCTGATTGTTGTTATTCTTACGTTGGTGTTGTGGTCTACCACCTTGTTGTTGTTGTTGCTGTTGTTGTTGCTCGGCAACTGGTGCAGATGAAGACTCCATATTGTTGCTATTATCTAAACTAAATTAACTAATCTAAAATAGAACAATATTACTATTATCAATCAATCAATCCAACAATAATAACAAAAATTGAAAAAAACTTTTTTTGTTGAACTTTAAATTTATTTTATTTTATTTTTTTTGTAATTTTTTTGACGACTAAAAAAAAAATTAAGCTTTCCAACACAATTCACAAAAGTTTTTTCGTAACGTTGAACTAACTCAACAACAACCATCCCTTTTAAAAAACAATTTTTTTTGATTAACTATTAAGTCGACTATTATTAATTGTTTGACCTAATATATCAATTAACATATTTTTTTATTGATTCTTTAATTATTTAATATTAATATTAATTTATTATAAATCAATTTAAATAAAACATGTCTCAATATCTAGTTGTCAATGAACAATGTTTGACAAAGGCAAATGGTAAGTTAATATTAACTTATTAGATTCAATATCTATTTTAAAAATATTATAGATGATCATATATATATATATTAATATAAATTTATTATTATTATTATTATTATTATTATAGAATTTGTTCAAATGGGACAACCAATTGCAGCTTTGGACACAATGAGAGAGTTATTGTTGTTCAGAAACATTTGGCATCCATCGTTGGAACATGTCATGTCGTTGTATATCAGATTGTGTGTTGATATTCAACCAGGTACACCAGCAGCAAGAGATCAAGTGTTATACATTAAGGATGGTCTTCATCAATATCGTGGATCACTCACCAATCAAAAGGAGTTCAACGTTGTTCCATTGGACAATATCTTGAGAGATTTGTTGACTCGTTTGGATGCCAAGCTCGAGGAAGCCAAGAGTGCTGCCGCCGCAGCTTCCGAAGGTCTCGAAGCCGAGGCTGCCGCTGCCATCACCGAAGAGAAATTGAACCCACAATTGAAATTGATGTCGGAAGTCTACCAAATCCTCTTGGATATCCTCAAGCACAACAAGCTCGAAGCTATCTACCAGAAGATCTCTGCACAAGCCATCAACTTTTGTCAAGTCTATGACCGTAAAAAGGATTTCTACAGAATCGGTGAAATCTTCCGTAACCACGTAGAGAACCTCATCAAATCCGCCAATCAATACACCACACCAGACACCATCTACACTCACATCGATGTTCGTTTCTCACAGTTGAACGCTGCCATCGCCATGGGAATCTGGCAAGAGGCATTCCGTTCCATCGAGGACATCAACAGCTTGTTTGGTTTGCTCGCCAAGCCAAAGCCAAACGTGTTGGCCGCCTACTTCCAAAAGTTGGCACAAATCTACTGGGTTGCCGGTTCACACCTCCTCCATGCCTACGCTCTCTACAAGCATCTCTACTACAATAAGACCTACAACACCAACTTCTCCAACGAAGATTCAATGTTGTTCTCCTCGGTCTTGTTGGTTGCCGCCATCTCCTCGCCAGTCCAAGAGTCATCGCAATCCTCTTTGTTGCAATTCGACGCACAATCACAGAGAAACACATCGTTGGCTTCATTGCTCGGTCTCTCTGCCTATCCAAAGAGAGAGACTTTCATCGCTGAAGTTCGTCGTATCGCCACCAACGTCTACCCAGAGTTAGCCGATCTCATGAACACCTTTGATCGTCGTAGCTCACCACTCAACTTGGCCACTCAATTGGCACCAAAGATTGAGTTTATCAAGCAACACCCACAATTGGCCCAATACAACAAGTCATTCCTCAAGACCATCTTCACCAAGATCGCTCTCCAAGTCAGTCAAGTCTTTGAGGTCATCAAGATCAGCGAGTTTGTCAAGTTGATCCCATTCTTTGACCGTAATGAAATCGAATTGTTGTTGCTCGACTCGATCAAGCGTAAATTGATCGGTGCTCGTATCGACCACCGTAATGGTGTTGTCCGTTTCGGTCACTACGACTTTGATTCCGCCAACATCGGTGACCAATTGTCCAACTTGGCTCAAGGTGTCCGTAAGGCTCTCAAGATGATCGAGTCCGAGCGTAAGGACGACTCTGCTGCCAAAGTCAAGCGTGAAGTCTACGTCAAGATTATCAACAGTTTGGGTGACGAACACCGTCGTATCTTGGCTCGTAAGGAGATCATCGAGAAGAAGAAGATCTACGTCGAGCAACAAGAGCGTCTCCGTCGTCAACGTGAAGAGGAACAATTGGCTGCCGCCGCTGCCCAAAAGGCAGAGAAGGATCAAGCCATGGTCAAGGAGAACTTGGAGAGACGTGAGAATGAGAACAAGGAACCAACTCGTTCTCAAATGATCAATCAAACCATCAACGCCATGGACAAGGCCAAGGTCGAGATGGCCACCAAGGTTGCCAAGCTCTCAAAGCAAATCTACTATTTGGAGCGTGCCTTCAGACATGAGGAAGTCCCAGTCATCAAGTCTCAACTCGAAGCCAAGCAATCCGAGGACAGAGAATACTTTGCCGCTCAACAAGCTGAACACCTCGCCAAGCACAAAGAGAGATTCGAATTGGACGTCAAAGAGAAGCACAGACTCGCCAGAATGTTCGACGACATCCAAGCTCACACCAACAAGGTACTCGACCAAAGAAGACAACACCTCCCAGCATTGCAAAAACAACAACAAGCCAGATTCGAGAAGTTCATGGAGCAACAGGCTGCCGAACAAGCTGCCAAGAAGGCCAAGAAAGAAGAAGAGAAACGTATTGCCGAAGAGAAGCGTATTCGTGAAGCTGAGGAAGCTGCCCGTCTTGAAAAGGAAAGACAAGAAGCTTTGGCCAACGAAACTTACTCACAAAGAAAGGAAAGAGAGAGACGTGAAAAGGCTGCCGCCGATGCTGCCGCCGGTGTCTCTCCCAAGGAAGAAAACTGGAGAGGACGTGATGAGCCAAGACGTGATGAGAGTTGGGGAAGAGAGCCAAGACGTGATGAACCAAGAGAAGGTGGTTGGGGAAGAGAACCAAGACGTGATGAACCAAGAGAAGGTGGTTGGGGAAGACGTGATGAACCAAGACGTGACGATGGTCCATGGGGAAGACGTGAAGAGCCAAGACGTGACGAACCAAGAGAAGGTGGTTGGAGAGATGCTCCAAGAGATGCTCCAAGAGATGCTCCAAGAGATGCTCCAAGAGATGCTCCAAGAGATGCTCCAAGAGATGCTCCAAGAGATGCTCCAAGAGACGCACCAAGACGTGACGATGGTCCATGGGGAAGAGAACCAAGACGTGATGAACCAAGAGAAGGTGGATGGAGAGATGCTCCAAGAGATGCTCCAAGAGACGTACCAAGACGTGACGAACCAAGAAGAGAAGAGGGTGGATGGAGAGATGGTCCAAGACGTGATGAGCCAAGAAGAGAAGAAGGTGGATGGAGAGAAGGTCCAAGAGACGGACCAAGAGATGGTCCAAGACGTGATGAGCCAAGAAGAGAAGAAGGTGGTTGGAGAGATGGTCCAAGACGTGATGAACCAAAACGTGAAGAAGGTGGATGGAGAGATGGTCCAAGAGACGGACCAAGAGATGGTCCAAGAGATGGACAAAGAGGTGGATTCGGTCCAAAGCGTGACGAACCAAGAGACGGACAAAGAGGTGGATTCGGTCCAAAGCGTGACGAACCAAAGGACAACAAGAACAAGGTTGATGCTGATGGTTGGACCACTGTCGGAGGAAAGAAGAAATAAACTGCTGTTTGTTTATCTTGGACAATCAAAGAAATCAAAAAAGTTAATGTGGAATTCTTTTCTCAATTTTAAATAAAACAAAATTCATTTTTCGAATTCACTTTTCAATCAAATCACTTGTTTTTTTTATTGTAATTATGAAAATATTTAATCCAACATTTTTTATTTCTAATCATTCATTATCGTTCATTTATTTCTTCAATTTATATTAATAAAAAGATTATGTTTTGTTATAGATTTAAGAATGCTAGGCTTTAACTTTTTTGGAATTTTGAACTGACATTTAAAACTGATTTGATTTGTAAATTGAGATCTGAACGATTGTTTTTTTTTTCAAACCATTATCAGGATTTTTGATTAAAATAGGAATCTATAATATCAGATAAAGTTTATTTTTCTTTTCAAAACAAAAACCATGGTTTCCAATTTTCAAAATAATTTCTTTTTATAGTAATAAAGATTTATTCAAAAAAAACAAAATAAAAATTTCATTTTTCAAACTAAAATTAAAAAATAAATAGATCTTTAAAAAAACAATTAAAAATTAATTTATATGTCCAATGAATTTTTAAAACTGGGGTCTATTTTTAAGTTTTTTAAGTGTGGGTTTCTCTTATGGAAAAAATGGGGTTTTTAATTAAAAAAACACCACACACCCACCTGGTTAAAGTATATTATGTGGTGTATTTAAAATTTTTTTTACTACAAAGTATTAATGAGGAAGAATGATACGGATCTAACTTTTAGGACATTACACGAATCGCAATGAGAATTGTGTTGGATGTTCAATTTTGTATGTGGGGTGGTATATAGAGTGGGGTTAAATTTAAAAGAAGATGGTGATATATTTTTAAGAATGAAAAAAAAATCAAAAACAACACCCTCATTATATTAATATTATTTTTTAATATTATTTCTGGATGAGTTTGATATCATTTTTATATTTAAATGTCAAAAGAGTGAAGTGACGACACAGAAAAGTTAAACACTGAAAAACTTAATTCCAACAACAACACGACGACAGTTTTTATTTATATTTTATTTAAATATATTCTATAAGGATTCCCTTATTAGTCTGGGAAACTCGTTGTTTTCAACAAACACACAAGTTAGATTACTCATACATCCTCGCATTAATTTTCGTTTTCTATTGTCAATATTATTGATCCCTATCAACTATTTAGATCCAAGAGAAATCCTCAACGTATCCACCTCATTCTCCAAAATATTAAAGTTATTAGTGTTACATCTATTTCCAAATTGATATTCGATTTCACCCCAATTTCAACAAAAGAACACTTTTCTGATATCTACCCTTTTTTTTGTTTATATATTAAAGTGTTTTTTTTAAATTTCAATGCAAAGACAATAATAGATGGAAAAGTATAGTTGACAAAGTTTGTTCAAAATAACCTACAACAAAAACAACGCTATCCCAAAATAATAATAACATAAAATAACTTACAATCCCAAAACAACAGAACCATTGTACACAACCACATATCAATTATATATGTTTAAATCTTAAAAGTAAATTAAAAAATCAACTTAATAAGATAGTGTATACTTTTCCAACACAGGATCCTCATTGTGGAGTGTTTGTCTTTTGTTTTTTCAAAGTCAATGTAGAACTAAGGGATTTAATTTTAATCACCCTTTTTCATTAGGTATGAAATTTCAGATAGCACAACACAGTTTCAAACCAAACTAACCACTCCAATAATTTTAATAACATTTTAGTTCCAATTCATTAATTATTCATTTTTTTTTTAAACTTTATAAATCTTATCTATCATATATCTATTAAACAATGAATACTTTATCCTTTTATCCATCCAACCCTTTTGTTCATCCATATGAAAATATTTATCAACAAGCTCAACAATATCCACCTTCACAACAACCATCTCAGCAACACTTTCAAGATTGTTCATCAAATAATCAACATTTTCAGAATAATAACTATGGTCAAAAACTAAGTGAACAACCAAACATGATGTACCAACAACCCACTGCCACCACAACCCACTATTATAAAAATGGATACAATCCATTCTATACCAATCATGCTACAAGTGCTATGACAGCAAATTCTGCAACAGGAATTTCCAATCAACATCATTTCATCCAACCACAACAAACAAAATACAGTACTACTACAAATAATAATATTAACAATTACCAATCTTCTCATATCAATGGAAGTTCATCTTCCAATAAAATCATTGACAAATCAGATTCATCAAAAGTATCATCCACCAACACAACAAGAAAACCAAGATCGAATGAACATCCAAATTCCCAATCTCTTGAGAGCTGGAATTTCAGTGGAGAAAGTACCTCACGAATCTATCAGACACTAAATAGGAGAGCAGAGTTTCATAAGAATTCTGCACACTCCAGAATTGTTTTTGTCAAGAAAGTATTCGGATGGTTAGCCGTTCACGACAGAGAATACCTCAACAACCATAAAACTGTGGATCTAGTAGTCGCAATTTCGGATATAATCAACATGATTATAAGTTTAATTGAACTTCATCGTGCTCCTTCTTTTGTTATCTACCTAATTATCCTTGCTTCCGATCGATTTGTAGAAAGAACCGGTATTAATCATCATCAAATTTTTAATTTATTATTAACAAGGTAGGTTGGTTTTTAAAATTTAATTTTTTTAAACTATGTTCTTATTAATTTATTTTTATAGTTCAATTGTAAATCTTAAATTCTGGAATGAAAGTATTTATATTCAAAACAAAACCATTGCAGATATCTTTTCCTTCAATGTAAAAGATTTAAATACAATGGAAAGAAGATTCTTGTTTGGTTTAGATTATAATCTTTGTGTTACCGAGGAGCAACTACAAAACTATATTGAACAAATCAAGAGCCAATCAATTTCAAATATGGTACTATCATCTTTAGAGAAGGAAGGAAACTATAGTTAAAAACATTGTTACCAACTCATCTTTTTATTATCCATTCTTTTTAGGTTGACTTGGAAGAATTCTTTACTTTGGGATATTAAATTAACTTTATTCTTTTTTTGTTTTTTGTTATATCCAAGATGTTAATTTAATAATTCATCAACTAACAAACAAACCAACTACTACTAAAGTACTATATTAACAACTTAATAATACTAAACAGTATTATTAGTTTCCGACTTTACTTAATATTAAAAATACAAAAAAGAAAAGAAAATTATGTAAATAGTATCATAAAATTAATATTAATAAATATTATTATTTAAAATAGACGGTGTGGCTGTGTTTGATTTATTGTCTTTGGGGTTGTGATAACATTAGATAATCAACATCTACTATACCTGTTTTTGTGTTTGCTCTAAAAGTGATGTCGATATAACGAATTACTGTTGTATCTAAAATTTTATCATTGTTTTCAATGACGTCTTCGAGTGCCTGCCAATTGAGAGTGATGAGTGCTGGCAATCCAAGACCTTTCTCATAGTCTAACAATTTGTAACGATGACACTTGATGGGGATAGAGTGACGTTCACCATGCACAGTGATCGTTTCAAAGTCAGTGGTCACTTGGAATGGTTTATATTTAGAGAAATGATTGTCCAACAGCTCTGCATTGATTTGTCCGATCACCAACGATTGTATCTTGGTGAGTGGTTGTGACTGACGACCGAGACGTGAGTAGAGTAGACGCTCTGCACCATCCAAGAAAGTACTGAGAGTCATTGCATTGAGCCATGACACTGCATGTTTCATATCGGCAAACTGTATCGATTGTTTTTGGTCATATTTAGCATTACTGTTGTTGTTATTCTTCTTTACCAACTTGTAGAATGAATCTGAATCAGAGAGTAGTGCATCTATATTCGATTCGAAATCGATTGGATATTCCAAGGAATTACTCAAATTTACAATTTCATTACCTATACTTTATTATTAGTTCATCCAATTTATTTTAAAACACAAATAATAATAATGATAGTTACTTGTTAACTCTGACATCTTTCAATCTTTAAATTAAAATAAACACTTCACAATTTTAAAAGTTTTTAATTTATTAAAAAAAACAAAAAATTCAATACATTCATTTTTCAAAAAAAAAAAAAAAAAATCCAATAAAATTAAAATAAACCATATATTTTAAATTGTTAAAGATAAAAACTTTTTATTTACATCTTCATTGTTTTATTTAGATATATAATATAGTAAAAGTAGAAGATTTATTATATATTTTTATAAAAATGGATGAGAAATCATTAAGTGCAATTGAATTGTTAAAAAACAGACAAAATAATTCTTTGGAATCTGTAATTGCAGCTTCTAAATATATAAAGAATATAATTATTGGAAATTCAAAGAAGAAAAAACAATTTCTTGAACAAGGTCTTCTTCCAATGTATGTCTTATATATAGTTTACAAATATTTTTATTATTCTAATAACATACTAATACTAATATATTATTCTCACAACCAAGATTTGTTGATATTTTACAAAAAGATAAAGATGAAACTCTATTAATTCAAGCTGCTAGTGTTATTGGTAGTTTCGCATGTAGTATGTAATATATATATTTAGATAAATATGTTATTTGTATTGATTTATTTATTTTAAATTTATTATTATAGGATTGGATGAAGGTTCTAAAAAAGTATTTGAATCAAATGCAGTACCTGCATTGGTTACTTTATTGTCACATCGTAATCCAAAATTGGTAGAATCTGCAGCTAGATCACTAAAGATATTATTGCTATACTATAATCACCCGACTACATTCATCTATGAGGACGATGGTATCAAACTGTTGGTTACTCTTTGCAAACATCCATTGGAATCGATCAATGAGATCTCTGTAACTATTCTAGCTAGAGCATGCGAATCTCTCATAAGAAATCCAGGTAAATTCGATATGACAATCACACAATACCAAGCAAAAGTACATAGATTCGGCGGATTAGATTCGATCATCTCCATTCTATTATCTTCCAAGTCAAAGGTACAGGAAGCATGTCTCTATGCGATTGAATTGTTCACACGTGACAACAAGGAGCTTTCATCATATCTCATTACAAGATCGCCAGACAATATCGAGCTAAGAACAATCATCCAGCTCACCAAAGACAACTCACCGAGAACTCAGCTTTTGGCAGCAACATGTATTTGTAATCTCTACCAAACCAAAGTATTGCCAGACTCCTATGTAAAGATCATTAGCAAGATACTACCGGTCATCATTCGTTTGATGTCACAGGAGGATTCGATAAGAGAGGAGGCACCTGCATTTCTTGCTCGAATTATCAACGAAAACGAAGACCTGCAACGAGTTGCTTCGGAGTGCGAATCCATCCCAACCCTGGTTTCCTTTCTTAAGGATTCAAGCAGTAGTGAGAAACTACAGGAAAATGCTCTTAGTGCTATTGCTGTTCTATGCTCTATGCGTGATGATAGTAGGAGACAAGTGGCTGATCTCAAGCTGATTCCCAATATCGTTAGCTTCTTACAGTCAAACAACCAGGCCATTAGAGCTGCTGCTTGCAGATGCGCACGTAGTCTATCGAGATCCATCAAACATCTACGAACTTCATTGTATGACTCCTCAATTTCACTGTCGGTTCTTAAGCTCCTCGATGACCCTTCGCTGGACGTAAGAATTTCAGCGACAGCAACCATGTGCAACCTGGTTTTGGATTTCAGTCCTATGAAACAGACTGCCATTGACAATGGTGTAGTGAAGAAATTGGTAGAGTTTACAGACGAAAAGGTGGAATACCTACTTAGACTAAACTCTATCTGGGCACTAAAGAATCTTTTGTATCTAGCCGATACTCCAATTAAAGTCACAGTGCTCAAGGAGTTGACCTATGAAAGACTACTCACACTTTTGAAGGATCCAAAAACACCAATCGTTGAGCAGGCTCTCTCAATACTTAGAAATCTTGCTTACAAGGACAACTCTGATCTCACCACTTGCGAAGGCAAATATTGGAGCTCTCTCATCAATATCCTGGAGAATTTGTTGTGCAGCGAAATACCAGAGATCATCAAGCAGTCTCTTTTTTGTATCTGTAATATAGCCTCAAACCAAGAAAAACATAGAAATACTATCATGTCAAGCATGATTATCATACCTAAAATTGGTGATTATTTTGTACGTACAAAACATATAATCTTATTTATTGGATAATTAATCTAATATTAATTATATATTATAATATTTTTTTAGAATCATAGAAATAATGAAATTAGAAATATTGCAATTTGGTGTATAACAAATTTATTGGAAAATGATAATGGTACACAAGCAAGATTGTTGAAACTAAAAGAACTTGGATTCTATGAAAAAATTGTTACAGCTCTTGCCAATGATCAAAATGAAGAAGTGAAAAGTAGAGCAAAAGAAGCAATTATTAGATTCAATTAATACTACAAATAATTAAATTAAATCTAAATTAACCTATTGTATGAACAGTAAATCAATATTCTTTATTCTCAATTTTATTTGTCGTTTGCATTATTAATAATCCAAAACTTTATTGATTTTTGAAATAAAAAAATTGTAACTTTTAAAGTTCTTTCTTAATTCCTTCGAGTTCTTCAATTCCAAGACAAAGATTCATATTTTGTAGGGCTTGAGTGGCGGCACCCTTCAAAAGATTATCTAAAGTGGTGACAACAACCAAGTGATTACCATTGACAGCGAAACCACCGATGGTAAGAGTATGTTTGTTTGCATTGGCACGTACCTCGGGGATACCATCGACATCAATCTTTACCAATGGTTCATTTTGATATTGTTTTGTGTATAGTTGTACAACCTCTTCTTTGGTCAATGGACGGGTAAGACGAATGGAAATGGTCAAAGTGATACCTTGGAAGAATTGTCCGACGTGTGGCATGAAATATATTGGTTGGCTCAATTGATGTGAAACTTCGAGCTCGTGGGTATGCTTGACCAACTTATATGGAAGAATATTATCTCTTAAACGGTTGAGGTCATTCTTTTCAGAGGGCTTGGAACCAGCACCCGAGTAACCACTGATACCGAAACAGCTTGGCTCACCATCGAGTAAACCAGCCTTTCTCAATGGGTAGAGAGTCAAGTACATACCGGTGGCATAGCAACCTGGGTTTGCAATTCTCTTTGATTTGATAATGTTGGCACGATTGGTTTCTGGATTACCATAGGTCCAGCTATTGTTGAATCTGTGATCGGCAGAGAGATCTACCAAAACCGGTTGTTTGGCAAGACGATCGATACCTTCGACGTATGGCTTTGAGATTTGATCTGGAAGAGCCATGAACCAACCGTCAATTCCGGAATCCTCTGTGTATTTGTCGATATTCTCAGCGGTGACCTGTGAGAAGAGCAAATCTGATTTCAAATGTGGGAACTCGGTGGTGACTGGCTTTCCATAGTTGGTGGATGAGGCAGCCAATGTAAGTTCAAGACTTGGGTTGTTACCAATCAAACGAACCAAATGTCCACCTGTGAAACCTCTTGCACCCAAAAGACCGATACGGTATTTGTCCTTCTTGGCTTGGATGAGATTAGCAGCAGCTTGGCTAGCAGCAGTCTCTGCGGCAGCAGTAATTGGACTACGGTGTGCCAAACACATGGCAATTGGACGAGCAACATCCTGTAGTGGGATATTGTTCCAGTATACATCGAATCCAGACTCTTTGGTGAAACCATCGGCAATCTTACGGAACCAAGCTGTGGTTTGTGCGTTGGTGGTGGCGGAATCTGCCTTCCATACCAAGGTTTGATATTTGGCGAGAGCGGCTTGGAATACAGAATCTGCAGATTCATCTTCAATCGATCCACTGTCTACAACAAAACGGTCGACAACGTAGGTCGATGGTGATGATGGTAGTGAACGAAGAACAATAGCAGATGTATAGATGGAATTTACAATAATCTTTAACTTTTCACGCTCGACCAACGATTTAAGCTCGGCTGGACGCAAACCAAACGATTTAGAGAGACGTCCGAAATCGAGTTGACTCTCCTCAGTGAGAATGGAAATACCCTTCTCTACGGTGGTACCACTTCCACTCTTGGTAAAGAGCTCCTTCTGAAGCAACTCTGGACTTGTGATTGTGATCGATGTAGAGAGTGGCAAGTTATCCAAACAGTTCTTGAACTCCTTCAACTTTAACTTTGTTCCATGCTTGACCCATGGTTGTTTCATGAGATTATCGTATTGCTGGTCCAACACGATGTGTCTCATTACTTTACCGTCACCGTCTTTCATACCGGCAGTGGTGTTGATAAAGAGAATCTTCAAAGGACGAATGGCTTTGGCGAGCTCCAAAGCAGCGACATCGGCATTGATGTTGAGGACTTGACCGTGCTCGGTCATTGCCAACGACGAAATAACTGGGATATAGTCTGAACCGATGCAACTAGCCAAACCATCGGTGAGAATCTTTGTTACATTACCAACGAAACCGTAGGTAGATGGGTCGAGTGGAGTAGCTTGGAATACACCTTGGGTGATTGGACGTGCCTTTGTTCCACTGGCCTCCAATGCCTCGACAATCTTGAGATTCTCACGCATGAACACACGCTGGGCAATTGCCAATACCTGTGGACGAGTAACACGTAGACCCTCGACGTACTCTGGCTCTACACCAGCAGCGGTCAACTCTGCATTCATCTGTGGACCACCACCATGAACAACGATTGGATAGAGACCAATTTTTTTCAAAAAATTGAGTGATTGGATCAAAGCACTCATATTGTCTTCGATAACACCACCACCAATCTTTACCAAAACAATCGATTTGTTATCGGACAACTTGATATTCTTTGAGTAATCTGACTTACCAGATGACTTATCACCAAAGTTGATTGAAGTTGAAATGGTTGTTGTTTTATCTACAACTGCTTGCTCTCTTGATTTTAACTCTACATTTTGTACCTTTAAATTTAATGTTTTTAAAATGAAAATAAAAATAATGAATATATTGAAAAAAGGTAACAAACAAAATTGTTAAATAGAAAGAACTAGATCTAGGTCATACTTGACTTGATAGGTTTGCAGTTGAATAAGATCTAACAATTGATTTAGCATTCTTTAGATTGGAAATTCCACCATTGTTTGGATTAATAGAGACAACTGGGAGTCTCTTTAATGTTTGCCTACAGATATTTGTTGATTTCAACATCGGAAATATTTATAAAATATATAAAAATGAGAATCAAAAAAAAAATGATTTAAATTTTGTTTTTCAACTTCATTAAATTTTATTTTTAAAAATGATTTTTTATTTTAATATTTCAAAAAAATATTAATCTTTCTGTTTTTGGTATTAATCATTTTCAGAACTGATCAGATTTCTCGAATAAAAAATGAACAGAATCATTAGAAATCTCAATAGAAGCATTTATTTAATATCAAATTCATCGAAACCATCACTATCTTTGATTAGAAATTATTCTACATCTTATATTGCTGATGATGTAGATCCAAATGATAATTTCGATTGGTTAAATAAAAGATCAACAAAGAAAGTAACATCTGTTAACGATATTTTAAATCAAAATAAATCATCAACTATTCAACAACAACAACAACAACAACAACAAAATAATATTGATCAATCAGAAATAAATGATGAATCATTGAAAAGTGAAATAGATAAAGCATCAACAGAGTGGAATCAACCGATCGACCGTGCCAATCTTACACTTTCAACGTTGGTTCGTGTTTGTGGTAAATTAAATACCGATCAAGAGAGACATGATCATATAGTTCGTAAATTGGAATCGATCATCAATGCTGACAACGACACCAACAACCAGCAGGAATCATCAGATATCACTTTGGATCACTGTCATCAACTTTTACGTGAATTTGTAGATAGAACTCAAATAGAGTTGGCCGAACAACTATTTAGAATGCTTACAACCACCAAAGATACAACCATTGAACGTTTAAATATAAAGTTACAACAAGAAAAACAACATCATCAACAACAAACACAAAACAAAAAACAATATATTGAAAAACAAAGAGAAGATAATACATCGAATTTAATATTTAAATGTATTAAAGCAAATAACTTGACATATAAATTGTTGATGGAAGTCTACTCTAACGATGGTCTGCTCGATAAGTGTATGGAGGTGTTTGAACAAATGATTGGACGTCATATGATTCCAGATGCCGAATGCTATTTAATTGTAATCCGTGGTTACACTCGCGCCAATAAGCCTGACGATGCACTTGCCTATTTCAATAGAAAGATTCCACCCAATGTTCTCAGCCATCCAACAGAACAACTGAGTGCACTCAATGAAATCATTGGATGCTACGCTCGACTTGGAAATATCGAATCGTTGGAACAAACACTAAAGTACATGACTGGAACCGTTGGATTGTCGTACGACAGCTTTACATTCCAACATATGATCGATGCCTATGTGAAATGTGGAGATATCCGCCAAGCCGTTTCACTATTGTATTTGATGGACGATAGCAATGTAGCTACAACCACCTATAGCTATCACCGTGTTTTCGAAGCTTTGGGAAGAGAAGCACTGGTTGGTCAACTCTTCAGATTGTTCGAGTTGATGAACCGTCCAGGCAAACCGATGATTGAATCGTACTTGACCGATGATTTCTATCAACGCGGTGAATTCAAAGTTAGCAATCAATGGCGACCAAACATCGCCACTTTCAACGTACTGATCGAAGCATGTTGTCGAGCACAAGATCTTGAAAAAGCATTTGAAACACTATCATCGATGCAAACCAACTATCAACTAACACCATCAAGCGAGATCTATTCATCATTGGAAGCACTATCACTAAAACAAAATAAAATGGAATTGTACAACAAACATTGTGGTGATCAATTTCATATAATAAAACATATAGATTAATACTTATTTAGAATGTATTAATAGTCATATTTTTAACTCTTAACAATAATTAATTTGATTTAAAAAAAAGTATCGATTAATTTAAATTTTAGATAAAATATTATTATTATTATTTATTTATTACAATGAGTTTTTATTTTGGTTGATATTATTTTTATATTTTCAAATTGTTGGGTTAATAATTTATGCCATAAATAACTTATTTAACAAGTGAATGGTCATATTAACGTCAAGGGTAATTTGGTCGAGTTCCAAGGTTGTAGTTCCGATGGAATTTAACTCTAAAAGATCATCGAGCTCCAATCTCATGGTTTGTACATCAATACCGGCCATCTTGGCAGAGACGTCAAAGACACCGACTGTATCAGAGGAAATAACAAACTTGATCTTCTTACGAGTCATTGCTGGCACTTCAGAGTCTACGATAACCTTCTTCTTGTGCAGCTCTGAGAAACTGAACTTGAATGGACCGACCTTGGCACCGTCGTTCTTCTTCTTCTTCTTCTTGTTCTTGTTTTGGTAATGTTTGAGACGACAGTCCTGGAGATATTGGTTGTATTGTGTGATCTGTTCGTTCAAATACTTCTGGTGCTTACGCAAGTTGTTCAAACTGGTAGTCAATCTTTGCTTCTCCTTCTTTTGTTGTTCACGAATCTCGGCACGATTGACAACTTCGAGGGCGACTGCCTTCAAGAATGAAGCATAGTTATCGGTGTGAGTGGTCAAATTGTACTCTTCGAGTTTCTTCAAGTTGTCCAAGATCTTCTTGATCTCTGGCTCCAACGATGGATCGGTCTGTCTGGCCTTGTTCAAGACTTCAATGAGATTTGGTGTGTTCTCTTCGGATTCCTTTTGCTCTGGGAGCGATGGGAGTGCACGCAGCAATGAGATGACCATCTCCTTGGTGGCGGACAACAAGCTCTCGCCTGGCGACAACTCTTCTTCGATCGATTTCTGGAACTTGTTGGTCAAGGTAAGTTGAACTTCACGGTCGTCTTCGTGTGAAATTTCGGGGGGTGGACCAAACTCGTCCAACTCTTTCATGATGATTCTCATGGGGTCGTCCTTCTCACCCTTTGGCACCAACGAATCGAGATTCTTGGAGATCAAGATGTGAGTCGATGAAATCTCTGGAAGTGAAATGATAATGACTGGCTTGGTTTTTTGAGTCAACTCCATGTACTTGTCGACCTGGAGGTAGTCCTCTGGCTCACCGACCTCGATTATCTCTTCCAAGTATTGCTTGATGTCAGAGATGTGTGAGGAGATCCATTGGTTCAATGGGACAAAGTGTTTCTCGGCAGCACCAAACTGGGCAAAGTTGAACAATGTCTGGAGAACCTTGGATACGTTGATCAAGTTCTTACGAGCGGTTGGGTGGATCTCACGACCGACCAAGTCATATTCCTCCGGACTGACCATGGCTACCTGAATGAAACGGTAGTAGATGAAATAACCGATAACCTTTAGAATCTCGTCTTGAGTGGAGTTGGTAAAGTTCTTCTCGGCGATCTGTTGAATTTGCTTGCAGATCCAACGGATACCGTATGGCAAACGGTTGAGTGAGTTGATGATACCCTCCAAGAATTGGTCACAAATCGATGTCAATTGCTCGACACGAGTCTTGATGGTCTTGGTGACCTCTGGAACTTCGAGAGCCTTGTCATCACTGACGTTTCTGTCCAAAGTTGACTTCTCACCAGTACGGATCTCTTGCTCTGAAATGATAGCAGCATAGACAGCAGATGGTTTCAACTCCAAATTCAAATCTTGTTTAATAACAGATGATAAAATTGGTCCAATAACTGCCTTCAAATAATCAGTACCTTGTTTACGTCTATGATTGAGAAAAAAAGAAAGAAAAAAGAAAAAGGAAATAAATTAATATTAATATAAGATATAAAACAACAATTATAATAATAGATAATAATAACTTACTTGTTATATGTAATAATCATCTTTGGTACGACGGTATCAGCTTTGAGGAAATCACCTACGGTGGCAATGTTTGACATTTCCTTTTGGACAGAGAGACGGTAGAGTGAGAGCAAGAGGAACTCTTCACGAGGGGTAAAGGCATCACCAAACAAAGTCAAGATGACAGTACTGAGGAACGACTCCATCTGCTCTGGTTGCACCAAGTAAACGAGACCGGCAAGATACTTTGGTTCAGTCTGGAGCAAGTAGAACAAGTTTTGGTAGGCTTCCAATTTCTTTGGATCGTTGAGGAGATCTGGCTTCTTGTGTACCTCTCCCTTGGTCTTTTGGGCCTTGAGACCGGCCTTGTCTGCCAATACCTCTTGGATATTACCTCTGTTCTTAATCAAAAGAGCGATTCTCTTATCCAAACGATTGAGATCTCTCTCCAAAGTATGATTTCTTCTTACTTCACTTACAAGATTTCTCTTTAATTCTTGGATTTCTATATTATTATTAAAAAAGAAAAGAAAAAAAAAAAAAAGAAATATTTATTAATTAACAATTTAAAATAAATAAGTTTGTTTGTTATTAACATAATATATTGATTTACTTACCAGCAATCCAATCGGACTCTTTGTCTTCACGTTGAGAGTGTAACAAGTTTTGAATTTCGAAAACGGACAAGTTACCAGAGAGGAATCTATCCATCTTGAATCTATAATACATCATGTCTCTGAGGATTCTACGAGATTGCAATAAGAGTACAAGACACTCACGCATCACTGGGAATGGTACAGAGTAATCTTCGTCTTCCTTTAAAAACTTTCTCTCTGGAACAACAATGTCTGGAGTATCATCGACCTCCTCATTGTCATGCTCTTGATTGTCGACATGCTCATCAGAACTTGAAGCAGATGAAGAATCATCATAATCTACTTGATTCGACATTGTTTTGTTTTTTTTTTAAATAGAAAATTTACAAATTTGTTTTACTAAAAATAAATATATCTATTTTAAAAAATAAATAAATAAAATAAACAAATAAACAAAGATAAAATTAAATTAGTTTCTAAGATATGAAATTATATATAATTATTAATTAATTGTTGTTGTTGTTGTTATTATTATTTTGTTTTAAACTAATTTAGATTAGAATTTAGATTTAATTATTTTGGCTTTGTGATTGTTGTTGTTTTGTTGTTGGTTTTTTTTTTATTTTTAAAATGTTATGAATGATTGATTTTAAATGAACTTACAAAAATAAATTGATTTTTTTTTTTCCTTTTTTATTTAGTTTTTGATTTTAAATCTACACAAAAGCTATTGTTAAACAAGTTATTATTATTTAAAAGTTGTAAAGTTATATATATCTATAACAACAAGGTTAGCTTCTAAAATAATAGTATTAGGTTTTTTCTTTTTTTGTTTATTGAGTTAAATCAATAATGTCTAAAAGATGGAATGTTTATTTTTTGTTTTTTTTATTATTAATAATAAGTTTTTTTATAAAAAAAGTTTTGAATAATAATGGGTTTTTTCATTTATTTGAAATTAAATTCATTCACATCAAAAACAAAAAAGTTGGGGGGTTTATGATCAAAATAGTTTGAAAATTGGGTTAGGTGTGTGTTTGATTTTGGTTACTATTAATTGTTAAATTTGAAAACATTTTTTTATCATAATAAAAATATTAAAAAAATGAAAAAAAATGAGAAAAAAAAAAAAACAATCAAATTAAATGAAAATGAAAGTTAAGTGATTGTCAGTCAGGGTAATAAAATTATTATTAATGGTCACACAACCTTCTGATTATTAATTTAATTAGTTTCTGATCAATGAATCTAACATGTTACTGTGTACGTTTCACAGCAAACCAATAAACAATAAAATAAAAACAAACTTTTTTTTTAGTCCAATCACCGGTTATACCTATAAAATAAATATTAATTTATTTTTACAAGATGAAAGTTATTCACCATCAAATTAGATGACTTCTCCCAAGATCAAATCTTAATTCATATATCGAAAAAATAAAATAAAATAATCAAATAAAAAGTAAATGTAAAAATTTATAATAAAAAAAAAAAAAAAAGTCAGACTCCATTGTCAGATTTTATTTATAATAAATGATGATCAATCATTACACTCAAAATTACAATGAAGATGAAAAGAATAAATAGAATGAAATGAAAAATAAAATAAAGTTTTTTTTTTTTTTTGGATAAGTTATATATATATCGTATTTACAATATATAATTTTAATTTTGGTTTTGTTTGGTTATTTTTGGCGGTTGGTGAGAGAAATATAGGAAAATTGGTTGTTTGAAGAGATAGATATTATAACAGTTATTATTTTCATTTGTTCGTTTATCTTCCGTACTTTTGGAATTCCCAATCTCTATTATCTATTGTTGTTTTGGTAATATTAAATGATTGATTGATGATGATGAAGATGTTAGTATTTCAAATGATAGGTGAACTATTCAAGTATGATTGTAATTACCTAATGGACAGACTTGTCTAGTCTTTAACCAACGAGAAATGCAATGGAAATGGAAAGCATGATTACAAATACCCCATGCAACTGTACATTCTTCACTTGTGTTTGAAGCTTGATTTGCTTGACATTCAATGCAAAGATCCATAATATGATTTCTACAAATAGCACAGTTATCCACAACAATGTCTGTTTTTTTGTTTTTAAAATAAATAATATATTAATAAAACTGATTTCAAAAGGTGATGTGTATTTTATCAAATAAAGTTATTGATTATCTATAGATATCATTCAATCTCTTCTATTGTTTACCATCAAACTGATAAATCACATAGTTTTGACCTGATTTGAATATTTATATAAGATTGTTATTGTTATTGTTGATCAAATATATACCCCAAATCCATAAAGCTACAGCATTCCAACGCTTGACTTCAAACTTCTTTTTGCTTCCACCTTTAGTGGTGGTTGTGGAGGATGATGCTTCTGTATCTACGTCTGCCATTCTACTTTAATCTATATACTATGATTTGATAAATAAAAATAAAAAAAGTTGATTTAAAAAAACTATATAAAGTTTATTAAATCAAAAATATATATAAAAGATTACACAAAATACAAGAATAATAATAAACTAGTTTGTGCACAAAATAGATAGATAAATTATATAATTAGATGAGTTGATTAAAAAAAAAAACAAAAATTAAAAAAAAAAAAAACAAAAGTAATGAAGTGTGTTAAATATTTAATTTTGTTTTTTTAATTTTCAAATTCTTTATTTTTTCTTCCTCAGTACATTTTCCAATTAGTTTCTTCGAAGTTCATTCATTGATAATATTGATAAAGATATTAAACATTGCTGCTTTTTAAGATTTTATTTAATATTAAAATAAATAAGGTGTTAAAAATGATCATTTTTAGTTTTTTTTTTGTTTTTTGTATTAGTTAAAATTAATTAATTTTATTTTGAAACAGAGGAGAACAGTGATGTTGCAATTGTTGGTGGCAATAGATGTGTCATTTTCTCATATTCAGGCAGTTTGTTGATTCCGAATTTAGTGAACTGCTCATTGGTGATTCTGCTGTGCGATGAGAATGAATCGAGTGTGCCCACCAACGATGCACCTAACCACATTAAATAGTTTGGCTGGAATGCATGCTTGATAAATTCGAAATGATTAGATAGACCATTAAGTTGTTTGTATCTATTGTTTTGTTGTTGTTGTTGAGTGTTTGTCTCTGACAATGATGATCCAAGTCTCTTTTCAATTTCTTGTGATAGTCTCGATTTAAATCCAGGTAGCATCGATGTACCACCTACCAAGAGGATACTATGTGTCAAACTCTTACGAATATCGATATCACACTCTGCCAGTGTATCTAAAAGAAGGTCTACAATGTCGTCGTTATCACAATAGCTATTGTAGTCATCTTTGTTGTTGTTGTTGTTGTTGTTATCACCTGTGGTGGTGGTTGTTGTTGGTTGATTATTAAGCATTGGATTGCTAAAGAGAATGTCTGCAGCGTGTAGACGCACCTCTGGGGAGATGACAATCGATCGTTGCTGTGAGAGTTGGTAGTGTGTACCGACTGCGCTTAGCTGTCGGTTCAGTGGTGACACCACCAATGTCTTTACGGCGATATCCTCCAATTGATTGTTACTCAGCGATTCAATGGCTGCTTTCGCTTCATTCACCGGCAATGCTTCGTTGTTCATATTATCCAAAACAACGGATCTATTCTTAGTGATAAGATCATCGAGTAGCATCTTCTTTAGATTCAATAGAATGTTGAATTGTCCATTGGTAATTGTTTTATATGATTTCATTAATCCAACACCTTCATATACCTATAGATTTGTTATTATTATTAATAATAATAATAGTTTGTTTAATAGAAAGTGTTAGAACTTTGTTTATAAAAGCAATTATAATAATATTTTAATCATCTTTTGTTTTTTAGCATACAGGTAGTATTCTTGATTCTCTTAGACCAATATCAATAATTAAAGCAGTGGTTCTAAGTAATGGTAATAATGATACAGTTGGTGATAAATAAAGTATTGATATAACTTTGAATCTCTCAAATAATACAGATGCAAGTGACTGTCTAAATAATCTTGGCATCAGTATATTCTCTACAATTACAATCTTTTTTTCATTTGGTTTACATAATAAATATCTAAATAATTAAATCAACGTTAATTAGTTCAAATCTTTCAAGATATTATATTTTTGATATCAAAGAATAACAACTTGTTTCACTTACTTATAGAATAGTCTATTTAAAAAGTTAAATAATGCATCTTTCAATTCTAATGATGTTGGCAATCTATTTTTTTTAACATTTTCATTATTATTATTGTTGTTATCAGTGTTGCTATTATCTGTTATGCTATTATCAAAATAAGGAGTTCCAGATGATAGGTATTGTGATAGATCAATTGGTGATAAATCCGTTGGTATAATGAATCTTGGTGTTGATTCACCTGAATATCCACATTTGGTGTATGCGCCACCAATCTCTAATATTACTAATGATTTATCCATTTAGAGTTCTGAAAATAATTAATTTAATAAAAAAAAATGATGATCATTACACACAAACCATATCAGTCATAGTGTCTTATTTTTGTAAAAAATTAATTTAAAAAAAAAAAAAAAAAAAAAAAAAAAGGTTGTGTATCCAATTAAAATAGACAAAAATCGAACGAAAGATGATATTTTTTTTTTAATTTATTTAGTATCATAAGTTAGTTATAATGGGTGGAAAGAAGAAATCAACAAATAAAAGCACAAAGAAAACAACAGCTACAGCATCATCGTCAAGCAATCAAATACAAAAACCAACAATGACTAACAGTTCAACAAAATTACCAAGACTTTTAGATAATGATGACGATTTCTTCATTGACAAAGCAGAGAAAGCATTAAGGGAGATATTTTCACGTTATGATGCAGATAACGATGGTATGCTCACCATCGATGAACTAAACAAGTTTGCTATCAAATGTAATGGCAAGCCATTCGATCAAGATTCGATCGATTCCATTCTTGAGGCCTTCGAGTGTGAACAAGGAAAGTTGACTATTCGTGGATTTTTAGAGATGTACTATATGCAATCGATCTCGGAGCCAGAGGAAACCTGGAGAGATATCATGGCACACAATTATAATACAAAGTTGGATTTGCAAGTAGAGAGCAGCAGTACTGCCACATCGACAAATCCATCAGAATCACCTGCAACTACCGAAACTAATACTACTACTACAGCATCAACAACCATCACTGAGCAACCAAAACTAGATGATAACACCACACCCACAGACTCAAAATAAATAAATAAAATTGTGAATATAACTTTAAAATTTTAACTTTTATAATAATAAAATGGGGGTTTTATGCAAAATAATATAACCATGTGATTTCTGATCAGTGTTCTTTGATTAGATTCACTCGAAAAACAGAAAATTATGTTAGACTGTGCGATATGATTTTTGGTTTTCCGACCCAAATTATTTATAGTAATTATGCAAAAACATGATTAAGATTCGGTTTTTGTTTTTGCAAATAAATCACTACTTTATTTTAAAGTTGGGAAAAACAGAATTTAAATTTTTATTTTTTATAAAAACTAAAATGAAGAATTATTTATATGTATTATTATTTATATTAATAAGTTATATTCCAACGATATCATCATTTACAATCTCTGAAGAAATAAAATATAATAGTCCAAATTCAATTGTATTGATAAATAAGAATTTTTTAAATCAATATAAATTCTATTCATTAAATAGTGATAAAAATATTGTATTGCAATCTTCAACCCTTTCAAATATTTCAAATACTTTAATTGGTTTTATAAATGATGATCAAGTAAATTTTTAAACATTTTTGGTTATAAAATGATCATTTTTACTTATTAATTTTTTTTTTTATAGTTATTATTTTTAAATCAAACAGATATCAATATATTATCAGTCCCAAATGGAAAAATACAAACAATTGGAAATATAACTGATAGAAATTTCTTTGGTTTGCTAAAATCTCCATTCTACGATGATAATCATAACTGTTTAGTTGGATTATCACTTAATAAAACTGGAGGAGTAGAAGGAAGAGTTTTAGATATGGAAAATCAAAAAATGTTTACATGCGCAAGTGGATTCTTTTTGAGTCACTCATGGATAGTAGATTCCAGCTATGATTATCAAAAAGGAATATTGTATACAATAATAGAAGTTAATAATAATAGTACTTGGTTATCAAGTTTTAACATAGAATCATGTAGTTTTAAATATCAGCTGTTAAGCAATCTTCCAATTAAAATCAACGCGACATCAACTGGTTCACTTTCAAACTACAACGGTACATTGTATCTTGCAGTTAACAGTGACAACGACAATTCTTTCCAACTCTTTACAATCAACACTGAAACACTAAAGATTGGTTCAATCAAACAGAATAATAACTTCAAAACAAAATCTATCAGCTACTCGTTGAATAGATATTACTCTGGTTTGGTTTCATCGGATTACAAAACATTGCTTATTATCGATTTACAACTTCAATCAATATCCAAAGAAATTCAATTGAATGGACCAACAGCAACAACAGAAATCAACAATTACTATTATACCTTCACCTCTAAATCCATTGATGATCCACCAACAAACTATGGAAATACTGGCGTTGCATACACGTATTTTACATTGCTATTTAGATCTCTTTTTAAAGTATTTTATATAAATAAAATTTTTAGTAAATTATTTTTTAGTAATAGATCTAGTTTCGTCATTTTTATAAATATGGTTTGGGAAGGGGGCTAGAACCACAATTCCATAGCTAAAAAAAAAAAAAAACAAAATGTTTAAATTAAAAATCAGATTTACAAAATTTGGATATAAAAACACCTCGTTTACAAGGTATTGGGGGGTATTCTGATCAACAAAATTTATTTTATTTTAAAATTAATATAATAATGAGTCATTAATCCATTCTCAATCCTTCTTTATTTATTTTATTGTTGATGTAACATTTTTTTTTTTTTTATACTTTTAAAACTTTTTATTTATTTTTGTAATATAGAGATATTAATCACACAAATGTTAACAATTTCAAAAGATAGAAAATTCAAGCAAGTTGATGTATTTACAAGTGTACCATTGCAGGGTAAGCTTTCATTTATTGTAATTTAGATTAAATATCACTAGTGATATATATTTACAAATCTTATCGGATCAACTATAAATAGGTAATCCTTTGGCTGTGATAATGGAAAGCGATGGTTTGAGCCCTGAACAAATGCAAAAGATTGCAGGTTGGACAAATCTTTCAGAGACTACCTTTATTTTACCAGCAACAGAACCAAACGCAGACTATCAAGTACGTATTTTCACACCAGAGAAAGAGCTACCGTTTGCAGGTCATCCAACACTGGGAACTGCACATGCATTGCTAGAGGATGGAATACAAACAAAGACACCAAATCGCATTGTTCAGCAATGCGGTGTAGGATTGGTGGAGATTGCAATCGCCGGAGAACCTTCTCAGGCTGATCGAACACTATCATTCCGTTCTCCACCTGGAAATGTCTCACAGATCTACGACCAATCGAAGCTTTCGGTATTGACCGACGCCCTCGATATTAGCGCGACTATCGACACTGCCCATTTGCCGGCATCCGTGGATATGGGTATTCGTTGGCTTATCATTCGTCTCAAGAGTGCATTGGATGTACTTGCATTCGTACCAAAGAACTTGGCAGCATTGCTTAGTTTACCACAACAGTTCCAAGTCGATGGATTCTCTATTTATGGAGTGTATGAAGAAAATCAATTGCCAGGAATCAACTATGAAATCAGAGCGTTCTGTATTGAGCACAACACCGTCGTTGAAGATCCAGTCACAGGAAGCGCCAACGCTTGCCTATCTCGTCTCCTCCAGGAACAAGGATTCCCAGACAGAGGAAGAACAGCACAATCCTATCTTGTCAGACAGGGAACACTTCGTCAGAGAGATGGAAGAATTTTAGTTACCTACTTTGAAGGCCAACCTTGGATCGGTGGACAAGCTACAACTTTAATCAAAGGAACTATATCAATTTAAAATAAATCGAATCCAATCGAAAAAATAAATAGTAGATTAATAATTATCTATTGTATTATTATTTATTTATTGTAAATATTTACAAAATATTTCAAAAATGTTTTATTTTATTTTATTGTTTGTTTAGTTGTTGTTGTTGTTGTTTGTATCATCGGTATAATATTATCTATATTATATATAAAAATTAATATTTGTTTGTTGTTTAATGATCATTTTTTAAACAATTTCAATGTCGGCACTATATAATCTGTTTCTCTCGACGAGTCTTTCTTTTGATTTCTTACAACACCAATCTTCATCGCAATCCTTGACACAGTTTTGAATGCAGAATCCATCGTCTTGGAGATTACGGTGAATGAACTCTGGTTGGATCGAAGTCGAGTGAATTCCTTGGTGATGGAAGATCTTTTTGATGGCTCCGACGACCAATGAGAAATCAAGTCCCTCCTCCACACCGACGTGTACTGAAGCGACAACCATTCCGTCGACCAACTGCCAAACGTGGAGATCGTGCAACGAGAGGACACCCTCGACTCTTCTGATCTTGCTACGAATACGATCCATATCGATACCGGATGGCACTTGTTGCAAGAGAATCAACGATGCTCTCTTCACCAATGGAATGGCACTGGCCAATGTGAGACTGACAATAATAATACTGCTGACTGGATCGATATACATTGTCCATTTGCCGTGAGAGTAACGCAAGATGGCACCGGTCACCAAAACAAACAACGATGCAACGGCATCACCCAAAAAATGAATAAACACACCAAACATATTCAAATCCATTCCCAAGCAAGTACCGTGACCGTGTCCATGTCCACCGCTCTTCTTTTTCTTTTTCTTCTTTTGCTTCTCCGGATCTTCGAATCCGAATGTCTCGTGCTTGATCGATCCCTTGTCGTCGCTGCTGCTACCGTGTGAATGTCCATGAGCCTTCTCCTTCTTTTCACCACCGTGAGAGTGACCGTGTCCGTGATGATCGTCTTCATCATGATGATCAGCACCACCATGTGAATGTCCATGAGCCTTCTCCTTCTTCTCACCACCATGTGAATGTCCATGCTCCTTATCCTTCTTCTCACCATGTGAATGTCCATGCTCTTTATCCTTCTTTTCACCGTGAGAATGACCATGAGCCTTCTCCTTCTTTTCACCACCATGAGAATGACCATGATCTTTCTCCTTCTTCTCACCACCATGAGAATGTCCATGATCCTTCTCCTTCTTTGCGCTGCTACTACCACCATGTGAATGACCACCACCGCCACCACCATGCGAATGAGCATGTGACTGTCCGGTGACAGCAAAAACAATAGTTCCAATGGTATTGATAGCCAAACCAGCACCGGCAACAGCCATAAAGATGAGACCTTCATCCATTGGCTCCGGTCTGATGATACGTGGCACCGCTTCGAGAGCAACGTACAAACCCATTGAAATCAAGAAACAACCATTGGTAAGACCACCGAGTACTTCGGCACGTGCCCAACCATAGGACATACTATCGTCAGATTCTCTTTTAGCGGCTCTCTGTGCCCACCAAGCAATATAAAGTGATGCTACATCAGTCAAATTGTGAAAACCATCGGACAACAACGTCAAAGATCCAACATAAAGTGCAGCTGCCAACTCTACAATAACATAACAAAATGTAATAACACCAATAGTGATCAAAGCCACCGATTTATATGTATCTTTTCTTTCATGTATTTTTCTGTCATTTGCTGAATGATCATCACTTAATAATTCAATTTCCATTTATAAATAATATATTAAAAAAATAAATAATAAAAATATAAATATTAGTACATTTAATTTTATTAAGATTTAATTGCTCCTTTCATTTTGCAATTTCTATAATATTATCAAAAAACGCAACTATATGTGTCTCTATTTGACCGATACAAATAAACTTTGTGAAAAAAAAACCAACACCAATATATTAAGAGTCACCACCAACTAAATATTAGTGGTGAGTTTTTAAATGTTTGAACGTTTTTTTTTTTCAATTATTTGTTTATTTGAAAGAACATTGCTAATGATGGATGTTTAATAGTATTATTTTAACACCTTACCCATTTAGAAGAAGTGATTGTTTCTCTATTTGATCACTACTGTAATTCCTACTCATTTATAAAATTGATTATATATTTATTATTTATTAGAGATGTGTTGTTTGAAGTAATAGTAATTAATTTTAAATAAAAAGAAAATAATGAAAAACAAATAAATAATAACTTGTATGTAAAAATGATTCTTAAAGTTTTAACTTTCTTTAAGATTAAAGCGAATTATAAATATTTTATGTGTCGGATTTGAAAAAATATGAAAAAAAAAAAAAACTAATGATTGATTGATTGATTGATTTATAGATAATTAATTGATTAGTTGAAATAAAATTAGATAAATGATGTTTTGTTATGTTTTTTTTGTGCTATGATAATTGATTGAAAACTGTGACGAAATTATTCATAGGGGTGTTTGTGGGCTTAAAGGTCACTGGACCGTTTTGTTTGGTGAGGGTTGGCTAATAATAATCCAGAATACGGATTCTGTGATGATTTTCTATGTTGTTGCAAAAGAAATAAAAATATATAAAAATGTAACAATATCAAACACTTTGGCTATGTTTGAAAAAAAAAAAAAACGAAGTGTCAAAAATTTTTTTGATGGATTTTGGAATGATTTGATTGCCAAAGATTGACAGTTGATAGACTTTAAATTAGGAGGTTTTTTATGAGTTTTATAAAAATGAATTAAATAAATTTATGTTTTTTTCTTGCTCTCCATTTTTAAAGATTCGAGTAAAAGATCTATTTTTTTTTATTGTGTTTTTGATTCAACAAGACTATTTGATGATGTCAGAAAGTGAAAACAAAAAAAGTGTTCATTTTTGGCACCCTATGAGGAGGTAACCCATCTTTTGATCATAATATCGCTACCCAAAAGTTAGGAATTGTAAAAAGGGTGAGAAAATTTTCAAAAATATTGGAAAAAAAAAATAAAAAAAAAAACAATCAAGTGATTTTAAACATTATCAAAAGTTAAGATTGGTGAATATATGGGGGTGGAATCGATTCTTTTTTTTCGGTTCCAATTAATCGTTGATTTGCACAAGCAACACGATTCTTGGAACTTTACAAAGAATATTTCTGTTGTTTGGTGTGATTTTTATTTCGATTTTTTCAAAAATAATCTTAAGTTCCTAGGTACGTTTGCTACCCAAAGGTTGATGTCTTTCAGTGTGTCGTTGCCCTGCAGCGCCTCTATGATATTGTGAGCTCCTTCACTCGTTATTCCATTGTTTTCGAGGTCGAGAGTCGTCAGTGTTTTGTTTACTTTGATCGCATCCGATATATAACGAGCACCGGTATTACCAACCGAGTTGTTACCTAATAATAGAGTACGAATGGACGTGTTTTTTGCGAGTAGTCTCGAAATGTGCTGACAACCTTCAGGGTGCATGTTGTTGCCGTTCAGGTCGAGATAGGTGAGTGTTGTATTGTCAGAGAGAGCTTGGCTAATCATTTGTGCACCGAAGTCACTGATCTGACAGAATCGCAGACGACATATCTGCAGCGACTTGTTGGGGTTCTTTGAGAAGAGAAAAGAGAGGTATGGAGTTGCGTTGATTGACAGTGGATTGTTGGAGAGATCGAGGTCGCGTATCTGTACATTCGGATAGCTGAGAGCGTGACAGAGATGACTGATTCCACAGAATGTGAGATTGTTGTTGCGAAGTGAGAGTGTCTGGAGTGCGCTGTTGGTCTTGAAAAACCTGATCAACTCGTACAGACCATCGTCACCAATGTTGTTGTTGTTGAGTTCCAGTGCGGCAAGTCGGCAGTCGGGCTTGCTGAGCGAATCGGCAAGATAGCCACATGAGTCGGGATTGATTTGATTGTCGTTCACCTTGAGTACTTGAAGCCGATTGTTGATAGACCGCAGTACAATGTCAACGACATTCGAGTCGAACGACTGTGTTCCCGAGATATTGAGGTGTGTCAACATGCAGGTCGGCGATTGCAGAGCTCTAGCGATGCAGCCAGTCGCGTCGTACAGTGATGAACCCTCAATATTCAAATCGGTAATCGTGCTATTGTGTTTAGCGAGCGTCTCAAAGAGCGCAGTCAATCCCTCATTTCCAAACATATTCTGTGAGAGATTCAGAGTGTGAATCGAGTTGTTGTGTTTCAGTGCATTGGCCAGCTCTACCACACCGGAATCGAGAATCTTGTTATTCGCCAGATTGAGCGAGCAAAGTGTTTGACGTCCATCGTCTTTTACCAGTCGATTACTTATGATTCTGGCGCCGTCAGAGCCGAGTCGGTTGAAGCTAAGATCCAGATCCACCTGGTTGCAATGCTCGTAGATGTCCTGCACCAGATAGGTTATGTATTTCGCCGAGAGACCCATCCGCAGCGCAATGACACGCAAGAAGCAGAGACGCCGATCGTGACACTCTGCGAACCTATTGAACCACCTACGTATCAGATTCATCCAAAACTCACACTGACGCTGTTCATCGGTATAGAACTCCTCTAATTTCATACATGTCACTACACCCATCACCAACTTTCTCCATTTTTTACATACACGACCCAAACTAAAGAAATCAAACGATGGCCATATTCCAAAAAATGCAAACTTTAATATAAGTTTTATAATTAAATTTGGTAGTGAATCTATTGATTTATCTTGATTATCACTATTATTACTATTATTATTACTGTTATTATTACTACTATTATTACTGTTATTATTACTATTATTACTATTTTTAAAATAACTATTTACACAACTATAATATATTTGACTACATAAACTTAATTTTATTATTATTATTATTATTATTATTACTACTACTACTACTACTACTACTACTACTATCTTTATCAGGTGATATATCATTCATTTGTGACGATTTATCATCTATGATTTCTTTATCTTTGATACTATTACTATTATTATTGATTTCATCTTGGCTGTTATCTGTTACTGCTATCGATGTTGATTGAAATAATAAACTACTCGGTGAATCCAGTGTTGAGTTATTGGGTGCCATCAAACTAGCTATTTTATTAACTAGATTATTTTTACACATTAGCTAGCTAGTTAGAAGAAAGATAATTATTGATATGTGATTTACCTCTCTCTCTATATATTATATAATTAGCTGTTATTGATACTGATTGAATGACTTGTAAACTAGTAAATGTTAAGTTCTATGTTCCTTAACAATCAATTTATGAATAGTTTTAATTTTACAATACTTTGGTAGCATGAAGGATTGTTATATTTATAAATAAATATTAAAATAAAAAAAACAATAAAAATATGTTATTTTTTGAAAATACAACAGGCAATTAATTATTTGAATTATTTTTAATAAATAAACGATATTATGAACAATACACAATGTTAATAATACAAAATAGATTCAACCACAATAATGACAATTGTTATTGAAACAACAGAAAGGAAAGTGAGCTTGAAAAGTTGAAACTCTAAGGTTTTTTGAAAAACACACAGTTTTAAAATATATGTAGAGTTATTTTTAAATTTCAGTGATGTAGTGCTAAAATAACATAGTTTATTAGCAAAAAAATGTCAAATTTTGGTGATTTTAAAATGTTGGGAACTTGGGATTGTGAAGTTTGGTTGCTGTTTATTATTTAATATTTTTTTGATCGACTTGCAAAAAATAATAATATTTATTATTTAAACTACTGACAACAATTGTAACTAAAAGGTTAAAAATAAAATAACAAAATCAATTGAAAATAAAAAAAAAAAAAGGAATTAGAGTAACTAATTGATTGATATTATTTTAAAATTAAATTAAATTGGATTGTTATTATTATTATTTTTAGTCATAATGATTTTGGATTGTTTTATTTGGTACACAAAATAAGATTAAAAAAATATCCGAATGGAAAAATATGACATTCATGTTCGCGATCACCATTCCTTTTGTGTTTAATTTTCATGCGAAATTTTGGTGCGTAAAATTTTCTGGGGCTAAAACAAGCTGTTTTTTTGGTTTTTTGTTTTTGTTTTTAGAGAAAACGCGTTCTTCGTAAACACACACTAATATTTTTTTGGGAGACGTAAAATAAACATGAAAAAACACAATGGTGTTTGATATGAATGATGTTATTATTACAAAAGTTTTGACACGACAATTGTTTTTTTTTTTTTTTTTTTTTTGTACATTCTTACCAAATTTGAATTTAAATGATTTACCAATAGAAAGGTGTAAATTAATTTTATTCTAGATGTAAAAGAACAATAAAAATAATTGATTCTCTACTCTTTTTGAATGAATGTTCAAAATGTAATGTTCATCATTTTAGAAATAAATAGACAACCTTCTAATTTCGTATTTTTCTGTTCTAAGGATTCTAACAATAAGAAAGTCGTCGTTTTAAATGAGTTCCCACAACTCACATAGTTTTTAATAAAAATTTGCTCCGTCACTATCCTAGTTTCTCCATCTATTTTTTTATATGGACCGTGAAAATTGTCAATGTGAAGTTCCAACTGAGATATGATTGTCTTAAAGTGATTAAGTGTATTTAATGATTATATTTATTGTTTTTGTCATGTTATTGTGTGGTTTTTACTGTTTTGTTTTGATCTGTAATGTAATATATCGAATTTTCATTTTTTATAATCAGAGTTAACATACACTCTGTCCATTTAATCCGTAGTTAATCGCATCGCTTCAAGAATAAATAACACGAATCTGCAAATTGAAATATAGCATAAGTTTAGTACTTATAAAACCTTAACAAACGGCATTAATATTGAATCGACATATCAATATCCTACAACTAAATATCATTCTAGAATGATTGTCAAAGACAATAAAAAAAAAAATAATACAACAATAAATAAAATGATCATTAATGTATTTTTTTCACATGATCCCTCATTAATTTTTTTTTGCTAACCGAGTATTTGCCACAACGATTTTTTTTTTTGCTCCAAATGTGAAATTAGTGCAAGAAAATGCAAAAAAATTTGTATAAGTCAAAAAATACTATGGTAGACAAAAATAAATTTTTATAGTTTAGATGAAATTAAAATTTTTTTTGGATAATTAATCTAAGACTCTGCTACTTTAAACTTATCTTTTTTTTTTTACACATATATAAATTGCAGTTAAAAATTTTGATCAAATAGTCATTGCGAATTTCTAAAACTTAAAAAAAAAAAAAAAAAAAAACTCGTGGTGATGCCAACAATTTTTTTTGATTTTTTTTATTTTTTAATTTTTTCTATCACACTTCTTAACATTGTCTTTAATAATATTGTAGCTTTCGAGATGCAAGCTACAATATAAATTCAACATGTATTGTTTGTCGTCGTTGCTTGTCTCTGTTTCAACACTACCAATATCCAATGATTGACTCTATCCTTAGTTGTATCACAGTACAGATCGTTTCCGCGACGCAAGAGAAACAATAATAGGAATACATACATTTGATACAATGTTTATCTTCACCGTTTACTTACTTTAGGATTATCTTTCAAATATTTAGCTACCATTTCCTGTACCTCTTTAATATGATCAATGTAAACTCCATAGCACTCCTTTCCATCTTTACTTTCAACCAAGTTTAGCTGTTTGAATTTCTCAAGACCCTTTGCTATAACTGAGATGTACTTTGAAGATCCAGGAAGTTGCAGTGTTCTCTGAGAGACTTCTTTTGTCCGTCAACACGATTTATAACTTTACTGAACAGAAGTGCAGGCATGCATTTTGTCCTCTCTTTACGAGAATAAATTTAAATCCAGGTGGAGAGGCACGAAAAGACAAACCATCATTGCCAGTCAGGTTGTCATTTTTTTTCAAACGGAGGTAAGTCACTATTAACATATTTTCTTGTGCATCTATTAATATTGTTTCTAACTCTTTGGCTATCCTTTTCTTAGACTTATTTCTCTCTATCTAGTTTATTCTCTTTAGTTGATTCGCTCTTATCTATTTCAACCTGCATGCCCTCATCCCCGTATAGATCATTCTCAGATTCACACATTTGACAAATTATTACTTTATAATGACTATTACCAATTTAAACAATAAACAATCTATGACCAATTTTTTTTTGCTCCAAATGTGAAATGGATTTTGTCAAATCAAAAATAGTGTGAAGATTTTTTTTTTTTTTTCACTTTTTTTTTTTACGTTACGATTTCACATTTGGAGCAAAAAAAAAATTGTTCTGTATTAACAATCCATATTTTTAAAAATTAATTTTTATTATTATTATTATTATTTGTTTGTAGATTAATGTTTTGTTTGATAAAATTAATATCATGATTTTAAAGATTTTCATCTAGATGAATTAAGCACATGGTGTGTGGATACAACCTCTTGTACAATCACAGGTGTCTGTGGTGTTAGGGTTTCCGTCATCACAATTGACAGGCGAGTGAGTGCAACCATTGGCGGAGCAAGAATCTACGGTACATGCGTTGTGATCATCACAGTTGATAGGAGTATGAATACATCCCTTCAAACAATCACAGCTATCAACGGTACAGCAGTTTCCATCGTCACAAATCAAAGGAGTATGGATACAGTCACCGGTGGTTACTGAACAGCTGTCAGTGGTACATTTGTTGTTATCATCACATGTCTTGGAGATGTGTTGGCAGCCACGATCGCAATCACACGAATCTACTGTACAGGCGTTATTGTCATTACAGCTGATTGGGGTATGAGTACAACCAGTAGAATTTGAGCAGCTGTCATAGGTACATTGGTTATGGTCATCGCATGCAATTGGTTTGTGAACGCAGCCCTTATCGCAGTCACAAGAATCAACTGTACAACTGTTACAATCATCACATGTAATGGGTGTGTGTATACAACCTCTCAATAAATCACAGCTGTCTAGTGTACACGAGTTTCCATCGTCACAAGTGATTGGTGTGTAGGTACATTGACCAGTAGAATTGGAACAGCTATCTACTGTACATTTGTTGTTGTCATCACAGAGACGCTGACGGTGGTAACATCCAACAGCGGCATCACAAATATTATCGAAACATGGACCCATGTTTGGACACTTGATACGCTCGTGAATGCAGCCAGTAGAATTGGAACAGCTATCTACTGTACAGGCGTTATTATCATCACAACTGATAGGGGTATGACAACAACCAGTAGAATTTGAACAGCTATCGACTGTGCAGACGTTGTGGTCATCACATGCAATTGGCTTGTGAACGCAGCCCTTAACACAGTCGCAGCTGTCTTCAGTACAGGCGTTTCCGTCGTCGCATTTCATTGGGGTGTGAACGCAGCCGGTAGAATTGGAACAGGTATCGATGGTACAGATGTTATGGTCGTCGCAATTCATTGGAACATGTTGGCAGCCCTTGTCGCAGTTGCAGGAATCTATGGTGCAGCTGTTATGATCGTCGCACTTCATTGGAACGTGTTGGCAGCCCTTGTCCTTATCACAATAATCTAGTGTACATTGATTGGCATCTTCACAAATGACAGATGTATGCATACAGCCCTTAACAGAGTCACAAAAATCATCAGTACATTGATTATGGTCGTCACAACAGATCTGTGTATGGTCACATTTTCCAGTGGAGTTTGAACAGGTATCCAAGGTACATGCATTGTTATCATCGCACGCAATTGGCTTGTGAATGCAGCCCTTATCACAGTCGCAGCTGTCCAAGGTACACGAGTTTCCATCATCACAAGTGATTTGTGTGTGGGTACATCCGGTTGGGGAGCATTTATCCAAAGTACATTGATTATGGTCGTCACAGTTCATTGGAGTATGAATACATCCCTTCAAACAATCACAGCTATCAGCGGTACATGGGTTATTATCATCACAACTGATTGGGGTATGAGTGCAGCCAGTAGAATTTGAGCAGCTGTCATAGGTACATTGGTTATTGTCATCACAATTCATTGGTTTGTGAACGCAGCCCTTATCACAATCACATGAATCTACTGTACAACTGTTACAATCATCACAGGCGATTGGTGTGTGGGTACATCCGGTTGGAGTACATTGATCTAGTGTACATGAGTTGTGATCATCACAGTTCATTGGAGTATGTATACATCCCTTCAAACAATCACAGCTATCAGCGGTACATGGGTTATTATCATCACAACTGATTGGGGTATGAGTGCAGCCAGGGGTACGAATTTGAGCAGCTGTCATAGGTACATTTGGTTATTGTCATCACAATTCATTGGTTTGTGAACGCAACCCTTATCGCAGTCACACGAATCAACTGTACAACTGTTACAATCATCACAGGCGATTTGGGTATTTACACATTTTCCATTTACACAAGCATCAGTAGTACAAGAATTCTTATCATTACAATCTTCAGCACAACTACATCCACCATATCCTAAAATTATTATAATAATATGTAAATAATAATAATTAATATTTCCAGTTATTTCCAGATTTTTATTATTATATATTTTTTTTATAACTTACCATTTTCATTACCACTGACAAGATTGAATACTAACAACACTAAAAGTGCTGATAATATAATATTGAATTTCATATTTTTTAGATAATAAATTTATTACACAATATTAATAATAATAATAAAAACAATACTTTTCTTTTAAAAAAAATTATATAAAAAAATATTCCAAATTTCCAGAGAATAAATATTCTAAAGAACTTGGTTGTGTTGAGTTGTTCGGAAATTGAAATTAAAAGTTGGCTATTTAAATTGAATGTATCATTCAACAAGTGACAATGAGTTTTTTAATAATATTGTATATTTTCTATTATTTTTCTTTAATCTGATTAATTCAAAAAAAGAATTTGATTATTTTTAAAAGATTAAAAGACAAACACGCTTGAAATACTAGATAAATAGATAGAGATAGAGATTAGAAAAGATTGTAGTAACCGTATCAAATTTAAAAAACAATATCGACAACAACAAGTGACAATGAGTAGAATAATGAATTATATTAATTTATAAACTTTTATGGTAAGAAATTACAAAAAAAAAATGATTCACCTATATTGAGCTTATAGATAGATATTTAAATTTGGAAATTTGAAATATATATTACTTTGAGTTTGATTTGTTTGTTTACTATTGTTGTTTTTTGGATTGATTTTTTTAATGTCAATTACTATTACATGGAGCTGAGGTGCTATTTCTTATCCTCTAAAGTTGTTAGCTGTACTCTTGAATCCACTCTATTCCTCCTACTATTGCTACAACTACTACTATTGCTACAGCTATCCTCAAATTATTAATATTATTTACCATCTGGAAATCCAAAACAACATTTAATTTAATTTATTATTTAGATAGAGAGATAGTATCTTCCTAATTTGTTCTTTTTTTCTTTTGTTTTCTGAATCATAATAAATAAATGTTTTAAATCGACAATAAACTAATTGGTGATATTATTACTATCATCATCATCAGTCCAATTTTGATTAATATTAGGAAATCCAAACAAGCCAAACCCCACCCAACAACAACAAACAACAAACAACAGAAAAAAACAACAATATTTAAATGATTAGTTAATATTTGTTTGCAATACTATTTATAAATATATATTGTTTTTAAACCAACCAAATCAACAAATATAGTTAGGAATAGTAATAATATCTAAATAATAAAGATTCATACCAATTCCAATTTAGCACTTTTAATCAACAAATAAACCACAATTAATTAATATCAATCATCAAAACAGACAAAAATTAAACATTTTCGATCCCAAAAAGTAATTCTTAATATTAATTCCCAGCTTTTCCACTTTACAAATTGTTGTTATTTTTTAAAAAACAATAATAATAAAAAAAAATGGTACTGGTGTAGTAATAAAATAGTTATGATACTACATGAATAAATAAAACTAATAATTTATAGATTACCACAAAAATAACACAAACCACTTCCACAAATAAAAAAAAACAACTACAATCACATCTTAGAGTCAACAATCTCATAATTATAATAAAACTCATATAAACAATATGTTTTAAATATAATCTAACAGCGTGACACAAATATATACAGATTAAAGTTTAATCAAACTTTGTATATATAATTTAATTTGTTGTTTGAATTTTCGACCGTTTTTACCCTCAAATCAAATTTGGAAGAGATAGACAAAAGACCACGATTTGTCTTGTTATTTTATATTTGATATTATTATTACTGTTAGGTTATATAAATTATATGTTTAAATTATTGTTATTTATTTATATTTCCTAATTTGTATATAATTGTTGATTGTTGTTGTTGCTACGCTGCTACAGTGGTTTTGGTAGAAAGGATAATTGAATTGAATAAACATTCAATCGTCATCACTAATCACATTTAAGTATTATATATTTATTTTTTTTTTTTTTTTTTTTGTTGAATATTTCTCATTATTTTGAATACCACACCTTACCGGTTCGTTGATCAAGCGGTAACCTGAACGTGCATGATTCACATACCAATCGCTAATAGATTAAAAATAAACAAAATCACACCAATCGTTATTGAACAGACAACTTGAATTATACTGACTTGTTTATTTGATTTGATATTGCATCATTGATTGTTACAAAACTGTTATTTATTTTACCATTTGGCTTTAAGGGATGACCTCTTCCTCTAAAACAACAATCTTGTTTGTTTTACATAATATGTATGGTTTAATAATTATAAATTGACTAATATTATTTTAATCATGAATACATTGTTAATTGATTACACAATGTTGTTACTTCATTCATTCATTAATATTATTAATAAATAAATAAAAAAAAAAACAAAAATAAAAAGATATTAAAAATATGTAAGTGTGGGGAGTTAACTGCTGATGTGATATCATATGATAACAAGAAACTAAGCGTTATTGAGGTGAACATTAATGATTGCTTTAATAATTATTGATTAAATTAATAATATACCATTCAAAATATTTATATTCGCAAAAGTGTATCATTACCTTTGGAATTAAATACACTTATTATTTCACTTTCTATTGCCTTTTTCCATTTTACTAAACGAATGAGTTGATCGTTACAAAATTGATAGCTTAGTGATTGCTTAATTGATTGGGTGGTGGTGGTGGTGGTGGCAGTGGTTGACTGAAATTGTACAATAACAACAACTACGGTATTAGAATCGCCAATAAAATGAAGTTTCTCATATGTCAAACATTGGATTTTGGAAACTAGATATCCGAATGGCAGGCAGCAGTCAAGTTAACAACCACGTTGTTGTGTTAAGGTTTAATTGCGAATCTATTCGGTGAAGCCAATGATGTAAGGAATGCACTCATCTTTATCACCTCTAGCATACATGGATTGTCTTCCACTTTGCACATCAGTGTAAGTGCACCCCAAATTGCAGAGTAACATCTAAATAAATAAATAAATAAATAATTAAATTAATATGAATATCAATAATAAAAGAACAATTGAATTCAAATCTAAAAAGATACTATAATTTTTTTATAGAATGAATATGAATACAGAATACCTACTCTGAGTAACATCTAATGATAGCAGTTTGATCAGCCGCTTGAAATTTAATAACTTTTAGACCTGATGTTATTGGCCCCATCTCACCAAAGTAAACTAGTAACACATTTCTTTTAGCATCTCTTCCATCTTTACTAAATTTAATTTATGCACATAATGACTAAATATATATATTAAATCGATTTAATTAAACATTAGTAAGTAATAGTTCGTTGTCGACAATTAATTAAAACTATTCTTTTTTTTTTGTTCTATATACATTTTTAAATAAAATATAAACATAATCTGATTTCACAGTTAATTTATCATTCTTCATATTTTTAAACTTTTATAATCTGATTGTATTGCTATTAAAAACGAATGATCACATGAACTTGATCAAAGATTATTATTGTCAACGCCAAATGTTAATGTTCCCTCTTTAAAAAATTTTTTTGTTTTGCAAATTTTTTTTTTGAATTTTTTTAAATTTTAACTTGTTGAATTATTGAATCATAAGGGTATCATTCATTATTCTAGTTATTAACAATAGCAAATTAATTGGACACAAATGACAGGTATGATTAGTAGTAATGATAGAGATCGATATTTTAGTTAAAGATAGTTGAATTTAATATTAACTATTGAATTTATTGTTGATTTGTTATATGTTTATAGATAAAAAACGTACATTAAATGAAGATGAAACATCACAGACTGTAACAGAGCAACCTGTTGTTGACAATGCATCTTCAGAGGGATCATCGGAATCAAAAGTACAAAGTCTAAAGAAACAGAGAGTAGAAAGTGAAGTTACTCCTGCTGAATCATCGGAAAAGAAGGAACAGGAGGTAGAAAAAGAAAAAGATACAGAAACAACAGCTGCTGCAGATCAATCGAAATCAACAAAAGAAGTCGTAGCAGAGAAGAAAGAAGATGAAAAGAAAGAGAATGAAAAAGAAGAGAAGAAAGACGATGATAAGGATGAAAAGAAAGCAGAAGCTACTACTACTGAAAAACAACAACCCGAAAATACCGACGAAAAGAAACCAACCAACTCATCACCATGGAGTTTTGCAACATTTACATCATCCAATCCAGACCCCTCTAAACCATTTGCTGTATGTTATGTTACAATATTATTAATGAACACTATATTGATAATTGATAATTTTGTTATATTTTATTTAGAGTTCATTTGGATTCTCATCATTTAGCTCAATGACATCACCATTCTCATTCGATTTAAATTCGACATCATCGTTTTCATCTGGATTCAACGCAAAGCAACAAACAAACAATAATAATAACAATAATAATAATAGTATTACAACCACAACAGAAGTAGGTGAATCACAAGAGTCAAACGATGGTGAAGCCGGTGCATCTACCACCGGTGGTGATGAAGATTATCTAAATAATAGTACCTCTAATTATGTCCCAATTCTACGTATGTCTTTATTTTCTATCAATAACATTCCTCGATAGAATTAGCACTAATAATTATTATCTTTTATGATTATTTAGAAAATTTACAACCAGTACAAATCGTAACAGGTGAAGAGGATGAAAAGACAATTTGTTCAGCCAAGGCAAAACTATACATATTGAATGAAACTTACAAAGAGAGAGGTGTCGGTCTTTTGAAATTGAATAAGAATACTGATGGTAAATCAAGATTACGTAAGTAAAATAATAGCAATCATAATTAATATCAATATAAATATAAATCTAATCATTATCTTTTGCTTTTCATAGTTTTAAATGTTGATGGATCAAAGAGATCCGCTTTGAATGTTGCTATTTTCGCCAAGATGAAGGTTGAAATGCCAACAGAGAAATCATTAAGATTCACAGCCTTTGAAGAGGGTAAGTTTCATACTTTCTTGGTAAACATGAAGAAGCCAGAGGAAACAGAAATGTTTGAGAGTAATATAACGAAACAGATTGCACTTTTAGAAAAGGCACTGCCTGCCTCTTCTTCCACAACCTCTACCAATGGTAACGGTCAAGAAAAAGAGAGCACAGCCACTACCACCAACAACACAACACTTGAAACAACTGCTGAATAAAAAAATGAATATATAATAAAATAAATATAAATAACAAAGAAATTACTGTCTTCAAACTATATAATGATTAGAAATATTTATATTTTAGTCTCCTTTATCTTCAAATTTGCTTTTAGTTCATTGATCTTGTTATCACTCTTGGATTTATCTTAATATCCCGCTAAATTAACTGATTTTGAACTGTAGTTTCATCTTTAATTTATAGGATATTTACTTCAGTGTCTTTTTGAAAACCAACCTTATTGTAGGTTTGGTTTTTAAATTGATTGTTTTCCTACTGGAAGATTTATAATATAATGTAGAAGAAAATAAAGTAAAAAATTTGTTTTCAACAGCAAGATAGTGTGATTGAAATTTTAAGTTTGATCGGATTTTATTCCTAATCTAAAAATTACTTTTTCAAAGAAAGTATTATCAATCAGATCCAAACAATTTCTAGGTTTTGGATCCAATAATAGTTTCAAAAATAGAATATTTAAAAATTGAGGATTATTTATTAGAACTAGTTCAAAGAAAATAAACTTTCTCTTAGTTAACTTTCTATTAAAATTTTTTTTATTAATTGTAGGACAAAAGAGAACAATTTTTTATTGCTAAAATGAATTCACTTTTTGAATATTCTCTCACTTAATCCTAATTTATTCAAATAATTTCATAATAATTAGTATTTATAAATTTAGTTTTTACTAATATATACTTCAGTTCCTTGATCTTCTCATCCTTTGATTGATATTGAACCATCAAATTAAACAAAAGTTTCTCTCTTGTTTTCTAGGAAACATTGGAGATAGAGATAAAAAAAATTGGTTAATCTTTCTAGTGTTAGAAAATAAAAAAATAGAGGTTAAAAAAAAATTTTTGTCTTTCTAAATTAAAGTTTTAAAATTGATTTTAAAACTAACAAGTATTAAGAGGGAGATATTAGAAATATATATTTCACCAAAAGAAAATATTTGGTATTAATTTAAATGAAGAAAAAAAATTTTATTTTCCGAAATAATATATATTATATATTTTATTTCTGTTGTTGCTCTGCTTCATTATTCGGCAACCATTGATCGGTGGATGCATCTTCACGTTGAGGATAGAATGATTCAATGGAAAGAATATTCTTTGCCCATTTCACCATTGGCATATCGATCATTTTACCATCGACTTCAAATGCACCTTTGCCCTGTGCCTGGAAGATTTCATTTTGTTCGACGATTCTACTTGCAAACTCAAATTGTTTGGGTGATGGTCGATAGGCGTCGCGAATCACATCGATCTGATTGGGATGAATTGCCTGCTTTCCGTGGAATCCCATTCGGATACCCTCTTGAACTTCGCGTCTCAGATACTCGGGATCTTTGTAGTTGATACAAACCATGTCGATTGCCTGCAGACCATGAGCGATGGCGTGAGTGGTCACCGAGGAACGCGCATACAACAACTCTGTAGCTTCTGGTGTTCTAGTGATTCCAGTGTCAGCGCAATAATCCTCAGACGCAAAGATTAGCGCGTCCAGCAAGTTGGCGTCGGAACCTGGAGGTGCATACCGACATATCTCCTTGAGAGAGATGAGTGAACGCGCCGATTCAATCGATGCCAGCAACTTGAGATTCTTGACGCCGTACACATGACGCAGAATCTCTGTGATGTAGATGAGATGCGAAGGGTCGTCCACCTTGGGAATGACAAGACCATCGATGTAAGAAGCTATCGTGCTAATCATCTTGAGATCGTCTTCCAGCAGACCAGAGTCAACGCCATTGACACGAACCAACACCTCCGAAGTGACATAGGTATCGTTCTGTACGGAACGCGCTATTTCATCACGTGCCTCCTGCTTGGCGTTGATGGCAACACCGTCCTCTATATCCAAAACAATGGAATCGATCTTATTGGATAGCAATACAGCTTTAGCAACTTTTCTCTTATCACTGCCTGGCACGTTGAACAATACTCTTCTCAATGGTTTATCATAGATCAACTGTGACAACGATGGAACTATTGGTTTAATTGGAAAAGCACCACTAGTAGTAGTCGAACAAAACATTCTGCTCAAGTTTACTGCATTCTTTATATTCGATGTTTTATTACTTAATAATAATCTTAAAGAAGAGTTTATCATGATTATTTTTAATACTAAATTAGTTGTTAACTACGATAAACAACAAGCAACAATTTATTTTTCGTAGTTCCCCAAATGTGGTTTAAAACAGATAAAAATGAACATCACTCACTGAAAAAAAAATAAAAAAAAAAAAATCATTTTTAATTTAAAATAGGTGTGTGGTATTTTCATTGTGATGTTTTAAACCATTAAAAAATATCCGGATCCATTAAATTAAACACTTCAATCAACACAAATACCTATTATACACACATAAAGAAATAATAATAATGGCATCTATTGGAAACAAATTAAGCATTGACAAAGTTGATGTCAAAGGTAAACGTGTTTTAATTAGGTATGTTTTAAAATGAAATCTATATAGATATAGAACAAAAATATTGATATCATCATTACATCATTATTATAAACAACTTATAGAGTAGACTTTAATGTACCATTGGAAGATGGAAAGATTACGAACACTCAAAGAATCGACGCTTCATTGCCAACTATCAAGTATTGTTTGGAACACGGTGCTCGTTCTGTTGTTTTGATGAGCCATTTGGGTCGTCCAGATGGTTTGGTAAAGAAGGAATTCTCGTTGGCTCCAGTCGTACCAGTCTTGGAGAAGGCTTTGAACAAGAAGGTCATCTTCCTTCACGATTGCGTCGGTAAGGAAGTCGAGGATGCCTGTGCCGCACCAGCCGAAGGTTCACTCATTCTCTTGGAGAACTTGCGTTTCCACATCGAAGAGGAAGGTTCCGGTGTCGATGCCGCCGGCAAGAAGGTCAAGGCCGACCCAGAGAACGTAAAGAAGTTCCGTGAGTCACTCTCGAAGCTCGGTGACGTCTACTGCAACGATGCCTTTGGTACTGCTCATCGTGCACACAGCTCTATGGTTGGATGTCAACTCAATGAGCGTGCTGCTGGTTTCCTCATGAAGAAAGAGTTGGAGTACTTTGCCAAGGCTCTCGAATCACCAACCAAGCCATTCTTGGCCATTTTGGGTGGTGCCAAAGTCAGTGACAAGATCAAGTTGATCTTGAACATGTTGGATAAAGTCGATTCTATGATTATCGGTGGTGGAATGGCTTTTACTTTTAAGAAATTCATTGATAACAAACAAGTATGTAATTAATTAAAATAACATTATATTAAAATTTAACAAAACTAAACTAATATAACTTACTTCTATAGATTGGTGCTTCACTTTGTGAAAACTCTGCAGAACAACTTGTACATGATATCATTGAAAAGGCAAAGAAGAACAATGTTAATCTTTATTTCCCAGTAGACTATGTCATTGCCAATAAATTCGCCAAGGACGCCGAATCTAAAGTTGTTGATGAAGATGAAGGTATTCCAAGTGGTTGGATGGGATTGGATTGTGGTCCAAAGACCAATGTTATCAACAAAAAGGTTGTTTCAGAAGCAAAGACTATTGTCTGGAATGGGTAAGCTATCAAAACAACCACAAAAAAAAAATATAATATACTAATCATTCCACCAACAAATAATAATCACTGAATTTAGTCCAATGGGTGTATTCGAATTTGACAAGTTTGAAGCTGGTACCAAGGCTGTTATGGATGCAGTTGTAGAGGTCACCACCAAAGGTGCCATTACTATCATCGGAGGTGGAGACACCGCCACATGTGCCGCCAAGTATGGAACTGAAGATAAGGTCAGCCATGTCAGCACTGGTGGTGGTGCATCCCTAGAGTTACTCGAAGGAAGAGAACTTCCAGGTGTAACTGCTCTTTCAAACATCTAAAACCATTATCATGTTGTTTATCCATCTAATAAATTATCTTCATAAATCAAATCATAATATCCATCTCATCCTTTTTTTTTTTATTACAACATATACTATTACTATACGATCCTATTACTATGTTTAATTAAAAGTTGTTTTTCGTTCCCTTTATTATTTATTTATTTATTTATTTTTCAATTAAATTCATCATCATCTTTTCGTTTAGATTTTGATTTTGTTGCGGCAGCTTGTTGTTTTTGTTTTTGTTGTTCCTCTTGGAGTAGTTTCTGATGTTGTTCGTACATGAGCATCTGTTCGTGTTTCTGTTGTGAGTTGAATTTCTCGATGACGTGTTGGAATACCTCAAAGAGACCGATGAAGGCACCACCGAATGCCGCCGAGACTACAGAGGCCTTCCAACCGGCACGCGCCGCCAGAACACCACCGGTAAGAGCACCGGCAGCAATCGGATTGACGTAGTCCTCCTTCTTTCTAATATATGCGAGTGTACAGTCGAAACCACTGAAAAGTGTACCCCAAACTGCAAAATTACCACCAAGACGTGGTGCATTCTTTCTGACCAGTGTGAATGCATTCACGATTCTTTCACCTCTTGGTGCATTTCTGACACCACTGAATGTATTACCAATGGTTGAGAATACACAACCCATTGAAAAAGCTACACCTATATCTGTCCAAATCCTTTCTGGGCATGGTTGTTCCATTTCTTTATCTTATTGTATCTATATATATGTTTGAAAAAAACAGTTTTGATTTTCGATTTGATTGTTTAACTAAATTTATTGAATGTTTGTTGTTTGTTTGTTTTTGACTGACAATTACAATCTATTTTTGATAGATGTATGGTGATGATGATTCAGATATATAATAACAAAGAGATCAAGTTTAATTGACTCTTTTAGTGAAGTTGTTCGGAGAGGAGTGAAGTGAGTGGAGAAAAAGTAATAGTAGATCTTATATTTAAGATCTATTTAAAGATATATATAAAATGAAATAATAAATATAAAATAAAGTTTAAAAAACGACACATCAAAGCATCATTTTTGCCACCAAAATCATAGTGCAACACAAATTCACTAAAAAAAATTTTATTTTTTTTTTTATTTTATTTTTTTTTTTTAAAATTGCACAAAACCCGATTAATCAATCAGCATTATGTCAAAGCTACATAATTAATTGTTTCATTGTTATAATTTTTCTTTTTTTTTTTATCTACCTGATTTTCTTTTATTTAGATTTTGTTTTTAATTTAATTTGATATGATTTTTATTTTTTTTTTTAATAAAAGAAAACAAGATTTATAAAGTAGAACTTTAATATTTTTCAAATTTTTTTGAGAAAAAGAAATATTAAATTACCTGTTAGAGTACAAAATATTTAAAAAAAAACTTATTACTATAAAAGTAAAAATAAAAAAAATTGTTTGAAAATTGTAAACCCAAATTTTTTTAATTAATCTGTGAAGTTAAAATGAGTTAGGTAAATTTGGGTTTTTGGGTTGAAACTATCTTTCTTCATTGTTATTTTTCAACACTCATTCAATTCATTGTAATTTTATTTCAAACATTTATATTCGATTTAAAAAATAAATAAAATTAATCAAAGAATAATTAAGCAAAATGGTTGTAAACTTCCAAGAACTTGCTAGACCATACAAGAATGAGTTTAGCGAACAAGACATTCAACACTACATCGAAGTCTTTAAAAAGTTTGACAAGGACGGTAATGGTTCGATCGATGTTCAAGAATTGGAATCAATTACCAGTGATTTGGGTGAAAAGATTCCACATGTTGAACTTCAAGCTCAAATCAATGAAGTTGACCACGATGGTAATGGGGCAATTGAGTTTGGTGAGTTCTTAGAGGTAATATATTGATTCTAATATCATTTAACAGAGCAAATAAAAATATTAATATTTTGTTTTTTTTTTTTTCCCTACTTTTTTTTATTATTAATTTAATAACTTTAGGTTATTAAACATTTGAAGAAGGGTAAACACTCTGCATTCTCACAACATGTTGTAACTCGTTTGGCTACTGCCACTGGTACACATTCATTCTCTGAGGAGGAGAAGGTCTCGTTTGCTGAGCATATGAATAGCGTGCTCTCGGGTGACGCTGTTGCTGATGCTCGTCTCCCAATCAATCCAAACAACATGGATCTGTTCGAGAAAGTAAAGGACGGTATTCTTCTTTGCAAACTTATCAACTATGCCGTTCCAGACACCATTGACGAGCGTGCTCTCAACACCAAGACCGGTATGAACAAATACCAAATGACCGAGAACGGTAACATCGTTGTCAACTCTGCCAAAGCGATCGGTTGTTCAGTTGTAAACATTGGTGCCAATGGTAAGTTAACTGAGCAAATATGAAAAAACAAACAACAACAAAACATAACTAATTAGTTAAAATCAATTCATAACAAACAAAAAAGATATCAATGCTGGTACAGAACATTTGATTTTGGGTCTTGTATGGCAAATCTTGAGAATTGGATTGCTTTCACAAATTTCGCTTGCTCATCACCCAGAGTTGTTCCGTTTGTTGGAACCAGGAGAATCTATTGAGGATCTCTTGAAGTTACCAGCTGAGCAAATCTTGCTTCGTTGGTTCAACTATCACCTCAAGAAGGCCGGTCACTCACGTAAGGTCACTAACTTCTCTGGTGATATCAAGGACAGTGAGTGCTACACTATTCTCCTCAACCAATTGGCTCCCGCACAATGCGACAAGTCGCCTCTAGAGACTTCAGATCCACAAGAGCGTGCCAAACGTTTATTAGATCAAGCAGAGAAGATCAACTGTCGTAAATTCGTCAAACCAAATGACATTGTTAAAGTATGTATCTAGCTTTATTCATTTTATAGACAATGAAAATACAAAGCTAATCACTAATATTAATTTAGGGAAATCCAAAACTAAATCTTGCATTTGTTGCTGTAAGTTTTAATTATTAAACAAAAAACAATATAAATTTGTTTATATTAATTATTATTTTAAAAGAACTTGTTCAATACAATTCCAGGATTGGAACCACTCACTGAAGAAGAGAAAGCTGGTCTCGATGCTTTCTTGTTCAACTCTGAGGGTACACGTGAGGCAAGATGTTTCGCATTGTGGATTAACTCTTTGGGTATCGATCCGTTTGTCAACAACTTGTTCCAAGACTTGCGTGACGGTTTGGTCATTCTCAGAGTACTCGATAAGATCAACCCAGGTTGTGTCGACTGGAAAAAAGTCAATGAGAAAGTACCGATGATCAAGTTCAAGCAAGTCGAGAACTGTAACTATGCCGTCAACATTGCCAAGGACATGAAGTTCTCGTTGGTCGGTATCGGTGGTACCGATATCCACGACGGCAATCAAACATTGACACTCGCATTGGTATGGCAAATGATGCGTTACAACGTCATGTCCATTCTCAAGTCACTCTCGAATCGTACCGGTCGTGATATCACTGACAGCGAGCTAGTCAAGATGGCCAATGACCGTGTCAAGACCTCTGGAAAGAACTCGAGAATGGAGAGCTTCCAAGACAAGTCTCTCACCGACTCTATCTTCTTCCTCGACCTCCTCAACTCCATTAGAAACTGCGTCGACTACAACCTCGTTCATCGTGGTAGCATCTCTGAAGAAGAGAAACTCCTCAATGCCAAATACACAATCTCTATCACCCGTAAACTCGGTGGCTGTATCTTCCTATTGCCAGAGGACATTGTTGAGGTTAAATCAAAGATGATATTGACCCTTATTGCATCCATCCTCTCTGTCGCTCAACAACAACAACATTAAACAACAACAACAACAAACAAAATTTAATCAAAAAGATTAACATGATACATTATATTAACAAACCAAAAAAATAATATATATTTTATATTAACATGTATTTAATAAAGAATTGTATTATTTTTTTATTAACACAAAATCAAAAAAAAAACATATCATATAGAATATTTACTATATCTTTTCTCTATTTTTAATCGAATATATAAAAATAGCTTATCTACCGATCACATAAGAAATCAAATAAATCCTTAATATTCATTTAACATATCTTTGTTTATATTAATATTTAGGGCAATGAAATATATTATTTAACTTAATAAGGTAATATTACAATCTATTAGTAATAACTCATAGTTTATTAGAATATTCTGGTTATTAAAAAATATAATATAAAATATATTTAGGACATGTGTTTTGCAAAATAAATAAATCTATGTTTATGTGAATATTGTATTGTAATCTATCGGATAAGTAAAATCAAATAGTTTACTAATTTTATGATAACATTGCAAAGTTTCAAATGAAATTAATAAAAAATTGTTATTTATCTATTTTGTGTGTTGTCAAAAATAAAAAATAATTAAAATTAACATAATGCAAATATTGTCTTTGAGAATTTGTGGTGGTCGAGAATGTGGGGTAATAAATAAATGTGGTGGTGTGTTCAAAAATGCATACAAAAAAAAACACAAAAAAAACAACCACAAAAACACTCAGATGACCAAGTTGAGAGGAATCTAACACCATTAGGGTAATTTTTTTCAAAAGACCAATCATTCATGAGAAAAATGACGAGTTTTATATACCACTCTGTACTCACAATACTAACTATTTTGATGCTTGAGAAAATTAATTAAAAAAAAAAACAATAAAAAACAAATCTTAAGATTTTTGGTTATAATAATATTCCTAAAAAAGGAATCCTATCAGTTATGATAATAATCAAGAAATGACTTGAAAATCATAGGAATATTTTAGATAATTAATTTTTATTATTATTATCGTTTTTATTTACTTTTTTCTAAATGTTATAAATAGAGTGAAATAATATTATACAAAAAATAAAAAAATAAAAACAAATAATCCAAATAACTATAAAAATACAAAAAATATTACTACCAAAATCAATAATATCAATAATAACTATTATTATTATTATGTTTAATAAAGTTATTATTTTAGAAAAATTATATAAATACAATTTATCCATATATTCTCATTCAATAAGTATAAAGTAAAGCAAAAAAAAAAAAAATGGAAGCCTTCCAAAGTATAGATTTCGGAAAAGCCATCGTTATTGACAATGGTAGTTTTAAAATTAAATCTGGTTTCGCCGGAGATCTCACTCCAAAGTTAATCACTCCAACTTCATGTGCCAGAGAGTACGAAGTAAACAATCTAAAGAAATCAAAAGGTAGATCTTCTCCTATTCAGAATGCCTCGATAGTCGATTGGGATGCCATAGAGGAGCTCTGGGAGAATATCATTGGTGAAGGTCTACATGCTGACAGCTCCTCACACAATGTCCTGTTGGCTGACAATCCCAACGCCTACCAAGAGGACCGCGAAAAGATTGCCGAATGCTTCTTTGAGAAGCTACACACTCCAGGTCTGAGTTTTTCCAATACCACTCAGCTTGCGATGTTGGCTGCAAATATCCGATCGGGTGTCGTTGTCGATTGTGGCGATGACTCGACTCGTGTTCTGCCTGTCTACAATGGACGCCCCATCACCGAGGCTTTCGTAACTGAGGAGATCTCTGGAAAAGATATCACTGAGTATCTTGCCTACCTTATAGAGTCGGAGAATGGATCGTATTTCGACCAACCAATAATAACAGATATCAAAGAAAAGGTTGGATATGTTGCCACCGACTACAACAACGAACTTCGTCTTTCAAACTCATTCCCATTCAGCTATGAAATTTCAGAGGATGAACTTTTATCACTGGGTTCGACAAGAGTCCGTTGTCCAGAGCCACTGTTCCAACCGAGATTGATCAACAAAAAGTCGTTGGGAGTACACACCGCCACCTTTAAATCAATCAATATGTGCAAGCCAGATATCCAATCGTCACTCTATGAGAATATCTTACTTGTCGGTGGATCTACTCTATTCCCAGGTTTTTCTCAGAGACTCTATAAGGAACTATCGATATTGGCACCAGTAAACACTAAAATTAGAATCATTGACCCACCAACACGTCAATTACTCGCATGGTTGGGAGGATCAATGGCTGCCAACGAAGCCAAATTTACCTGTAATGTAGTATCAAAGAAAGAATACGAAGAATATGGAACTTCGATCATCAATCAAAGATTCATCTGTTAGTTGTTGTCGTTATTGGATTTTACAATAAACAAAATAAAAATTAAATTTTATTCTTTTTCCAAAACTGCGAAAAAAATACAAATATAAACATATATTAGGTCACATTTAAAAATTCTTCTTTTGAATTGTAGAATTAGAATGTTTCAGTTTTCAATAAAACATTGTCCACCCAAACAATACAAAGAAGGTCTGAAATACCAAAAAAAAAACGAAAGACTTCGAAAAAAATGTTGAAAAGATTTTTTTATTTAATTTTTTTTTTTTTTTTTTTGGTTCTTTTTTTAATTTTGTTTATTAAAAACAAATCAAAATTAAAGAACCATTAAGGTTGTTTGTTTTTTGTTTTTTTTTTTCGAATTTTTTGCGCCAAAGCTTTGTTTTGCATTTTTTCAAGGTGCAATGTTGCTTTCCAGCCCATTAAAAAATTCACTTGATTTCTTTTTTGTTTAATGATCATGATTGAAGTGCATGCTCTAAGCAAATTGTCATCAATGTTTTAAACCGTAACCCTCTTCAAAACAAATTTGGAGGCATCCCCACCTTTCAATTTAATTAAAATATTTATTTAAAAATTTTTTTATTCTTTTTTTTTTTCAGCATCTACTGGAACCAGGAGAATCTGAAAGTGCTGAGGAGACCTACGGTGTGCAATAAAAAAACTCTATATATTCTAGTATTAGTTTGAGTGTTCTCGATATCTTAATTTACATACCTCTTTAAAGGTAAGTTTATTACTTTCATATAATAATAATAATCTAAAAAAACATATTACATTTAATCCACCCACACACCATAAAAATATATTATCCAATATTATCTTTGTAATCATAACAAAAATATGATTATGAATATTAGCACTACATATCATTGATTACTTTTTATATAACACCACACTCACACTAGTCAAAGAAATCGGTATTATCCAACAATATCAACTTCAACTCAAAAAAAAAAAAAAAAGAAAATCGTTATATTTTAAAAAGAAATAAAATTATATAATATAATATAACACATGATTTGGAATGAATTCAAAGACATATAGTAACATCACACGTGATTTGGGATGAATTCAAAGACATATAATAATATAAACGAGCGCCTTATTGTTTTTAATCATTTTTTTATTAGTTAAAAACTTTAATTGATTTGGTATTATAGTATTAACTTTTTTTTTTTTTTTTTTAATAACTTTGTTATTAATTTATTAAATATTATAGGTTATTCATTTACTTTTCAAGAGAGAGTACGATAACCAAATTATTTATTAAAAAAAAAAAAAAAAACGAACAATTTAAAAAATGAATAGCAAATATATCACTATTTTCCTTTTGGCCTCGCTCACCATTGCCGCTATTTGCCTCGTTGGAGTTGAAGCTGATGTCAAGGTATCATCAACATCCACCAACACCAGTGGTTGCAAAACCACCTTGTGTAAAATCCAAAGAAATGTTCAATTGATTGGTAAGTTTTTTTATTTCCTCTATCTTTATTATCAAATCTTAATATTTACTTATTGTTATTGTTTTAGCATCTAAATTCACAGTCCGTCAAGTATTGGTTGGAATTGTTATTGTTCTCGCATCGATTGCCCTCCAACAACAATATACCCTCCTAAGAAAGAAGGGAAATCTCCCAGGTCCATCATTCGTACCACCATTCTTTGGTATGTTGTTCCAATTGATCTTGACACCATTCTCATTCTATGAGAACCAAGAAAAGTATGGACCAATCTCCTGGACTTCCATTATGAACAAATTTGTATTGTTTGTCACTGATGCAGAGACCACTCGTCAAGTTTTCAAAGAGAAGAATGCTAAGCTCTATCTTTCTTTGGGTGCCAAAAAGATTCTTACTGAAAAGGCCATCCCATTCATCGAAGGTACCGCTCATCAACAACTCCGTAAGCAATTGCTCCCATTGTTCACAATCCGTGCCCTCAGCTCATACCTCCCAATTCAAGAGACCATCATTCAAGAGCACATCACCGCCTGGATGAAGGAAGGTGGAAATATCAACGCTCGTGAGAAGTGTCGTGATTTGAACATGGCCATCTCAACCGGTGTCTTTGTCGGTCAAAAGACACCATTGGCCGTTCGTGAAGAGATTGCCCGTAATTTCTTTGTCATGAACGACGGTTTCCTTTGCTTCCCAATCGATCTCCCGGGTACTACCCTCCGTAAGGCTATCAACGCACGTGAGCGTCTCGTTGAAATCTTCACCGATGTCATCAAGAACAGCCGTACTCGTATGGAATCCGGTGAGAAGCCAGAATCCCTCATTGACTTGTGGGTCGAATACTATTTGGGTTGCGACGAATCCGAACGTGATGAACTCTCTGACGAAACCATTATCTTTACCCTCCTCTCCTTCATGTTTGCCTCACAAGATGCCATGACATCTTCATTGGTTTGGGTTGTCCGTTTGCTCGGTGAACACAAAGACGTCCTCGCCAAAGTCCGTGAAGAGCAATTCCGTTTGCGTCCATCGAATGACAAGCTCGATTTGGAGACAATGCGTCAAGCTATGTACACTCGTCAAGTCGTCAATGAAATCCTTCGTTTCCGTCCACCCGCCGTCATGGTTCCACACGAGAACGTCGAGGATATCGTCATCGGTGACAATGTCGTCGTACCAAAGGGAACAATGATTTTGCCATCTATCTGGTCTGCTCATTTCGCCGAAGGTGGTTTCAAGGATGCCCATACTTTTGACCCAGAACGTTTCAATTCTGAGCGTAAGGAAGAAATTACCTGTGCAAAGAACTACCTTGTATTCGGTGCCGGTCCACACTATTGCATTGGTCGTGAGCTCGCCAAAAACCAAATCGAAATTTTCCTAACCCAATTGGCCATGAACTACGATTGGGAGCTCAACCCAACTCAAGGTGGAGATGAAATCATTTTCGGTCCAACTATTTTCCCAAAGGATGGTTGCAATGCCAGCTTAAAGGTTAGAACTTACTCTGCCTAAATCTAAACCAATAAATTATTATATCAAATTAAAAAGAAAAGAATAGATTAGTGTGTTGTGTTATGAAATATACATTTTATAATTTATTTTTATTTAACAAATATATATATATATTTTTTTATTGGATGTTTGATTAAAAGTTTATACTTTGATCATGAATTAATTATTGTTGTTGTTGTTGTTGTTGTTGTACTTGTTGTCTTTGATAATGTTCCAATTGTAATTGTCTTAAAACTTCTTCAATTTTGCTTGGTACGATTGGGTATGGTTGGGATGAGATACCGGTGCCGGCATTGGTGGATGAACTGAATCCAGTTGGAACAGAGGTTGGAATGGCCGAAACGACTGGACCTTGGATAGTTCCACCATAAGTTTGTGGACCAACCCATGGACCATTGCCAAACACCCAAGATAAAACGTTAAATAGAGATTGACGACCATTGGCACCAGTTAGGAAACTACCACCGAGGAGTCCACCATTACCATTGTTGGCAATTGTGTTTTGGAATGGTTGGATGAATGGAAGACCAGCGAGATAGTTGGCTGGGTTGGTACCACCGTAATATTGTCCGGATTGACCGTAGGATCCATAGGGTCCGGAAGCAACACCGGATCCAGATTGACCACCGATTGAATTTGGACCAGATTGTGGAGTTTGACCGAAACTAGCAGCGGTATCGTAGACTTGTGGTGGAATAAGTCCACTTGATGGATACTGTGATGTTTGTTGTACACCAAAGCTGGCGGCGGTATCGTAGACTTGTGGTGGAACGTATCCTCCATTACGTCCGCTTGATGGATACTGTGATGTTTGTTGTACACCAAAGCTGGCAGCAGTATCGTAGACTTGTGGAGGAACGTATCCTCCATTACGACCGAAATTGGAACCGGTATCATAGATTTGTGGTGATGCACCAAACAATTCTTCTAACTTACCTCTTCCACCACGAATGTCATTGAGCGGATCGAAATTACTTTTCTCTGGAGTGAATGGAATTACTTGTGAATCCAAAAGTGCACCCAGTCTTTGTCTTAAGAATCCCTTTAAAGCTGGATATTGTTCCAAACCTGCTTCTCTATCCCATAGCTCTAAAATATCATCTACTCTTTCTCTTTGTTCGGACTGTATTTTAGTTTTGATTATTTATTTTTATTTGTATTTTTTTTGGTAAATATTAATTTTTGAATAAATATTTAAAATAAATATTTTATTACCTCTGAAATTACAACTCCTACCAAAATAACTAGGCACAAGAAAATTGTTAATCTTTTCATTTTCGAGAAATAAAAATAATAAAAAAATAATATTATTTACTTTTTCTTATTTTATTTAAAAAATAATATTTTATTATGTTTGAACAAGATAAACAAAATATGATTCTATAATGATTATATTATTATATTTCATATGATTTTTAACTCTGATTATCATATTTTTAATTAATTTGTATTATTATTCTTAAACCAAGTAGTACCACTGATCATCATTATTGATGTACTCTATGGATAATATTATTTTTAAAATTTCATATGCATTTTTCAGTAAGAAAAAGTAAAATTATGAATATCTGTCTGTAAATGATTATCATTGTATAATGTGCTATGACAATAGATATTTATTACACTTGCAGTGAATAATGAAAAAAAAAAAAACATCTACTACTTTATGAGATAATTATTTATTTTATTATTTGTTGTGTGAACACACATGCAAGTGAAACACACAATAGTTAATAAATATTGATCATCATTGAGAACCACTTTCATGGTATTAAAAACAGATAATCATAAACAAAAATTATTTTGTTTGCACCAGATTCATCAAAAAAAAAAAAAAAAAAAAAAGTGTAAAAAAAAAAAATTCAAATAATTTTGTTAATATTTTCTAACCATTTGTTATTATTCGATTAACCCCCATTGCAAATAAAACCAAGTCTTTAATTAATTGTTTGTTGCCCAACAGCCATTTTATATTCATAGATCAATTGATACCTATCATAAAGTTATCAAAAATAATTAAAATAAAAACAAACTAGCTTAGTTCCTTCATTATATAAAATTAAAAGGATATTTAAACATTACACATTTATAACTAAACACAACACTTAATTTGTTTTTTGTATTATATTAAAAAAAAAAACCCAAACCAACAATACAATACCACCAACAGTCACTCACACACAACACACAAACAATTGATAATTTTTTATTTTTATTTTTATAATTCAATCACTAAATATATAAATAAAACATCATCACATAGTAGTTCACCGCACTAAACAACAACAACAACAACCTCAATTAATCAGTCAGCTAACTTTGTCATTCAACATAAATATATTTATAATAGAGAATAGATTTAGTAATTGTATATCTAAAAGTTATCTTTTTTCTTCAACAAGATATAAATATATAAGATGGGAAATAATTTATCACAACATGCAAGAGACAGAATATATCTTTGTAAGAAAGATGGTGGAAGCGATCTAAATCTGAGTTCCTGTGAACTAAAAGTTTTACCAAGAAGAATTCTTAAATATCGCAAGACTCTTACCAAGCTGAATGTTGGAAAGAACTTTTTGACAGAGTTCTACGCAAAGATTGAGCGATTTCTCATTTTGGAATCTTTGATAGCAGATTCCAACGAGTTGAAAGAGGTAGCACCTGGTTTGACAAACCTGGAGCATCTCACATATCTCGATCTTTCAAACAACCTTTTAACGCAGGTGCCAAACAACTTGAAGACACTCACTCATCTCAACATCAGTATCAACTCGATCAGCACTTTTCCTCAGGGACTTGTACTGCCAGCTCTACAGGAGCTGCTGTACGCACACAACAAAGTATCTATTTTCCCAACAGAGATTCTGGAGCTGCGTCACCTGAAGATCTTGGACATGAGTGGAAACAGACTCAACTACTTGCCAGATGAAATCTCACATCTGGCGCCAACACTTCAGACGCTGGATCTCTCTGAGAATAACTTTACCTCTTTCCCACCACCCATTGCAACTCTTACCAACCTGCGTATACTCAGAATCGGAAGCAACAATCTCGGTACACTAACACCGGTCTTTACCACTTTGATACACTTGGAGATGTTGGATTTCAGTGGATGTTCATTGACATCGTTTGATTTCGATCTCTCCAAACTAACCAATCTCACCGAACTCTCGCTTTCACACAATCGTATTCCCGAGTTTTCCGCACTCACCGCCATCACCCTCGGAACTTTGAAGAACATGAAGAATCTGGATTTATCGGCAGGTGGATTCAACTCGATTCCCAAACAAGTTGGATGGCTCTCCAACCTTCGTCGTGTAAATCTCACCCAAAACAACCTCACAAAAGTACCGGGTGAACTAAGTCTGCTGAATCCATCGATCGATATTCTCTTGGTACCCAATCCTCTGGAATATCCATATTGCGAGTGGATCAAAGAAGGTATTCCAATGTTCTTGCAGAATATCAGACCCTACATGAAAGCATACGGTCCAAACTGCATCGTCAGCGAACTTCAATCACCTCTCAAGGCAAACGCACCCAACCAATTCGCCCTCACAGCATTCGACTATGCCAATAAGCCCAGAATCTCTGGTGGCGATCAATTCGAAGTAAAGATGCTTTTGGACGGTGCCACTTCGCCAAGCATGGAGAGCGGAGCAAGCACCCATGGATCCACCTTCTTCAAACAAATCGACTGTATAGTAAAAGACAACAAACAAAAGGCACCTGGAACCTACACCATATTCTTTAATTCACCTCAGACTGGATCCTACGCAATCCATATCACTTGTGATTCACTTCCAGTGAAAGGATCTCCATTCTTTATAGAATTGGAATGAGCAATACATTCAAGATATAATTTATCATGATTTAAATCCAAAGTAAAACATGTTTTATTTGAACCAATAAAATAATAAACCATTGATAAACAATCAAACCATCAAAAGTGTTAATAAATCAATTCAAGATTCTATTACTATTTTTAACATCTGAGTAATATTCCACCGATGAGAAAAAAAAAAAAAACCAACAAAAAAAAATTTTTATGAGTTAAAATCATAGTTACAAAAATAAAAATATCGATATTGAATTTGTGGTTAAAGAATAGAACCAATCATTCGATATTTTTGTCGTCAAAAAAGGTTTACTTCTCTGTTGAAATGTATACTTCATCTGCCCATTGCAATGAGATAATCGTAGGGATCATGGACAAAAGGAAAAAAACCAAAAAAAAAAACTTTGTGGGTTGATCATTTTGATTAATTGAATGATCCTTTAAACCGTTTAAAAAATGCGCAAAATTCTAATTTTGATATTTTTTCATGTTCATAAAACTAATGGATATTTTCTAAACCAGAGAAAGTTTTGTTGCTTTTAAGTTTTGTAGATTTTTATGTTTTTGTGGTCAAAAGTCAAAAATAAAGTACCCTTTAAATTTGAAGCATCTTTTCTCAAAGGTGGTGCCCCAATTTCCAATTAATTTACAAAAAATTAAAAACCCAAAAAAAAAAAACAAACCAAAAAAAAACAAAAAACTAATAATTAATCAGCACGATTTTTGGTGTGTGAACTATAACATTTTAAATCAGCAAATTTGATCATTGTGGTTAATAATTTTGAGGTTGTGTGGTTTTTTTTTTGATGCTATTGATCAATATTTATTTTTAAAAATTCAAATCAATTTGCTGGGTGTGTTGTAGGATATCCTAATTTTTTCCACAGCATCATCAACAACTGTTGAGACTCATGCCATCGTCAAACACACCTTATGATTATATGAGTTATTATTTAGTTTCAACAGTGTTTACAAATATAATATTTTTTTTTTCACAAAAGAAAATAATTATAACTTATTAGCAGTAAAAGAGAGTAACTGCAATTCTCTCTTTTCTCTCTTTAAACAACCATTGCTTCTTTATTTTTAAGATTTGCTCACACCAACCACATTCACACAACTTTCGTAAATCACCACCACGCTCTCTCACTAACACCAGCATCTCAGATAAATTCTCAAGCCAAGTTATTTTTATCAAACACATAATCTCCTTATAAATATATAATATATCTCATTAGTGTATAATTGTACTTGGTAGATAAATAACCCAATCGGAAATTATCTGTTATCATAATTTACTACCTACTTTTTTTCTTTTGAAAGACATTTCTTCAAGTTTTTACATGCCAACAGCTGTAGCAAATTCTTTCTATTCTTTTTTTCTTTTTTTTTTTTAATTGTAACATAATCATAAAACCATTGTAATATTCAAAATTGTAATAATAGCCATATATAAATATATAAATACATATAAAGTTTAGAGAATGTCTTCCACTATTTTTTCACTTCTCGATCTTTTGGCATCGAGATTCAGATCAGATTCCCAAAATGAACAGAATGCACCATCAGAATCTACAGACTCAGAGCCACATTCACAGCCAAGGTCTAGATCACATACCGAAACATCTAGACCTGGAAATTTCCCAACAAGATCACCACCTACATCAAGACAGAATCGTTCAATGACAACACTTGAAGGACCACCTCTTCCACCAAATTTAAATAGTACTGAAAATAATAATAATAATAATAATAATAATAATAATAATGAAGTAAATCCACAACAATTAGCAGCTTTACATATTTTAAATAATAATAATAATAGTAAAAATAAGAATAAAAATAGAAGATCCTCAAATTTTCATGGACCAGTACAACCAGGTGGAAAATCAAGATCTAATAGTATAGCACCAAGTGGATCAACACCAAAAGTACCATCTCTAAATTTACAAGTACCTCCAACAGGAGGAGATGGCAGAAAGAGTCCAAGAAGATCGCCAAGAGAAAATAGATCATCAACAACAGTAAATGTACCAATACCAACAACCACAACATCAACTACAACCACAACAACAGCAACTCCAAATGTTTCAGAGCAACCACCAATCACTATTTCAGAACCAAATCAAACCGATGTATCAAAACAAAATCCAGTATCAAATAACGAAACACCTTCTACAACTTCCAACGACAATGAAGTAAACACAATTTCAATTGAGGTTCCTGAAGTTGTTGTTGGCGAAAATACATCAGCTCCACCAGATACACCAACAATGTTTGGTGCTTCAGTGGGAGCAGGACACGACCATGGAATTCTGACGATCATTCACAGACCACTGGAGGAATCTACTGATCCAATGGCAGTCGAGATGGATGATTTCGCTCAGGAAGAATTTTACGATGAAGAACAAGGTGCTGACTACCAAAATAAAGATGATGAATTTGAGGAGGATGAATACGATGATGTCGACGAAGCAAAGAAAGAACCACCACCACCTTTCAGTAATAAGATATTCTTTAGAGAGATATTCTATTACTTTGGAAGATTGGCATTGTTGGTACTCATGGTCTCGACAGTAGCTATCGGATATGGAATGTTTGAAATCTATGCTGGATGTAGATTTGTTGATATTAATGTACATCTTTGGCCAAAATGGGGTATCATTTTACATGCTATCTCTCGTATTATATTAAATGTAGGTTCTATAGATGTTTATTAATATCATATTATTTATAATTTTATTAACAAAAATCCTTAATTTTTAAAAGACTGCATTATGTATGTTTCCATATATTTTATTGGCAATTTCATTTGGATTTAAACAAACAATTATATGTTTACCAATTGGAATTGTATCATCGATGGGTGCATCTGCTTGGGCAACCTACAATGTTGTAAATCCAATTTTAGATGCCAAGCTAGCGTTGTTGCCTTCCTATTTCTTTTTCGTAGTTGCTTTGTTGTCGAGTGCAACATATATGGGAAAGAAATTAAAGTCAGCGAATTTCCGTCATCTCTTTATGGGCCAATTCGTTTTGGCAGCGGTTGCCCTTGTAATATATGATTTCTTCTTGGTGCCATTCTACATCCAGACCTCTTCCATCAACAAGTCGGTCGTACGTATTCTCATTCATCCAGGACTGTGTGCCATCGCTCTTTTTGTATCACGTGCATGCTCCTCGAGAATCCAACCGACTCACAAAGGCACCAACGTTTTCCCAGTACTTATTTTCATGTGGTTCAACACATACTACGGACGTTTCTTCAACAGCAACATGTCACTCGGATTCATGACCGGAACAATGGCCATTGTCTCGGGACTCGAGCTCATCTGGCGTACAACATTGCGTCCACGTGACAAAAAAATAATGAATGCCATCTGCGGTTTCTGCTTCAACCGTGAACTGAGCCATTCAAACAACTTTGACAGAATCTACCGTGACTTCCTCAGACACGAGCAAATGTACGAGAACACCTCGATTATCACGGCGTGTGCAGTCTACTTGGCATACTACTCGGTGTTCGATCCAAACAACTTTGAATACGACAGAATATTGGCAAGTATGGCAATCCAGTTTGGTCTCGAATGGGTTACCGACTTGGTCAGTTTCTACATTGAGTCCAGAGTACACAAACTTGACATTCTCTACCGTGAGAAATATCCACGTGGTTTTTACTTTATGATTTGCTACACCTTTTTCCTTGGTATGGCATACTCCACATCGCGTATCATTTTAATCAACAAAGGTCAATGGATATCTTAAAAATATTAATTCATTCATTAATAAAAAAATATTAATTTATTTATTTATCAAGTAATCAATGATTATTTTATTATTTTTAGTACTAGCTATATTTAAATAGTTTTCAAAATCCAAAAGTAGAAATTTAAATAATTTATATTTTTAAGACTTTTTTATTTTATTTTTTCTATGGTAATGTTATATAGAGTAATGATACTAGTTTATATATGTGTATTTTTTTGTAGATTGGTTGTTCTACTGGGTAGCGGGTTTGGCCGTTTCTTGTCTCGAGTTGGTCACTTCACCAGGTTGACAAAAAACAGAAAGATTGGGATTACACGATCTAGAGAATACCATCTGTAAAAGATTGATGGTTCTAGTTTCAAAAGCGGCTTCACAATAGCAGAAATAATAGTTGAACATTCTAATGAATTGTTCGTCAAATGAAGGCAGTGCCAATACTTTGGATCTGTTGGTTAGCAGGTTTTGTTTCCAGCGGTTAAGTGTGATCGCGTAGTGTGGACCATAATTTTCAAGATGTTCTAACATGAGATTAGAATGTGAAGTTGACGCATTGACAATCGAGGTGATCGAAGGACATAGTCCACCTGGGAATATATATTTCTGAATGAAATCACATCCTTTTCTATAGGTATCATATCTTTGGTCGTTGAATGAAATAAATTGAATTACAAACAATCCATCTGGTTTTAATAATCTATTAAGATATATAAATATTAGTTTCAAATGGATATCAATAAAAAAAACATGGCTTACCTTTCGATTGCTTGGAAAAATTCAGGATAATGTTCGTGACCGACTGCTTCAATCATTTCACAAGATATGATACGATCGTATTTGTCTGTGATATGGCGATAGTCAATCAACTGGACATCGATACGATCTTGTAGTCCAGCTTCTCTGATGCGTTCCTGTGCCAAATTGACTTGCTCAATCGAGAGCGATACGGTGGTGACACGGCAACCGGTACGACGTACTGCCTCCATTGCAAGAGCACCCCAACCCGATCCAATCTCGAGGAGATGGTGGTTGGAAGAGAGATTGGCTTTGTCAATGAGTTTACGGATCTTTCTCATCTGTGCATCTTCAAGTGATTCGTCTGGACCCGCGAAAATGGCACTTGAATAACTCATAGTTGGATCGAGGAACAATGAGAACATATCGTTTGAGAGGTCATAGTGAGCACGAATGTTCTCCTTGGCTCCACTCACAGAGTTATTATGGTATATATGATAAAGACGATCTACTCCATGTTTTAAAAATGCCCACTTACTATCCAGACCATCCATTTCATTTCTATTGTTAATTAAAACTGTTGATTATTCAAAAGTTAGTTAGGCTATTATTAAATAAGTTCACAAAATTGTATTAAATTTGCAATATACTTACTAACTAAAAGATTTTTCATATCATCTACGTTGAAATAACCTAAAATATAAGCTTCTGAGAAACCTATATCACCAGCAAATAAAACTGAATATTTATCAAAGAGTTAATGAACTAATTATATATATATTTTGTGGTGATTTAGTTACCTTTGGTTGTGAAATTATATAAATCGGTAATGATAATTGATGCTTTTTGAAGAGAATCTTTATCACCAAAAACCATTGGTTTGGCAGTACAGTAGGAGGTATAATTTACATCGAGAATATCAATGGAGACCTGTCCTCTCTTTAGTTTTGGAAAGAAACTATCGAAGAGAAAGGAATGTCCCCAAGATACAATGGAGTTGGAAGCTAAACTTCTGATTTGTTTTGGTACAATCCACTCCATTCTATATAATATATTTTTTATTTTTGAACTATAAATACAGTAAATCCTATTTTTTCTACTTAAAAGATAGAAATGAAAAGGATTTAAAAAATGTGAACAGCAACAACTAAAGAAATTAATTATTGTGGAATTTATAATTATTACTCTGATTGCTGTGTGATTGAACTATTTATGTATAAGGATACTATGCTGTCTGTCTTTGTTGTAATGAGGGATTGATTAAAATGTTGTCTTTTGTTATTGTTTTGCAACGTAAAATTGTTTGTTTGTTGATTGAAAAGATTAATTAATTATTGTAAGAGTTATTATAATTGCTCTGATTGGTAAAGGCCTTTGTCTTGACAACAATGTCTCCTCCTTTTTCTTTTCTTCTATACACTCACTCAATCTAGATTTTAGAATGAGATTGGTTGAATTAATTGAGTTGTTTAAAAACACACACATTCACTTTTCATTTCGCTGTTGTTAATGCTCTAAAACAACGTTGTTATTGTTGTTGAACTTGATATCTAACAAAAAATTACAAAGGTGTTAAAAGTCCACCATTTATCCACCAATCAACCACAAAAATTTATTTTAATATTTTATATAAAAATCTGGATTCTCGTAGATCGTCGAATCAAATGGTTTTTGAGGAACTTTGTGATTTTCCAACAAAACAATAAAAAATTGTGTTGATCAAAAAAAAAACAAAAATAAAGCAATAAAATGCCTTTTTAATATTTATTGCATCACTTAATTAAAAAAACTAACCCCAGATCCGTAATCCGCTGATCACTAAATTACTTTTTTTTTTTGTTTTTTTTAACAGCTCGTGATTATATAATCAGTCAGGTGTTAAAATACCATTTTGACAAAACAATTGTGATTCAAAAAAAATAATATTTCAAGGTCGTTTAATCTCTCAGAGTATGCTGTAACAAGAAATAAAAGAATTCATTTTTATTTTTAGAAATATTATATTATATATAATTTTCTATTAAATCTTAAGATTCAAATTTATATATCTATCTTTCAAGATTTAATATTTGTAACATTACTCTCACACTATTTTAAAAAGTAAAAAAATTTCGAAAATGAAGATTGCTGTGGTTGGTGGAGGAATATCTGGAATGTCATCAGCTTACCTTCTCACAAAGGGTGGACATCAGGTGACTGTGTTTGAGAAGGGCGATTACTTGGGTGGACATACCAACACTGTCGATGCAACATTCGAGGGTGTCGGAACTGTCAAAGCAGACACTGGTTTTCTGGTTTACAACGAGGAGCACTACCCCAACTTGATGAGACTCTTTAGAGAGTTGGCAATAGAGTCTGCCGATTCCGATGTCAGTTTTGCATTCTCGCTGAATGCTCGTGGCAACTCATACGCCAACAACGGTGCAGATCAACAAGCTCCAGTGAGAAACGAGGTGGAGTGGGGATCCGACGGTGCATCTACAGTATTCGCGCAACTCGGTAATCTATTTAGACCAAAGTTCTGGTGTATGCTACGAGATATGGTTCGTTTCCACAAGGAAGCACCTCTTACCATGTTGGAACCAGAGAAATACAAAAACATCACTATCGCAGAGTACATGGCAACCAACAACTATTCAGAGGCGTTCAAATGCTATTATTTGGTTCCGGTGATGTCTGCTCTCTGGTCGACATCGTTTGCCGTCATTGACCATTTTCCAATTCTAACACTCGTTCGTTTCTTTGCCAATCACGATATGCTTCGTATCTTTGGACGTCCACAATGGAAGACTGTCAAAGGAGGTAGCTATCAATATATGGAGCGTCTAGCAGAGTATCTCGAAAACAATGGATCGGAAGTCAGAATGAGCACAGCTGTCACCAGAGTGGTTCGTTACGATGACCACGTTGAGATCGTCACCGCCGACTCACCGACACCGGAATCATTCGATGCTGTCGTAATGGCTTGTCATCCACCAGAGACACTCAACATCGTAGACTCACTCACCAAGAAAGAACACGAAGTTCTCTCTGTCTTTAAATATACACCGCACACCGTCTACCTGCATTCCGATCCCATTCTCATGCCGAAACGTCGTAATATATGGGCTGCCTGGAACTACCTCTATGATGACCGCTCTTCTTCCGAGCATGCAGTGTGTGTTACCTACTGGATCAACCGTATTCAACCGTGGTTGGATCGTGAAAAGACACCTCTCTATGTAACACTGAATCCAATTGTTCAACCACAGCAACATCTCGTACACAAAGTTATCCAATACGAACACCCATTGTACACCGCAGAGAATGAGAGCAATCAAGAGTATGTCACCTCAATTCAGGGTATTAGACGTACCTACTACTGTGGTGCTTACTATGGATTTGGATTCCACGAGGATGGTATCACCTCTGGTTTATTGGCAGCTCAACAAATCGATCCAGAACTCAAAAAGATTTGGGAGGTCGATATGAAAAGATATGAAGAGGTTCCAGTTGCCAATCAAAAACAAAACGACAATAATAATAATAATAATAACAAACAGAATAGCAATTCATTGTTGGCATTCAACAAGCTAGCAAGTGTTGCTGGATTAGTTTTCATTGGAAGTATGTATTACTTCAAAAAGGATTTACAATTTCTTTCACCCTTTATCAATAAAATTGATAAATTACTTTGGTAAAAATAATATAAATATATAAATAAAATAAAATAAAAGTAAAATAATTAGTTAAATTTAAATACAATTCATATTGTTTTTTTTTTTGTTTCAATTCCAGAAATAACTACAGTAGACAAGATTTTGATAAATTATTATTGATAGGGATACACAAAAGATTTTATTAATTTACAGTTGTTCTTACTTCCTATTCAAATTGTTTTAGAAATAGAACAAAAAAAAAAAAAGTATTAATAAAACGGTTGTATTAATACAACAACAACTTGGCATTTTGGGATTATAAATTAATTTTACAAGTTGTCATTTTGTTGTTGTTATTATTATGTTAATGGTTAGGGGTGGTAGTAGTGGAAGAGGAAATAAAATATACAATGGAGGAGGGGGTGTTGAGAAATAGGTTGTAGAATAAATGATAGTTTGTTTTTTAATCCATAAATTAAAAACAATTCCTATCTTATCTACTCATTTCTCTGCGTGAAGAGTATGAGGAGTGTGACAGCTCAGTCTCCTCTGAGGAGGAAGATGAATCATCATCGTCACTTACATAGTTTAAATTTGATTCTTCTATCACCTGTTTGTTGTTGTTGTTATTGCTGTTGTTATTGTTGCTGAAAAGAAAGTTGGAAAGATTATTTTTCTCGTCGTTGCTGCCAATCTTGGTTGGATTATGATACTCTTGGATACCTTCGTCATCGCTATACGACGAATTGCTATCGCTGTTGCTCTCAGAGTCATCGCCACCTTCTTCTAACTCGCGCATCTTGTCGAATATTCTCTGGGTGGCAGCGTCGTCGTCCTTCAGTCGAATCGATCCATAGGGGTTGTCCATCAGACTCTGAGCAAGGAGGACACTCTTGGTTGTACTGGAAAGATGTTCAATCTCCTTCTCGATCTTCTTTTGCTTCTGACGCTCGGCTACCTTGGCATCGGCTTCAGCCTGTCGCTTTCTCTCTTGCTCACGACGTGCCTCTTCCTCAGCTTGTTGCTGACGCTCCATCTCCTCAGTGATTCTCTGATTCTCCTTCTCGATCTCAATCATTCTATTTCTCTCTGCTTCAAACTCTATCTGCATCTCACGATACTCTGCTTCTCGCTTGAGAATCAACCGTCTATCGGCTTCCTTTCTTTCTCTTTCCAGTCTCTCTTCTTGTTCCAATCGGCTCTTCTCCAACTGTTCTTTAACCAGTCTTTCTTTCTCCAAACGATCCTTCTCGGCTTGCTCTTTTTCCAATTGTTGTTTCTCAGCCAACTGTTTCTTTTGATCTTCCAACAGCTTTTGTTCGGCAATCTTTTTCTGTTCACGTTCTTCATCTTCCTGCTCCAGCTTCTTCTTTAAACGCATTGCTTCTTGTCTACGTTGACGCTCCATTTCAACCTCATGGAGTTTTCTTCTGTTCTCCTCTTCCTTTCTCTTTTGATCTTCGATTGCCTTTTTCTTTCGTTCTTCTTCTGCCTGTTTCTGACGCTCAATCGCCGAACGCTGTCTCTCATTCTCGAGACCGGCTCGCACGTCATGCGCCGATGTTGAAACGGAAAAACGACGATCTTTGGCAACACTGAATATATTGTCAAAGATATCGTCGATGGAACTCTTGGATTGCAGGTCAACGTTGATGCTCGACACACTGGACTCCTTGCGATACAGTGGAATCGGTGTAGTCTGCGATGGTGGTGGAATCTCACGCGAACTCAAACTAATTGGATTGGCAATGACCGGATTGGAGAGTGGTGAATCGATGATGGCAGTGAGAGACTCTAACAAATCGAAATCATTCAAATCGATGGAAGATGATGTGGTCTTTGATTTCTGTGTACCCAGTGCCTCGTTCATCATCTTTTCTATTCTTTCTTTCTCCAAACGCTCTTTCTCCAATCTTTCCTTCTCCAGGTTCTCTTTCTCCAAACGTTCTCTCTCTAACTTCTCCAAAACCAAACGTTCTTTCTCCAATCTCTCTTTTTCTAATCTTTCTTTCTCCAAACGTTCCTTCTCTAATCTCTCTTTTTCTAATCTTTCTTTCTCTAATTTTGCCAAACGCTCCTTTTCTAATCTTTCCTTTTCCAACTTTGACAAACGTTCTTTCTCCAAACGCTCCTTTTCCAATCTTTCCTTTTCCAAACGTTCCTTCTCTACTCTTTCCTTTTCCAAACGTTCCTTTTCCAATCTTTCTTTCTCTAACCTCTCTTTCTCTAATCTTTCTTTTTCAATGGCAATATAAGGTGGAGCAGTATTCTGATCGAAATAGTTTATGATTGATTGTTTTCTTGTTGTATTTACTAGTACTACCTCTTCATTGTCACCACCATCTTCGACATCGGCATCGAAATTCTCCTCCTCTTCGTATTGTACATCGATTTTATAACCATTGCGAATCGATAGCAGTTTGTAGTCGTCTTCAGAGATGGTGTCAGAGTCATAGGAGCTGGTATCGTCATCTTCATCTTCGTCACGGACCTGCTTCTGTTTCTCCTGTCGAATACTTTTACTGCTTCTTCGCTTGTGAGACATCTGCTTGGCGCTATTACTTCGTGAACGAACCGGTGTAGGAATGGAACTGGATTTACGCTTCTGAGTACCGTTTGAAAAGAATTGATAGTCGTTCATAATGTCAGAGAAGGAATCGTCTTCGGTATTCTGACTGCTATTGTCATCACCACCGATATTATACTCGGTACGCAAATGGATAGTGTCAATCTTGGAGATATCTTCTGTCTTCAAATCGATTGCTTCTGTATCGAGATCATCACGATAAGAAATACCATCTTGATTGGCAGCTGCCAACTCCATTATATATTTAGTTTGTAATTGTTCATTCTCTGCTTCGTCTTCACTCTCTGTTGAACTCATTCTCTGTTGTTGTTGTTGTTGAGGTGGTTGTATTGGTGTCATTTCAATTTGTGGTTCTAATAATTGTATTCTCTTTGGTGATAAATCTACTTGTTGTTGAATATTGGAGTTTCTTTGTATTGAATTTGATTGTTGTTTTTGTTGTTGAGTATTTGATTGTTGTTGTTGTTGCTGTTGTTGTGATAAAACTTCTGGAGATTTAGGTGTCCATGAGGATAAACCATTTGGCTCTGCGGATTCATCTTCGGAATCCCATTGGAGATCTTCAGCGTCGTCTTCTCCTTCGAATCCTCTACGTGACATTGAGTAAATCGATGGAACGAGTAGTTGAGATGGATAACGGTCATCAAAGTCGTTTGGTAACATATATTGATCGAGATCCTCGAGTGTAAAGTGAAGTTCACCGTTGGCGTTGATGTAGGTACGAGCACGACGAATGACATCGTCATGTCCCTCACCCATCAACATGATTCCTTTGAGTTCACGTCTGACACCGTTTGGAAAGATGTCCTTCTCGGTGTAGGCGACAGACTCACGGTATTTCTTGTTCTTCAGTATCGATTGTCTGCGAATGTGTTGATTGGAGGAGTTGCCGTCTTCCGAAGAGGAATTCGAGGAGTTTCTCAGTGAGGAATTCGAGTTGACCGAGTTGATGTAGTCGTTGTTGTTGACTTGGTGGTCACGTGACAAATACGATGCTCCGTCTTTGCTGCTGTTGAACTCACGGCTACTTCCACCGTTGCGCCCATTGCTATTGCTGTGTCCGGTTGAGTCGCGACTACTTCCACCGGTGCCGCCACTATGACTGTTGGCATTGCCAATATTTCCGGAACTTCCATTGAGTTGTGCGAGAAGAACACTCGACATGGGAATGCCACTCGATGACTTTAAAATTGCTATGGTCGATGGATCGACATAGGCATCGGTAGACTTTACAATATAATCGTTCATGCTGGAATCTGATTTTCCAACGGAACCAGCACTGCCATTCAACGCTGAGGGTGGTGGTGGCATGCCACCCGACGATGAAAACGCAACACTGCTTCTATTTGGATTTCTTTTCTTAAAGAAACTGACCATTTCTAATATCTATATATCATAATATCTAAATTATTGTAATTATTGTAATTTGTTTTTTTTTTTTAATAAAACTTGATTAATATCTTGTAAATTTCATTATTATAATATTTGCAGAGATCTCATCTCAATATTGATTCATGAATCCATCCGGCTATTTGGAAGTGCAAAACAACGCATTTTCTTGAAAATTAAAAAAAAAAAACAACAACAAAATGGGTTTATATTTTTTTATTTTTTTGCCGACACTCCAACGAACCGATCCTGATATACTATTTAAAGGTTTTAGTGATCACATTGCAACTTTACTTACATAATAAAAATATATTATTTTTGGTTTTTAAATTATTTACAAAAAAAAGGGAATTCAAGGTTGAATTTATTATCTATCAATATTATGTTAATTTTAATTGATTGATTGAATGCTGTTGATTGTATTAATACTGAATGATTATTATTTTGTTGGAGTGGTTATGAATTATGATTTAAAATTACAAATTAATAAGATGTCAGGATATATATTTATGATGTGTATAAATATGTAATTATGATGATGGTATTGAATTGATTGGTTGGTAATCTTAATGTTATTAATGATATGACTAATCTTTTGTGTATAAGCTATGAAACAATTGAAGTGTCCTGGTAAAATTGATGGGATATCCCAATTGGTTTTTTGTTTTTTTTCTAAAGACTCTGCAAACTTTTGAAATAAATATGAATGTGATTGATGTGTGTGAAAGTATTATAAAGTTAAATATAAATAAATAGTTTTATGAATTGATCAACAATTGAATTGAAAAGAAGCAAATGTAAAAACTAGGTTACTATTTGGAAGACGGAGGAATAGGAGAAATCAAAAAAAAAAAAAAAAAAACTTTTTAAATTCCAAAAAATAATTAAATGCAAAATTGAGGTGCGGGGTGATAGGGCAGGGTACTTGGGTGGAATTGTAAATATATCAGTTTGTTTTTTTTTTTTTTTTTTAATCTCTGATTAATTCGCCTTCCCATCAGTGTTTTGATTGTTTTTTTTTGCAAAAAAAACACACACAAGTTGATTTACATTTTTAAAAAAAAAAAAAAACAACAAACTCCGCATTCGATTTGATTTTTTTTAGGCTTTTTGCTTTTTTTTTAATAAAGTTGATAAAGTGGTCAGTTGTAATGTGGTCAGTGGAGGTATTGAGCTGGTTTTGAGTTGCATTGAAATAGCGTGGGTTTTTATGTGGTTTTTTTAATGATTACTATTGTTTTTTTTTATTTAGATATTAATGGCAATTTAGGGTGCAAATATCATATTTGGTAAAAAATGGGGAGAGTACTTTTGATTGTGAAAGAATGGGTTTTGATTGATTTGAGTGAATTGTTGCTTTTGTCGCTTGTGGAGGTCTCGACCATAGGAGTTTTGAAAAACAATGAGTAACTCAAACACTTTTTGTTATTCCGATAATTGAGTTAATCAAAACTCTGGCATTTCACTGACCAGCAGTCTATCCCCCTTCCTATAATTTGATTAGATTTATCTATTGGTCTGTGTTTGTCTGCACGGCAATCATATTTATTGGTCGATGATCATAATAAAACAAAACAAAGCAAACATATAACCTTTTATCTATAAAAGTTATCATTTTAAAGATATTTATAAAAAAATTAACTTACATTTTTAAAAATAAAATAAAATTAAATAAACAATAATTATTAGCTATTATTATCTACTATTGTTGATATTACTCATTCATTTAGATATATTTTAATTTCTATTTTATACACTTTATTGACTACTCTTTATAAAATTAAATAATTAAATAAAATAATAATAAATAATAGATTAATTAAATAAAGTTAAAGGAAGTAATGTCATAGGAGTTTGAAATAAATTGAATTGAATTGTATGAGTTGCTTCGCTCAGCTTCTCTGATATATGGAATTTGATAATGAGGATATCATAAAATTAAAAAAATGATTGATGTGGGTGGGTAGGTTAAAGAAGAATAAGTAGTAAATATAGTAGAAGTAGAACAAGTAGTAGTCACCTCATCTATCTATCTATCTATCAAACAAGTCAAGTCAGGCTGACACTCGATCAAACAACTAAAACCACTACTACTTTCAAAAAAGATAATATATGTTATACAATAATAAAAGAAAGGTAAGATAAGGAAAGGTAAGTAATAACACTACTACCAATACTGACTGGTAAGGTATGATTGATTGTATTGACAGAGATGAGTATGATTAAATAGTAAAAGTTAGAATAAATTAAAAAAAATAAATAAACATTAAAATCACAACTGCTTGTTGACTACTACTGCTACTGCTTTGTTGATATTTTTTATGATATATCAAAATAATTTGATTATTTAACTATAACAACAACAACAACAACACATACCGACATTCAACATTTAAACTTTGATTATTGATATTGATTTGATCTACAATAAAACTTAACACCTTTTTAGGTGTTGATAATACCCACTTGTTGATTAATCGAATATCTCCATTAACAATAAACAAACAACACACATTGTTTTTATATTTCAAATTGTTTGATTGATTGATTGATTGTTTGATTAAACACAAACACATTAATTAAATAAATCTATTTATATTTTAAAAAAAATTAAATAAAATTCTGATTAATTTGGGAAAAACGAGTAGCATAAAATTAATTAGATTAGTAATATTATTTCTATTATCTGTTTCAATTTGATTTGTTGTTGTGATATCAATCAAAGTGTGAAGTAGTCGTCTATTGATGTAAAGTCTATATATAGATATAATAAATCAAATCATATATCTATTTAAATTCAATAAATTAAACTATGTTGGGTCATCATATTCGACATGCTACTTCTTATACCACTCACTGTTTACCTAAACACACGATATTAAAAGATATACATCATCAACAACAACATCATCAGATTAATTATAGTTACAACAAAAACCACAATCAATTACAAAATATATTTATCAGATGTCAAAATTATTGTACTCGTAATTTTTGTTCAGCAACTACAACTACAACAACAACAACAACAACAACAATACCAAATAATTTATCAACAATAAATTGGTCTTCTTTGTCATCATCACCATCATTAGAAACAAATTTAAAATCATATAATAATAGTAATAATAATAGTAAAAAAGAAAAAGATGTAGAAATTGAAGATGAAGGTGAAAATGATTTGATAACACAATGTATAGATATAAAGTGTTCATTGAATTTCAAGGTACCTGCTAAACTAAGAGGAAAAGAAGGTCATTGTCCTCAATGTTCTACAAAACAACTATTTAAAAAGCATACAAGTAACTATCAAAGATTGCTTAGAAAGAAACGTGATAAATACTTAGAGGAACAAGAGATAAATGATAAATTAAACTTTCAAATCGATTTAGAAAAGAGTAAGTAAAGTTTGTTTGATTGTATTATTTATTTTGATAAATAAAATCTAACTATTATCTTAAAGATATTCCATGGGGAATAAGTGTATTGTTAGACGATTGTAGGAGTTCAGAGAATGTTGGAAGTTTCTATAGGACTTGCGATGGAAGTGGACTCTCGAGATTGTATCTATGTGGTATCACTGCTACTCCTGCCAATCTAAAGGTTGCCAAGACTGCTCTTGGTGCAGAGTTTGATGTTCCTTGGAGTTACTCACCGAGTGCATTGCACTGTGTGAAAGAGTTGAAGAGAAAGGGTGTTGTTATCATAGGTATCGAGCAGACACCACGCAGTCAACCATTACTTGAGAGCATCGATAAACTGGCAAGTGAAATTGAAATTGTCGATAGTCAACGACAACAACAACAACAACAAACTAGATATCCTCCTATATGTCTGTTGTTTGGCAATGAAGTAGCTGGTCTGAGTCAAGAGGTAATCGACCAATGCGATTATATATACGATCTTGAAATGCGAGGAAAGAAAAGAAGTCTGAATGTTGCCGTATCATTTGGTATCGTTGCCTATGTTGTAACTCAACGTTTCAAATCATTATTAAGAATCAACAAATAATAATAAATAACTATAAAATATATAATTGGAAATAAATAAATTAGTTTTACTTTTTTATTTATATTTTTATAAACATGTGCATGCAAGTTGTTGAAATAAAAATAATAAATGGTATTATTGTAGTGTGTCATATTCGGAAAAAAGTAATTATATCTTAATTTTCATTTTTCATCGTTTATCAATTGACACCATAGCTATAACCATTATTATAACTACCACTGTGATGATGGTGAGGTTGGTTGGTTGATACTGAGATATCGCCGTAGTTGTTGTAGGTGAGTAGTCTTTCTTTGACGATGTCGTCGTCGTCGTCCAAGTAGAGCTCTGGTCCTTTCTTTTTCAGTCTTCTCACTCTAATCATGTAGCGAACGACTGCGATTATTATGTAGAGTCCGACAACGATCATTGTCTTCCAGATGGTATCCCATGTCTGTGTGGCCAACAGCAAGATTGCCATTGCAATCGGGAATCCAACGAGTGGAATCAGCGCAATCTTTGACTTGACTGCGCGGAATGGTCTGTTCATGTCGGGATGATACACAAATAGTTTGGTGTAACTTGCACACTCGAATATGACGACGATCGAGTAGAGTGACATGTCCAGTGTGAGAATCGAACTGAATGGCAACACTGAGAGTAGTGCTACAATGATGGAGTTGAAGCAGATGGCAACCCATGGAGTTCCACGCTTCGGTGTGAGTGAGGAAAAGAATTTTGGAAGATGTCCACGCTTCGAGAGTGAATAGATATTTCTTGAGACCGTACAGAGATTTGCGTTGAACAAACCCATGTTCGACGCCATTCCACCGATACTCATGAGAATGTTCAGCCACTGGCCACCGACCAACAGCGCCACCTTTGAGAAATCGCCATCTTGCCAATTTGGCCAGTCTTGATAGTATGACATTCCAACGAGTAGCGGGAAGCAATAGGTAACGATGGAAATGAACAAAACACACATGATTCCTAGTGGGTAGTTTCTAGAGGGATTCTTTACTTCTCCTGCGAGTTGACCGGCTGCATCATATCCTGTGTACGACCACATCATCGTGGTTATCAGTGTTCCAATCTGCAGCGACTTGAATCCCGACATTCCACCCTCACCCTCGAACACTGTTTTCCATTGGACATGTCCAATTCCCATCAACACTAAAATTACAAAGGGCAGCAGCAGAATCACCGCCAGAATATTACTGACGATTCCAACTTCCTCCGCTCCCCAAATATTAATTAGTACAACAATGATGATGATCATAAAAGCGAGCGTCCAACGACATCCTAAACATTGCTCCAAGTTTCCAGCCCAGTCGTTGTCAGAGAATCGAGTTCCAACGAATGAATTCGACAGATACTGCACAAATAGCAGTGGGTATAGCGAGAGATCCACAATGTTTGCTGACCAACCACAGAAACCTACGAGCATCGAGATTTCCGGTCCGAAAGCACGCTCCGCCCAAATTGAAGCACCACCATCTTCACCGACGGCATTCGACAATTCCGCTGTGATCATACCTAACGGATACGCCCAAAAGAATGGTAAAACCAAGAATGCCAACAACACATAAACTGGAGGTCCTGCTGACACCGCTTGTTCCGCTCCATAGGGACCACCCGATACCAAAAAGAAACATACTGCCAAAAATGAAATGAATGATATTACTCTTGGTGGTTTTGTTTCTGGAAATAATAAAATATAATTGGTAATAAAAAAAACGTGTTATTAGGAAATTTCAGACTTTTTTGTTTTATTGTTTTTATGTTTTTTTTTGGGCGTCATGCTTGTTCACACTTACCATCTATATTATTTATTAATCTTATACTTGTCTCTGATGGAGACAGTAATTCTTGTTTAAATGAAGATGTACTATCCATCAATCCTTATTTAGAAATTTAAATATAAAAATATAAAAATATTGAAATCTCTAAAAATTGTAAAAACTAATATCGGATTATTAGTTTTTTTATTATATTTTATCTATTGTTACAACCTAAAAAGTCCTGCTGTTATTATTATTATTATTACTGTCTAAAACTAAATTGAATTAAATAAATAAATTTAAGAAACAAATTAATTAAATAAGTTTTCAGTGTAAATATTGGTAAAGTGTGTGTGATGTGTGGTGGGATTAGACAACCTGTTTAAAATGATTGGATGACTGTGAATTTATTTATTTTGTGTAAAAAAAAACAAAATAGATAACTGAGGTAAAATGAATGAATATATCTATATTCGTCTATATAATATAGGTGTGGTGTACAGTTGAGTGGTTGTTTAAAATAGATTTTATAATTAATATTGGTATTCAAAAATGGTACCAATTTAAAATTGAAAATATTAAAATATTAATATTTTTTTTTTTCAATTATTAGATATTTATATATTATCTGTTTTTTTTGTAAAACAAAAATTATATATTATTATTGTTATTGTTATTGTTATTACAAATAACAACAACGATGACGACGATGACAACGAAGGAGACTACACTTTATTTTTTGTTGTTTTTTAATTTTTGCATTAGGAATAAAATATCTTGATAATAAAAAATTTTAAATTCTTCTTAAGATGAATTTTTGTAATAATTTTTTTTCTTTTTTTTTTTTTTTCCAATTCGTTTTTCGAAAGATTGTGACAGTCATGAGGTGTGTCCATCATCACCTGCGTTTGCAAAAAACTTAAATGCAGATTTTAACCAAAACAAAAAAAAACCAAAAAAAAAAATTATTTATTTCAGGGTTTTTTTTAGTATAAAAGGCATTAAAAACTAAGTGTTTTCCATAGTCAAAAATTAGAAAAAACAAAAAACATTGTTGTTTAGTTATTTTTGGGGGGTGGGAATAATGGGAAAGCCTTGTTTTTTTCAACCTACCTTTTGTTGAGAATCTAAAGTTAAAGTGTGTTGATGATCAACAACACACGGAACAGAAGAAAAGTCGATAAAACGAAATTTCCAACAGATTTTCCTACCTCTGATACCACCCTAAGCTGAAAGATTTGCAAACCTTTGATTTCATCATTCATCCTGGTAATTTGGTGAAATTTGTAGTGGTTATCTCCTAATCGAACAATGGCTAAATTTTCAAAAAGAAGAAGATATCTTTTTTTAGTTAATGATGTTCCCAATACCAAGATTTTTATTTTATTTACAATTTTGCTTCAACTTTTTCTTTTACTTTTTTTTTTGTTATTTGCTCTTTGCCCAGTGATAAAATATTTTTGCATCTAATTAATCAAGTTAATTGACATCAACCATTTCCGAAATGTAATTAATGTAACAAATTAAGTAGAATTCTTTTGCTTTGTTTAAAATTTAGATGGAGTTCTTCCATTGCGGCTTACGCTTATTGGTGAATGCATCCATTCCTTCTTTACGATCGGGATAGAGGAATGTTTGATGGAAAAGTTGACGTTCTGAGTTGAGACCTTCGTTGAGTGTTCCCTCGTAGGATTGGTCGACTGCCTTCTTGGCGATCTTGACGATTGGCAGTGAGAGTGCACCGATTTCAGTGGCGATCTTGATTGCCTCCTCGACTGCTTCGTCCTGCGATTTCGTGATGATGCTGACCAGTCCGTATTCCTTGGCTTCGCGCGCACTCATGCTTCTGCCAGTGAGCACCAGTTCCATCGCCTTTGACTTTCCGACGGCGCGAATCAAACGCTGGGTTCCGCCAGCACCCGGGATAGTGCCAATCTTGATCTCGGGCTGTCCGAAGCGTGCTTTCTCCGCAGCGATGACGATATCGCAGATCAGTGCAATCTCACAGCCACCGCCAAGAGCCAATCCTCCGACCGCTGCAATCAGTGGTTTCTCTACGGATGACAACATACAGATGCGATCGATCATGCTTGGATACGACGACACCTTGTTGAAATCGACATTTGCCAACTCTTTCAAATCGGCGCCACAGCAGAATGCACGATCGTTTCCTGTGATCACTATCGACTGAACACTGTTGTCTTGATCCATCGACTTACAGGCGTGAAGCAACTCAATAGAGAGTTGATCACTAATGGAATTCATCATCTTTGCTCTATTCAGTTGAATCAATCCATATTTTCTCTCCTTATCAATCTTTACAATGATTGTTTCATATTTATAATCTTAAAAAAATAAATATAATTATTATTTTTAAAGGGTCAGTTTTCTTAATTCACATGTTTTCATTCTCATTCTCATTTCTATCGATTATTTCTATCTATCTATCTACATACCATTTGAAAGTGAATCAAATCTCTTCTCTTCAGAAGGTGGTACTGCAAGTTTATGATAGATACTACCACACTCGTTACTCTCTAAATGATTAGAGATTACTTTAATTCTATTATTTATATTCATAGTAATGAACAAAAACTATGTAATTCAATATATATACTAATATATATTAAATTTATAAAATTATAATTAAAGTGAACACAACAAACACTTTTTTAATATTTAAATTTCACACATATTTTTTTATTTTTTTTAACATAGTGTAATTAAATTTTTATTTATTTTATAAAAAAATCTAGATATTTTATGTAAATCTACTCATTCGAAATAAAAACAAATTAAAATAAAATAACAATTAAACTTTTCATATATGTAATTTAAGAATATTAAAAAAAAAAAAAGAGTAAATATTTAGATATCGCGACATTGCAAATACAGATATGATTCACGGATGATATCAAGTTTCTTTGAATTTTAAAGTTGATCAGAATCAATCTAGTGATTTAGTATTGTCTCAAGACTAAGAAATTTACTTTCATTATAGAATAATATTTTTACAAATAATCGAATTATTATTGCCTAGTATATAGTAATATAAAAAAGTACGATGATAATTCCTTTAATAAAACTAAAATTATAATATTTTGTAACTTTATTTATTTATTTTCGTACATTATTAGTAAGCATCATCAATTTTATAAATATTTTTGTAGTTTGATTTATGATGATTATCATTCATCATTTTGTTGTTGTTTAGTGAGTTGTGATGATGATAGAGGTGGAATTTTTGAATGGTAATCCTGAAGAGGATAATATTAATATAAATTCTTTTTACTATTAACATATTTGTATATTCAAATGATTGTGGTTGTGTTATTTGTGTTATTAAATGAGTGTGAGTGGTTGTGTGGTTGTGTTTCTGTTCATTTCCTATTTATATTGGAAATTCTACCTACCCCCTAACTATTCTGTTGATATGTTTTATGTAGGTATACTTTGATTTATATCTTAAATGGTTGTTGTGCTGTCCACCTCTAACCATAAATTACAGTTACACATAATATAATTAAACAAACAATCAAACAAATAGCCAAATTAATTGTTTTTTTATTGATTTGTATATATAGTAATATATTTATTATATTAGTATACATAGAGATGTTCGGTGCGATGCGATACTCACTCAATTCACTAGAGTTGATAGTTTTATTTATAAGTGTATATATGTTGAGTGTAAAAAGTATGAATGAATGAATTATTGACGGACTGACTGACAAATAAAATTAAACAAATTAAAAAACTACTTCTTATTAATAATCCATGATTGATTGATTTGATTGGAAAATTGTAATTGATTCATTCAATTTGAATCATGATTGATCATAAAATTATAATCATATAAAAATTAACTTATCTATTTACTATATTCTTATTCCTATTTCAAAAATAACAAAAATAGTCTTTCTTTATGGAACATCCAATTGATATGGTTTGAAAATAAATAATATTATCTTTCAGCCAACATTCAACTTATTATTTTATATTAAAAAACAAAAATAAAGAAGAAAAAGAGATATATAAATAAAAATGGATTCGATAAGGAATAATAGAATATATAAATTTTTTAAGAATCAAGCATACGATAGAACGGGAAGATATGCAATTAGAATACAATTTTTATTAATTATTAGATTTGTAAATATATTAATATAGATATATTAAATTCTATCTGGATTATTAATATTTTATCTTCTCTAAAAACAAAAAGATATTAATTATATTAATTTTAACTATATTTTGGAGGAATTTACCTTGGTATATTTACATTTCATTCTCATGTGATATTTTATGTATCATTCAAGGATTTATAGCATCTTATAAAAGAAATATATTCCAATTGTTTATTGTAAGTTGGATTTATCATTTTAATGACTCTGGAATATATAAAGTTAGATGTTAATGTTCATTGGAATTTCATTTATACTCTATAGTTCTTTTTAGGTAGTTTGTTGTTATTTTTGTTTAATTTTATTCCTTTGGTTCTTATGAATAATTTGGTATGGAGTAGTGATTATTATAATGTGACATTCCATGAGATTATGCAATCGGTAATTCATGTATTATGGTTTGGTGTGGAGATAGTCAGTATGCATTACGCGAGAAAGGAACGAAAGTTTGCAAAGGAAGAGAAAGCCTATGCAGATTCGATAGATTCAGAGTTGCATTTGAAACGAACGACATTCTTGGTATCGGTGGGTCCACCCACCATCTCTGCAAACAGCTACTACTCAACTGAGCGGAACAACAGTCATTTCAATAGCTATTGTTCCTCCGTATACAATGAATCGTTTGATTACGAAGGATTCTACGTACCGCCGATGCCACATCATCCTTATCATTTGGAAACGATTTCATCATCAACATCATCCTCATCATCGCAACAGTATCTACTTTCATCTGCAAAACAACCTCATAGAACAGCGACGATACCCACTCCAATAACAACAACAACATCAGTTCCAATAATAAATACAACTGATGTTGCTAATACTAATGTAGATAACATTGGTACTGGTGCAAGTTAACAAAAAAAAAAACAACATTTCAGCTTTTAAAAGTGTTTTTGTTTTTTTTTTTTTTTTAAAAATCAACTGATTTACTCTTATTAAAAAATTGATGATGGTGGTTTTTTTTACAACAATGATTTTAGATTTATGATCATTCGCAAAGATATAGTATACACATACAGATATAGATAGTATTATAGTATTATAGATATACATGATTTATAAATCAATGTCATAGTATATAAATATATAAAGTTTAGTTAAATTTAGATTAGCTTACTTCTTTCACTCTTTTAAAAATAGAAGATAAAATAATAATAATAATGAATTGTTATCATTACTTCCATAAAAGATATATATTTTTTATTTTTTATTTTTATTTTTTTCATATTTATACATCAACTAGTGCAGCATCAATTGCGACAACAACAACAACATCTTCTTCGATAATAGATAATTGGGGATTCGAATATAATATAACTGGTAGTTGGATAGATAGCGGTAATATCATACAGCCTACAAGTCAATCAGAAGTAATCGATGTTGAAAATCTATTTCATGGAAATCGTGTTGCTGTTTTCGGAACACTCAACAGCAATAGTAACGATTACAATTCGATGAATAGTTCTTTTCCACGAGCGGAACTCAATCAGACTTTTTCGATGCCATGGGGTAATCTAGTGGACCAGACAACGAAAAAGGTTGAACTTCAATTCGCTCTGAAACTCCCTAGTAGTTTGGATTCTCAGAATGCCGAATTCAACTTTATAGTATTACTGGATGGCACTACCATCTACCAATACACATCACTCTGTACAGACCACATAAACAGCACCGACAGCTTTGTCCTCTACAACATTGACATCACACCGTTTGCCAATGACAAACAATCGCATCAACTTTCATTCCGGCTGGACACACTATCATTACAGTCAAACCAACAATTCAATTTTTATCTAGATAACATTTGTATATACCAAACACTTTATAATCCACTCTGTAAGTAGATATTATTATTATTATTCTAAATTTCTAATTTTATTAATTTGTTAATTGTTCTATTTTAATTTTTTTTTTTTCAAAAGCATATGATCTATTTGTTTCAGTAGATGGAGATGATGAGAATAATAATGGAACTAAAACATCGCCTTTTCAAACAATTCAGAGGGCAATCGATTATATCCAAGACTCTCTGAGTCTGACGATCTACGTAGATAGTGGAGTCTATTATACGGGATTTAATAATACCATTTTCAGTCGAGGAAAATCTTTGAATATCGTTGGAATTCCGAGTGACGATTCACCACAGGCTGTGTATCCACAGTTGAACTCGCTGGAGGATGGAATGCTTTTGGTGGTACTACCAGCTGCCATTCCATATATATCATTTCATATTACAGAGTGTCCGTTGATACCAGTGGATTTGCCAACGGCACTTGTATCACTACAATTCTTGAATATCAACAATATCACTTTCAACCAATATATTTACGCACAGGGATGCATGGCAATCTCTGTTGCACAGTTGGCAACACTCAGTCTGCAATCGACTAAATTCACACCGATCTTGTACAATCCTCAACTTGTGTGTCTGTGGCCACGAGCAACTCTGAGTGGATCCGACATCTCGTTTATCAATGGCAGTGATGTGCTGACACACACGGACACAGCCATCTATGCAATGAGTGCAACCGTCCAACTCGATCAAGTGTCGTACTCACTCAACATATCGAGTTATGCTGTTTATTCCAACAAGGGTAGTTTGGTGTTGACCAACGTCTACTCCAATGTATCTGGCTGTTTCTTCTCATTCAACAACACAGTATTGGAGTTTTCCAATTTCACATTAACAAACTACGGTTTCATTCAGGGCACAATCATTTCCATTATCAATATAAGCCAATACGCCAAGCTATCCAATATTCTATTTACTAATATCGGTTATTCCTATGGAATATCTATATCACTGGCACCAGCGGTAATACTTGAAAATATTCGATTTGGTCAAGGAAACTTTGATTTGCCCTCATTTTTATTGCTTCAATCCATTGGAAAACTTTCTGTCCAGAATCTGGCAATCAGCGATTACAATGACCCAGACCGTAGAACAACAAGTTACATAGAATTCTCACAGGTCAACGGTACGTTGGACAATATTATACTGGAGAATATTGCAGATGTGTCGGATACTCCGTTGATTTCCATAACCGGTTGTGATAGTCTTGCTTTTAGTAATTTGGAAATGAATAATAACGCCATTCCTCTCATGGAAATAGTTGGTTCCACTGTGACGTTGACAAACACTTCGATGGTCAACAATACGCTGTTCTCACTGTTGACATGTACCACCAACAGTGTCTTGCAATTGATAAATGCATCGGTGAAAGGCAATAAAGTGACAGCGATCGATGCATCCACTTGCCATCTATCGATTAGCGACTCAACATTTGGTGGTAACCTCAATATAGTTCACGACCAGTATCCATTGGTCTACACCTCCTATGGACAGCTCGATATCAACAACGTGCAATTCACCAACAACATTGGATTCGACATTGTCTCACTGAAGAACTCCAGGAGTAGTATATCATCTACCGATTTCATTACCAATCAATATGGATTCCAAATTTCCGCGTTGGATTGTCATGAAATCAATGGATCCGCTTTATTCTTCTATGGAAACATCGAATTGCAACCAGTCCTATCATTCAGCAACTCAACCATCAACCTGAAGCAAGCATTATTACAAAACAATGTTTATCCAGCGAATATTACCAATTGTCAATTCGAATTCGATCAGCTCGATGTAATTGATACCACCGGTGATAGTTCGCTCAATATCGTTAGTTCAACCGGTGCATGGAGAAATAGTAGAGTCAGTAACTTTACCATTTCACCTACCGATACCACCATATCATTGGAAGACAGTAACGTACTCTACTCCAACTGTACATTCGACCAGTTGTCATCACCCGGTTACCCAATCGGTATAATGACACGTGGTACTACCACTTTCCAAGACTGTCTGGTGAACAACACAATTGGATCGTTGTCCGGTGGATTCAAAGTCACCGATGGTAAGCTAATCGTGATCAACAGTTATTTCGGAAATAATGCTGGCAAGGTGAATGCTGTCCTCTTTGCCAGTAACGCATTTGTAATACTCCAAAACTGTATCGTTGAGAATAACGTTGGATCGGACTCGATCATTCAAATTGAAAACACGACATTTGAGATTGTAGATTGTACATTCAGTAGGAATTACCTCTCGAGAACCATCCATTTCGTCAACGCATCTGGTGACATTCTCAATTCGAAATTCACAGACAACAGCGATCTTTTCACTATTATCCTAATAGAGAAATCAAATATTACAGTGGTTTCCACCGAGTTTATCACTTCATTCACACTGAACGATGGTTCTTACTCTACGGTCCAGTTATTCAATTCAAAGCTAGATATTGTCAGCTCACATTTCTACAATAATCTCGGCACACAACGTCCTTCCATTTATGCATCGTCCTCACAGCTGAATATCAATTACACTCGATTCGAGAACAACTCTAATCTCAATGGTGTCGGAGGAGATATCTATATGGAGAAGTCATACGGATTGATTAGTTCCAGTCAATTTAAAGCGGGTGGCGCTCATATCGGTGGATGTATCTACATGGCATTGTCATTTGTTGAACTGAGAAACAATACATTCCTTCAATGTGAAGCAACCATTGGTGGAGCTATCTACATTGATTCTTCAGTTGCCAACATTAGTCAATCGAAATTCAGTGGTTGTCTAGCGCAGAAAGGTGACTATACCGATGTCAACTACATTGGAAGTGTCTATTGCGGTGGCGCCATTGCCATCGCGCCAATCATAGGCAAAATGAAAAGCACAGTTTGGATAACAGGCTCAATGTTTATGGCCAACCAAGTTAGTATTGACGGTGGCGCTCTTTGGACAAACGATCCCCGTTCGACCATCTCCATCTCCAAGACCAGCTTCAACTCCAATCAGGCATCGGGAGGTGGCGGTGCAATCTTCTGGGAAACAGCACGCACCTTTGATAAATCCAATATATTCAACTATAATATTGCAGTCTACGGTATGAACTATGCTACGCCTGGCAAGAAAGTGCTTCTCGACTTTCCAGATCCCGTCCAGAAACAACTGGAATTCTCAGTGATTGCGTCGTTCATCGATGGCTACGAACAACCCGTGAGGAATCATCCTACCTATCAATTCGGATTGAACATAAAAGCACTGCGACACAACGAATCAATAAGTAAACAAGCTATTCCATTCATGGGTTCCTATGTTTTCTATATTCTACTGGATGGAAACACCGGTGACCAATATAGTGTCAATCTCACACTGTTTAGCAAGGAAACAGACATACTCTTTTCCAATCATACCGGTATCACCATACAATCTTGTTTGACAACACAATACCTTGATAATACAGGTATCTGTCGTACTTGTCCTGTCGGTAAAATTGGATACAATGGACTCGATTGTTACCGTTGTCCAGAGACACTGATATGCTCGGGCGACAGCATTCTGCCGACCCGCGGATACTGGTTCTCCAAAGCAAACATCCCCCCGGAAATCTATCGTTGTGATCCAACCGTGTGTCTAGATAAAAAATGTAGAGATTTACACACTGGAATATTGTGTGGCGAGTGCACTGAAGATGCCGCCAAGTCGTTGCGCTACTGTCACGCCTGTAACGGTGACTCACACCTCTCCATAGTCATCTACATTCTCTTTGTAGTGGTTGTCGTCCTCCTATTGATTCGCTATGATCTACCAACAAGAACAGCGTTATTCTCGATGTTTGTCACGATCCAACTGATTGCAATCCTCGGTGAGCACAGCTCGACATTCTCGTTTTTCGCCATCGTTAATTTCCGAATCGATTTCCTCCCGGTTTGTCTATCGAAAAGCTTAGATTACCTCTCGAAATTCTATATATCCGTCTCGACAATCTTGGCAACTGCATTGGCCGGCATCTTATTGTCACGCATCCAGCGTATTCACCGTGCCATCGCCATACCTACACCGCCTGGAACTTTCAGGGTGCGTATAACCAAGCGACTTCTCTCGATCTCCATGTTTTTCTACGTGCCAATCACCTATCTCTCTGCAACGCTCATACCGTGCCAACGTATTGAATCCACTTGGTATCTGCTCTACGACCAAGAGATAGAATGTTACACACGACCACATCTAGCAGCGATGATTGTCGCCATTGTGCTTCTTGTCATCTTCTCCATTATCCTACCACTGGTGACACTGAACCGTCGATACCATTCACATCGTACGATACACGCTGTTCTCTATGCACATCTCAGACCGTCCTATTTCTTCTGGGAGATCTGTCGATTCATGATGTGTGCAGCATTCATCATGGCGGCAGTTGCATTCCCACCGTACTCTCATGAACAACCGCTGGTTCTCACCACCTTTACCATCATATTCATCGGGTTGCTAGTATTCCACAATCCATACCGTTCGCAGAAGCGCAATCAATTGGAAATGATAATGACATTCTTCCTGCTACTCAGTTGTCTATCGTCAAACAGCAGTTACACCGCCAACACCAACGCACAAGGCTACATACTGATATCGATATCATCGGTAGTAATAGCCGTCACAATCATCTATATATTAAGGAAAATAAGATCATCTGCATCAATATCATCGTCATCAGCATCAGCATCGTCATCATTTTCATCTTCTTCTTCCTCGAATCATAATACAAATAACAATAATAAAAAACAATAATAAAACAATAGCTTTTTTGATTAAAGTTCTTTTTAGCCGTGACACAATTTTTTTAAAATCTGGTTATGAAGATATAAAGTCAGATGGATTGTGTTTATATCGACCTACTAATCATGACTAATAAATGATATAATGAAATTGTTGATGGATAATATTCGAAGTTTAAAACATAGATAGATAGATAATATTCAAGAGTTGGTTGAAAAAATAAAAGATAGATAAATTCTTAAAAACTTAGCAAGTTTGAGATCTCTTTTTTAATTAATTTCTCATTTTTTTTTTAAATGTTCATTTTTTGTGTTTGGACTGACGACCAACAAATCATAGTATCCATCTGGATTACAACAATAACAAATTATAACAATAATGGGTAAAGATAAATCGAAAACTATTGGTAAATCTAAATCTAATTGGTATGTTATTATAATTGTTAAACAGAAACATGATCTTCATATCATAATAACAACCAGTAGTATTAACAATAACAAATAAAAACAAAAAAAAGGGAATCATCATCTTCTAATTCTGGTGGTGGATTTATTGGATTCTCTGCATTTACATCGAGTTTAACAAATGCAACTGATCCTGATTTCGTATGTAACATATTACATATTATTATTATTATTATTATTATTAGTTTAGTTTAGTTTTCAAGAACATTCATATTTATTTATTTATTCGATTTATTATTTAAAAGCAAATCGATTCAGAATATCAAGTACAATTTAAAAAGTTGGCAAAGAAAGATGCACTCAGTAGACTGAAAGCATTGGAGGAATTGAATCAGATGTTCTCAAAGATCGATATCGAGTCGGACGAACAACAGTATAGTAGTACCTCCATTAGAGCACTGCTAAGCTCGTGGGACATCGTATTCAAACGATTGGTAAACGACGACGATCGTAAGGTTCGTGAATGGTCATCGATCTGTCTGGGCACACTCGGTTCCAAAGTAGGAAAGAACCTGGCACCACACTTAAAATCACTGTTCGGTCCATGGTTATTCAGTATTTGCGATCAAAAAGATCAATCCTATAACACTGCTTTACAATCTTTCAATGTAAGTTAGTTAGTTAATATTAGTACTAATATATATATGTTGTTAACATTTCTTAATTGTAATTACTAGACTATCTTCCCAGAGAAGAGGAGAAAGGATGTATTTAAATTTGCTCATGACAATGCACTGCATTACTTGAGGGAGAATCTTAATGAGACTATACAGACACTGGGCGATGGCAAGTCGATTGCACCGGAGGTGTTACAAGACCGTTACGAACGTTGTATCTCAAATTCTTTGTTGGCCATTGAGTTCTTAATAGATAATTCAACAAGTGGCGAGCAGCAACAGCAACAAGATGAATCGACATCGACATCGACTACAACAATATCAAATGAAATATATCAAGAGACATTCGAAGAACAGTTCTTTTCATTCTTGGCATCAAAGAGTATATTTATTAGAAAGACATGCTATCGTCTCATTGCAACCATAGTCAATCGTGTACCGTCGTACTCTGACAGCAATCTAAAGGATCTATCCACCAAGATTCTAGGTCTATTCTCAGAGAAGGATCCGACCACTCATCTATTCATGTGGGATGCAATCATTGCATTCTTAAAGAGTAAGTTACAATTAAGTTTTGTAAAGTTAAAGTATATATTGTTAACATTTGTATTGTTTAGAATATGGCGATAAAGCATGGGATGGTGTAGATGCAAGAAAACATGTATTACCTAGATTCTGGGCATTCTTAAGATCGGCTGCTTATGGCTCGCATGAACTGTCGTATCCAATGATATTGCCATTCCTCAGTTTCATTCCAGAGTCGGTGGTTGGCAACAATGTTGCTTTCTTCCAAGAGTTCTTTGGTAACTTTATCAAAGGTCTTGAGATTGTAGAGAATATCAAACAACTTGGTTCGAACGAACGTGCTACCACCTACTATCTCTCAAGTTATCTTGAATGTATTGTTTATTGTACAAAGTAAGTAACAGCTGTTATTCTATTAACTATATTGATTAGCTAACAATCTAACAATCTACATTTATAGGAAATGGTCATCACATGAAGATATTGTTAATTACTTAATCAATGGGTTGCTAAGTGATTTGTTGTTGAATTACTTTGGAAATGAGTGGAATCCTTTCAATGAGTTTGCCAAGTTGTTTGGTGATGCACTCACAAGACTGTTGGCATCAAAGAATGAGTCGATCGACGCCAAGCTGACAGCGATGTTTGGTAGAGTCTATGACTTCACCGGTAGAATGTTGTTGGATGAGATCAGAGTGGAAGGTGCTGTTGCAGATCCAAAGAAACAAGCAATAACAATGCCAACTCTACTCAATAGATATAATCAATATTTGAAGGTCAATACCAACAGTACATTCACAACAAACCTATCGAAGCGACTATTCCTCTTTACATGCCAACACTTTAACAATGCCAACGCCAACATTCAAGACAATATGTTTAGTATGGTTGCATTGCTACTCTCCTACAATAATATACAATCTTTGTTAGAACCTGAAATTAAAGGTATGTTAATGTTTATCTAAACAAACAATCAATCAATCAAACTAACAACTTTTTTATATGTTTATAAAGATACAATTGAATTTATAAATACATCGATTATACCAAATATAAAATTGTCAATCGAGCAATCGAATACCAAGTCAGTGTATGATCTTTTCAATATATATCAAATCATAGCCAATGATAAGAGTGGTAGTAAAGATCTGACTGATTGTTGGCAAAAGATTATCGAGTTGTTGGTCGACCAAGATATTAAATATTACATACATCTATTGGCACCAATGGAGAGTAACGATCGTTTTAAACTTGCATCACCAATCTTTGATCAAGTAGTTATTAAATCACTCAAAAACAACAGTCATCCACTTACAACAATCATCACCATCGATAACAAACAACATTCTTTATTATCAGTATTATTATCAAATTTAAACAATCAATGTAAGTCTATATTAATGTAAATGTTACTAATTGATTAGTTATACTAATGTTATGAATTATAATATAGATTCACCATTAATTAAAAATACAACTATTGTAGCGATTATCGAATGGATTATCGATCAGATTCATTTGATTATTATTGGTGAGAGTAATATCGATGTTGAATCTGAACACTCTTGTCAATATCTAAACTATGCTGTTGGTATTGTTTTGGAAAAGACTAAGGGTTGTGATGATTTAAGTAGTAAAAAGATTAGATTGGTCGAGGAGACAATCGAGAGTATCATACATATTCATCATGAACTTCTCAACGCAGACACCTCTTCAAATATCACCGATCAACTACTTCACTTGTTTGATACAATCGTCTCACTTTCAAACAACTCAACCTCCACCACGGTATTACCAATACTATTCAATCAATTGTTACAATTGAAATCACCAGAGTATGTATAATAATTATAACTATCTTGACAATCAATACAATTAAGTTTACTAATATTAATATGTTAATATATTTAGTTTTGAATTCTTAAGAGAAGTTACTACTGAATTAATATTGAAGGAATCATCTATCGATAGATTGTTTGAGCTCTATTTGGAGAATGTAAAGAAACATAGAGTACAAATGAATATATCTTGGTTACAAACAGATATTACACCTTTCAAACCTAATGAAGCGGCTACATCTGCTCCGGAACTAGAGAGTTACTTTAGATTGCATCTGTTTGTTTTCGATGTGCTCCAATCTATTAAGTTGTCCGATGTCAATGTCGTGCAATCTACATTGTCATATGCAGCCGACTCTGACTCACTACTGACAGAGTTGCTCACCGGTTTGATTGCTATCGATTGTAGCAATCAATTCTCTGTTACTCTTCTCGAGTTGCAATCGATGACATCGTTTAAAGTTGACTTTATTGACCAGCTCATTAAACAACTGGATAATCAACTTACCAATGCCAAGTGGTTGCAAGATATCATCAATGCCACTACAACCGCCAACAATGACAATAGTTCGATTATGGTAATTAGAAACATTACCAGCTCAATGAATGTCTCTGGTTCTTCAGAGTTGAAACAATCGTTCTGTTCAATGGTTGTTACCAAGCATTTGGAATCGTCACTCCAAGGTGTAGCAAAGAGCGCTCGTCATTTGAATCTGTTCCAATCGATATTGCCAATGTTGGTAGAGCTCAAGTCAGAGTTTGTCGGTCAGATTCGTTCGGCGCTATTCTCTGAGCTCGACGGCATGACTGTTTCCATGCCCGCCAACCTCGACCAGATCTGTTTCAAACTGTCGTTACTCAGCTCCGTTGTTACACAGGACGATGAGCACGATATCACCGACTCAGAGGGTCACATTCTCTTGAAGATTCTACAGATCATTCAACAGTGGCATCTGAGATCACGTTCACCTCTCATGAAGGATCAACCGATCGATATGGACGCCATTGAGATTCCACTCTCCCAACTGTTTGTAATCATAACCCAATATGCAGTGAAGAAGAACCTCTATCTCTCTGCCAATCAATCTCAGCTGATTCAGTCACTACTCAATCAATGGTCATCGATCAACACCAACCAAGATCATACACTCTTGAAACGTTTCAACTCCCTCAAGATTTTCAATATTATTCTCTCAGATGTTGAAAACAACCAGAAGTATATCTTGCCAAATACCAGTGAAGAGTATCTCATTGAGTTGTCATCGCTGCTCATCTCTCAGTGGATTGCAGGTACCAAGAATATCACAAACAAAAGCTTTACTCAACTCTATGATTTGTACTCTGTGACACTACCAAAGATTACCAAATCAATTCAGTTCAAAGTGGTACAAGCAAATCTCAAGGCAATTCTAAAACTGATACAATCGGAGCATACAAACATTCAGTTGACATCTTACAACCTTTTGAAATCATACTTTACAAATCCATCGGTCGAATTGGTCAAAGCCTATGAACTATCAGAAGATAACACTGAATTCCTGATGTCATCAGATGATTTCTCATTATTATTGAATCAATTTGAAATTTGGAAACAACTAAAGAATTCAAAGAATGATAGAATGGTAAATTATATAATTATTTTATTTTCGTAAATTCTAAAAATTGATACTAATTTTATTTAATATTATTTATAGTTAATTAAAAGAGTTGTTGGTCACCTAATGGCATGGGATTTATTATTAAAGAATTATTCCATTCAAGATTTTTCAAAGAAATCACCAATCATTGGTTATTTGAATGATAAGAGAAAGATATCCACACTTTTGTCATGTATATTCGCCGTTACTAAAAAAGATATTGGTTCCGACTATTTCTTTTATGAAGAATTCCCAAGATCAGGTAATTATTATTATATTGTCGACAAGTTGAATAGAGTTGCGACTAATAGTTTTATAATAACAGATGAATATACATATCCATATGTTCAAACTATTTGTGGATATATGATCTATCTTGTTGTGAAGAGTTTACCGAGTGCTGCAAGATCATGGTGGACCGACGATTGCACAAGTAAGACATCACAGCAAGTCGATACCTACATCACCAAGTACATCAGTCCTCTAATCATAAAGAATGAAATTCAATTGGTGAATGGACATCGTGAGCCGGCCGGTTCCAACTTTACTCTGAGAGGTTCCCAATCGATCAGAGAGGTGCAAGCCAACTACGAAAAGGATGAAATCACCATTTCACTGTCGTTGCAGATACCCGATGCCTATCCACTGCGTGTACTACACGCTGAGTTCTCAAAGCGTGTCGGTGTCACCGAGATGCAGTGGCGTAAGTGGTTACTCTCGATGACCTCGCTCCTGCTGACACAAGACGGAACCATTCTCGATGCCTGTCTCCTCTGGAAATCATCACTCGACAAACACTTCCAAGGCGTTGAACTCTGTCCCATCTGTTACAGCCTTTTCTTCAACGGCACAATTCCGAAATTCCAATGTAAAAATTGCAAAAACAAATTCCATGCCGGTTGCATTTATAAGTGGTTCCAAACATCTCACAGTAAGTATTTTCATGATGCCCAATATTAAATATATTACAAACCAAATCACTAACATATATAATCACCTTTTTCTTTTATTTTAGAATCAACATGTCCACTTTGTCAAGTTGAACTTCAATAATATCGATAGATTACAGATTATCTTTGCTTTTTTTACAAAATATAAACATTAGTTTTAGTATGTTAAAAAGACAAGTGAATCTTGTAAATAGAATAAAAGTATTATAGGGTTGCAATTATTTTTATTATTGTGCACAGAATGTATTCTGACCAAAGTTAAATGTTGAGGTCGATTCAAGAGTATCAAGATTGATAGTGTATAAATAGGGTGAGGTATTTTCACTAATCAATATCAATATTGATCCATTTTGGTCAAACATGTACTGGGGGTCACAAAAAGATTAAAAATGAAATCAATATCAAAAGAAATGAAAAAGATAGAACTTGTGATATCATTGTTGTTGGTGTTGAAAGAAATTTTTAGAAATTGATTTGAAATTCAATTTTCGAATATTAAAAAAAAAGATTTAAATTTACATTTTCTTTTTTTATTTTTCAAGTCAATCTCTGATTGACTTGAAATTCCCGATAAATAAGATTTTTTTAAAAAACAAAAAAAGACCAGATTTAGAATTTCAAGGAGGATTTTAAATCCTTTGAAGAAATTCAATACCCAACATATGATTGTATCCATCGAGATTTTCTAATGAACAATGGTATACTGCCATTTCTATATGTCAGAGCCATTCTTTTACCATCAATGATATTTTGGTTTCAACTTGGAAACATTCCTCAATCATTGATACTCAATCACCATCAATTCTAATAAGTTGCTGTCTTTTACTAGAATCAAATAAATTTTACTCCCTCAAAAGAAGAGGTGAAAGTCAACCTTATCCCGTATTTAAATATAAATATTTTATAATTTAGATCTAATACTACTTAAATTTCTCTGTCAAGTTTTCAAAGAGATCCATGTCTTTAAAGTCATATTCTTGTCTTTAAAAATATCAATAAAAAAAATAATGATCACAAAATTTTCTTCGAAAATTCCCATATTGGATTTGGTGAAACAATTTTTTTTTTAAAATTATTACTTCTTAATTAAATTTGTGTATATTATTTTGCACAAACACATAAATATATATTTATTGATATGGGTATATCTACTATTATTCAGAACTTCCTGTACCTCGGAGCAGCACGGTGAGCAGTTAATTAATTGATTCTTATAGATATCTTATCTTAACTAATGTTTTAAATGTTAAAAACACAGAGATACAAAGAATGAACAGGAAATGAAAAAACTAAGAATATCTCATATAGTTAGTTGTGCAGGACAAGTTAAATTTCCACAAAATTATTCAATTCTTGTAAGTGTTATAATATTATTGGTTTTGTTACTTAAGTAACAAGATAGAATAGAATATTAAGATGCATTATTAACTTTTCAATTCAATATATAGAAAGCACATAATTTAGAAGATGAACCAGAACAAGATATTCTTACATTCATAGAGGAATCATTTCAATTCATTGAGAAAGCACGTTCTGAAAATGGCATAGTTTTCGTACATTGTTTGGCTGGCAAGAGTAGGAGTCCTACCATTATCATTGCCTACTTGATGAGGATGCAACAGGTACCACTGAAACAGATCTATCATTTGGTGTACGAAGCTAGAGATCTCATACAACCAAACGATGGATTCATGATGCAATTACTTCAACTAGAAACTAAACTTCTCGGTTCAACATCGTTTGAAGTAAACGAATGGAAAAATATCAAACCAAGACATAATAAGAAGACAAGACTAACATTTGTTCAACACATAAAGAAACAAGAAAAGAATGAACAATCTTCATCTTCAGATAGTAACAATGATGATAATAATAATAATAATGAGAATAATCAAAATAGTGAAGAGGAAATGAAGAGATTGAATGAAGAGATTCAAGCTATAGCATTGTCAACGAAATTCAATCATACCGCTCATCTAAAGAATGAAATTATCGATAAGATCAATGAGTATTTGGAACAGATATTGACTGTGGAAGTGTTATTAAAGGCGATTGGCAATGTAGATAATCTATACTCGACACTCTCAAATTCGGTGTTTACTCATAAACGTGTTGGACCTCTGATGGGTCAAATAAAGAAACATGTCGGTAAAGAACTATTCACACAAACATCTGGTGGTGAATATCTTCGATCAAAAGACGATAGAATCGAATGGAAAGACATTGCAAACCTAATGGAATCAAGAATCATTTTATTATTAGAAAAAGAGGTATTTCAAAAGAAACTTTTACTGTAACAATAAAAGTAATAATAATAATCATAAACAATCATAATAATAACTATGCTATTGAAGTTATTGTTATTAATTTTAATAAACAATAGTAGTAGTAGTAATACAATCAATCAATCATTATCATATCAACGTCATAATCATCGATTCATATGATATAACATTAATAATAGTAGAAGTAATAATAACAATAAGTAACAGTGAAACGGTACATCATTAAATAATGATAGGAATGTAGTAATAGTAGTGATATACAATGAAAATGAACATTCAATCAATATAAAACAAACCACAAATAAATGTGTATTGGTTACATAATTTTTTTGATCATTTTATTCAAAAATATTATTGTATAGATAATTTTGAATTATCTGATGTTGTTATAGATAACCATTATTAGATTGTCTTTTTACAATTTTTTTGAATTGTGAATTGTGGTTGTTTTTTTATTTTTATGTTGTTATTTATTTATTTTTGATTAAAATTATAATTATTTTCGGGTGAATTGTAAAATAAAACTAACAGATATCAACAAACCAAAATTATAAAAAAAACAAAACGAAAGAGATAAAAACAAATTTTTTGATAATAATAGATAAACATTAAATTTTTAATGTAAAATGGAATTCCTAAGGTGGTCATACAACAACAATGTAGTTTTAGTGACGAGTGTGTGTTGTTTGTTGTATCTGATCTGTATACTTTCATGAACAAACAAGCCTATTAATCATTTTATTTGATTTATTTTTGTTAAACCAAAAATAAAAAAAGAATATAAATAATTTTTATAAATCAAATTATTATAGATATAAAAAATTAAATTATTATTCTCTGTAATTAAATTAATCATATAAATAACTTTTCTTTAATCAACTATAAACTATTTTATTATTTTTATTTTATTAAGAAAAAAACATATAAAAATTATTTGCAAAATGGAAAACGATTATGAAACAGAATCAAATATCAGTAGTGAATCATGGTATAATTTGGTTGGAGAGGAAATATTGTCAGATTTAGACAATTTTTATGAATTGGATTCTGATTCTTTCGATTGTTGGGAATCAGATATGGAAGATGAAAAAGAAATTTTGGTTGGTGAAACTATTTCGTTCGAAAAGGAATTGGAGAATGAATCTGAATATAGAAGAAAACCAAAAATTAGAAAATATTCAATCGATTATGTTCATCAACCTTCAATATTATCGAAATCAATGATTTTTTCGCTACACTATAACATCGAACAGATTTCAAAAGAAGTTGCATCAAAGTACCTATTAATTATTTAAATTAAAAAATAATTTAAAGATTATGCTAATATTTTGAAATTTCTTTTTATTTTATTTAGTTGTATTTTTGCATCGAAAAGAACATCAAAGAAAGTTAAAAAGATTAGTTATGTCGTAAGAGATCAATGCCGTAAAGCATCAAGAGAAACAGTTGAGCTAATGCATAAATCAAGAGTTCAAAAGAATCTATTACTTGTCCAATGATTAAATTAATTAATTAGTTAATTAAAAATCTTTGTATCTCTTAATTGAAATGTTAATAATATTATTTGTAAAGGCGCCAAAATAATAAATACAAACCACCATATTTTTTAAAAAAAAGTACTAGTTTAAAATTGTTTTCCTTTTTTTTTAGTTTTTAAAATAATTATAATTATATTTATTTTATAAGAAAATAAACATAATGAAATAAATTATTATTATTGTGTTAGGATCTCTGCGCCATTGTCTGTCACTAAAATAGTATGTTCAAATTGTGCTGCCCATCCACCTTCTGTAGATGAAATTGTCCAATTGTCATCCCACATCTTCCAATCTGTAAATGGTTTTGTACTTTCAACTAAAATAGGTTCTATATTTGAAAATAATAAACAAAAAATATTAATAAACATATTAAAGTTAATAATACTACAATTAACAATATTTACCAATTGTAAAAATCATATCTTTCTTTATAATATAATCTAAATCGTTTGCAACTTGGAAAATAAATGGGGGTGTATGAAATTCTTTACCAATACCATGTGCTGTAAATTCAATTGGAATACTAAATGAATGTTTATGTGCAACAGCTCTTGAAAATTTAAACAGACAGTTAAAATTAGATATGTTTAGTTGTTTCTTTCATGAAATAATAATAATTTGATTTACTTACTGAATTGCTTTACCGATATCACTGAATGGTCTATCTGGTTTGACAGCTTTAATACCGGCATCCAATGCCATCTTTGTGACTTCAATGAGTTTGGCGGCGGCACTATCGATTTGACCAACGGTGAATGTCGCAGAGGTATCACCATGATAGCCTTTGTAGTATACGGTGATATCGATGTTTATGATATCGCCATCTTGCAGTGGACGACTATCGGGTATGCCATGACAGATGATCTCATTGATCGATGTGCAAATCGATTTCGGATAGCCTTTGTAACCGAGTGTCGATGGATATGCATCGCGACGAACGATCTCTGCGTGAACAGCTCGATCGATTTCATCGGTGGTGATTCCAGCTCTCACCATCTTACCGGCAAACTCTAGAATTTCTTTGGCCAACTTGCAAGATGCTCGCATTCCTTTGATATCTTCGGCCGACGCCACTGTAATGTCGTCTTCCAGATCGTATTCGCGAAGTGGTTCGCCATTGGCATACGGAGGATAGGGAATAGTGGTGGGAACATCGAGTTTCGGTGATACGACACCCGCCACCACCAAATGTTGCGAATTCCTGCTGAGTTGATGCTCCATTGTTCTACGTTCTTTTCTGTTCATCGGCTTAGACTGAGTGGCTGGTGGTTTTCCATAGGCATCGTTTGTTTGTTGCTTTACGAAATCTTCCAATTCTTTTGATTCTTTCTTTCTATCTCTATCTGAAGAGGAAGAAGAATAGAATCTATTGTTATAACCATTATTATAATTTAATCTCTGTAATGTATTTCTATCAGCTGCACCTGTTGTTGTAGTTGCTGTCAATGATAAAAATAAACTTTTGCTACTTCCATTTACTAAATTTACAAATCTAGATTTGTTATTAACAAATCTATTTAACATCATCTTTGTTTGATATTTTTTATTTTATAAGATAATCATCGCAATGACAAAAAAACGAGTACTTTAAAATTTTTTTTGGAACCTTTTTTGCAAATTTTTTTAAAGAACATTTGAATTAAATATTTAATGTAATATCTTATTATTTATCACCACCCCTTCTCGCCAATACGTTTTCTTTCTCCATTTTAATTAGATATTGTTCTCTAGAAGGTGATTTATCTAGTGTAGATTTTCTTAATCTTGATGTGTTTGTTGGAGGAAATGAAGCGGGAGATGGTATGGAATTATGAACTGAACTACTTTGTGTTGGTTTGGTTGATGGTGTTTTACTATTCCCTAGACTTCAAACAAAAATATTAAATCTTAATATTCAAGTTCTATTTCTAATAACAAGTTCAATACAGTCAAACCTATTTTTTTTAAATTTTACTTTTTTGTTTTTTACTAACTGGTTGGTTTACCACACAAGAAGATTCAAATTGGGAGTTAGATTCTTTGCGTTGGTTTTGTGCTCAAATAAATTATAACAGATTTTATATGATTTTGCAATCAATTGTTACAATCAAACACACTACAGATAAAATCTAAAAGTTTTTAAAAATTGTAGAAAAAATAAATAGATTTAATATATCTATTCAGTGCAGCAATCAAAAATGGCTAACGAGTATAGAGATTACTTTAAACCGCTTATTGATTTAGAGTATGCTGTTATCTCAGAGAGTATGTCATTACATATTTTCTGATGATGTCTAACATTCATATTAACTTGTTGTGTAATATTATATTTATAGAATCGTATAATAAAAACATCCAATTGGTCAAGAGGGATGAACTCTTTAATCACTATTTAGATAGATTCATTGGTCTAAATGAACAGAAATTAATTACCTTTATATTTAGTTCACACCAGGTCAAGAGAAAAGGTAAAAAAGATGTTAATCAATATCTTTATTTGGTTGTAAGTTATATAGTTTTACAACAATGAATTAATATTAATTATAATAATTATAATAATAATAATAGGAAATAGTTAATAGAGATCAAGAAATGATAGATGCACGTGTTAAACTTTATCGAAAGTTTATAGATGACCGAATTGCTAGTAATCAGAAGAATATGATAACACAAACACCACCACAACCAGTTAGTAAAAATAATAATAATAGTAATAATAATAATAATGATATAAAACTACCATTAAAACCAAAATTAGAGGATACAAGTTTGCAAAAACAGATAGTCACAACACAACAAACAATTGAAAAACAAAAAGAGTTGATACAAAGTTGGCAACGACAACTACCACTGAGACTAGAGGACACGAGTGCGCAAAAACAGATATTCACAACACAACAACAAACAATCGATAAACAGAAAGAGTTAATACTGAATTTGCAACTACAGTTACAACAACTTAAGAAACGCCACCAAGAGGAGCTAGAACAGACAACTAAAGGCTGGCAGGAAATCGTGGAGAATCAAAGAGATTATCAACAGCAACAATACGAAGATAATTTGAAGGCGATGCAAACGATGGCCGATCAACATCAAGAGGAGCTGGAACACAAACAAGAGACAATCAAAAGCTGGGAGGAAATGGTGGAGAATCAGAGACAGTATCAACAGAGACAACACGAAGAGAATTTAAAGGCTAGACAAATAATGGTGGAAGAACATCAAGTGGCATTGAACAATTGGGCAAAAATAACAGAACAAAACAAACATTCTATTCAGAATTGGATGAAAACCGCACAGTACAATCGAGAACAAACTCAAGTATGGATGGATATTGCACAACAAAAACAGGAAACAATACAAAAGATGATCGATGAACGAAAAGCGCCAGATCCACCAATCAGTCTACAACGCAAAGAGGAGTCATTTCAACAAATCAAACAACAATATTTGGGTGTACAGACTTCAGCGAAACAAATAATTGACCAAATAATGGATAGATTCTATAAAGAAAATGAAGAAGAAAAAGAAAAAGAGAAAGAGAAAGAAAAAGATAAAGAGAAAGATAAAGAGAAAGAGAAAGAGAAAGAGAAAGAGAAAGAGAAAGAGAAAGAGAAAGAGAAAGAGAAAGAGAAAGAGAAAGAGAAAGAGAAAGAGAAAGAGAAAGAGAAAGAGAAAGAAAAAGAAAAAGAAAAAGAAAAAGAAAAAGAAAAAGAAAAAGAAAAAGAAAAAGAAAAAGAAAAAGAAAAAGAAAAAGAGAAAGAGAAAGAGAATGAAAAAGAGAAAGTGAAGGTGAAGGTGGAGGAGAAAGAGAAAGAGAAGGTGGAGGAGAAAGAGAAAGAGAAGGCGGAGGAGAAAGAGAAAGAGAAGGTGGAGGAGAAAGAAAAAGAAAAGGAGGAAGAGAAAGATGAAGGAAAAAGAGAATGAAAAAGAGAAAGAGAAACAACTTAAACGTTTCCAGCCTGAAGAAGAAGATAATGGTGATGATAATGTTAGATATGGATATGGACACGGACATGGGTATGGACATGGATATGGGAATGTGAATGGAAATGGATATGGATACGGAAATGGGTATGGACATGGATATGGATTTGGATATGGGAATGGAAAAGGGAATGGAAATGGGCATGGTAATGGACATGGTAATGGACGTGGACATGATCACGATCATGTTCATATTGAATGTCAGTGTGATGATATCATTCCAATCGATGATGATGAAAAGAAGGAGTTGAAGATGTTAATCATTACAAACACAGTTAGTGATATCAAACTAAAACTAGCGAAATTTTTTGATTTTGGTGAAGATATTTTTTACCACACACACAAAGATTTCATTAGTCGATTTATCAATGAATATATAGAAGCTGACTCGAACAAAGCTCGACCTATAATCAGAGCATTGAAAAAGAAGATAAGAACTAACAATAACAACAATAATAATAATAATAATAATAATAATCAACCAAGAAAGAAATTAAAGAGAGAGAATGAGGAAAGTAAAGATCAAGACGATTCTGATACATCTAACCAGATGGAAATTGAATCTGATGATAGTGAATCAGATATTGAAGCACCAAAGAGTTGTTGTCATTTCAAGTATCCAATTCGTGTAGATGATCATTCTGAGGATATAGGAGCATCCTTCCATGGAGAATAACTGCAGACCAATGTAAGAAAAGTGTGAACAGTAATCATTCTTGCTTATCAATAAATATACATATGTATATTCAAATTTTAACAATGCTTAATGAATAGCTTTAATCAAAACAATCATAATACTTCTTATAAATTCTTTTATAAATAAAATTAAATAATAAAAAGAAATAAAAGATAAATTATATTTTTTGAAAGCTTTTTATTTAATAAAATGATATATATTGAGGTTGTAAAAATAATTTTAAATTTTTTAAAACCATTGTTGAATCTTGAATTTCAGCATAAATGTCAACGAACATAGGATGTTTATCCAGGTATAGTTTCTTGGAAATCCTCGAAAATGTCAACTATACCTGGATAAACATCGCTGGCAACTGATATATTTTCCGGCCACTCAAGCTGCAAGTCCTGGACAAGAAAACGAGCATATTTCTGACAATTCACCTCAGAACCCCAAACTCTTTCACCTTTGCATATATTCTTAATGAAGAAATTGTATCTTACTAGAGCCCCAGAGCACAGGAGACTTGGCTCGGTACAGTCGACTTGTTGGCTTCCCTCAAGAATGACAGAAGGTATCTTTCCAAGACGAATGAGCTTTGTGTGAATTGGGGAACGGCAACCACGGAATGAAGAAAAACCTACTTCCAATGAAGTACCATAATTTGGCAAATTCAAATGGAACTCCATTCCTAATACTATTTCATCATTTGATTCTCCATAGATGTCTACTAAAACAAAGTAGTGGCGAGTACTAGTACCAGATGAATCCTTTCCAGTACTGATTCCCAAGTATGTGTCCAAGACTAACTCTTGGTTGACAACGTTTTTTGGAAAGGGTTGTACTTTGATGTTCATCTTTATTTCTTCTGGAAAAATACAACCTTTGAAATATGATGATCCCATTCTTATAGATTGAAAACTAGAATTTATAGCAAATTAATTTTCAATTATATATTAAAATATAAATAAATATTTTGAAAAAAAATTAAATGTAAATAGTAAAATAAACAAATGTCATTTATAAAAGGTTATCCATTTCTATTTGAGATGCAACTTCCAAAATTTAATTCTTATTATTAAAAATTTAATCACATAGAAATAAAATTGAATTCTGCTATTTTGAGATGTCATATATTTAAATAAAATAAAAAAAATTTTTACATTAGATTTATAATAAAACCAAAAAACATTCATTTTTGCATTTAACAACTTGGAAACTTTTCTATCAAAAATAATGATTTTTCCAAGTTTTTAAATCAAAAATGAATGTGTGGATAACAACTATCCCAAACAAATGATAGTAAGGGTTAAGGAAACCACAATAATAATTAGGTCATATCACCCCTGTGTAAATATTTGGATCCCAAAATAGAAATTTGGGATGATTCCCTTTTTTTTGTACCTTTGGTGAAAAGTGAAAAAAAACAACAAAAAATTTTATTCTTTGTAATTCAAATTCTTTCTGTATCATTTATACATTAAAGATAGTGATGAGATTCAATTTTAAAAAGAATTCTTTGATGTACACAGTTGTACCTATGCTAGGTGTGACTGGTATTTCATTTTTAGCACTACAGCACTTCATGGGTCATAAATATGATCGTTGGGATCAAAAACGTTTAGGTGATCCAAACAAGAGAAAAACAACAAGTTTAGAAGAAGAATATGAGGTATATTGTTGATACTATCTTTAATTTTAACTATATATATACTCATTCATAAAAACAAACAATAGAAAATGACAAAGAAAGTAGATTTATCAAATTGGGAGAGTAAACCTGTACCAGGTAGCCAAGGTTATAAAGATGATAATAATTAAGCAAAATAATAATAATAATAATAATAATAATAATAATAATAATAATAATAATAATAATAATAGTAAATCAATCTATCAATTAACTGGTTAATTATCAACATTAAGTTCATGTTTGTTAATACAACCCCAATCTAGGTAAACAATTCAAATTTCACTTGTTTCTTATTTTAGAAATCATTTATTTGTTTCATCCATTCATTTCAAAAATAAATAAATCATAATATATACACCTTTTTTTGTAAATAAATAATAGATTGATTTATCTCGAACGTTCAATTTAAATAATGTCGTCGTCATCGTCATCATCATCATCATCACAAGATAAAGTTGTACATAATAAAGATAAAAACTTTTCACTTACTCTAGAGAATGGTGGTATGTTAACAGTCTGACCTTCTAATATATATATATATATATAAATATCTACAGTTGTCTTATTCTATTCTATGAATACGATATAGATGTTGCACATTTAGACTATAAGAGACAGGAGAATGAATTTGATTTCTATCATACATTCGTACCTACTTCAGGTCGTGGTAAAGGTATTGCAGAGATTCTAGCAGGTTCAGCAATGAACTTTATTAAAGATACTGATTCGCGTGTCATCCTATCATGTTCATATCTCTCAGATAGATGGTTACCAAAGAACCCTGCTTTTACAAGATACGTCATAAAAGCATTCACAAAAAGATGACTATCTAATGATTCATCATCGAATCAACAACAACAACAACAACAACAACAGCTTATTTCTAAACTATAATTAATAAAGATCTATAGTTGTTATTATACACTAAACTTTACTTTTATTACTTTGCTATAACTTGTTATAATAATATAAAGTTTAACTTGTTATTGGATGATATCTTAAACGTATTTGTTTCTCTTTCATTAGTTGTAAGATATCTTTGTGCTCGGCGGGTGTGAATAGTGTTGATAGTTGAGAAGAGAATGCAAGCATCCATATCGATTTCGACCAAGGTAGTTCTTTGATGGCTCGGTAGTAGAGTGCTTTGCACGCCTTTGGTCTTGAACGACTTCGCTCAAAGAGTATATACAATTGCCAGAGAATAATACTGTGTTTGGTAGCCGATGACTTGATAGCACGTTCAAACAGCGATTTAATTCTGGTGCCTGCACCGATTCTATCCATCTCACAACGAAGAGAGAACAACCAGAAAATAGTACTATTACCATAGTTTAATCTTTTACTTTTGTTATTATTATTACTACTACTCTTGTTGTTGTTATTGCTGTTGCTGTTGTTTGTCGTTAAACTTAAATCGAAATACTGACGTATTCTAATGGATGAAGATGTTGATCCTTCCCAATTCAAGAATGAACAGAGTAGCAGTGGATGATCGTAGTAATTGGCTAGTTGCTCAATGATAGTATTCTTTATGAGATACGGCGGTGAACCGATGATCGGTGCAAACTTGGTGATCATCTCGATGAACTTGACGGTGAGACGTTCGTGCTCAATCGGGTGGTGCTGAATGTTGAGTGTCTCTGAGTTGATAGCACGTTTGAATATCGCGATTGCCGTGAGAAGATCGACAGTCAGCAACTTGTACATAATGTAGCATAGCCACTGGTCGATCGTAGACTTGTTCAGCTCCTCGTAATTCTTACTGGCAATGATCAAACGACTACCAGTAAGCGGCGTTGTCTTTGGTGAGTACGGTTGGAACGATCCCTCCACATAGCAACAAAGTATATGAATTGGCAACGAGAACATCTCTACAAACGACCGCTTTGAACGTATAAACTTTTTCAACAAACTCGTATCGTTGTTCAACGTCTTGTAGATTGACTCGACCTCTATCCAACTATATTGTCTATATAGATAATCTATCGGTTGAATATTATTATTACTATTATTGTTTCCTTTTTGTTGTTGTTGCAATGTTGTTATTGCAGTTTGATATACTTTTCTAACTTCTTGTATCTTTTGTTGTTGGAATAGTAATGATGCGTAGCAATCGTAGAGTTTAGTTTCATTCCTGTTGGATTGTAGCAACTGAAGTAGTGTGGTAACAGCAATCTCCTTCTTACCGACCCAATTTAGAAACTGAACATAACTAATGATTAAATCAATGTTCTTCTTGAACATATTCGATTGAATACACTGCTGGAATACTCTTACGATGAAATCGACTCTACTACTATGTAAGGGTTGTGGTTTCAATATTGAAAATACATCTTTCCAAACAGGTTCCTGTTGTTGTTGCTGGTTTAAACCAATTGCACTGCTATCTACTTCCATCATTACTGCTGATGCTGCTGCTGTAGTAGTAGCTGTTTCTGATCTATCTTCTAACGTTTCGAAAAGTGTTGAGATGTTATCTTCAATCGAGTGGAATGATTCACGTCGCAATCTATGTGTATAAGGTAGCTTGATACGCTCACCAATGGAGAATGGCAGACCTAGGAACTCGAGGAATTGATATACCAAATATAGCTTATCTTCATCCTTTACCATTCTAAAGAGAATATCCTTAATATCGTCAAACAATACCAAACGATCGGTATCATGTGACTCTTCATCGGGTATCTCTAACACTCTCGAGGGTATCCACCTATTCAACTCTGACTCCATCTCCTTCTCTGACCACTCTAACCATTCTTTCTTTTCATTTCTCTCTTTCACTTCTACTTCTACCTCCATCTTATCATTAGACTCTCCTTCTTCTTCTACTTCTTCAACTTGTTGTTGTTTCTGTTCATTATCTAAATCATCAACATCGACATCATCTGGTTTGTTTTCAACTTTCAAATTGAATATATCTTGTTGATCGATTTGTTGTTGTCTTTGAATGGTTTGTTGCTCTTCTAACTCTTGCTCCCTTAGCAGTTCCTCCATCTCTTCGATGGTGAGTTGTGTTTCGTTGTCGACGCGATTGTTAAGCCAACCTTGTGCTTCGCTCTCTCCTACTCTTGGCAACTCTGCCTCCCAAAACAATTTGAAACTGCGAAGTATCTGTTGCTGTTGATTGGCACGCTCCAAATGCACCGGTAGGAAACAGTTGAATTCAATCAGCGATTGATACATTCCGATGGCACGCTCTGTGTAGCCAGCATGTCGCTCGAACCTTGCCCACTGTCCAACGAAGCCGAGTAGCGCTTCCTCGACCTTGCCAACGCTCGCCATAAACCCGTGATCCCTAGGTTTCAACGTTCTGCGCTTGGCGAGCAACAGTTGAACCAACCTCGCGAAATGTTGTCGCGTATCGCCAATCGTGAAAACAGCGAAATTCGACATATTAAAAGAGGTATACTCTCTCCATAGATCCTCGGAAATCAAGTCATCTACATTAGATGACGATGAAGATGATGCTGCACTGTATTCAAGTGAACGTCGTTCTATGACACGCGACCACAATTGGCGAACTTGCTCACTATCCCATATCTCTTGTGCCAGTCGTAAGTAGCGGATTGTCAATTCGTCGGAATCGGGATTCATTGCGAGTGCACTCCTATAGATCGACAGCTTCTTCTCAACGATTGGAATACGAGCACGTTGTGATCGCTTCGTACTGAACACCAAGAAATGATCTTGATAGTCTGCCAACTCTATCCATCTATCGATATCATTAGGTGATCGCTCCACCGCTGAATTCAACTCTGCATTTCTCTTTAGAATTAAGGTATGTTCATCTAGATTATTATTCTCTCCATCTCCATCCTTATCTTCATTACCATTACTATTACTACTACTACTATCTAATAATTCAATATAATCTAAATGTAACTTGAATGGATCTATTGTAAAAGATACACCAACACCTGATTTTATCAACTTTATAGTTGATGTTGTTGATGTTGATTGTGATTTGAAATATCTATCTATTTGACTATTATGATCGGATGAATACTGACGTAAAGGTACCAATGTGACACCACTCTTTGTTGTGAACTTCAACTCCATATCTAAACCGATCACCGTCGATCTATCATATCTATAACTTAATGTATCTTTTGGTGGATTGGTAGTTGCTGACTTTAACGATAGATTACCTCTATAGTCATTCTCATACCAATCTGTTTCATCTTTATAATTATATGTTAACCTTTAAATGATAATAAAATAATAATAAGTTAGTAATGTTGTTTCTATTTCCTTATATTTCTTCTCTTCTTATTATATTTGTAATCACTTCACTTACAATTGATTTTGTTGTTGTTTTTGTTTATAAGATAATTCAAGTTTCAACTTTTTCTTTTTCAGCTTCTCTTTTTTCTTTTGTTTTTTACGTTTCTTTGAGTTATCATTATCGTCGCTACTACTTGAATGATGATGATCATCATCGTCGTCACTAGACTGATTCATATAATCTCTAACTCTTTCATAGGCAACTATATCTTTGTTTATACCATCTTTCTTTGATTTCGATGTAGACTTTGATACTGATGTTGAAGTTTGACCATTATTATCATTACCATTACCATTACTACCATCATCATCATCGAAAAAGTCAGCGGCTGTCTTTCTCTTTGGTGGTTGTGGAGGTGGTGGTGGAGGTACTAATGGTAATGTATTATCTGATGGTGGTGGAGGTGGTGGTGGTGGAGGTTGCAATGAATCCTCTACAGCTGGAGGTGGTGGAGGTGGTGGAGGTGGTGGTATTGCATCTTCTGAAGATGGTGCTGGTAGCAGTGGCGGTGGAACAGAATTCTTTAAAAGAGGTTGTTTAGAATAGGCTGGAAATAATGGTGGTGGTCTTTGACTCATTACATTTATTATTCTCAATCTAATGTATGATGATATAGAGATAGCAGATGTGATAAATAAGCAAAGTAAACTCTAATTAAGTTAACTACTGCACCATCAAAGATTTAAAATTAAAAAATTAAAAATTAAAAATTAGAATCACTTTTGTTTTTCAAGTCGGCTGTCTCTTTTTATTTATTCATGAAAGTTCTCAAATTCACCAATATTTTTAAGCAAACAATAATTATCTATTTATATAAGCTAATTAAATTATCATTGCAATTTACAAAAAATACATAATAAAAAAACTAAAGATTAATTTGATTTGTTTATAAGAATTAACTAAGAAATAACATAACTATTAAATGAATTTTTTATATAATTATTAGGTCGGTTTTTATTAGATTCACAATTCCCTTTATTTTTAAGGAAATAACAAAATATCTGTATATTTTTAAGAGATATTATCGATAGTAAAGGAAAGTGCAATCAAACTCTCACTAGAAAATTCAAAAAAGAATTTCTCACGAAAATAAATAAGACTTTTTATTTTTCTTCGCAAGTTGTTTGTTCCTTTATTTTTTTTAAGATTGGTTGATCAACAAACTTTAACTTTACTATTGGTATTAACCTATAATTCATAGGTGTTTTTTAAATGAATTGATCATCTTTAATTATTGATTTTTTTGATTTTTTTTAAAATTTAATTTTGATTGAATTTGTTTGGTTGATAAACATTGAGGGGAATAAAAATTGAAGTTCAAATAGTCAAACCTTAAATCGACGAAGTGTGTCATCGAAGAGAAAAAAAAAACACAACAAAAAAATTCCTCTGATTCCTTTTTTTTTTAGTTTTTTTTTTAAAAAAAAAAAAAAATTTTAGAGCACTTAACAAAAAGTGATATCACACTTCATTTCAATCTTTTTCAGAAAAGTTATTATTATTATTATTAATAGTTTGTTATTTTTATATATTTATATTGACAGATTCATTAGATAGGTAAGATTTAAAAAGCTAACTCCTCAAAAGCGTTTGATTATCAGTTCTCTAAAGTTAACAACAGGTCAGTCTTTATAAAAAAAAACAAATAACCTAACAAATCAGTCAATCAACATTTATAACAATTCAAACAAACAAATCAAATCAAAACAAATCAAATCAAAACAAATCAAATCAAAACAAATCAAACCCAACCAAAGAAAGAAAGAAAAAGTCAATTTGTTTTGTTTTTTCATCCACCAATATAATCTTCTTCGTTTTAAGTAATCATAATATAAAAATCTACTTCATATATCCTATTCCCCTATTCCTCCTTTCAGATTCAATGTCTATTTCAAAATTAGTTGAACAAAGTTTAAAGTTTTTTGTTGATCAGTCGAAAAAAAAAAAATAGTAAACAATAATACAATAATAACAATATAGATCAGATAGATAAATTTCATAGTTTATTTATTTTGGATTGTATAAGTTTGGACTATTTATATATGTTCAAGATGAAAGAAATGATTAAAATAAGCAATTCATTTAAACATGTGATTGTGAATATTTTAATATTCCTAACTCACACCAAAAATAAATAAACATCACATTATTCCAATACCAAATTTAAACACTTATTTTTATGACAAGTTCTCAAAAGTCTTTGTCACCAATTCAATCACAGTGTGTTTTGTTGCAACAAAATTGACCACAAACAAACACCCATCACCAAAAACAAAATAAAATAAACTAAATTCAATCCAACCACAAAACAAAAAAAAAAAAACAACAAAAAAAAAAAAAAAAAAAATTAAATAGATAGTTTAAAAATAAATGTGTTAAAAAATGAATATGATCAATTCAACAACTAAAGTTGACTTGAAAGAAAATAATAATAATTTTTAATTTAATCATCATATGATTTATTTTGTAATGGTGCACAGGTATATTATTTTTATATGTATTTATCTTTGTACATGCTTATTTGTTTTGTTCTTATACATCTAGATTCTCTTTCTAACCCCAAACGAAAGAATAATATTATAATCTAAAAAATAAAATATAAAAGAAAAACAAAACATAAAAAAAAACATATTTTTATCATATGATTTGACAGATAACCAGTCTCATTCATTCTTCACCAATCACAAAATCATTTACCAAAAAAAAAAAGCAGCAAAAAAATTGGATTCAAAATCATTTTTCCAGGCAATCCAAAAACAAAACAAAACAAAACAAAACTAAACTTACCCAATCTTAAACATTACATTACAATCAATTGATTTATCATATTATATTATATTTATAAATATTGACTCTTTTTTTTTTTTAAATTTATTTCAATTTTATTTTAATTTTAATTTTAGATTTTTTTTAGCATTACAGTAAATAAATCAGTCAGTTAGAATATTCAAACAATAATTAGTTAGTTTTCAAGTTTTTATAAATATAGACATCACTTCCTCTCTCTCTCTTTCTTTTTTAATAGTAAAATACTTTTTTGTAATTGGAAATACTTTTCTCCTCCATCAACACTTCCACTACACACCACTCAACCACTCCATCATCAGCTGATAATCAGACATCGTCATCATCACCATCACACGAAAAATGTTTTCAGCACTGATCTACCTATCGATTGCAGTTGGATCGATTGCATATCTATACTACTTCTTTGTTATAAAGCCAGACAATACCTACAAGGGTGCTCTCCAGAAGGCTCAACAAGCTAAGCTCCAACAACACACAACACAAAACGCTGCGCCAACAACCAAGAAGCAAGCAACCAACAACACCACAAAGAAGACTCAAAAGCCAAAATCAAAACCAACTCCAACCCCAACTCCAACACCAGCTCCAAAGGCTGTTGAGCAACCAAAGAAAGTTGAGGAGCCAAAGAAGGCTGTTGAGCAACCAAAGAAAGCTGTTGAGCAACCAAAGAAAGCTGCCGCCACTCCAGTTGTTGAACAACCAAAGAAGGCTGCTGAACAACCAAAGAAGGCTGCTGAACAACCAAAGAAGGTAGTTGAAGAGCCAAAGAAAGTTGTTGAGCAACCAAAGAAAGTCGTTGAAGAACCAAAGAAAGTTGTTGAACAACCAAAAAAGGTAGTCGAACAACCAAAGAAAGTCGTTGAACAGCCAAAGAAAGGTAAATACATTATTCTTTTTCAAGATTCAAGATCTTTGAGAAATATTTAATATTAATGTTTTGAAATCAACAAAATAACAATCAATCCAGCTGTCGAACAACCAAAGAAATCAAATAATGCTACTACAGTAATCAATTTACCAAAGAAGGACACATTGTTTGTAAATGCCGATGCAGCCAAGCCAATGAAACCAATCAAGGAGGAGAAGATTGATTTCTCTAGTTGGGAGGTCGTCAAGCAACCACCAACCGAGTTGGAGAAGTTGTCGACTTTGAGAAAGCGTTTGAATGAGACAGAGTCGATGCTTCGTAAGGAGCGTGAAGACAATGTTTTCAAGATCAATTTGCAACACGACCAAATCATCCAGCTGCAAGTCGCCAAGGAGTCGTCGGAGGCACGTCTCTACGAGCGTATCAAGTCGTTGGAGACTCAGATCCAATCGGGTGCACCAGTCGTCGCCCAAGACACTTCACTCCACCAATTCAACTACGTGGCCAACATGGCTCAACGTGATCACCCAGCTGTTGAAGCGGTTCGTCGTGAGCGTGATCAACTCTCGTCAGAGTTGGCAGAGCTCCAACAAAAGTTGGAATCAGTGCAATCGGAACACTCACAACAGTTACAAGAGGAGTTGCGACGTGAGCGTGAAACACTTGGTGGTCAAGCCGGACAACTCCAACAAAAGTTGGATCAGTTGAAGAAGGACAGCAAGAGCCGTGAGGAATCATTGCAACAACAGATCGATACCATCCAGAAGGAGAAGGACGCCATGCTCCAGTCGAGCACTGAATTCAGCGGTAATATATTGACTCTCCAGAACGAGAAGAAGTCGTTCATCGAGAAGTTGGCAGAGAAGGAGTCGTTCATTGCCGAGCTCAGCCAGAAGATCAAGGAGTTCGAGACACAAGAGGAACTCGAAGACAAGCGTGCATCACACGAGGTTGCCGAGCGTGATTTCCAAATCGAGAAGTTGCAAGATCAACTCGAAGACAAGTCCAAAGAGATTCAATCGTTGAAGCAACAGTTGGATGGAAAGAACACCGAAGTTGAATCACTCAAATCCGCAGATTCAACTGTCAACTCACAAATCACCGATTTGAAGAGTCAATTGGACGCCAAGACTGCTGAAGTCGATACTTTGAAGGGAGAGAACACTACTGTCAACAGTCAAATCACCGATTTGAAGAGTCAATTGGATAGCAAGAATTCAGAGATCGATACTTTAAAGGGAGAGAACACTACTGTCAATGGTCAAATCACCGACTTGAAGAGTCAATTGGATGCCAAGAATGCCGAAGTTGAATCACTCAAGTCTGCTGACTCCACTGTCAACAGTCAGATCACCGATTTGAAGAGTCAATTGGATGCCAAGAATGCTGAAGTCGAAACTTTGAAGGGAGAGAACACCACTGTCAACGGTCAAATCACTGACTTGAAGAGCCAATTGGATGCCAAGAATGCCGAAGTTGAATCACTCAAATCTGCCGACTCCACCGTCAACTCACAAATCACCGACTTGAAGAGCCAATTGGATGCCAAGAACTCAGAGATTGACACTTTGAAGGGAGAGAACACCACTGTCAACGGTCAAATCACTGACTTGAAGAGTCAATTGGATGCCAAGAACTCAGAGATTGATACTTTGAAGGGAGAGAACACTGCCGTCAACGGTCAAATCACCGACTTGAAGAGCCAGTTGGATGCCAAGAATGCCGCCGACTCCACCGTCAACGATCAAATCACCGACTTGAAGAGCCAGTTGGACAATAAGAACTCGGAGATCGATACTTTGAAGGCCGAAAACACCGCCGTCAACAGCCAGATCACCGACTTGAAGAATCAAATCTCCACCAAGGAGAGCGAGTTGCAATCACTCCACGCCGGCAACGACCAAGCTGCCGAGTTGAGAAACCAGATCGAGTTGAAGTCCTCCGAGATCTACACCTTACAGACCGAGAATACCGCTGTCAAGAGCCAGTTGCAATCGAAGGATTCGGAACTCGCCAGCCTCCAATCGGAGCACTCCACTGTCAACAGTCAAATCACCGACTTGCGTCAACAACTCTCTGCCAAGGACAGCGAGTCAGAATCACTTAGAAACCAACACAATGGTGCACTCGAACAGTTGCGCCAACAACTCGAGCAATCGGCCAATCAAATCAAGAGCGAACTCTCCTCGGAAGTAGAGAAACTCCAATCTGAAAAATCACAATTGCAACAAGACAACGAACGTATTCAAACTCAACTGAAAGAATTAGAAAAGAAATTGGAAGAACAACAACAACAACAACAACAACAACAACAACAACAACAACAAAATAATAGTGTAAGATTAAATGGATCATCTGAAAAGTCAGATGTTCTTCAAGAATTGCAAGATCGTCTCGATGAGGAGAAGGCTCGTACCGACGTTATCAACCAACAACTCGACAAGGAAAGAAGCAACAAGGATAACATCGAAAAGGAATACCAAAAGGTACAACAAACATACAGCGACCTCAAAGTCCAATACGATCAATTGGTCAACGACAAACAAGCAACCGAGAAAAAACTCGTCATCACACAAAATCTTCTTGAACGTTTTAGATCCTCAAGTCAGCAAACAACACCCGTCTCATAACCTTTAAAATATATAAATTTAAATAAATTAATAAATTAATAATAACATAACAATAACAACAATAATTATATTTTTGGATTTAAAACGAAACTTTGTTTTTCAGGCAAAGAAAAAGAAATAAGAATTTTATAGTTTTTATTTTTATTAATTTTTATTAATTTCGTGTGATTAGGGACTGGATCATTTTGTGTGTATGGTATGTGTGTGGTGAATTGAATTGATCAATCGGAATTGATCTTAAAATAAAATAAAAAGTGTTAAGATGAGATTGATAGTTGCAACGTGTTAAATTAAATTTAAATGTACCAGTTTTATTAATAATATTTGTGGAGATATACACAAAAGTAATTTGAATAGAGTCAATTGAGGCAATAACATTATTGAACATCGATGTTTTGGTGTTCATATTGCAACATTTTTATCGATGGGATTTCGTAAACTAAAAACAGAGATGTAAGTGGTTGAAGCTATTTTCAAAGATAATCCAAAATTCAATTGGTTCAATGGTGGAGCTCTAACATCCAAATCAACTGTTGTTTTACACTTGAAAGGGGAGAGAATATAGGAACATGACCTTTTGATGGAGATAGTTTATGCACTGTTTTGTTAAATAACTAATTATTTTAGCGGTTATATAATCCAATCTGATTCAATCTAGTTAAATTAATATTAATATTAATATTAAATCTTTGTTGCTTAAGAAAAAAAAACATTATATAAAGAGATAAGACCTCTTCAATATTTATTAATTAATTATAAAAACAAACAAACAAAACTAAAACAAACAAATACATAAACAATAATTTTAACATTATATATAAATAAACTACAATTAAAAATGAAATCAAATATTTACTTTACTTTATTGGTTGTATTATCTTTGACGATGGCTGCTGTATCGTTGGTACAGTCGGCCAGTCTTGAAGCAGGTACCTATGCCGGATCGATCTATAATTGCTCGGTGAATAGCAGTACCGCCATCGGTTATTACTCGTTCTATGTGGAGCCAAACAATACTATCGGATCGAACGGCGTCAACAATGGAACGGTCAGTGCCAATACGACATTGGTATTCTCACCGAGCAACTACACATTGACCAACAATGCCATTTCATCACCGACCATCGGTTGTTGGACCTACACTGTCTCTAACACCTCCGTTTGGACTATCTACTTCCCATTCGACAACAATGCTACATGTACTTCGACCTGTACCAATGTCTATGCCAACCTTACATTCACACCAGCACAAACCAATAGTGACTCATCGAACAATACCAACCTACTTTCACCACTAACAGGTCTAATCTTTACAATAATTTTATTTATAACATTATTACTTTAATTTTTAAAAATTAAAATTAAATAAATTAAGATATCTTCTTAATTTGGATTGAATCAGATTAGTTAATTATTGATATATTGATTTGTGTGTGTATAAATATATCTTCAGCAATGAAATAAACAGTCACACAAAAATGAAAGAGGCTAAAATAAATTATGCAAAAAAAAAACTTGATTAATTTTGATTTTTTTCAATTTCTTAAATTTTCGTTCGTTTTTTATTTTATTTTTTTTTTGTTTTTTTTTATTTTATTTTTTTTTTCAATCATTTTATATAAATAATATATTATTTTTATATATTAAGAATATTAAAAGATAATTATATATATAGACAAAAATGACGACTTGTGGATTCAATAAGAGTGGTTCTCATTTTGCATCGATCAGTCAAGATAGTATAATTACAGTTTGGAATGTTGCTCAAAATAAGATCACTTCAACCTTTACTCTAGAGAAACAAATTAAATACTCTTGTTTCAATTGGTATTCAGAGCAAGTAAGTTACTATTTGATAACTAAACTAACTAATAGTTAATATATATATATATTGATTGATCTATTTATTAATAAATATTTCGATTGCTCTAAATATTAATAGGAAGGAGAAACAACAACATTGAAATTGGCAGCAGGTTTAAGTAATGGACATATCAAAGTATATGATTTGGTTGAAGATAAACTATCGGCTACATTGGAGGATGTACACAGCTGTAGAATCAGTGATCTGACATTCTCGGGTGAGTCATTGCTTTACTCGATCGATATCGAAGGTCTCGTCGTTCAGTGGAATATCGATACCGCACAGAAAGTCAGTCAGTTCTCTGACCGTGAAGCACACCGTATCGCCATCAACCCGGATCACTCCACCGTAGCAACCGGTGGTAAACGTCTTCGTTTCTGGGATGTCTCCTCAAACTCACAGTCCGATCAACAAAAACAGTTTGTCAATAATACATTATTTTATATTCCAGCGTCGGCAACTGTTTATTCAACAACAACAACAGCTACTAATGGTAATGTTAATGGTAAGGTTACTCCAGTTCCAAATGGTGATCTTCTCATTAGTTCCAATCGTTCATTTTATCATATTCGTGATTTGGCAAAGGTCAACTCCGTTGGAAACACCTACCGTTCCGACTCGATCCCCAAGCACGTCAGTGTGCTGCCATACACCGATAAATACGTTACCTTTTACTTTTGTGCCATCGTCACTGAGGCCAATGACATCGTTATCCACAAGAATACAGAGAAGCAGACAGTTAGCAAAACGAAATTAAAGTTCGATCCACAGGTAGACCTCATCTCCTGTCAACACATAGATATCAACACTCTTTTAGTTGCTCAAGGTCAACGTTCTTCAACCAAGAGTGTAACATTTAAGAAAATTGTAAGGATAGTTAAAAAATAACAACAATAATAATCATCACGATCCTAATTACTAATTTAAATGTTTATTTTATTTCTAGAAAATCGGTGAAAAAGGTGAACCAATTAACACACCAATCGAAGTTGAGTTTGAAACTAAAGATAAAAGCGTCATCAATGCCAATAAAACAAAGGCTGTTACATCGACTCTTGGTGATGCCGCCGAATTAAATTTGGACAATGAAATTAATACCGATTTAAAGTCAATCAATAATAATGCTAAAGTAAGATAATAATAATATTAGAAGTTATTTATCATTTTTTTTTCTAACTTTCATATTCCTTTTATTAGTCAGCATCAACTATTGTAGATATTATTACACAATCTTTACAATCATCGAATACCAAAGCTTTATTACAAGCAATGTATTGTAATACCTTTGTCATGAAGAATACCGTTCAAGCTTTACCTTCACCCTATGCATACATGCTTTTACAAGTGATCATTAGAAATATTTCAACTGAATTCCATAAATCGTAAGTAGTTAGTTATAAATTAGATATGCAATTTATTAATTTAATTGGAAATTTCAAATTTATTCTAAAATTTTAGACATATGTTAATGCAATGGATTAATTTTATCATTAAAGAGCATGCTTCTTATTTATTGACAGTACCAGATTTGAAGTCAAAGATGCAGATTTTGAATACCTTGGTAGAGGATAAATATAGATTGCACGAAACATTGACAAAGTTGGTTGGAAAGTTTGAATTGATCGAAGCTAGAGGAAATACCAAATCGGTACGTTCCACCAACTACGATCCATCGTTGGTTTACGAAGACAACAGCGATGACGAAAGCGAAGACGAAGAGATGGAAGACGACGGTGAGAATATCGACGACGTTGATTTAGAAGACGATTCATCCGAGGAAGAAGATGACGATAACTCTGACATCGACATCAATCCAGAGGATCTAATGGATGAAGATCTTCTTTAAAAAAAAAAACTAAAAGAAAAACAAAAGATAATAACAAAAAAAAAAAGATATTGGAAAAAATAAAATAAAAAAGATTTATATATCAAAACTAACATATGTTAATAATTATTTAAAGCATTTTATTTTGTTCTTGTTGGTCTTTGTAATTATCGAATTTCTTTTATAGTTTTTTGTTATACATTGCTTTGATCTTGTTCTTTTTGATGGCAATCCCAATCCAGATGACAATTGCAGCCGTTACAACTCCTCCAACTACACTACTAACAATGATTTTCCATCGATATGATTGGTCGTCAATGTACTGATCACTTTTATATGTTGGATCTACAAGAAGAGTAAAATCTGGATCTAATGAAAGTGTTTGGAAATATTGAACCATTGTTGAAATGAGTATGAATGAATCATTTATTGATTCAGTCTTTACACTTGATACTCTTGGGAAATTGTCAAGTAGAATCGGTTACCAATCCTACCCATCAAAATATTGCCATTGGGTTGACGATTATGAAAATGTTCTCGTCAGTGTTGTTTTGGAAAGAACTATTCGAGTTGAAGCAATCATCAACTGGATCAGTCATTATTGATGATATTATTTCTAGATGATTTAGTTGGCTGGTAAAATTCCAGTGGTCGATCTCGATTTGATATTTTATCGATCCCATTGTCAAGTTGAATTCTTCTCTAGCAAAGATAATAGGGAAATCAGAGAGAAAATTTTTTCTTAATGACAAGATTTGTGAATCTGATTGATATTAAAAATGACTTTAATATATTGGTTGAGTATTTCAATTGGTTCATTGAAACATTGACATTATCTATTGGATGAAAGGTATTTATACTTTCATTCTTTATCATTGTCCAATTGAGAGATGATAATTCCAGATCGTAAACCACTACCATTAATTCTGTACTTTCGACTATTCGATTCAAAACAATAGTAAAGAATCCTTTTCCATTATCAAATATTATTATTTCCAGATTGTTTGGGTTCGGAATGATTACAGGTGGTTGTGGTTGCACTGATATACAACAAATTGGACCAGCCCGACCAGATTCACAAATGCAAGTGCCACTATTTTGATTTCAAGTACCATCCACACAGGAACATTCAATTGGATCATTTCCTTTGAATGTTTAAGTTATATTGTAGAGGTAAATTTGAGTCAAGTTTCCAGGTTTACCAATTAATCTAAAATAATATTATGAAAGAAGAGAACTTATATTACAAGTATTCTAATGAGTGCCCAAACATGATATCAGCCCAACTCGAATTATCCATTGAAATAGATAAATCATATAATATTTGATTTAGGTCTCCAGCATTAGGGGTACCCTTATTCCATTCAACAAAGATAAAACTATCTGTTGGTCTAAAATATATACCTCCTACCTTATCTGTAAAAAATATTTAAGATATTTAAAATAAAATCTTTTTCATAGATATTTTTAGGAGTTTTTAACAATGAAACTGCGTTTAACAGATAGGACCAAATCCATAATGTCTGATTCATTGCCCACAATTATCCAAAAGAGGCAGATTTGGGAAAATTATTTTGTTAATATTTTCAAAAAAACTTGAAATTGGATAATTTTCCAATCAAATCATTATCTTATTATCAATCTTGATACTCTTCAATCAACCTCCAAACCTATCTCCATTCAAGACCTAAATGTTTCATTAACTTTGGTCAGAATACATTCTGTGCTCAATAATAATAAAAATCATTTATTTTTTTAACCAATTGATATTTAACATGACTTTGTTATAGATTACCAGATTCACTTGTTCTTTTATTAATTTTTATGATTAATATTTTAAGATTGAGGAGATCTTAATTTTTGTAGTTTTTGGGTGACACGTTTGTTTTCAATGTTTTTCATTCTGTTCTTTTTAACTACAACAGTGGTGACTGCAGCGATACCGATTGCTGCAACACCACCTACGACACAACCAACAATGATCTTCCATTTGTTGTCGTTCTTTGATTCCGTGCACTTATTATGCCCGGACTTCATGGGATCAATAAGTAAAGAAAAATCTGGATCGATTACCATGGACTCTTGGAAATTGGAAACAAGTGTCGAAATGATGGTTAGCGACTGATTGACAGTTGTTGGTACGACATTAGACATTCTCGGTACACCATCAAGTAAAGCTCTCCTACTGATACGACCATAGATAACGTTTCCATTGGCCTGGGGAATGCTGATACCAGTCAATTCAGTTCCATTGACAAAGATCGACTCTGGCGCGTCATAGCATTCGTCTACCTCGGAATCAATTGAAAGTTGTATTTCAAGCAAATTCAATACGCTTGTGAAATTCCAGTGATCGATATCGATTTGGTATTTGAGAGATCCCATGGTCAAGTTGAAGTCTTCACCGGCAAAATTCATTGGGAAGTCAGATAGTGATACATTGGCAGGTGGGTTGATTTGAGTGAAAGTGATTCTAATTGAAGAGGAACGTGTTTGATTGGTTGAATACACCCATTGGTTCATGGAAACGTTGACATGATCGATAGGATGTTCGATGATTGTACTATCATTCTTTGACAATACCCATTTGAGGGTGGATAGCTCTACGCTGAAGACCTCCTCCATCAACTCTGAACGTTCAATGATTTTACTCAGTGTGAAAGAGTAGTATCCAATACCATTGTCAACTATTACCTCTGGAGTGGTTGGATCCGGTGTGATAATGGGTGGATTGGTTTCATATTTGATATCACATTTCGGGCCGCCCCATCCGGCATTGCAGACACATGTGCCAGTCTTATTATTGCAAGTACCTTGCACACAAATAGATGAACATTGATCTACCAAATCAACTTTTAGAGTACGAGTTGAACTATAACTATAGATTGGATTAAAGACTGTATTCTTTACGGCCAATCTAATGTAGTATTGGGTATCTGAAGTGAGTGACACGATTTCACAATTAAGAGTTTGGAGGTTTCTACATGAAGTGGCAACCCAACTGGTATTATCAATAGAGATATACAAATCGTAGAATGTCAAAAAGTCTTCACCACCGACACTCTCACTCCATTCCACTGTAATTAAATAAGGATGTGGTTCTACAAAAGTAATAGTTGAACCTTCAAGTGGTATTACATCTATAATAGTTATAATTATTGAATTTTAATTAATTATTTGTTTATGAATGAATAAAAATTGATAAACTTACATTTAGCAATGATTGATTGTGATTTGGAATATCCATCATTATATGAAATAACAGTGATATTGTGAGTGTATGCCTCTTTCAAACCAGTGATATTACATGCTAAAACGATAGTATTGATACATCCGATGACATCGGTACCATCGAGTTTAGTGGTATAGGTTGTTTGATTAGGGACACCACCTGTTGAGTTGTAGGTGACATAGACTGTTTGTGATTGGGGAACAGAATAGACATCCAAGTTTAATAATGAATACAATGTTACACTCTCATCGACTGGATCAGATTGTCCATCTTGATTCCTTGCAATAACGGAAATCGATACATTCGAGCCTGGAACTAAACCACTGACGAAACAAAAATGAACTAATTCACACTCTGGTTTCAATTCACCATTTACAGAAACAATGAATGTACTTGATGGTGAATTGGTAGTAGAATATGTAAAGTTTATAGATGATATTCCAATAGAATTTATAACGATAGGTGATAGAATTGGCACTTTAATTATCAAAAGGAATAGGAAGAAAGAATTAATAAAATTTCCAAACCTTTTTTAATTACATATATTATTATTATTATTTTAACTTACTTATAAATTTAACTTCTCTTGTTCTTTCTTTGGAATCACCATCATTTGATGCAACAACAGAAATATTTGCAATAAATGGTTGTTGTAATCCAGTGATTTCACATCTCGTTTTTGTGGTACCTGTACAATCGGTAACCTCAGTGCCATTCATTTTGATTGTGTATAAAGTCTCAGTTGGAACACCACCATCAGAATTGTAATTTGCAACAATTCTATCGCTATAAGACATTGTTTCCAATTCAGGTGTTGTTATTGTAGGATAGAGATTTCCACTTGTAGATTTATCAGAGGATGCTCCAGCTGCATTAGTAGCGGAAACCTCAACAACAAATGCTGAACCTGGTACCAATTGACTAACAGAACACGAGGTTGTGGTAGAACATTCTGGAATGGCAATTTGATTAACTCTTACATTATAGGAGGTTGGATAGTTTGTTGCAGAATAATTGAAACTAATTGATTTTGTTCTATAGCTTTGAATAGTAACACTTTCCATTACAGGTGCTTTAATAATAATAAATAATTAATTAGTTTATGAAATCATTACTCTTAATGATAATTTAATTTAATCTTACCAAAGAAATCAACAATAACAGTAGATTGTTTGGAATAACCGTCATTTGATGCTACAACAGTGATGTCATGATGATAGTTTGGATCTAATCCGCCGATTGTACATGTCAAAGTAGCTATATTAACACAACCTGGAACATCATCACCATCCAACTTGGTAGTGTAAGTTGTTTCGGTAGGAACACCACCAGTTGTTAAGTAGTTGACAATTATTTTACCTAACATGGCAACTGGTGAAATAGTTGGTTCAGAAACCGATGGATAAATATTACCACTTGCTACTTGGTTGTCTGATGTACCAACGTTATTTGTGGCACTAACAGCAATAGAGTATGAGGATCCAGGTGTTAAATTACGGATTGTGCAGGTGGTGGTTTGAGCGCATTCCGGATGAATAATACTATTGAAGTAGACATTGTACGATGTAGGACTTCTCGATGCCGAATAATCAAACTGCACCAAGTTGGTAGTGAAGGAAACCTGCAAGGGGTTCATCACTGGCGACAAGTAGGTAACTTGCTGAGTGTTTGATTGTGAATCACCGTCATTCGAAGCAGTACCGGCGACAAGAACATTGTATTCTGCACCCAATCCTGTTATTTTACATTGATTCGATGCAATGTTTACACAGCTAGCTACATTCTTTCCATCAACTTGAGTAGTATAGACAGTCTCACCTGGGACACCATTGCTCGATTGGTAGGTGACAGTTATTTCATTGGGTGCTGGCACAGTGGATATAGTTGGTACCGATACCTTGTTATATAGATTACCGGATGCTGTTTGAGCTCCTGAGGAACCAGCTGCATTGAGCGCAGTTACTGAAATACTATAAGGTGATCCCGGAGTTAAACCGCTAATCGAACAAGAAGTCATTGTCGAGCATTCTGTTCTTTGTGCACCATTAAATAAAACTGTATATGATGTTGGTGAAAATGTAGCTGAATAACTAAATGTAATTGATTTAGTTCTAAAACTATTAATAGTAATCGGTGATAAAGTTGGTGCTTTTTTTCGTAAAACAAAAAAAAAAGAAAAAATTAAATAATTTGGATAGTAAATCTAAAAAGGAAAAGAATGTTGAGTCTCTGAAAAAATTAAAAGTCAACAAAAGCTCTCACTCCCCCTTTCTTGAAAATCAAAAATATTTACGATAAAACTCTAATAACTCTGAATCTGAAGCTGTGTATCCATCGTTGATAGCTGATACTCCAATTGTGTAGGTGAAAGTTGCTGCCAGTCCTGTGATGGTACATTGTGTGGTAGCAATATTTTTACATGGTGCGTACTCGGTTCCGTTTAGAGTGGTGGTGAATCTGGTTTGCGTTGGGATACCACCAGTTGAAGAATAGGCAACTACGATTTGGTTGGGTGTTGGAGTAACCGTGGTAATTTGAATAGCTACGAGTGCGTAAATGGAACCTGAAGCTGTTACAGCTGGCGAGGTACCGGCAATGTTAGTTGCAGTAATAGAAATACTATAAGCAGAACCCGGTGTTAAATTGGCGAGTGTACATGAAGTCATAGAAGCACATTCAGGACGAACAACATTATTGAATTTGACCTCGAATGATGTCGGGCTCATTGAAGCAGTATAAGTAAAAGTAATTGTTTTAGTTGTAACAGTAGTTACTTGGATTGGATTCATTGTTGGTACTATACATATAAAAGAGAAAAGAATTAGTTATAAATTTAAAATGAACTAAAAGATAACTATAAATAATTACTTACTTATATAATCAACATCTTGATTAGATGTTATAGTAAAACCATCATTAGTTGCAGCCACAGTTATTTTTTGAGAGTAAAATGCTGGTAATCCGGTCACAGTACACGATAGTTGTGAAATTCCATTACAACCAGTAACAATGGCACCATTCATAGAGGTGGTGTATAATGTTAGACCTGGTATACCACCTGTGGTCGTATAACTAACCACCATTTTATTTTGAGATGGAACTATATTGAGAACTGGAGCAGATACTTGAGAAAGTATTTTTCCAGTTGCTATTTTCTCTGGCGAGGTTCCAGCTGCGTTTTTAGCAATAATACCAATGGTATAATCCGATCCTGGTGTTAAATTGGTAATGGCGCAAGAACTCTTTGTAGAACACTCTGGACGAGCAACTCCATTAAATGTAACAGCAAATGAAGTTGGATTATTAGTGGCCGAATAAGAAAAGGTAATTGTTTTAGTTGTAAGAACATCAATATTGATAGTATTTACATCGGGTGCTACAATTTTAAATAAAATAAATAAAAAAATTAATTAATAAAAAATAAAATTTCTTATAAAATATTATTTTTAAATACCTGGAGCTAAAGTGTAAGAAATGGTAGTATAACTTTGTACGTATCCACCAATCAATGTATAAGTTCTTGCTGTAAATCTGATTTGAGTTGAAGGTAAAGGTGGAACGGTGATGGAGACAGGTCCTGAAGGTTGATTTGTATAGCTTGTCTGCACCCATGTATTAGTGTTTGGATTGAGGTATTCAATTAAATAATAATAAGTATATTTAGAACTGGTCATTGCAAATGAACTAAAACTAAGAGTGTATCCATTAATTGTTGGTGGTGAAACAGTAAAAGTATTGGTAGTGGCGGCCATGAATCCAGTGAGTCTGATATTCAAGCTGTTGCAGGAATTAAAGGTGTAAGGATTCGAAATGGCACAACTAGCAACGTACATCGATGCAATAGCAGTACTTCCAGCTACTCCACCAGTAACAAGTGCTGTGGTTCCTGGGAAATCACTCATACTAACACATGCATTTTGTTTAATTGTATGTCTTGAAGCTTCATATACTGAGGTACATGGAGATCCTCCACTATAATAATAAATAATTTAATAAATATTAATTTAATTTATAAATAAATATATAAACAAATATTTTAAATTTTTAAATTAATACATACTATGGTACACGTTCAAATCCGGCCCAACCATCTAATAGAACCGGTGGATGTGGATAATTTCCGTAAATAATTTTATCATAACACACACCAAAAGAATAAGCTTCTGTGGTTGTTGCTGTTCCTGAACAATCTGCGGCTGAACTGTATTGGTATTTGGTTACTTGAGTTCCAGTAACAACGAATTTATGATTAGCACCTGGTAGTGAATAACAAGTATTGATTAAATAAGCTGAAACTCTATTAATAACACCGTTTGCATTACAACCAGCTACAGAATATTCAGCTTCGGTAATCCATTGTGATTCAACTCCAATCAAACTTGCTAAAACAATGAATAAGAATATTGATTGTTTTTTAAAAATATTTATCATGAATAAAAAAATAATTATTTATAAAAATGTAAAAATTATTTTTCTAATTAAAAACAAATACTAATTAATTAATTTTGGAAAAAATAAATAAAATATAAATTATCTAAAGTAAATATATAAATAAATACAAAATTATAAAATAAATAAAAAAAAAAGATTGTTGAAAAACAGAAACAAAAAGAGATTCTCTTTGAAATTCAAAGTCATTCATTTGGATATTTGTTAATACGAAAATTAAAAAAAATCAAACAAAAATCTTTTGATAATAATTAATAACTGGTATTGGCTTGGACCAACGAAGTAAGGTTAGATAGAATTAAGAGTAGTGGACTATGGATGTCATCGATCTTTCGTAATTTATTATACACTATTTTTGAGTCTACAAAAAAACAAAAAGCTGTTTTACAAAAAAAAAAACCACCAAAAAAAAAAAAAAAGTAGTTTTATTTTTCCCTTTGGTCTTATTTTAAAAAAAATCTATCGATTTCGAGCTTGAATTTTTCTATCAAGATTGATGTGATGATGTGGATTGACCAGAAAAATTTCGTGTAAGTTTGCTTTTTTTTCATTGCGAGAGGTGGTTTCCACATAATATCGAAATTTTTTTTTTTTTTAATTTTTTGCATAATTCGCTTTAATTTTGTTCAAATTTACAAAAAGAAGGTTGGTATTAATTTAAACAAAGAATTTAAATTTTGACCCTTATTTGTTTTAAATAGTAACAAATGATATTATATGATTATGTGTTTTTTAATTATCAATAATAATATATATACAAAAAATAAATAAAAACAATAATAATTCTAAATTAACATAATAAAACATTTAATTATTACCAACAAAAAACTTATTACACAGGGTTATATTATATTTTTAAAAATAATAAATAAAAATTAAATAACTGACTAGTTGAATTGTATTGTTGATCTAAATTCTAAGAGTTGTACTCTTTTCTTGTCAATAATATTATTTTTATGATATTCTTATTATGAGATTTCGATATCTTTACTTTATTAATAATATTTGTTTGGTTTTAATCCATATCATCGGTATCATTTACAACGGAATCAACCATATTTACATCGGATGAACCTGAATTATTTCCACCGCCACCCATCATTGGTGATAATCCACTGAACAATCCGGATAACAAAGATCCTAATCCACCAGATTGTGGAAGTGGTACATTATAGTACAAATTTGCTATTTGTTCCAAATACTATAAAAACAAAAAAACAAAACAATTCAGTTGTTAATATTATAATGATGATTTGATATTGATATTTCTAATTCAACCAACAGTAAAGTTAAACATACCTTTGAAAACATTGGATCTCTAGCTATGGATGGTTCATACTTTTGCTTCAAAAGATTAAAGAGTGGTAGTGCGTCTCTCTGTAGTGTCAACAATAGGAATCTAATATAGTTGAGCAATGGTGTAAAATCGGCTGTTTGAATCGATAGTTTCTGTACGAATGATTGAAATAGTTGTTCTGCATCCGCTGACTTTTTAATACATAAATATCTAAATGATGATAATAAAGATGATGAACAATTGGTTAGTATTCGCTCAATCATTCATTCATTCATTCTCATACAAAAAGTAAAGTAAAGATAAATACTCACCCAAATACAGCTCTTGCAATGTATAAATCTACTTCGGATTGTGATGCATCTCTTGTCCATGCAACCAACATGTCAGCGAACGAAATCGGGTCGTTTCCAAAGATAAAGTGTTTCTGTGCATCTATATAGTCACCGTTCTTTGCCATGGCGATGGCAAGCAGTGCATGGAACTCGTCACTTCCTTTATCACCTGCACCTGCACTCTCACTCCACTTGATAGCATCTCTCATGAATGTAATCATCGCTGCATTCTCTGGACAGTTAAATCCTTTAAATAATGTTGATACAGTATCTAATAGTAATAATAATAATAATAATAATAATAATAATAATAATAATAATAATAATAATAATAATAATATCATAAATATATAAGATAGATAAGTTAATAAAAGAATGTAAACTAGATAGGTAATCTTGTATTTTATATATATATATATAAAATATAATAGTTACTCTTTGATTCATCATCATATTTAGTACCGAAAGACTTGTATGTTTCAATTAAAAGTTGACCCAATTCAGCAGCACAGTTCCATTGTTGGTATTTCAAAAAGTTGGTTGCACCTGACAATAGGAGACTGATTGTTTCCTTGTATTTCTTTGCAGATGCATTTCTAAAGTATAATGCCTTGTATGACTGTAAGAGATCATAGTAGTTTCCTGCTGAAAACTTACTTTCAAGACTTGCAATCTGTCTATCACTCATTCTAATATATATATTAATATTTAATTATTAATTATTACAAAAAATAAAAATAAAGTAATTTTTCTTTTTTTTTAAAAACTTTTCAAAATTTTTATTAATAAAAAGACACCTTAATGTTCAATATGTTTAATATTTTCTATTCACAATATTGTTTTTAGCATATCTCAAAGCATATTCTCAATTAACATTGTTTGGTTTTAAAATACCAAAAAATTTACTAAAACAAATTTACTAATGTATATGTTATAAAATCTTATATAAGAAATAATATTATTAAACAAAAATTTTAAACATTTTTTTTATTGTCAAACTAGTTTTGACAAAAGAGAGAATTTATTATTATTTTTTTAGATTTGATCCTGTAGTTTTGGTAGGATTGGTTATTATATTTGTTTGTTTTTAATTATTAGATACCGGCACTGATCCACTCATAATGGAATTGAGTGGTGATTGTAACTGATGGGCTGGTGTACTTTTGACTTCTTGCAAGGTCAATAACGGTTGTTTCATACAAAGATGGACCAACTGGAGCGAATAATACGATGGAGCTACCTTTGACGCCGAAAACACTAGTTAAAAACGGATTGTTCGAACCAGTTTGAACAGTATAGATTTTGGATACACTTTGAGAAGAAACATCAACAGAGTATATTTCAAAGCTACAAGGGATACACATATCGATAAAGTAGATTTGATCATCTGTATAAACAATTTGTGGAACTTCCATTAAGAAACCAGCGAAATAACTTGGTCCTTTAACGACGGTATTACTCCACAAGTTATATACGATGAAATATGTACCACTCTTGTTTACATTAGAACTATAAATGATATAGTAATTACCAGTTGTAGGATCATATGAACCGACTGGATATATACTGTTAACATTCATTGGACCTGTTGGGAGTTCGACACTGGATCTATAATTCAATGAAGAGTGTAAATAAAAGAGGAATTGTACTATCATCTATATAAAAAATTATATTATACTTACATTTCTTTCTTATTGAAATCCCAGATGTTAATGGTTAGATTAGAGCTTGGTGGACCAGGAAGAAAGGATGCGAGTGCAACAAAGTTTTTCACTGGATCATAAGCATATTGTTGAGGGGCAGACACTCCATTATAAAATCCATTGACATTATTCAATTGAAAGAAAGTATTATCCTATTTATTATTTGTTAATATATTATCTCTTTCTTTTTCAAATTGATACTTACACTAATAGAATACTCCAGAATCACATCATTCTTGGCAACTTTATCAGTGGCCAACAATAAAAAAGAGTCAGAGCCATCACCAGAAAGAATGGTTTGGATTGAATATTTGTTGGATACTCCCATATTAACATTCTTAATAAGTTCACCAGTGGTGGTGTTTACCGAGTAAAATTGTTGGATTTTATCAATCATTATAAATTGATTGATTTCCAAATACTCCATGGAAATAGACACACTGATTGCCATTGACAATAATAAAATTAAACGAATAGAATTTGAATACATAATTAAGTAAATATTTTAATTAATAATAATAATAATATTTAAAGTTTGAAGTGATTTATGTTATAAAATTCAAACTAATTGCCAAATTTATAGTTAAAACAAACTAGATATTTTTTAGATTCTTTATTTTATTTTTAGTTTTCAAGGTGATTGATATTTTTTAGTTTTAGTTTTTTGTTAAAGATTTTTTTAATTTTAAAATAAAATAAATATCAATCAAAAGATTATTTCCTATTTCCTATTTCTTCATATATCCGCTTGGTATTGTCTTATACAATTTCATGCTACCAAGATATTAAACCATTTTGAACATATCTTCAGACCCACCAAGGTTATATATTCACCAAAATAAGGATGAGATAGTCTCACTAAGTCAAGAATAGATTTGATTATATAATGATAAATATAAAAATTAAAATCACCTTATTGTTTGATTTCAAATATTAAAATCAATTCATTTTTGTTTCTTCATTTTTTAGTGAAAGTAGTTTATAATGATATTAAAATACAAAATTTTGACTTATAACAATTACAATTAAAAAAAATTTATTGGATGATAATCACACCGGTTTTGGAATATATTTTTAAATTTGGAATTTATTCATATTTTTTTTGAAATAATAAGATTTATAAATCATCAATACTGTTTGAGAAAGGACTCATTCTTTGTTTTAAAAATTAAATATTTTAATATTTTTTAAATTAAATAGATCACCAAGTTTTCCAGGATAAGTTGTTTTTTTTTTTTCTAATTTAATATATACCAGGACTGATCCATATTATCCTGTTTAAATTAATTAGTTAATAAATGATTGAAAATATACTTACATAGATAGAATATTCGAGAATCCAATAATTATCGGCCACCTTGTCAGTGGACAACACTATAAATGAGTTAGAACCTATTAGAATTACTGATTATTGTTTATATATGATAGTATAAAGATAGATAAACGATGTAGATGGTTTGTGGATGAAACTAAAAGTGTTCTTTATTTTATATATTCTAATGATGTTTTGACCCAAATTTTAATTTTTTCCATCTGTCGTTGAATTGAATTAAACAAATCATTATAAATTGATTGATTTCCAAATATTCAATGGATTAACAAATTAAAAATCATTGAAATAATAAAATTAAAGAATACATAATTAAGTAATAATATAAATTTAAAGTTTCAAACTAAAATATTTAAAGATTGAGGTGATTTTTGATGAAAATTAATAATCTTATATATAGATTTTTAGATATTCTAAAATATTTATTTTCCAGGGATTTTTTATAGAGATTAATTTTTACATACTGATTGTCATTGATAAAATAAATAATTTTGAATTTTATTTAAAAGAATATATTAAAAGTTTTAAGTGATTTAAGTAAAAATAATAAAAACTAGATATTTTTAAGATATTACATAAAATATTTTATTTCCCAAAAGATTTTTTTGAATTTTTAAGGTGTTTGAACAAAGATATTATTTTGTTTTTGCTTTTTAGGAAAATAAAAAGATCATTAACTATCTATCTGAAGGATATTTACAGCAAAGTGTTGATTCACCAATAAATAGTGATTTTGTTAAAATTAGGTTGATTTTAAATTTGTTCACCTTTTTTCACCAATTAAACTATATATTCATGGAGTCTAAATAGGCGGATAGAAAATCTCTAAAAGTCAAGATTCGATTTAAATTTCAAAATTGAATAAATTCAGCTCAAAGTATTTAATTTCTTACTAATTATTCATTATTGTTACATTGGGTGTTTGTACCTAAGGTTGTAGTTTTTGTCTTTTCTAAAATGAGTTATAAAAAAGTAAGAATAGATGTTAATTTAAAAATACAAAATTAAACTTTTTTTATTGTTTTCTTATTCATTTAAAACAGTGTATAGTAAGAATAATGAAACTATTTGAATGACAAGTATTAGGAGAATATTTGGTATGTGTTTGGATGATGAACTAGCTGGTCTATCGTAGCTAAAGAATACTGCTGGTTTACCATTGTCATTTGAGCTAAATTGATCGAGTGTGATTGAAACAGGAAATTGTTGAGATGCATCTTGTCCTTTGGGTAAATGATCGATTGTACATTGAATAGATCTATGACCTTCATTCAAGTTAACAGGTTGTTTACATTCACTACCACCAATCTTTACTGATACTTTTGTAACATTCTCCAAACTAAGATAATTTCCACCGATTGTAATCACACCACCTTCCACTGAACAATTACTTATTGAATTAATAACTGGGTCTATAATAGAATAGAAATTAATATTAATTTATATAATTAGTTTAATTTAATTTTATAAAATTAATCAACAACAACTTACAAATTGTAAAGTTTAGAGTATTGGAAATATTGAAATTGGTAACATTAACAAATACACTATTATTTCCATTTCTAACAGAGACTGGATAGAGTTTGGTAATATTCATAATAATATCTGTATGCTTTGTAAATGCATCGAGCCTCTGGAATGTATTGAGATTGATTACTAAGAATACCATTTTGATATCACTACCAAAGCTATCACCAGATACATGTAACATATAATTATCAGTGGTAACATTTTTAGCAATTGGTTCTGAAATTAAATAATTAATTAATAAAACTATAATATTTCATTATTAAATATATATTTCTTCTTACGTTCAAATGAAAAATTTGATAACGCTCCAACCTCTCTAATTAATATGGAAACTGGCAAGTCGATACCAACGAATGTAGATTGATCCGGTGTCAATCGGTAGTAGCTTTGAGAGAGATTCTTTCCACCGATTCCAATCTCCTTGAGCGATAGGGTCTCGTTGGTAAAGGTGAGAGTGTTGTTAGAGACAGCCGATGGACTTATGTACCAACCGTGGACTGTGATGATACCACCTGAAGTTGGTACCGAAGTAACGTTGTTGATAATAAGTGGATTCCATCCAAACTTGGAGGTTGCACCTCTATTATCAAAGAGACCTGCTAAACCTTGGTACACCTGAGTATCATCGAAACTAACGGTGATCACCGAGTCATTTTTCGAAACTATATGCATCGATGTAGTTGGACCACCACTAAAAGCAAAAACAACTACACTTGTAACATTGGTAAATTGACGTCCTATAAAATCAGCTTTAAATCCAGGATAATATATTAAATTGGTTATTTGAAATGCATTATTAACTGTGTCGATGAATCGGAGGGAAATATATTAGTTAATAGATTTGGATCTTTACAATTTTAAAGTTTCATATCATACCATTTATTAAAATTATATAAAATAAAAGAGATGATAATAAATATTTAGTCATTGTTGAACTAAAACAGTATTAATAAATAAATAAATAAGAGATAAGATAAATAAAAATGTAGTAACTATTATTTGAAATGAAAATGATAAAACAACTTTTGTATTTAGTATATCCAACTTCTCTGGCAATAATAATGATATATTTATTGTGAATATATGAGAAGAAGAAAATGAAAAGGAAGGAACAACAGTTTGTTTCAAATAAATATTAAATAATTTATTTATTTAGAAGATCTGAAAAGGGTACTTTGATATAAATTATAGTATGCATGGTTATTATATAGTACAAATGGTTAATATGTAGCTAATAGCTAACCTATTGATGATTGTATCTGCTAGGTAGGTAAATTGAGATTTAAACCAAGAGTGTAATCATCACCAGACCAATAAAAAAGTAAGTTAACTTAGTAGTAAGAGATGATCAACACATACTAAGAAGTTTTAACACAATTATAAAACACACAATTAAAACATTTGATTTGAATGTTGATTTATAAATCATATTGACACACAAACACAAAACACACACCACACAAACAAATAAATAAATAAATTATTTAACACAGTCAATTGAATTGTATTCAACCCGTTTTTATATTAAATTTTCGACAACGATTGATGGAAATGCACACCAAAAAAATTAAAATGTATGAATAAAATTAACTTTTTCATTTTATGATTTTTTAAAAGGTTTTCATAAATAATAGATAGATAGATAGATAGATCATCGAGATGTCAGATACAACAACAACAACAACAACAAACAATAACGAATCGGGAACACCTAACCCAATTGTGTTCTTTGATATAGCTATCGATGGTCAGGCTATAGGTAGAATTAAGATTGAACTATACGCTGATGTAGTACCTAGAACTGCCGAAAACTTTAGGTAAATACTTTAATTGATCTATCTATGAAACGTTGTCAAATACTTAAATCTAGATTACTAATACACCTTTTATGTTCATTGTGATCACTCCACCAATAATGATAGACAATTCTGTACAGGTGAATACAGAAAATCAGGTGTACCCATTGGTTTCAAAGGTTGTAAATTTCACAAGGTATCAAAGGATTTCATGATTCAAGGTGGTGATTTTGTAAAGGTATGTTACAGCTTTATGCTACCTATTGTAGTAATAATAATAGTTTAGTTTTGATATTTATTACAAATACATTTACTTACATTTTCGTTATTTTTTTATTAATAGGGTGATGGATCAGGTAGAACATCGATATATGGTGAAAGATTCCCAGATGAAAACTTTAAATTAAAACATACTGGACCTGGTACATTATCAATGGTTAACAGTGGTACACCAAATAGCAATGGTTGTCAATTCTTTATATCATGTGTAGCCACCGAATGGTTGGATGGAAAGAACGTAGTTTTTGGACAAGTAGTCGATGGAATGAAAGTCGTTAGAACCATAGAAAATGTACCCGTTGTAAATCCACAAACAAATAAACCTAAATTCGATGTCGTCATAACAGAGTGTGGCGAACTGTAATAAATAACATCATGATTTATAAATACTATCTAGTTTAGAAAAAAGGGTAAAATCATTTACAAAATGTTTTATTTATATTTATTATTTATATTATATTTATATATATGTTTGTTTGTTTTGTTTTGTTTTGTTTGAAATCGGAATATTAGGAGTGAATTAACAATTCTAGTGGAAAGCTAATAATTATTTCTTTCCATTCTAGTTTTTGAAAAATGTGTGTAAATTGTTGTTGTTGTTGTTGTTTGTATTTAATTATTGATTGGTGAACTATATAATTCTGATTTGTGATCGTTGATGTCGGAATGTTTTCGGTTGTTCGCTGGTGATTTGTCACCGCTGCTACTGCTTTCCGCTTCGATGTCAACATCCATTTCGAGACGATTCGGTTCGTGGTCGTCGTCATCGTCGGACTTGTTAGCAAAGTTCAGTGGTGATTTCGAACGATCCATATCGTCGATCAGCTGTTTGGTCTGTTGATGTGGCGATCCTCTGTTGGAAGTGGACTGACTGCTACTTCCCGATCCGCCAGCGGCATCTGCAGTGGTTGGTGGTGAAAGTGAAAGTTTACTTGGCGACTGCGAAGAAGATGAAGCTGCCAGAGTCGGTGGTGTTGTCATCGATGACTTTAACGATGTTAAAATAGGTGGTAGCGGTGATGTTATATGACTTTGAAAATTGGATTGTTCTACATTATTACTTGGTGAACTTTTAGATGACGATGATGATTTCGAAGATGATGATGATGATTTACGATGTGATGATTTATGATGATGTTCTTGAGTGTCGACACTCTTATTACTATTATTATTATTATTATTTGGTGAAGTTTCTGTTTTCTGTCTTTTATGTTTCTTTTCTGAGGGAGTGTTGGTGGTGGTGGTGGTGGTATTGGTGTCTGCTTCATGCTCGGATGCAGATGCATCGGTGGCGATACCTTGGTGATATCCACAGAACGGTGTTTGTTTAGATTTCTGCACTGGTATATTACATTTCTTTGAGTTCTTCTTGTTGCTCGCGACGTATTGACACCACATGAATCCAGAGTTTGGATCGAGTGGCGCGTGATGCCAGCAGTATTTGAGGTTGGGCAGTGACTTGCTCTTGCACCAACGATCCTTGCCAAAAGCTACACAATATCCTTCTTGCGGCTCGTTCTTGGGTGTTGACGAAGAAGAGTTGGAGTAAAAGTCATCGCCTACAATTGGTGGTGGATTACCAGATGCCTGTTGAGATTGTAGCAGTGGAGTGACAGAGGGTGACTGTATCTTATCGCCACCGGTGCTTCTTCTATCTCTATCCCTATCTCTATCAGGTAGTCGCTCCTTACTGGAAGATGACGATGACGATGACGATGAAACAGAAGAAGAAGTATGTAATTGTGCTCCTAATCTGCTGCCAGATGATTTCTTTCTTTTCTCGTCTTGAGTATGTCCATTCTCCTTATCGCTTCTATCGGTATCTCTGTCTTTATCCTTATCCTTATCCTTCTCTTTATCTCTGCTGCTTCTTTCTCTATCCTTTTCTTTTCCTCCTTCTTTATCTTTATCTCTTTCTCTTCTCTCTTTACGTTCTTTGTCGCGGTCACCTCTATCTCCTTTGTCTCTTTCCTCTTTATCTCTTCCACGTTCTCTACGGTCTTTTTCTCTTCTTTCCTCTCTCTCTAACTTAGACTCTCTTTCCTTTTCTCTTTCTTTTTCTCTCTCAAGCTCCAATTTGATCTCTCTTTCTTTTTCTTTTCTCTCCTCTCTTTCTCTTTCTCTATCCCTTTCCTTCTCTTTTTCTCTTTCCCTTTCCTTCTCTTTTTCTTTTTCTCTTTCTTTCACTCTTCTTTCCTCTCTCTCTAGTTTAGACTCTCTTTCCTTTTCTCTTTCTCTTTCTCTATCCCTATCTCTTTCTCTATCCTTTTCTCTTTCTCTTTCTCTATTACTATTATTACTATTACTAATAATATCTCTTTCAAAACCTTTTTCCTTTCTCTCACTATTGGATAGAACTCTATTAACTTCTACATCACTTTCATCAGATGATACCTCTTCGAATTTTAGTAATTTATCTAATAAAAATCTAAATATGAGAAATATTAATATAAAATTGATTTTTACCAAAAAAGGAAAAAAAAATAATTTTTGAGATCTATCATAATTTTTAGGATTGAATAAACAAAAATAAAAATGAAATATATACCTTTTCTCTTTAGCTAATCTTTTCAATTGTTTCTTTGCCTCTTCTAGTTGTATCAAAGCATAATCTTTCTCTTCGTTGATCACAGCATATTTCCTCTTCAAATTTGAATACAAGACCTCAAGATCTTGTCCTGTATCCATTTGTTTGTAATATCTTTTAAAAATATCTGAAAATAACCTGTTTTTTTTATATATATAATTCGAGATTAAATCTAAATTCTGTTTTTTTTTTTTTGTAAGATTCAATCTAAAAAATAATTATTAATATAAATGTACTGCTGCTATTTTATTTTATCTTATCTATCTATATCTTTTATATCTTTTGATTTTATTATTTGATGTTGAAATTGAAATTGATGTTGATTTTTATTTTATCTTTTTTAAAAAAAATAATTAATGATTTAAAATAAATTATTTAAATAATGAATAATAATGAATACCAATGAGAATGAGTTGAGTTGAATGGCGTTCATGCACAACATGAAAAGAATAAAAAATAAAAAAACAACAACAACAGCAGTAAAAAACCAACAAACATTATTGTGAAAAAACCAAATTTCCTATTAAAAAGATTTATGACTTCAAGGCTGCTTTTTTATTTATTTGCGGAACAACAAAACACACAAAACACCAAACAACGACAAACAACACCAAAATAAACTTGTTGATTTTAAAGAGTTTAAAAACGCTGTCTCTGTTTCTCTGTCTTTAAAGAGAGAGTGGTGGTGGATATTTATTACAATATATAATATTGAGATGAAATTATATCATATAACTATATACTACCTATTATATGTTAGTATATGTATGTAATATTAAGAATTATTATTATTATTATTATTATTTTTATTATTAAAGTAATATATAATATATTTTATGATGGTTCATTGTAGATTGATTACGAAGATTACCTTTATTATTTAAATATTTTGAAACTTTATTATTTAGATAACTTTATTCTTCTTTTGATTAAATATAATATATTTTGTTTAAAGAGGTTGGCAGGTTCTAATATTAATCACAGTTTACTTGTTGCAGCAATACATCAATATGTAAACAAAAAAAAAGAAACATAAAAATATTAAATAAATTAAATAAAAATAAAATAAAAGAAATCAATCATCAAATCAATAGAATAGATTAGATAACTACTAACTAACTAACTAACAACAACATCATCATCATCACCAAGATACTTAATTCCTCCAACCAAACCAAACATTGTTTTTTATTGTTGTTGCTACTCTGTTGTTGTTGGTTGTTGTTTTTAGTAGGTATCATCGAATCTACGTATCTATTTCAATCAACAAGTCAATGTAAAAACCATTCACACTTCTAATTACTATTTTTTTATTTTATTTTTTTTCAATAATATTTGTTGTTGTTGTCGATGAGCATAGTTGGTGTGTTATTGTATACACCAGTCATAAAAAAAACCTAAAAAAAAAAAATACAAAGATTTAGAAACAAAAAAAGAGGGGGTATCATAAAACCATTGAAGACACCTACTCAAAGTCATTACAAAAAAATAAAATTAAGTAGGTGTTGAATTGAAAGAAAACCAAACAACATACTTTTATTTGCAAAGAACCAAAGTCAGGTTTGGCATTTTTGTGGGGGTAAATACTTATTTATTGGTTTATAAATTTATTTCAAATAGTTGACTAAACCTCACTCGCGTCAAAGCATCATCAAAAACAACAACAACAAACAATAACAAACATAATAAAGTAAAGTATTATAAAAAATAATATATAGACAATTGTCGTTTACATATAATATATTTTACACAATAATGATATTTGTTTTTTTTTTTTGGTTTATAAATTATGTACAAAAATAAATAAAAGTAAATATTACTTTTATTGTGGGTGATTAATTTATTAAAGATATTATATGTAAGAATAAGATTTGGTATTACTTTTTTTGTTATTATTATAAAAAAAGAGAAATACAAGTTACTTTTTAACTTCAACAGGACTTTCAAAGATGTTGTTGTTGTTGTTGACGGTTAGATCTTGATCTCTTGGTATGTCATCGGGATTGACAATGATCTTTGAGAGGTTGACTAATGAGTATTTGGAGGGATCACCTAGTCGGTCGAACCTAGACTTAATCAACTCTATGAATGGACCGGTCAATTGGGGAATATATACAAGTTTCGGTTTGTCAGGACCTGGTTCTCTCTCTTTGTCTTTGTCTTCGTCGGCTTCGTTTCCATTGCCATTCTCTTTGTTGTGTGAAGGCGATGGTTTTCTTGGTGATTTCTGTTGTTTCTTCTTTTCTTTCTCTTTCTCTTTCTCTCGTTTCTTCTCTTCTCTCTTTGATTCTTTGTCTTTCTTGTGTCCGTTCTCTCCTGCTGATACTTGACTGGCATCTGTTTGGTTGTCCGATACCTCTTTGTTCTCTTCGATATCACCGACATCCATTCTCCATCGGCGATAGGCAATAACAAGCTCCAGTTCTTCAATGACTCTTTCTTTCATGTTTGGCGAGAGTGGCTTGAATATCTCGGTGTAGACATCGACTTCCTCGTCCTTGAGGAATTGCAGTAGACCTAGCAGCCATGACACCGATTGAGAAAGGAGACCGGTTGCGATAGTTCCATCATGCTCATTGACATTCATCTTGGCATCGGATACAACAAGATCATGCACCATATCGTAGATTCTCTCCATTAAAATTCGGCAAGCGTCTTCATACAAAGCCAAACGTTCATTCATAGTGATATGCGCGCTCTTATCCTTCTTGAACTTCTTTTTCAAATCTCGAGTATCGATTGACTCTTCTCCATTGTTGTGATTTTCGTTGTTTGAGATATTACTATATTGTGTTTGTGGTGTAGTTGGTTGTGACTTTGGTAATTGCTGAGTTGTTGTTGTTGTAGTAGTTGTTGTTGAGGACGATGAGAAGAGATTAGATGGTTTCAACCAACCGAAAGTGGAACGAAGCAAACTGTTTCCACTGTTGGACTTCTTGTCTTCGGTTACGGTAACCGGTTGGTTTGGTGAGCCGTGGATGTCGAGGTCAGAGTCAATGTAGGGTGGAGTGTGACCGGCTGACTTTGGATGGTAGTCGTCGAATTCGTCTGCAGCAACGTGGCTACCATTGCCGTTGCTGTTGTTGTTTAGTTCCAAGTCATGGTCGTCGTCCTCCACCAGTTCTCCACTCTCGGCAACAGTGATAATCTTCTTCATGACGTAGGCAATCTTCTCAAAGTGATAACCGATGTTGGCTTTACAGAACAGCTTGCCAAGCGGTTCGTAGAGAACCGGTAGCAACTCACGAATGATATCTATCATCTCGTCATTACCAAGAATATCGATAAAGTCGTTCTTCTCCTTCTTTCTCTTCTCCATCTTTACGTATTCAAACAGTGCTTTGAAGTGTTCTTCGTCGAGCGTTGCGATAATGGCGGAATCTACGGGTGGCGAGCCTGGCCACTGATATTGCATGACGGACAACGAGTCTGGGACGTCCTTGAAATAGGCAATGGGTTGGCCGTCGAAGCTCGAGATTTGGTGAATGTTCTGAACGAATCCTTTCATCTTTGCCATGAGCAGCTTTCTCACATTCTTATTGGGAATGTTCAGGAGCGCAGTCTCTGCATCCTTCTGTGATTTCTTGAGTGTACGCTCGGTCTTTCCAATCTCCACCATGACAGAGGTGATTGTTTGAATGAGATTACGCGATCCAAATGGTTTCGCTAAGAACAAGATGATGAAACCCTTGAGGAGCGTAATGGGATTAGCGATGGCGAGTGATGCGCGAATCGCTTTGACCGGGGTGATCATGTAGAGACGCTTCATCTTTTGCACCTGTTTGGGATCGCGCAACTCACGCTCCATCCAAAGCGACATAATCTTAATGACGGTATTGACAAACTCTGTGAATTCATCCGGTAGATCCTTCATGTGTTTCGTCTTTAGAATGATATTGAACAACGATGATATTCCATTGTGTGAATCGCCAGTGCCATGTGCAGCATCTCTATTCTTCTTCTCGATATTCATAATGATGATCTGTGTCAGTTCAGTCAGACGCTTCTGTAGCTTAGCGATGGATTCGTCACGTTCGATGTCCTTTGGGTTACGGTCACGCTCCTCCATGATCTTTTCGTCCTCCTCGTCGTCCAGTGTCTCTTGTTTGTGTTGTTCGTCACGTCGTCGCTCTTTGATCCACTCCTTCTCGGCGTTGGCAACCGAGGGGTCGACAAAGATCTTCAGTGTCTTATCGTTGGTTCTCTCCATGGGAGTACGAAGCGCAACGTCAAACACCTTTACAACAAACTTTCGGAATTGGTCACGTGTCTCTTGTTTCGAGGCGAGTTGCGACTGAATCACAATCTGTGGCAGTGTGTGAATCAACTGGCGAAACTTTGTCTTGGCGCTCTCCTTGTTGGCCAGCAGAGGAATCGTTGTCAGCTGATCGAAAAGGAACTTTAGAAACAGTGTATCATTGAGAAAGTCTGCATCGTTAAAGTAGATCTTGATCTCTTCCATCACCGAGTACTTTAACAACTGTTGTTTAAAGTATGATTCTTGATCAAGATTTAACTTGACCTCTGTATACTCTTGCATTTCTTATTACTATTGTTGTTGTTGTTTACTACTATTATTACTATTGTTTCTACTATTACTAATAATTCTTAATATTACAACCTCTTTTCTGTATGTATTTATCTTACTAAATTATTAATGTTTTATTCTCTCTCTTTTGATCTTTATAAAATCTATAGTTTTAAGTTAGAATGTATGAATAAAGGATGAATGTATCAGTTAGTAATGATTGATTGCAAATCAAATGAAATGAAATGAATGATAGATTAATATCGAAAAGAGAATGATAGAATGATAAATTGTTATGTGATGAAAGATAGATGGTAAAAAGATGGTAGAACAGATTGGTTTGATGATCTAAACCTGTTTTTTTTTTCAGAGGGGATATGATATGATGATTGCTTAATAGGTAATGAAAAATGGACAGATAATGGATGTAAGATGGATAGTTAAGAGAATATAACACTGAGTTTGTTTGAAGCTTTTGATATATGATTCCTAATATGATGATGGTCAGATGGATGTAATTTACACTTTTAGAGAAATATGAAATTTGAATGAATTTGGTAAATTTTCTTAAAATAGAATGATGAATGATAAAAAAGAAGTAGATGACGAAAATTCCAAATGGTAAAATGAAAATTGCTTTACCAAAAGTAGTGGATGAGGGAAGGAAGAGAAACCTGTGAAATATGATGATTTTAAGGTTAGAAGAAAGTTAAATCGTACTTTTATGAAATGAAAGTGATGAGCTAATTAAAATTCTTTGCTTGTTAACTATTACTACTATTATAACTATTATTATTATTATTTCTATCTAACTGGTCACTATTGATTGCTTCAATCAAAAGAGATAAATAAAATTAAAATTAAATTAAAATTAATAAAATTGATTTACTATTAAATTTAAATCTTGACTTGGTATTAAACAACTGGATTGATGTGAATCTATGTTATGTTATGTTATGATATGTTGTCAATATTAATATGAATTTGTATTATGTCGTTGTTGATTGATGGTAAAACAAACAAAACAAAAATAGAATAAATATAATTTGGTTTTTTTATACAATTATTATTACAACAATTATTATTATAATTATGAATTATTTAGATAAATGAAATTGTGTGTGAGGTGGGGTATGAAGAGGATTTCACCTGACTAGTGATGTTTGATATATAAATAAATAAAATATAATATAATTGAATTAATTAATAATAAATGATGATGTGGTCAATGCGTATGGAGGGGTATTTATTTTTATTAAACGAATATTTAGGAGTGTTGTTGCAAATAAAAAAAAACAAATTTAATTATTTTATTTTAGTCCAAAGGCTACAAATTTATTGATTAAATGATTGTTTGCAAAAATTTGAGAAATTGTAACCACTAGTGCAAATAGGGTGTGTAACTTCAAAAAAAAAAAAAAAAGAGAAATAGAGAGTGAATTGGAATGAGTGTGTTGTGAAAGTAGAGAGATGCGTATATTGTGTGAGTGTTTGATTACATGAATAATAATTACCTGAATTGTATTTCTATTTATAATATTTAAATTTTGTTTTGATTGAAATTGAAATTTTTCTCTATCTATTTATCTATCTATCTATCAATCTATATGAATCTAAAAAATGTCAAAATATATAAAGTTGGAACTAATTAATTTTAGAAAATAATTGACTTTTTTGTTATATATAATCTCCGTCAGAAAAGAATGATTTAGGTAATGCAAAATGCTATGAAAATGATCTGTTTTGTTGCAAATTAAAATTTTATATTTTTAAAAACAAAAAATTATTTTTAAATTTTTTTGACTTTTTCAAAGAAGTCTGATACCAAGGTGTTGTTGTAACAGCAATTTTAAGACATTATTTGAAAAGGACTTTCAGGAGAAGTACAACATCGAAAAAAACATCCTGGTGATTTCTTTTTTTGTAACTGACAACATAGAAATTTAAAATAACAAATTCATTTATTTTTAAAACACAGTGTTTGTTGTTTATTTAGATTTCTACAAAAAGAAACAAAACAAAAAAAACAAAAATAAATTAATTACTTACATTACTATATACTATACTATTCTATTCTTCTAACTTAATATGTCCAATGATAAAAAATAATATGAATTTTAAAAATAAAATAAAAATAAAAATAATAAATTATCAAATTTAATTGGATAGATTAAAAAAATATAATAATAATAATAATATGAAAAGGATAGTGTAGGGTATGAGCAGATTGTAAAAAGGAAGGAAGAAAAAAAAAAAAAAAAGAACAATTTCAGAGTCACTCTTTACTTTATAATAGAAATATAATAATTATTTTAAATAATTAATTTATAATGACAACAAGTATAATAATTTTTTGATAACTTTAAAAACTCAAAAGTAATATTGAACCTATTGTTTGTGTATAACCTAACTCTATGGTAACATACAGATTTGTAGATGAACTTTTTTATAAAAACAGTCACAATTTCAGATTTTAAAATTTCATCGATTGAAATAATGAACAATAACCCAAGTTTTACAACCACCACACACTCTTTAAAAAAAAATTTTTTCGAAAACACCACACAGGATGGTTACATTTTCATAGACTTGGAACCATATTCTTAAGCTAATGCAAATCAATATCTAGAACAACAAGTTGAAGGCAATACAGACATCGGCCGATCGCTTAGCACACTATTGAGCATCATATAATCTTATGACTCTATTTCTATTTCATGCAAAACAACAACATTTTTAAAAAGTGTTCAGAATAACCAACTCTTTAAAAGAAGAACGAAAACAAATTATAAAACAACAGATTCAATGAGCGAAATAGAATAATAACAAGACATTATCAATTCCAACACAACACAATGCTATTATATTCATTGTAGTATTTAGATCTCTACTCTACTTTTTTTTACAAATACTACGATATCGTATTTTAACATATATATTTAAATGAATGAGATAGATCTGCTGCACACATATATATTTTTATAAAGAAATATCTCTTTTTTCAAATTTGAAATTGAATATTCACTGATTTGATTGATAGATATTACAAGTTAACGATACTACTGATAAATAAAAGAATGATTGACATGTTTTTGTTTAAATAAATGTTTTTTTTTAATTTTAATAATCTAAAGTAAATTAAAGGAGAAATGAAGATCGAGGTTATCCACCAGATGATATAATATTTACAAGCCAATCCAAACCTTCATATAAACCGATTCCTTTGATTGCCGATGTCTTTACAATAGACCACTGTCTGTTCTTCAATGAGCTGAGTTTCAAACCCTCCGATACCTGTGCATCTGTCAGTGCACCGGGCAGATCTTGCTTGTTGGCAAACACTAGCAGTGGCGTAGTCTTCAGTTCCTCCTCTGAAAGCATCGCCACCAACTCTTCGTTTGCTATACCCAAACGATCTGGATCCGATGAATCCACTACATATATAATCGCATTGGTATTCGGATAGTAACACCTCCAATAGGGTCGAATTGCGCTTTGTCCACCTAAATCCCAAACTATATTATCAACACAACAAACAACAAACAACATCAATAACAATTAAATCAAAAAGTAAAGGTGTTAGTTATTTTGTTTAACTTCTCTATTATTATTATTATTATTATTATATTTAGTACTAAAGAACAAATGTAATAATTAACAACATACCTTGAAATCTTATATTCTTATAGTTTACTGTCTCTACATTAAAACCAATTGCTAAATAAAACAATATTGCTTCATTAGTATTGTAAAATATACATTCTATATAGAATGATGAACATACTTGGTATTGTAGTTAAAACTTCACCACATTGTAATTTATATAATATTGTTGTTTTTCCTGCGCTGTTTTACAATAATGTTAATTAATATCGTAGAAGTGTGTGTGTTGAATTCAACATTTAACTATAGTACAAACCTATCTAATCCAAGTATAAGTATTCTAACATCTTTATTACCAAACAATTTAAAAAACAACGATGAGAATAGATTCCCTATAGAATTAAAAAATAACACAAAACAAGATATTGTTTTTTTGTTTCGTATTAGACTATCTAACTAATTATCTTTTGATTATAAATGTTATTGATATAGTATAGATCTATATATTACCTACCCATCTCTCATAGTACTACTATATATATATGATATTTGCAAATAAAATTAAATGTTACTTGTTTTTTTTTTTTTTTTTTTTTGAATTTTCAAAAAATTAATTAATTAGTTAAAAAAAAAAGATATTTAATTATTATTAATTGTTAAAGGTCAGGTCTGTCATTGATTGATCAATTCAAGTTATTATTATTATTTGTATTCTTTTTTAAGTCAAGACTTAGTTTAGTTAGTATTCAAAATATTTAAATGTTTTTTTGTTTTTAAAAAAAAAAAAACATTGTCTTTTGTTTAAATTATTCTACTTGTATATTACGAGCAATTTGTTGATCATTATCTTTAGATTAACTACAACTGTTAGATTTAGAAAATATATAATTTTTATTGAAAATAGTAAAGTTCGATGATTTATACAATTCTTGGTTTTCTTGAATGCTTTGCTTTCTTTGATTTCTTTTTCTTTGGGAAATTTTGCTTCTTCTTTACTTTAAGTTTTTTATCTTGCTTTGAAGTAGTATTATCGTTGTCATCGACCATATCAGTATCTTTTTCAACTGTCAGTGGAACCATTTCTGGTGGTAAAGTTAAATCTATAATACATTAAAGTACAATAATTTAAAATAAATAAGGTATAAGTAAGTTATAACTGTAGCTTAACAAAACTATAAACAAAATAACAAATCTGTATTATATTTACTACATACCTTGTACGTCTGTTTGTTGTGATTTCATATGTGCATTCATTTTATCGACTGTTTGTTGTAAGAGTGTATCGTTGTATGGCTGCAGCTTAGCTCTCATGAGAGCAACATTCTTTAATCTTCTCTTTGATCTTACAGAGTTACCCATCTTTGTGATATCTCTATGTGTATATATATAAATAAAAAAATAAATAAATTAATAAAAAAAATTGAATCAATTTTTAACAACCGAACGAGGAGTTTTTTTTTTTTTCTAATTTTTTTTTAAATTTTTTAGAAAAATAAATAAATCAATTAACAATCAATTATGAGATTTAAATCTACAACTTCTGATTCACTAGAAAAGACAGATAGAAACATAAATATAAAAATATTATTTGAACGATAAAGATTCAATTTTGGTTGTTTATGAGTAAAATAATTATTAAATAAAAATTTTATTAAGATTTATGTTATTTCTTAGTTGGTTTAATGTCGCTTTAAACTCACCTGAACTATTGATTATCAGGTGAGAAGCTTGACAGTTGATTAGATTGGTTGTTGGTGTTGTTGTTGTTGTTGTGTTGAATGATTGAATGGGTTATAAGTTGTTTGAAGGTTGACCTTGGACTGGACAGATACATTCAGATAGAGATGATATGGCAACGAGAGCAATTGAGTATTGAGTATTGACCAACGGTAGAAGGTGGCGACAACATTAATGATTTGCTAATTCCAATAGAAATGAAATTAGTTAATTAACAATATACTTGCCTTGTTGTTGCTAGAAGTAAAATAATGTTGTTGAGTATTAAATTGATCGCGAGCTAAAATCGAAATTGGTTGACTGAATCACTTTCAATTCACGGTTGGAAGTATTTCCACCTTGTTATTACTTATGTACATGATTGGGACTGTGTCTTTCCATTCATGCCAATTAAATAATAAGGAATCATTCAATTCCCCATACCCAATATTACTACTGCCAACCAACCAACTAACTAATTAATTTGCCTGTTTAAGCTATGTATTTTCTTTTTTACCACAGTTGTCGAAAAGAAAACATAAAAAACAAAATGACCTTTAAAGTAATTTACTTTAGAGAGTAAATTTAATTGAGCAATGTTGCTTCTTTGTTGTATATTGTTGTTGTTGTTGTATTGTAACAAGTAGTAATATTGGTCTTTCTTTCTTCTGCTTGGTGGCAGGTTTCTGCTTGGCGGCGTTAAAATCTGCTTGGTGGCAGTTAAAATCTGCTTAGTGGCAGACGTCTGCTTGGTGGCAGATAATAAAGATCTAACATGATGACTACCTGTGTAATTTACATGTGATCGATTGGATCTTTCGAAACTAATGGTTGTCTACGTAGACAGTCTATACCATAGACCCATCACATCTCGCTGTGAATCAATGGGCACGTATTGAAAATACGCACCCATTTCTTGGTATGAATCAATGGCACCACTCAGTGGTATCCATCTCTTGGTAATTAGACCTTTGAGTATCTCTCAGGTGCTGAAAGCAACAACCTGTTTGATTTGTATAGCTCTCTCCAAACATTAGGGTGCTTGGCGAACTTAACTGAACATCTTGATGTCCAATATGGTTCGGCTTTTAAAGTAAGTTAGTTTAGTTTAGTTAATCGAATCGCAAACCCGATAACATGACTTGACATGACATGACTAACAGTGTTAATTAGTTTAGTTTAGTTTAGTTAATCGAATCGCAAATCCGATAACATGACATGACATGACTAATAATAATAATAATAATAGTTATAGTAATAATAATATCTTCGATATTAATATCTCTTTGTATTTATCTTTGTATTGTATTTATCTTTGTACAGTATTTATCTTGTAGAAATAGTAGTGGTAGTCGTTTGATTGTCTCTGACTTGGTGGTCGCACCAATACAAACTTGTCCTTGGCACGTTGCATGACATGCAAGTGTCTAAAGGCTACGCTACTTGTTGGTTGCAACCTTTCGAGGTATGCCAGAGTCACACTCGGGTGACCCTCGAGTCGAACACGAAGTGTTACGAACCCATTTTAGATGCACATTGCCTGACCATTTGAGGAACTCGAAATGGTTTTGCAGCTAACCCTTTTTTCACTCTCGCGTGAATAGGGCGGTAATAATAACAATGTCTCTCTGAAGATATTCATCTATTCAATTGTTTAATTATTACACCATCTTGTATTGTCAGAAAAAAAATTATAAAAATATAAATAAATTAAAAAAGATATCGATATAGGATATAAATCTTTATCACTCTCTTTTCTCTCTCTCTTTTTTTTTTTTTTGTTTTCTCCTTTTCTCTTTTTCTCTCTCTTCTCTCTCTCTCTCTCTTATTTCTCTATCTATATCTCTCTCTCTCTCTTCTAGGTTTTATCAATGAATATTAACAAGATAGTGTGAAAGAAAAATTAAACCAAAAATTAAAAAAATCCAACCAAAATTAAAATTAAATTAAAAAAAATTTTAATTTTAACTGGTTATAATCTGGATTATAAAGAAGAAGATATCACAAACAACCTTTTTTTACTGTAATAAAACATCCAACAAAAATAAAAAATTAAACAATACAAATATTAAAGCTTTAAATTGAAATAAAAAAATAATAAAATATATATAATATATAAATAATTTAAAAGATGTTTGTTTTATAATATTTATCTATTTGGTTGTTGTTGAGTTTTAATGAAAATGAATGAAAAAATAAAAGTTCACAACTATTATTCAAAAAAAAGCAAATAATAATGCCTATTAAAGAAAAATAAACAATTTAACACCAAAAAATTATTTTATTTTTGCTTTACAAAATCAAATATATTTAACTCGTCTCACAGTCACCCATTTATTTGGTTGTAAAAAATATCATACTACTTCAACTTAAGTCAATATTTCATTTTTATCATATGTCAATAAATAAAATAAATAAATTTCCAATTCATACAAGATAATCATTGATTAAATAGTTATTTTTATAAAAATGATATGACTCCTTACAAATGTAATGTGAGCTTATAAATTGATTGTGATCAAATTTATTTTTTTTTGTTTTTTTTTTTTATTTTTTCAAATAAAATGAAGGAATTTTTTAATATTTAATTTTTTTTTTTTTTTTTTTTTTGCAAAATCATCACAATTAATTGTATGTGCACAAGGAAAAAAGATTTTTTGCCTATTTTTATGAACATAGTATGAAAGTCTCACACACATAATTAATCTTTAAAACAAACATACCAACAATAGATTATTATCATCATCATTGTCAACTCGCGAAAAACACTCAACAACAGACAACATCCAACAACAACCAAACTCAACAACACATCGAAACTTGACAACATCGTTCAAATCAAATCTTAATTAAATATTTAATTTTATTCAATAATTATTTTGTAACCAGGTTGCATTAATTTCAATTTTAATAATATTATTTGATATTACATTATAACTTCCTCTTCTTCTTCCCCTTCTTACACTAACCCCCTTCTCACTCCTCCTCTTCCTCCTTCCCCAAATTTTTAATATAACTTACCAAATTGATCAACTCAAAAAAAAACAAATAGCTATTCTAGTGAAAAACATAAGAAACATAGCAAAATAAAATAACTTTAGTTGGTTAAAGGTATTATTCTTCTTCTTTTAAAGCAAAAGCAAAACAACTGATCAAATCAAATAAATTAAGATCGTACAACCCTCGAAAAGTACAACCCTTGACAGGTCAAAGCAGTTCATATTGTTTGAAAGTAAATCTCAATCACCAATTTTCATACTACTGTAACTATTACAGTAGTATATAGAGTACGATGTTTGACCGTTTACTAAAGAGATCTAAAGAAAAAGAAAAAGAAAAAGATAAAGAAAAAGAGAAAGATAAGGATAAGAAATCTGACAACAACAGCAACAATAATAATAAAGGAAATGTAGATAATAACAATAGCAATAATAATTATAAGAATAATATAACAACAATTCCAATACCAACAACACCATTTTCAAAGACAAATAATAATAATAATAATAATAACAATAGTAATAATAAAAATAATGAGGTTGGATATCTTGATATTCCTGATATGGTAATCAATAGTAGACTTGGTAGCGCTAAAAATGGATCACCATCACCATCGCCTTCACCGGCACTCACACCACTACTCAATGTACCACCACCAACAACAACATCAAAAGTAAAGTCTGGCAGTGCAGCTGTTACTATCAACAATAACAACAACAACAACAAAACACCACAACTACAGGTGGAAACAACAGCTTCATCTTTCACAGACAAACCACACTCACTTCTCAATCATACACTACAACAACAACACGACAGAGAACAGTCAGCAGCTACAGGACAATCACACCTCAAAGTGCCATCTCCACTCTCCTCACCGGTGCACAGACGTAACACCATTGACAATGGCTACGGTTACTCTCTCAGCGGACAACTCACCCTCGAAAGATCACCATCCTACGAGCAATCGATGCGCGCATTATCACCATCGCTCTTTTCCTTCATGTAAATATCCAATGCAATCTCTCTTTTACATATCTGTATCAATACTAATTAATCAATTCTATATAGACAATCGATTGGATACATGGATGAGTACTATGAAACAGAGGAGAATGTACAGCGCTATTTGAACTCGGTTTGGGACAGTGTTTTGTTGCCAAAGACTCAGACGTTGGCGCGTATCGATCTGAAGTTTATTGTGCGTCGTGGCATTCCCGATGGAAAGCGTGCGTCGGTGTGGCGTCTGATGACCGGCTACGAGGAGTTGCAGACCAGCTCCGAGTTTGATTTGATATCGCTGGCGCTGAACGGCGAGGGCGTACCCAAGAAGTTTCGAAACATTCCGTCGTTCGGAGGCATTCTCTCGCCGTCCGACCACTTCCTCACCGAGGAGGGTATCCAGCAGGTCAAGCGCATCCTCTCGATCACCGCACTCAACTTCCCAGAGGTTGAATACTGTCCTGTGATACCGGACATCGTACACATCCTCCTGATATTCATGTCGGATCTCGAGGCATACGCCATACTCAACCTCCTCATCCAACAATCGAAAGACAACTTCTATCGCTACCTAAACACCAACAATCGTGACTGTACATCATTCCTTCTAACCTTTGATTCTCTAGTTGAAATACAAATACCAAAATTATATAAACGTAAGTTGTTATATAACATAAACAACATAAACAACACAAACACAACATAAACAACCTAAACAATATAAGCACAAACATAACCTAAACCCAACATAAACAACATAAACACAAACACAAACAATATAAACAACACAAAACATAAACAACATAAACAACATAAACACCATAAATATAAACAACATAAAAATGTGTATTAACAAAACATCTTGTTTGTTTCATGAAAAATAGATATGATAGGATTAGGTATAACGAATTGTAGTGTTTTCGCGGAGGAATGGTTCTCGAGACTGTTTGTATCGCATCTACCGTTCCAGATTGTGTTGAGAGTGTTCGATTGTTTCTTGTGTGAGGGCTACAAGGCGTTGTATCGTGTCGCTCTCGGTCTGTTGATGATTCACAAGCGAGTGCTGTTGAAGGCAACGTCATCGGAGCAGTTTCTATCGATTTTGAAAAACTATAACCTTCAACTGAGCAGTCCTGACGAACTGATGAAGAGAGCATTCAGTATACATCTCAAACGACGTGACCTACTCAGCATCGACGCAAAACAAACACCGAAACTCTACAACATCTCCGAACCACAACTACCGATATACTATAGACCAAAAGTTACAACACCATCATCTATATTAGAAGAAGATCATGTAAGTAATAATAACAAAGTTAATCTATATATATAAACAAACTAATCTAATTCTAATTCTAATCATTTACTTTCAGTATGAAATAATATGGGCTTGGTTACCACATAAATATTGTATATGTGATCCTAAAGTTATATTCAATTCAAACAACGATGGATTTAATCTACGATTGCTCTGTGAGAGAGTAGAGAATCAATCGCCTATCTTTATCTTTATACGAACACACAAAGGAGATGTATTTGGTTTCTTTACTGATGACGATCTAACACCGTCCGATACATTTGGATCACAGTAAGTAACAGCTGTTTGTTTACAACTTGAATGCGATTGTGCACACGAATATTTACTAATATAATAATAATAACTATATAACTTTATAGTGATACATTTGTATTTAGTTTGAAACCACATGTAGGTGTATATAAACCGAATAATAAGAATGAATTGTATTTAAAGGTTACTAGTGGTGCGAATAGAGATCTCTGGGTTGGTCAATCTCAGTTGGGTGAACATGCAATTCATTTGGATAGAGATTTGAACGGTACTAGCAGTTGTTGTGAAACCTTTGACAGTCCTTGTTTATGTTCCGATACAAAGTTTACTTGTGCAACATTAGAAGCAATTACACTAGTATAATATTATCCATTCTCTATAATCATAATTAAGTTTTATATTTATATATATCCTGTATTATTATATATATATAACATCTATAACAATCAATAATTGTACAAAGAAGACACATCATTTACCTCTCAAAAACCCCTCCTATCTTTTCTTTCTTCTACTCTCTCTTCTCTTCTCTCCTTTCCTCACTTATTCTTTTCTTTCCTTTCATCCCCACTCTAAACCTTTTAAAATGTAAATAAAAGTTTATCATATGTTTAAATTAAAACAAAAATATATTTAAACTTGATATTATATCACTTTATTTGAATGTATCTTTACTTTAACAACCTTATCTTCCTATCTGTCTCTATCTATTTGATAGTTATAAACATATCATTTTTACAATTTATATTCATTGACAAGTTGGTACCCATACATATAGGTTCTTAATGTTGTGTTGTAGCTGAATGCTTAAAACATGTTGCTTAACGTTCATACATGAAATACATGATTGATGTAATATATGTATGTAAACTAATAAGCGCTATTTTCTATCTATCATGACACTGGTGTTCGTTGTTTTGTTTGTTTGATGATACTCTTTTGTAGTGATTATAAATATTGTTGTTATTGTTTGTTGATTGATAGTATTGTGTCATGATAGAAATTTGAATTGAGAGTATCATATATTGTTGTTATTATTATTATTATTATTATTATTTAGATCTTTACATTTGATCTTTCAATGGATTGATAGCACCAGTCTTCGAGAAGTAACCTTCTTCTTCCAACTCTTTGTAGGCACGAATCACCAATGGGTCTTGAATGACATCAGACTTTGCTTGTTTCAATTGTTTCTTCTCCTCTTTGATTCTAGCATTGATTTCTAAACTCTTTTGATACTTTCTAGTAGCTTGATTACTATTGAATTTAGCTGCTTGCTTTCTTGTAGCTTAAAAATTAAAATAAAACAATAAAATTAATATTTTTTAAAAAAAATTGTTAAAATATTATATGTACCTTCTCTACAAAATAATGTTACAGTATTTTTAAACATATTTTATTTTTATAACTTTATTTATTTAGATAAACAAATAATTAACGAACTAAAAGGTTGTGAAAAATGTTAACAATGAATAATATGATAGAAGATTTAAAAACTTTTTTAAAAAATTTGTTTTTATGAATTTTTTTTAACGAACGATAATCTGATCATATGATTGCTATAATTGATTGATCATTGATTTTACATTAATAATAATAATAATTATTTAAATTTTAAGTGTTTTTATTTTTGTATAGTTCGTTGGATATTAGAAGGAATGAACTCTGGTGTAAGATCATTTTTGAGATCTGTAAATAGATCGAATCTATTTGTAAATCGATCAACCACTACTACCACAGTTGTAAATGGAGTCAAATCATCGTCATCATCATCATCATCATCGACAATCAATTGTAAATCATTTTCACAATATAGCAGTACAAAGAGTGTACCTGTAGTAGCATCAAGTAGCACATCTTTAAAACCAAATTCATCAACAACATCATCAATTTTATCAATAAGAAGCAGGTATTGTATTACATATATTTAACAACAATACAATCACATATTATAATCATATTACAATAATAGCTAATTAAATTAAAATTATAGAGTAACAAGAAATGGAATGTCAGTAATGGAACTATTGGCAATTGCAGGATCAGATGACGATGATGGAGTATAATCTAGCCTGGCCCTTTATAGTAATAATAATAGTATAAAATGATAGATAGATAGTTAAAACAAGAGCGATAATCAAAATACAATTTAAAACAACATTATGTACAATCAATCAAACATTCAATTTGCTTTTTCGAAAAAAAAAAAAGATAATGGTTATTTTACCATTTTCATCACAATAAAATAATAATATTTATAGTCAAAGTGTTAGTTATTGTAAATTGACACAGAGCGATAGAATAGAAAGATGCAGAGTTTAAAAACATTATTTATTTATTATCTTAAGAATACAGTATCTTCTTAGTTAGTTTGTTTGCCAATCTTGGCAATAATTTTAGTTTAAAGTTGGAATAGAGTGTTGGCACCTTTTCTACTTGATTGATCATTGTGAAGTATTGGTTCCCATTTGTTTAGTTCAACTGAATACATAAAATTCGAATTCTTTCCTTGGAGTGAGTAGATATAGGACTCGTTGTCATTGGCCTGATGATAGACTAATCTGTGACTGAGAATACCAAAGAAAGATCTATCCAATTGCTTGACCTCATATCTTTCGATATTGATTCGTTCAAATCTATTTTCAGAGAGAATATAAATGTTACCTTTGCCATCTGTACACGCTGCTCTTTTAGGGTATTTCGGTAGATTAATCGGTAGGTCAATAGTTATCTTGGTGTCGATATCGAATTTGATTATCTTCTTTGCATCTGGAATAACACTGTAGATGCAGTTCTTAAAGTGGAATATGAAATGATGGTGTGCTACACATTTAAGAATAGTAGAATATCTCTCGAATTGTAGGGTATGAATGTTGAACCGGTAGATGAGAGAGTTGTCCTTATCTTTAGTGGAATTTGTTATAGAGTAGATCAGATAGATATGATCTTTGTCATCGTAGCAAACCGAGGGATCTCCACACACCTCAATACCTTTTATTTGGAATGGAATGAATGCTTTAGTGGTGGTTGAATATTTTAATATCGATTTGATCGGTTTGTTATTACCACGGAATCGATATACATTTTCATTGACAGTGACAGCTGTATAGTACAGAAACGCTTCTTCTATCTCAGGAATATCGATTACGTAATCGAAATGAATATTATTTCTATCGGTGATGTTTATTATTGATAGTTTGTGATTGGTGTCAGTCGAGAAAATAAATGATGGTTTGTTTGGATGTGTGAGTGATTTCAATTTGAAAATGATTTGGAATTGATTTTTGAATTGATCTAATTGGTGATGATTGGTTGTCAGTTGATATTGCTCGAATTGGTTGAGTTGAATATGATTCAATTTCAAGATATTGTGTTCAACTAAAAGATTCAACAATGATTGGTCGTCGAATTTGTGATCTGCTAAACTGAATATCGAATTATTATTCAACTGAATGAATTCCGTATGATTTGAACTTTGTGATATAGTTTCTATGATTGTTTTTATTTGGTATCGATCGGTTGTTGCTATTGCTGTATCTGGTAAAAAGGTACAAGCAGAGGAAGTGGAGGAAAAGTGTGAAGATAGACTAGCCTCAACGTCGTCAACATCTTCAATCACATCATTTATAAAATGACTATTGATTGAATTCAATGATTTCATTATTTGGATATTCTGTTCGATTTGATGCTCCAATTGATCTTTGTTTTTAATGATCGGCTTCTTTAGTTTGTGTTCCTCAATGGCAAGGAATTCATGCAACTCTTTGAATCGATTTGTTATTTCATCTTCTGTAAGTTGAAGCTGTTGAAATTCCTTTACACTTGATTTCAAAGAATTGAAAGTTGATTCCATAGTTGATTGAATATTAAGAAATGTTGGTGAATCTTTATAATAGTTATTATTGTCATTATTATTATTGTTATTATTATTATTATTATTAATATTTATGTTTATTTGCTCTCTAATATTATTGATATGATCGAATGAATGATCTCTATGCTGTGGTGCACATGCAACACACATTAAAACATTACAATCAAAACAAATGTTTTTATACTTTTTATTATGATCAGGACAATTATTCATTTTTTAAGTTTTATTTAATATTAAAAATTATTTATATCTCCAAATGTTATTTTTTAATGATAAAACCAAAATAACCTAACCTTTTTTTTTACCCCAATAACTGTTCTTTTAACAATTCCCATCGTGATCCCAATGCCCATTTTTAATTTGATCAACTTTTTTATTTTTGGTCTTTGAAAACTTTGATTTAAATCAAGACAATTATTTTTTGATCCTATAAATTGTGATATAGTTTATATCCAATTTATTAAATAGAGTTTAATATTTTCATATTTTGAAAGGATAACAATGGAAACCCATGTTGCAAAATTTATTAAGTTGGGCTAAAACAATACTGATCAACTTGATAAAAGTAGGAATAATGGAACTTTTTTCTATTTGATTGTGGTTGAAAGAGACAACTATTTCAATGAAAGAGAGAAAATGAAAAAGAATTTGGAAAGAGCAAGAAATATTTTATTGGAACAAAAGAAAACTATTTCACAGTTACAAAATCAAAATCAACTATTGATATCAAATCAAAATGATAGTAGGAAAAGTGTGAAGAAAGAAAATTTCTAAAAATTAATTTATTTATTAATGTTTTTCCAACAAATTTTGATCAGATTTTCATCTTGCTCATTAGAAAATGTTCACGAATCGAGTAAATAGATATAACAAAATCATTTACAATAATATTAATAAATATAATACTTGTTATAAATGTTATTCTAATCACAATATTTATATTTATAGTAGTAGAAGTAGTAGTAGTTTTAACAAAAACTACAACAATTTTAAGTGTGTTGCTATTAGAGATTTTACAAGTGGTAACATCAATAGAGATAAACAAAATGATAGTTTAATAATAGATAGCAACAAAATTTACAACAACAACAACAACAACAACAACAGCAATCACACTAAAAGTAAAGATGATAAAGTTATTGTTGAAGTATCAAATAGAATCATCTCTTCATTGAATGATCAAGAGAAAAGATATTTCGAGCTATTCAAGAGTGTAGCAAAACATAATAATTTACAAGATAAAGTAGAATTAAGAGTTTCTGGTGGTTGGGTTAGAAATAAAGTATGACTATATCAATAAAATAATAGTTGTTTATTGTTTATTCACAAATTATGTTTTTTTTTTAGTTACTTTCTATTGATAGTTCAAGTAGCGGTTATTTCGATATAGACATTGCAATCAGTGGTATAACAGGTAGAGAATTCGTAGATTTAATAGAACATTATAGAATAGAACATGGTTTATCACAAAAGAAATGTAATTATCAAACCTTTACCAACTATAAAGTTAAAGTTAAAGTTAGAGTGTTTAATAATGATGTCGTGTTTGTTTCTATTTAAATAGATTTAGTTAGAAGAAATCCAGATAAATCAAAACATTTAGAGACTGCATCGATTGTTATTGATGGTTATACATTTGATTTCACTGGTTTGCGAGCAGAGCAATATGATACTCATACTAGAATACCTCAAATTGTAAAGTTTACAAAAACTTATAAAATAATAATAATTATTATTATTTTAGTGATTATTAATAATATTATATTGTTATTGATTAGGTTGATGGTACACCTACAACAGATGCATTTCGTAGAGATATTACAATCAATTCATTGTATTTCAATTTGGAGACATATCGTGTTGAAGATTTCACTGGCAATGGCATTGATGATCTGTGTAACAAATACATTCGAACACCACTCTCACCTCATATCACATTGATAGAAGATCCACTTCGTGCACTAAGAGTTTTAAGATTTGCAACTAGATTTCATTTCAATATAGATCCTTCTTTATATAGATCAATTGAGTCAATTGAAGTTAGAGTAAGTGATTTTTGTTATAGTTCATTAACAAACAAAAACAATAACAATACTAAAATATATGTAATCTCTATTTATATATATATATATATATATATTATTAGAGTGCGCTTGGATATAAAGTTAGTAAAGAAAGAATAAAGAATGAATTTTCGTTGATGATGTCTAGTTATGATAGTGGTGCAATTCAATACTTTAGATATTTGGTTGATACCAATTTGGTGGATGTAGTTTTCCAATCGACTGGTTCAATACAGATTACCAAAGAAGATTGGTTGCTATCGCTCAATTATTTGGAACATTCGTTGCGATTCAAACATCAGTTATCGAAAGAGATGCAGGAGGATTTCATTCTCGGTGTTCTGATGTTGCCCTTGAAGCTAAAGTATCACGATGCTCTGAATTTGGAGTATCTATTGGAGCATTTCAAATCGTCAAAGAAACAGGTTAGAACGGTGCTGTCAATTATATCGTCACCAGAGATTCTCATCAATCAGGTGATCAAAACATTGTTGTTACCTTCGATGACCATCACCAAAGAATCGTTGACACAACCACATCTTTTCGATCAAATAACACTACCACTACTAGGTTGGCTAAGAAACAACGAGTGTTGGCAAATGGGATTATCAATATCAGCCGTTCATTCTGAAATCATCAATCTACCAATTGCTCATGTTGATAAAGGTATGAATTAATAAGATCATTTTAATTATGTATATGTATTAATATAAACTATTATATTTATTTAGATTTGTTTTGGAATGATTTTAGAAATAGTTTAGAATCTCTAGAGTCGATTGCCAATCAAAAGCATTGTCTTGATGGTCATGAGGTGAAGAGTGTTCTAGGAATAGTGGATAATGGTCAGCCCATATCAAATATAATTCATGAGCTAATGATTTGGCAATGGAAGCAGCTATGTTCTTCCGGTAATATCAATAGAGATGAATCGAAGCTTTTTATAAAAAAGCTATGGAATGACCAAACAAATAAAACTTAAAAAAGTACACTATTAAAAGTGAATATTTGTACATTATATACTTTCAAATCTGATCACTCTGTAGTCATAGATCTAAAGATGTTTCAAGTGAGAATATATAATATAAAACACGAAATAGCAGGTTAATATCAATACCTGCAATTTGTTGACTGATCATGAGTCAACAAATTTTTTTTTTCAAAAAAAAAAAAAAAAAAAAAAACTTTTTAGTTGTAACCAATGGGTGTGATGCTTGTGGAGCAGATGATAATTAGTTAACTTCCCTTTTGGCATAGCGGGAAAACCCATTTTTTGTAAAGTAGTAATACCTGAGGTATTATACCTCTTAGGATAGTACTCTTTATCAAAAGGTTGATTGAGAGATATGTAGAAAAGGTCTTGATTCGATATTAATAATGAGATCGGTACCGAGCTTTATTTATTATCTTTTAATTAAACATACCTTGATTCGATATTAATAATGAGATATCGAAACAATGGAGTTCCTCTCGGGTATTTATACTTTTGGTTTACCATCGGTTGGACGGGATTCGTTGATGACTTCATCCTGGTAAACAATTCTAGAGCTTCTCCGGTTGGTGATTCACCAATGGACCGTTAATAAACGTCTTCTGGAATTTCTATGGAATTTCTAAGAGTGTTCACTGAAATATCCATGACTTTTCTACACATTGGTTACACTTACATTAGTCTTTACCGCATGCGGGCATGATTTTATTAAATATTTAAGTGCTCGGACCTGGAATCGAACCAGGGTTAGGAGGACCACAACCTCATGTACTGCCACTATACGATCCGAGCATATGATGATTTCAATAAATCAATCTGAACATGTCATTAATCGACGAATTCATTCCATTCAAAGTTTTCTATTTTATAATCAAGACAGATCTTTCACGTATTTATAGCTTTTTACTCCAACGTACGTAAGTCCACTCCAAGAAGTGAAACAACAAAATCATGTTTCACCACCAACAATTAATGGAGTTTACTTCATTTGCAACCAGTTCTAAACAAATAATTAAAATTGTGTGATGAAAATTTAATATAAAATTATAGGTCATTTATTTTAAAAATCAATTGTTTTATGACTGTAACTTCTATACCATTTAGATTTATCATATAAAAATTCTCTTACGTTTTCTCTTACTGAACCTCTGTGGTATGGATTGGAATTGGAGTTGTTTCGTTTTGGCATTAGAATTTGATCTCGCAGTGAAGTGCTATTTGAATCGCTGTCGGTTGAGTTTTTGTTTGATGTAGATGGTAGATCGTCTTCTTTCTTGTTTGTGGCAGCAGTAGCGGCAGATGAAGCATCACCATGATTATGTTTGTTGTGGCTACAACACTTCTTTTTGTTCTCGCCAGTCGGAGTTGGTGGTCTCATCAACTCAAACATCGTAACATTATTCATTACACCGGTCACCTGAACATAAAATAATCTGCTGATCCAAGCCATAATCAACGATTCATAAGAGATCAACACCAAAAGTCCTTTGTTTTCGGCATAGTGGAATGTCAACCAACTAAAGAATGATAGGAATGCAGGTGCATCAGGTGTCAAAGCAAGATCTAGAAAAATAATAATAATAAATAATTATTGTTGTTAGTCAGTTAACATTTTTTTTACTTTTATATATTTAATTAGTTGAAAATACTTACATTTGAAATTTAAAACCATACTTAATGAATAGGAAATGGTAAACAAAGCAAGTAACATGATGAATGCTAGATTATTGTTGGCACCAACACAATTGTTGATCCAACCGCAGTGATGATCGAATCTTGCTACACATCGCTTGCAAGTTCTACAATGTCTTGAACGGATTGGCTTATTAATTAAACAAGATGAACAAACCTCTGGTACTTTTAATTCGTTTTCAATTGCAGACAAGAAATCCTAATTATTTATGAATCAAAATGAGTAAAACATACATGACTAACTATCCTAAATTAAATTACTTTTGTATCCTGTGATTCTGTGTATGCCGAGATGGTACCTGGATCTGAGAAAAAACATATAAATGCATAGAAATAATACATTGAAAGTGCTACAACAGTGAACATATGTAAATAGGTTTCCTCTGGTAATGCTGTTTTTGTTTTGTTAGATTATCTATAGTGTACACAACAATTGTAAAAACATTTAATCTTACCAAAAAGTATATATCTAAGATAATAAATGGTCTGAGATGCAAATGAACAAATCATCCAAGTTGGCAACATTGGATTCGGTGTATATGGCAATAACAATGGTTCGATAATGAATTTGAAAAAGCCGATTATCAGCATAAATATAAATATCGATGGAATCAAACTAAAATAATACAATTCGAATGCAAATGAACAATAGATTGCTATAGTCGTTAAAATCCAAAATAGATTATAAGGTATCTGGAGAAAAAAGATGTAATTTCAAATTGGAAAATAAACAAAAAGGTGTGAGTCATGGGAACGAGTTTGTTACTCCTATTGCTACTACTACTACTTACTGGACCTAGTTTTCTTAATGGATGATGTGGATAGATTGCTAGAGTTCTGGCGAGATAGGTGTGATTCTGTTGGCGACACAAGTCGATCGGAGTGTCACCGTTGGTGTCCTTGGTGAGTAGGTTGCCACCAAAGTCGGCGAGAGCTTTGATTGGATCTTTGTGACCTTTGTAGCATGCCCAGTGAAGGGCTGTGCGACCATAGGTGTCGAGTGCATCCAACTCGGCACCCTTGTTCACCAGGAACAATATCAGTTGAATGTGACCCTGGTAGGCAGCCCAATGCAGTGCAGTCTGTCCGAGTTGATCACGCGACATCAGTCCAACGCCCTTCTCGAGGAGATATCGCACGATCTTCATCTCCCCATACTGCGACGCGTGTATCAGTGAGTTGTAACCACGACGGTCCTGCAAGAATGGATCGCCACCGCTGTTCAGCACGTATTTCACTATGAAAGGATCGCCACCGATGCATGCCCAGTGGAATGGTGTCTGTCCTTCGTCGGTGTTTGGCTGATTTGGATTGCCACCCATTGAAATCAAGTACTTTACAATGTCGTAGTTCTTCTTGTAGCATGCCCAGTGCAACGGTGTGTTTCCAGAGTCATCGGAGCTGTTGACAGCCGACGACAAATCTGCATGTGGATTTTGCAAGCGTATCTTCTCAACGAAAGCGACACACTCTCTTAACTGTCCAAACTTTGCTGCTTCAACCAATGAAAATGAAGGTAAATCAATTAAACTAGTAATATTATTATTATTGTTATTTCCATTATTATTGTTGTTATTATTATTACTATTATTACTATTATTATTATTACTATTCATATTCATGACTTTTGGTAGATTGTAGTTTGTAGTGATGGTTGATGATATGACACTAATATGATAATGATGATTATATACTATGATTTACAATAGTACCTATAGTTTAGTTTTTACAACAACAACTACAACCACTAACAACGAAGAACAACTAACACTAAGCCAATAACCAAAAAAAAAACACTTTTGTCTCTTTGTTTAAGGAAACAGAGTTAGTTAACGATTAAAATTATTTATTTTTAAACTTTAAAAATTCAAAAAAAAACTAATTGTTTTTTTACATAATTTTTTTTAAATAAATATCTTGCAAAATCTTAGGATTGTAAAAATCAACTCAAAAAAATTGTTTTTATTCCTCAACTTGAATTTGAGCAAATAAATTAATATATTCTTTTTTTTTTTATTTATATAAAATCAAAAATTAGAGTGTTACAACAAAAGAATTTGTATATTGATTATATATTTAAATAATTGTTTATTTACCTTTTAAGTTTAAATCAATGATTTTTTTTATTGTATTTATTTAAAGTAGTGACTTGTAAAAGAAAAAAAAAAGTTTTTAGATTAAATTAAAAATTTCCATTTATGGTGGGAATAAGTTTTGTTCTAACCAAGATAAAAGAAACTTTGGAAAATTGATAAATAACTAAAAAAAAAAGAGGTGACCTTTAAAGGAAGTTTTCCATTGGGTTGAAGAAGGAAAAGCAATTGGTGTTCGATACCAGAATTTAGACATACCCCTTGCACGCTTTCTCTCATTCATTTAAAGAAGCGAATCTATTATCAAATTCGAAAATGAATTTAACCTAGCCACTTCACTCTTTTAGTCAGTTATAAAAGATTTTTTATTTTATGAAACACATACACACTCACTCACACTCTATTAAAAATTTTTTTATTTAATTAAAATTATTAAATTATCGTTGAACTTGTTGTTGTTCTCTTACTGAGTTAGCTAGCTAGCATCGACGACTTTGATATTATTAACCCTACAACTGGTGTCACTGTTCTTACTTTCTCTACCAAAAAAAAACAAATAATATCAACAACTATAATAATCTTTTTTTTTTTGTTTTGTTTTTGATAATATTATTATTATTTTATTAATTAATTTATTTTTCAAATATTTTTTTGTTGTTAAATAAAAGTACTCCCCCAATTTTATTATTACATATATATGTCATAGTTTTATTTTCAATTTTATTCAATTCACCTTCGGACAATCCTCACACACACACAACCACACAAACATACACACAGAAAACATCTTTGCTACAACGCTTTCGGCTGGAATTTAATAAATTATCTGTTTTTTGATTTCCATTCTTCATAGTGTTTGCTTTTAAAAATCCATAAACAAACAAAATAATAATACAAAAAAAGAATTATATATCATTAATCATTAATTTTTCACTATCATTAATTAATTATATTAGAGATAGATTTACATTTTTAGTGTTTGTGTTTGTTTTTTTTTAATAATAATATTATACTACTTATTTTTTTATTTTTATATAAAATCTAAAGAAAAAAACAATAACTTAAAATAATTGATTATAATTTTATATATTTTTAGTTGGAAATAGATAGATTTTTTAATTTTAATAAAGATTTTTATATTATTTGTATATAAATATAATATTATATCTTTGAATCTTTCATCTTTTTTTTAAAATTGTATTTGTTTTTACAAAATTGTATAACTTTTAAAAAAAACAAAACCAACAAAATCATGGAAGATATGTATCCACCTGTTCAAGTTACACAGGTGTCATCGGAAGCACCCAATATAATAAATCATAGCTCAGATAATTCAACTATTATTCGATCGACCACTGTACTACCAGATGCAACACAATTGAATCCAAACATTTTGGTGCCAGTTGGATTTTCAACTCCGTCACCTCTTAGAAAGTCACAGAGAAGAGGTAGTTTCTCTTCTATACTACGAAGAAGAAGTTCAATCGTTTCGATGGCGAGAAGAGCCTCGAAAGATGTCGATATATCCGATGAGAGAATGGCGAAATTCCTCAATACCATATCACTTCGTACCACTACCGATAGTTGTGGAAGTGATGACAGTGGCAGCTGTTACTCTGACATTGCATCCAACGTAGATATAGCTGATTACGATCAAAACGATTGGTTTCTACAAGAAGATGATGTAAGTTTAAATATAACCTATTCATATCCATTCAATCTAATTACTAAAGTTTCGTTTTTTTTTAATTAAAAGATTGACGATGAACCATTGTTTACAATATTAGAAAAACAAGAACTTGAAAATAAAATTATAGAAATGGCAGAAACTCTATCAAGTCAAATAGATCTATCTCCTGGTATTGCTATTTTATTATTAATATATTTTAGGTAAATGTTAAAATACAGTTAGTTTATCAAAAGTTTTATATAAAATGTATATTAATATCTTTTAATTATTTGTTTATATTTTAACAGATGGGATCAAGATAAAATATTAGGAAATTATTTTGATGATCCAGAACAATATTGTTTGAATGCAGGTGCATTTTTAACAAAAGCGAAACCAAACTATACAGGTGTACCATGCTTGATTTGCTACGAACTGTTCCCACAGAAGGAATTGTACAGTTTGAATTGTGGTCATGGTCCATATTGTCTCAACTGTTGGAAAACCTATTTGCATGAAGAGATTATGACAACTGGTCCAGAGGTGATTCATTCCACTTGTATCTCACCACGTTGTAAATGCAAATTAAATTTTGAAAATTGGAAAACATTAGCTTCACAAAGAGATTATAGCAGGTAAGTAGTTTAGTTTATAATAATAATTTAATTAATTTATTAACTTTTTTTTTTATTTTTATATTTAAAAGGTATTGGTATTTTATTGCAAAAGATTATGTATATCATGATAAACATCTTGTTTTTTGTCCAAATCCAACATGTGGAAGTGCTATCAAGTATCAAGGAGTTGGAAGACCGAATGATGTAGTCGAGTGTAATTGTGGAACGAGATTCTGTTTCTCCTGTGGCTGTGAAAAGCACAATCCAGTGTCGTGTGCACAACTCACAGAGTGGAAATCAAAGAATAACAACGATCAAGAGAGTATCAAGCTGATCATGTCGACCTGCAAACCGTGCTATCACTGTGGTATGCCAACGGAGCGTATTCAAGGATGCAATCATATGGTCTGTCGAAAGGAGCAAGGCGGTTGCGGTGGTGAATGGTGTTGGATGTGTCGTGGCGATTGGAAAACACACGGTCAGCATACCGGTGGATTCTACAGTTGCAACAAGTATGAGACATCCGACGGCAAGAAAGACGACGAATCGACACAGACCATCAAGAAGGAGAGTGAACGATTCCTGCATTACTTTAACCGATACTTTAACCACGACATGCTGATGAAGCATGCACTCAAGATGAAACTAGAGGATATCGAAGACAAGATGAATCAATTCCGAGAGTTGACCAATCATAATCCAGACTTTCTGTTGGAAGCACTCGAACTACTCATCGAATGTCGTAGAATACTCAAGTATACATACGTATTTGGTTTCTATCTAGGCGATAATGTTCCAGGCAAGATGTTCTTTGAGTACCAGCAGGCAAACGCCGAGGGTATCACTGAGCTGCTCTCGGAAGGTGTATATATCAACGTCGCTCTGATCAACCCTGAAGAAATGAAAAACAGAATAAGAGTGACAAGAAAGTACATCGACAATCTAGTAAAGAGTATCGAAGAGGGTTTAGGATTAGATAGCAATATGGGTTTGGCGCCTCAAGAATAAAATATTAATGAAATATTCCCAAAAATAAAAAAAAAACAATCATAAAATAAAATATAATATTATGATTTTATTTTAATTAACTTAAGTTTAAATTATTTACTTTATATTATTTATATTCATTTATTAGCTAGTTGCGATATTATCACATTCGAATAGAGATTTATTTTATCTTTAGTTTACCGTATAGTCCTCGATTACCAAAGCATGGTCTAAGATATTGTGCAAGTTGATATGTTATTTTGCCGGCTTCGTAATCTTTATAAGCAAGCAGACCACCAACTGCTGCTGCTTGATTGGCTACAATACCAACGGGAATGGTAATTCCGATAATCCTTGAGATTCTAGCTAGATCATCATTATCTTTTTGCGATAGTTTTTGTTGTGGTTTGGCAGTTTCGGGTGGTGCAGATTTGGTTGGTTTTGGAGTTGGAGTGCTTGGTTTCACTGGGACTGCTGGTGGTGGTGTAGAGGGAGTCGGTGTGGGCGAATGTCTTGGACCGGCTGCAGCCTGGATATTTTGAATATCACCATCTTTATCGGCGAGTACAGTAACCTTGGTCATCTCAGGTGTACCGTGTTGATGAGTATCCATATGATGACTTTCCAAGACGTCATTCAAGAACATATCGGCCGTTCGGAAGAAATCGACGGGTTGACCGTTATCCATTGCGTGTGGAACTCCAACTGGTATGTCATTCACTATTAAGTAACCTTCGGCGTGCAACTCTTCGGTCAATGCCTCTGCAACGTTGTTTAGTTCACTAAAGATATAGGGGTCGACGGCAATATAGGCGTAGAAGGAATTATGAATGGCTCTGTCGTGGTAGTGATTCGCTGTGTTGGTCAACATATCGTGAATCTCATCGTGGAAACCCTCGTTATTCATAGAATGACCAATATAATCTAATCTGTGGAAATTGTGCGCTGCATCGTAAACGAAAAATGCATAGAGTACATCGAAATGATGATTGGCAGCATCCTCTGGAAGATTGGGAGTGCCATCGGCATTGTGAACACTACGAATAGTCCATTGACGAAGATCATTTACAGGATTAAGTGGATAGAAACCACAAATAATGGAATCCCACCGAAAAGCAACAGTACTAGCCAAATCTGTGGGTAAATTCAAAAAAGTATAGTACCGCACCGATTGAACTATAGCTATATAGAAAAATAATATAAGAATTATTGATTTCATTCTTTTGTTTTTTTTAAATTTAATTATTTATTATTGGATCCAAGTGAAATTGGTATAAATGTTCATTTTATATCAACCTAATTAAAATGCTATTCAAAAGAATCATAAATCTATAAATTTGATCGTCAAGACAAGATTAAACTGTAGTAGCAAATGTGTGGTGGTTAGAAACTGTGAACTAAATAAATACAGAGTGGTTTGACAAATATACACAAAATGTTTTTGCAAAAGCAATTGTTATTGTAATATTTATTTATAAATTTTTGATGTGAATTATTACTCTTCACCACCATCCTCGATGATTTATCATCACTTGAGATGTTTAATTTAATATTATTGCGATTAGAATTGATAAGAATAGAAGTAGATAACAATTAAAAAATAATTTAGAATGCTAAAATATTTGAAATAATACCTTGGGACTGACAGTTTAACAAAATTATTGTTACCAATAAAATTTATATTATTATGAATAAAATAGATACTCAATAAAATGAGTAATTTATTCAAACCATCCACTCCGCTATTATCGTTGTTATTAATTCTATCAATAATGATTTCAAAGTAGCCAATATTATCTTTGTAGTATACTATATCTTTCTTGACAATACTTAGATAAAAACAACTAACAATTTATTCAATCTAAATTACTCCAATAATAAATTATATTCATTCATTCATAAATTTTTTATTATATTTTAAAAATGAAACTCTTTATAGTTTTATTTCTAATAGTTTATCTTGTATATCTCTCAGAATCAATTCAATTATTCATTAAGAAAGGACAGACTTGGGAGAAAAAAGCTGAACATGGCAATGTTGATGAAGAATATATAAAGTTTAAAATGAATATTAACAAAGGTGATTCATACGAGTTCCTTATGGTTTGCAATTCTAGTCTTCAAGATCTCATTCCAAGAGTATACTCTGTAGACGTTCGATCCGATGGAATGGAAGAAAAGATTACCTTCACTGATTTCCTTAACGGAGAATATAAAGGCGAAACCCCAATGAAATTCAGATGGTGTGGTTACAACATTTTCCCTTTCAATATTACCAATAGAAATTCAATGATGGGAGGTGACTACGTTTTACATATGAAAAGAGAGGATATTTGTGTTTGGAAAGATGAAAAATAAATAAATAATTCGATAAATTCAATAAAAAAAATTCTTTAGGTATTCATTTATTATTTTTATTTCTAAAAAACAATTTTAATTAATCGATCAAAGTGTTTTTTTGATATTAAAATATCCCAATTGATTTTATTTGAATATAAACAATTTAATAATTTTTGATAGAAAATATAATTTCTTTATATATGGTGCAATCAATATACTACCAATTTATCATTTAATAATGATGATGGTTTAAAAAATTACATTGCCGTGTGATACAAACCATTTATTTATAAAAAAATTGAGTAAGGAAAAGATGTTTATACCAATAATTATATTAAACCATATCAAATGTTTTAATCCCAAAAATAAAAACAATATAAATTTATCTTAATAAATAGTAGCTAATACTGAAACCATTTTATCTTAAATCAAATAGTTTTTTTTTAAAAAACAATGAAGTTATTTACTATTATTATTTTAGTTGTTGTAGTTTTAATACAATTCACATTGTCTATCAAAATATACACTATTGATAACTCAGGAAAATGGAATCTCAGAGCATCAACTCCCAAACATGACGATCCCTATTTAATATATAAAATAGAATTCGGTCGTGGCGACTTTCTCCGGTTCGCTGTTGTGAATAATGAAAGCTATCAAGATTACCATCCAAAGATCTACTCAGTTGATATAAGATCTGAAGATTCAGAAGAGAAATTCGAATATATCGATGAAGATGGTAATACTTATTCCGGAGAGACCCCAAAGAAATTCACTTGGTGTGGATACAATTTATTTGGATTCAACGTTACAAATAAAAATAAAATTCTTGGTGGTGACTATGTTCTTCATTTGAAACGAGAAGCAAAATGTATTCCCAAATATAAATATTAAAATAAAAGTAGCTAAAATTTCTAAGAGCTTGTTCCTCTTTTTAACTCGATTTTAAATATTCTTATTTAATAACTCAACTAAATTATTTTACTCTCTATTCTTGTGTGATGAAAGCCAATGTGTTGAATATTATTTTGATTTTAATAGTAAGTTTTGTTATTTTGATTGGTTTTATTTATTTCAAGAATGTTAATATTGTTTTGGTTTGTTTTGATTTCTGAAAAAAGAAAATAACTTTCTTTTCTTTTTTTTTTTTTTTTATTTTATTGTTGTACTACAAATGATTTAGAATCTGGATTTTGTCCTTCGAGAACTGAAATCTTAATATTTCCTCTCTCTGCTTTGGCAGTGTAGAGTTGTTCTTTTGGAAGTTGATCGACTTTGGTGAATTTTGCCTCGGTGTTTCCTTTCTGAGTGCGATAGGCAATCGAGTCACTGAATTCAATGTTCAGTGGCTTCGACTGTTGTTTCTCGTAGAGCTTCGATAGCAGTGTGATAAATACGGTCTTACGATTGGTCTCGCAAATGTAATCGGTCTCCGAGGGCACATGGAGCACAAAGAAATTGTCACACAAATGACTGAGACTGACTTTTTCGAGGGCGGAAAATGCAATCTTACGCTTCACTACGAACCACGATCCGTCCTTCTTGGGCTTGTGAGTGGAGATGTGGAGAATATTGCTGTTGGTAACGATGAGTGCACGCTTCTGAATTTTTTGGTGACGGTTGATCTTGCTGACACTGACACTGAGTCGGACGCTAGCGTTTGGTCCTTCTTCGCGCGCCAACACCTGTTTGGTGTAGTCGTCGTTGGCGACCGAGAGGAAATCACCGATGAAAGCGAGAGAACTCAGCACCAACGAATCACGATTACGCTCTTTCTTGCCTTGGAACAAGTTTTGCGAGTAATTCTTGAGTTGGACACACTCTCTCCTCAGCAGCCAACCTCTGTAGGCACGCTGGATCTTCATGGCGGCGCGAGTCTGCAAGTACCAACGACGTGTCTTGAACATCTTCCATGTCGATTGGATCATTGTGGCGAGCTCGTGCATTCGCTGGTTACGTTTTTCCTCCATCTGGAAGAGTGGCTGTGGATTACGGATGAAAATCTTGTTGACACCGAATTGATATTCGCCGGCGGGAATTGCCAGCTCCTCCAAAAGCAGCTCGGCTCCACGCTTGGCATCGCCACCTTCCCATTTTGGCCATGTCTTTTTTCCGATCATGTAGTAGCGACGCATGAATTTGGCGTAGGTCTGACGGTAGCAGAATCCGGCTCTACGCACCAAGAGATTCTCAAACAGTCCGAGGTATTTGACTTGCTGGGCAGACTTGTCGGAGTCCCAATCGAGTGCACGCTTCACTTCGTTCGGTTTGATACAACGAATGTAGTGTGGATTACAACTGTACAATGATTTTAGCAGAGCGGTCACCTGTGTCTTGAATTGGAAACCGGCGGTAATCGGACGTTTCTTGTCGGTGGGGATGGCATTCTTGGCTTGTTGGTTGGCGAATCCACTCTTTTTGAGACGGTCGTACGCCTTTGATGATTCGGTGGTTGGATCCAACTCTTCGACTACCGGCTGGTATTGGAAGATCTCTGAGAGCAGCGATAGCGAAGAGGAGGTGGCCAACGATACCAAATCATTGAAGAGAGTATCACGATTCTTGTCGAGGAATCCATCGATTGTATAATGCACCTTTCCGGCGTAGTGATTGATGATGAACTGGCTAACCTTTGAGGTGAGCGGTACCTTTGAGTAGTGAGAATGCGATGCAAAATGTTTGCCAAGTTTCTCCAACAAACTGTTGTCGTTACCCTCGGGGAACAAACACTCCTCGTCGAGCAACGCCAAAATACCGAAAGGTTTCTTCTCAATCAATTCAACACATGCCTTATTATTAACATAATCTACAGGTACCCATTTAATTCCTTCAGTAACATACTCCTCTTGTTCAGTCTTCAACGTCAAATCAATAAAAATCTGTTGTAATGTTTCATTTACATAGTTTATACAAAATTGTTCAAAACTATTATTCTGGAAAAAAAAAATTTTTAATATTAATTAATTGATTGAATAAATGATTGTTTTAAACTTACTTCAAATATTTCGAAACCATAAATATCTAATACACCAATTACTTTTCCTTTTGTTTTAACTTCGATGGATTTGTTGATGGTTCTAACGAGCCAATCGAATACCTTGCTGTAGATTGCTTTGGCAAATGCATCACGGGCATACAGTGCCTGCTCGACACTCTGTGGCACGCGGTAGCTGGATACACGTGCTCCTTGTCCGGTGGTAATGACACGCGAGATTAGCGCTTGCTCCAAGAGGTCGTTCTCGACACCCATCAGAGCGGCAATGGTAGAAATCAACTGACGATCGGCAGCAGTCGATCCCGGTGTCTTTCCAGAGTTGTCGGGATTGAAGCTGATGTTACCGATCAACATGATGGCAGAGAGCAACTTGAAGATCTGCTTCTGCTCGTCTTCGTTGATGCCAACCACCTTCATAGCTTTACGAGTTGCCTTGAAGCCAGCGACATCGTCGATGCCATCGGCAGTGTAGGCGCGACTCTTATTGAGATAGTTATATTGCTCGATTGGCAGCAGTTTGTAGAGCTCGCGCTCCTCTGGCGACGATCCACTCAGCAGCTGATAGAAAATATGGAAATTACGCTCACCCGTTGTTTGCTTGACGACACGCGATTTCTCGAGCAAGTAGTTTGTGATTTTTCCACCCTCTGGATCACCGATGTAGTTGAATTGAATCTCCATGTATTTACCGAAACGCGAACTATTATTGTTACGCAGTGTCTTGGCATTTCCAAACGCCTCCAACAGTGGATTCGACTCGAGAATCTGGTTTTTGACACGCTCCACGTCCTGACTCGATCCAGTGATACTCGCAATGTATTGCATGATATACTTGCTGGCTTCGGTCTTTCCAGCACCGGACTCACCACTGATAATAATACACTGATTCTCGTGCTCCGACTTGAGAGCACGATATGCCTTGTCGGCAACACTGTATATATGTGGTGGAATTTCAAACTCATGTTTTCCTTTGTATAGATCGATGTACTCCTTTCCATAAATTCCCAATTGTTTATATGGATTACATGAAATTAATACTGGTCCAATTGATGTCTATAAAAAAATATTAATAATATTAATATGCGACTTTTAAATTAAATTGTATATAATATATATATATATACATACATAAATAAGTCCTTCTTTATATCTCTTTTGTAGATTTCCATTCAATGAATTCTCAGAGACTTCAGTCAACATTACCAAATCATCGACACCAACACTGTTGTTGACCGGTCTCAAACCTGTTGAAGATGTTGTTGGTGCATGTGATGTGGTTGATGTTGTTGTTGTTGTTTTACCTTTTGATGCCTAAAATATTTACATTATAATAACATATAAAATTAATAAATTTTAAAAATTGGAAATCTTTTTTATAAAAAGTTGAGAGTGATTCATAGTTTATCTAAATCAAAGATATATATAATTATAAATCTATAAATCTTTGATATATCTTTGACTTTGATCTACCTATTTTATAAATGTTGGGATATCTAATTTTCAAAACTTTTATAAAACCTACCATTTTTTGTTTTGTTTTTTTTGTTAAATATGATGCTCGATGATGACGCTCTATTCTGTAATCAAAAAGCTTCAATTAAACAACTAACTACTACTACAATAGTAAAACTTGATCAATTGATTATCTATATATCTAACAATCTAAATGGTAATGAATTATTTTTATTTCGCACAAACTAAATTTATTCTTGCAAAATTTGTTTTAATTTTGTGCTAAATTCAAATAAAAATGGGTGTTTGATTAATAAATGGATTGTGGGGTTTCAAAAGTCAAAGAAAGAAAATGATGATTGTGTGTTGTTTATTTTTATTGACTAAAAATGTTGATCAATCTTAAGATTGATGAGGTTGTGATGATGTAATAATAATTATTAAGCTGCTTATTTAAAATGAATGTTGTTGAAGATTATGATGGTGATCAGTGCTTGATGAAAATAAATGTTGTTTTAAAAAACAAACAAACAAATTTAAAAAGCAAACAAACAACAATGAATGAATGAGTGTTGCTTAAAACAAATAAACAATAATGTAAAATGATTTTGAATCAAAAAAAAAAAAAAAAAAAAAAAAAAGAAAAAGAAAAAGAAAAAAAAATTATAAAAAAAATAATTAATCACGTGATTTATTTGAAATTGAGGTAGTAAATCTTTTCACCCCACAACCATTTTTTTAAAAGAAAATGAAAAGTTTCAAAAAAAATTTTTTTTCAAAAATGATCGTTTTTTTTGACAGCAAAAAAGCGGTCCTTTGTTGTCTTTAAAAAGAAAAGAAAAAAAAAAAACAATAGGTGATATTTAATAAATTATATTTTATTGTGTTATTAATTATATTTTGTTTGTTATAGTTATAATTTATGATTAGTATTATTATTATTATGGCATTTATTGGTTATTTTGTTGTTTATTATTTGTTATATGGATTATAAGCCAAATCGTTACACAGATTGTTTTTTTTTTTTTTTTTAGTTTTGGTTTTTTTTTTTTTTTTTTTTGTAAACTGATGATTTTGTGGACGAATTTCAAAAATATAAAGAATTAAAAGTGAAACTATTGAATCATCAACAGATTGCGATATGAACTACTACTACTATGGAACTAAAATGTTACTGCTACTACTATCAATTGTTTATTCCTCATCGTCATCAACCATGAGTGCTTGGAATTTATTTTGAATGGCTGCTTCCTGCAGATATTTTGTATACAAAATTGAAATTGATTCGATTAATATGAAAATTCATATGAATAAAATTTGATATCAGATTCGTTTTTTAATTAATTACCTTTTTGGGAGTAGCTTTTTGAACGACTTCTTTCTTTGGTTCTTTCAATTTACCGGTTGATACCCATCCATCTTCGTCTTTAACTGGTGTTTCTTTCTTGTTTTGTTGTGGTAGTCTGTCAGATGATTTCTTGGTGAAGTCTCTGTTTGGACGTTGATATTTGTTGTTGTCACCGCTGTTGTTCAAACTGCTATTGTTGTTTCTGTCAAACTTGTCAAATTTATCAAATTTACTGTTGCTACCTGTGCTGTCGGTGGATGATTGCATTGGTTTTCTAGCTTGTTTGTTATCACGTCGGTAGTTTTGATTGTCTTCGTTGTTGTTGTCAGCGTTGTTGACATTTTGTTGTTGTTGTTGTTGTTGTGGTGGCTGGTATGATGATTGTTTGCTGTTGTTGTTGTTATCTTGATCTTGTTCGTATGGTCTCTTGGTGTCATCACGTTCACGCTCTCTTTGAATTCTATCTATATCGACGGGTTGTGCACCACCAAATGGATTCGCCGAGGTCTGTCGTGGCTGTCCGAATGCAGCGTTCGATTGTTGTTGTTGTTGTCTTTGATGTTGATGCTGATGTTGATGTTGTTGATTTTGTTGTTGATTGGCCATCTGTTGTGCTTTATATTCAGCTTTGCTGGCAGCGAGTGACTTGATGCTCAATTGGACGTCGGTATTTGGGAGTTTCTCACCGTTCAACTTGCAAACCATGTCGAAACTCTTGGTATCCTTGAGAACGACGTAGATCAAGTTGTTCTTTTGCGAGCTTTCAACGCTAGCAATGAGTGGCTTCTCCTCAAACATTGGGTGATCCTCAATGAACACACCGATGTCCTCGGTGGTGACAGTCTCTGGGTGTCCACTAACGACAACAGTCAATCCTTGATCGGCATATTCTTTACGTGGTTGTTGTTGTTGTTGTTGTCCACCTTGTTGCTGTCCACCTTGTTGATTGTTGTATTGTGGACGTCCACCATTCTCACCATATTGTTGCTGTCTATTGTTATTATAATCATTGTTGTTGTTATTGTTATATTTATTGTATCCAACTCTTTGTTGATTATTGTTGTTAAAGCTGTTGTTATTGTTGTATCCAACTCTTTGTTGTTGGTTATCGCTTCTGTATCCACCACCTTGTTGTTGGTTGTTGTATCCACTACGGTTGTTGTCACGACCATAGTTGTTATTGTTGTTGTTGTTGCTATATCCACCACGATTATCGTTGTTGTTTCTATATCCACCACCTTGTTGTTGTTGTTGGTTATTGAATCCACCACGATTGTTATTGTATGGACCACGGTTGTTATTGTATGCACCACGGTTGTTATTGTTATAACCACTACCACCCTGTTGGTATTGTTGTTGATGATGTTGTTGCTGTTGAGCTTGTTGCTGAGCTTGCTCCTCACGCTCACGTTGCATCTCACGCTCACGTTGCTCTCTTTCCGCTTCCTCTTGCTTGACCTGAGCCATCTTCTCGGGATTATCACGCAACTCCTTCTCTAAAGCTTGAGTCTCCAACTCTCTCTCTCTCTCCTCATTCTCTGTTTCATCTGCCCAATTCATTTGTTGTTGTTGTCTTTCTTGTTTGAACTAAACCAAGTTGAACTACTACTACTACTTCTAGTTTAAACTATTGTAAATAAAGTATTTTAAAATAATGATAATAATTGATAATTAAAATTATTAAATAATTAGTTTCTCTTTATTTATTTTTAAAACAAAAAAACAAAACTAATAAAATAATAATAACAAACAAACTTTTACTTAAAAAAAAAGAAAATTTTTGAAAAAAAAAGTATGTATTTTTTTTGCTTTTAATTTTTTTTGTTTTTAATTTTTTTAATTTTTTTTTTTTGAGATTGTTTTTTGTTTATATTTATATCTATGTACAAAAAAAAAACAACAAAAATTTATATATATCTAGCGTGTGTGTGTGTGTGTGTGACTTTGTTTTAAAGTGAGATAATTTTAAAATAAATATTGATGTATTATTATATCTTATTTAATATTATTATTTTTTTTTATTATTTTTTTTTCGAGATTTTTTTTTTCACGAAGAACTTCTTTTTTTGACTTCATCCAAATTTCTTTTTTTGTTTTTTTTTTTTTTTTGGTATTGCCATCATCATATCATATGCTCCAAACCCAATTTATTGAGTGGAATTATATTAATCAATAAATATCAAAAAAAAGTAATCTTTTTTTAATCCAATTCAAATATAATAATAGTATTATTATTTTAAGATAATAATAATTCAGATTATAACCAACCAAGTGATTCCATTTTGTTTTTTTTTTTTGAGTTGGTTATGACCAATCAAAATACAATTACCAATTTTTTTTTATCAAAAATCTCTTTTGCAAAAAATCAAAAGTCAAAATATTTTCAAAGCCATGCGAAAATAGAGAAATAAGAAATGATACATAAGTGATGATTGTTTTTTTTTTTTTTTTTTTTATGGGGAGAGTTTTGTTTTTACAAACAAATAATTCCGATACTTAATAAAAAGTAACTAATTTATTGTGCAAATTTACGAGTCCACTCTTTGGCAGTAGCTTCAAATCTTTGTTTGTCAGTTTTATACAAATGAGCAATCTCTGGTACTAAAGGATCATCTGGATTTGGATCTGTCAATAAAGCACAAATTGAAAGCAAAACTATAAAAATTAAATAATATTAATGATTAATATGTCATTCAAATTGATTCGTTTCTATTGTTATTGATTGCAACATACCTTTTGGTATAGTTAAAGCTGGACTCCACTGTTCTTTCAAAATATCCAAACAAATACTTCCACTAGAATTAATATTTGGGTGATAAACTTTTGTGGTAAAACTAATCTTGGGTGGCTTAAATGGATAATCTGTTGGGAAATGAATATTTAAAAAGAAAACTCCTTGTTCATATGGTGAATCTTTCTATAAAGTCGGTTGAAAGTGTAATTTAGATTAGTTGTTTGTTCGACTTATCATCATCATCATCATTATTATTATTATTATTATCGTATTAATATCTTACTGGTCCCATAATAGTTGCTGTCCAATGAAACATATCATCTCCAGATGGACCAGCGCTGCAGCTTGAGGGTGGATCACGAGCTAAATCACTTAATTCCTAATAATTGATAAATTATTGTTTCAAATTAGTTCATTTTTATCTTTAATGTTACAAATATTGCTAAAAAAATTAAAAAATTAAAAAAAAAGTAGTAAAAAGTAAAGAAAAACAAGCTCTCAAAGATAAAACTAACAACTTTTATCTAATCTATCTTTATTTCTTTCTTTTTTTTTCATCTGTTTATTTAACAAACAAATGTTTATATAAACTTTTTTTTCTTTTTATTTTTATTTTTTTGTTTTTTAAAACAAACCAATAAAACGAATTTTATAAAAATATATAATAATAGTAATAAATAATAAATAATAAATAAATAAAATATTAACTTACTTTGTTGATTCTCTTTAATGCCATTGTTTTATGTATGTATTAAATTGAGTATATATAAATAGTGTATATATGATAAAATATAATAATTAAACAGGTAGGTAATGTAGATTGAGGAACTTTGAAGCTTTAGATTCAAATACTAAATAATATAGTGATATCAAAATAAGTAGGAGTGTTTTCGATTAATTACACGATGCTAGAAATAAATCTAAATAAAATAATAAAAAAAAGTTAATTAGAAAGAAGAGTTCAGTGCGTAAAAAAACAAAAGTATGAATTGAAGTGAAAAAAAAAATTAAAAAAAAAATAAATAAAAAAAAAATAATAGAAAAAAAAAATAAACAAACACAATTAAAAAAAAAAAATTAAAAAAATAATAAAATAACAATTATAAAAAATTGCAAACTATTAATAATTTAGGTTTTTACTTGGAACAATTGAAAAACAAGAATTAAAGATGCGATATGGACAAAAGAATGTGATTAACTTTGAACGAGATTAATAAAAATAACCGGTTGTTAATATTATTGAGTTGCTTGTTCAAACTGTAATTTTGTTAACTGCTCCTATCTCTATATCTAACCGTTTACAACTTGACTATTGTTATTAAAGTTAGGTATTTCATTCATTGTCAACATTTTGTTAAATATTTGTTTTTTATCTTCTTTGTTTATTCTCACTTTACAATTATAATGATTCTTATAATAAATGTTGCCTAAAGTTATTGTTTATAGAAGTAATAGTTTAAAAAAGATAAAAAGAGATTGCCAATAAAATAATATATATGCTTATTCATATTAATTAATTAAAACAGTTTGTTTTATTATGTTATTTTATTATAAGAAATATGTGTATACAATAACAACAAAAAGTTTATAAAGTTATAGTTTTCTATCTAGTTATTAAAATTTATATTATAGTTACATACATTTAAATATATAAATATATTAATATTAAAGTGAAATAAAAATTATTCAATAACAATAATTATTGTGTTGATCGTTTTTAATAAAAAAAAAAAATAAATAATAAAAAATAATAATTTGATTTTTTTTGAGTGAATCATTTTTTGGATTATTGACTCGACAAAAGAAGGTTGTTTTTTTTCACAATTTTGTGAAAAATGATATTTATTTTATTGTTTTTAATACACAAATCATTTTTTTAATTTTAAAAGTTCACCTTTTACCAAGAATTTAAAACAAAGAAGAATGGCAGGAAATTAATAAATTTAATTCTTTTATTAATTAATTAAATAAATCAAAATTAAAATAATTTATATCAATTTTTTTCTTTCATTAGTTTTAGATTTCTCTAAATCTATTTCATAATGTTTGTATGGAAAATAAATACTCATATATATTTATTGATTGAACGTAATCAATTAAATTAAAATTCTGATTATTTTTTTGTAATATTGTAGTCAAACACATATTATTTTGGAAATAATTTAACCACTCACCACACAAATGTAATAGAAAATAAAAATTATGTGTGTTTGACATTGGGTGTCACCCAAATTGTTTTTATTGACAGTTCAATTAAATAGAAATGGATTTTCTCAATAGAGATTATTAAGTTCATTTTACAATGACATTTTTCTCATTGTGTTGGTTTTGGTTCTACTTTTTTCTGTTGCTGTGATGTTTATATAACTTTTGATATCATCCAATTTTTAATAGATTTTCTACCTTTGAAAATAATCGATAAACACTCTTGCCAACTTACATCAAATTTGAACTTTGAGTTAATAAAGTAAAGATAGATTATTATTTCCTTTGTTAGTTTTTTACTATTTTTTTATTTATTACAAAAAATAAATCAATTTCTTTATTTCTATTATTAATTTAACCTTTAAAAATGAATAGTATTTGTAATAATAATAATAATAATATGAATAATAATAATTTGGAAGTAGATAGATATAGTGTAGAATCATTATTAAAAGATAATATTAGATTAAAGGAGATTATTAAAGTCTACCAATCAGAAAGAGACAACTATTTCAATGAAAGAGAGAAAATGAAAAAGAATTTGGAAAGAGCAAGAAATATTTTATTGGAACAAAAGAAAACTATTTCACAGTTACAAAATCAAAATCAACTATTAGTATCAAATCAAAGTAGTATTAATAATAATAGTAGTAATATTCCAATAATAGATAAAAATATTAATAATAATGAGAATAATAATATTAATAAAAATGATAGTGATAATGTAATATTAGAAATAAATGATAATAATGATATCGTTGAAACACCTTCACCAAATGTAAAGTTATTTAGAACCATGATAAAGAGTTTGTCATTGGAAACTATAACACCACCATTTACATTTATCTCAAATTATATTGGATCATCACCGAATGGCAATTTTCAATCTCCATGTACAACACCAAACCATCAACTTTCAATTCCAATCACTCCAATTGTAATCAGTAGTAATTCAAGTTCAGCAAATTCCACACCAAGACAACATTACAATAGTGATCTTCATAGTAGTAGCAATAGTATTTATAGACAAGATAAAGATACAATTTTAATTACTCAATTAAAAAGTAAATTAAAGAAAATCAAAGAAAAAAGAAAAAAAGACAATCAATACACCAATAAATTGGAGAAAGAGATGGCATCTTTGGAGGAAGTAAATTATTTCTATAAACAAAAGGTTGAGTTGCTTGAAAAAAAGATTAGTAGTATCAATTCAATCAATAAAATTACAAGTCCAAGAGGTAAGGAATATTATTTTTTTTTATTTAATCATTAAATTTTTAATTAACATCAATTTTTTATTTGTTTCAGTTAAATCTAATAGTCCTTATTTAAAGAGTCCAAATCATAGTAATTTAACCAACAGCGCTAAATTGAGAAGTACCAACAGAAGAAATAGTGTTGGTGGAAGTTCAAATTCAACACTTGATATTTTAGTATTATAATTATTTAAAATAATATTATAATAAATAAAATTTAAATTTAAATTAAAAAAATAAGAAAAATTATTTAATTTTTGATATCATTGCATGGTGTGGGAATTCAATTAGTTGAGTGTTGAGTAGTGTGTGTTGTTGATTTTGATGTATATATGATGTGATGTGTTTGATGTTCACACACGTCAGAAAAGTGAATGAATATTTGATTTTATTCTTTCATTTTTAGTAAAGTTGATTTTATTCATTGCTTCCAACAGTTTTTTAATTTATATGAGTGGTTATTTTTTTTATTTATATTTTCTGTGACTGACATTGCAAGTACAATTGTTAAATCAGACTTGATTTGGAATATTGAGTGGATACCACATTATAAAGTTTGATAATATTTTATGACTTTTCAAGTCTAAATGTGGTTTAAATTACTTTTTTAAATATCTTTTTATTCTTTTTTTTTTTTTTGATAATGATTATTAAATTAATCAAATTAAAATAAATATAATAATAATAATAATATATTAAATATTATTGTTTTTAAAAAGAACAAATAATAATAATTTAATAATATAGTATAGTTTATTTCTTTTTAATAAAAATAATAATAGTAAATAGAATAGAAAGGAAAATAGAATATAAATTAATTTAAAATATACATATTTTTTATTTTATAAAAAGAAAATAATGGAGATAAATAAATTTAGATATCTTCAAAAAGTTGGATTTATATTTTTAGTATTTTTTATAGTAGTATATAGTGCAGAAGATAAAAGCGACCGATGTGCAGAGAGATGTCCAACCAGTTGGATAGGTGATGGTTTTTGTGATCGTGAATGTAATATACAAGCTTGTCGGTATGATGGTGGTGATTGTCCAGGATCTGGTATTAATACATGTAAATATATTGAGCTAAAACAATTATATCAATCAAAATAAAATTCCAACTAAATCAAATTACTAAATATAAAATAATAATTATAGATTTCTGTAGTCCAAAATGTAGAAAAAGTTGGATTGGTGATGGTGTTTGTGATCTTGAATGTAATACAGCAGATTGTACATATGATAATGGTGATTGTTCAGAAAATAGACCTGCAAATTGTATGTTGTTTGTTGATTTTTATAATTGAAAAAGTTAAAAAACAAAAGAACATGTGGAAAATTAATTAATTATTAACTATTTCCATTTTTTCCATTTTCCATTTCCATTTTTTTTTCACTTTAGCAACAGAATGTTCAACTGGATGTCGTGAGAAAATGATTGGCGATGGTGTTTGTGATACCGCTTGTAACTTACCAGAGTGTGATAACGATGGCTACGATTGTGAGAAGAATGCAAAACTACCGGAGGAGTGCGCCATTGGCTGTTTGAAGGCGATGATCAACGATCGAATTTGCACACCGCGTTGCAATGTGACCGAGTGTCTCTTTGATGGCGGCGATTGTAATATCACGTCGATCGAGTGCGCGCCGGGCTGCACCTGGGGAATGATCTACAATGGCCAGTGCGACCCCAAGTGTCAGGTGATCGAGTGTAGTTTCGACGATGGCGATTGCATCTTCAAGCAGGAGGAAGCGCAAGACACTTGCTCGGAGGGCTGCTACTCGGGCTATATTGGTGACGGCGAGTGCGATCCGGAATGCAAAACGGCGGCGTGCAACTACGACAATGGCGACTGCGAGAAGCCACCCAATCCACTGAATATCAACAGCACCGAGTGCAGTCCTGGCTGCTCGCCGACCACCATCAAAGACGGCGTCTGTGACATGGCGTGCTACGTGAAGGAGTGTCTGTTCGATGGCGGCGACTGTCGTAACTACGGCGTCGACAAGAAGGAGTGTGCAAAAGGCTGTCCGATCAACATGGTCGGCGACAAATGGTGTATGGCAAAGTGCAACGTCAAAGAGTGTAACTACGACGGTGGCGATTGCGACGCGCAAAACACAGGCAATATCCACGGATCGACTTGCGATCCCGGCTGCCAGCTCTCGATGCTTGGCAACGGCTACTGCGACTACGAGTGCAACACATTCAACTGCCAGTATGACAACGGCGATTGCGGCGTGGCGTCGGCCAACCAAGGTGGCAACGGAAGCCAGCCGTTGGACGGACTGCGCGATGGCGTGCCTCTCGACACGTCGGCACCCACTCCTCAGTGCCAGCAGGTGCCGCCCAACCTCAAGTTCTGCGGTCTTTCGTCGAATGCCTCGAGTATCATGTCGATGCGTGCCTGTCTCGATGCGGACAACCTGATGAAAGCGCACTACATCGACAACCCAACGAGTGACCGTGACATCGACTGTTTCCACACGCGCGCGTTCTTCACGTGTTCGCGAGGCTGTGTGGCGTGTACCAATGCCGGACGTGCCAAGCCGGTGTGTCGTTCGGTCTGCATCGACTACAAGAATCACTGTGGACACCTCAGCAAGGAGATTGAACAACTCAACTGTGACACCGACGAATACACAGACGTCGATTGCACCAAAATCAGCACAGTACGAAAATCACCAACCAACAGCGCAACCAGTCAATTCTCCAACTACAACTTTATCCTTACCGTATTCATTTCAATCTTTATATTTCTAACGACTATATAATGTAATTATAAAAGAACATACTTATTATTATTATTCCTTTACAAAACAAAACAAAACAAAAATTATTATTTTTTTTTAAAACTAAAACAAAAAAATAAAAATAAATAAAAAATCGAAATATTAAAAACAGTTGTTATATTATATATGAAATATTTAAATGATAGTTAATTAATAGGTGTTTACTTTTATAGGTATAAGAAGAATATCTATAGATATTCATCGAATCCTCAAAAAAAAAAGTATATACTTTTCACATAACATACTTATAATAGGTAATTTTTGATTATTTGGTATAAATATATTAATAAAGATTTCTGTATTACAATTTCATTTACTTTGAACAAATTTAATCATTGATTTGATTGAGATGAATATCTTGTTTAAGTTAATTTATGATCAATTTGTTTTTTTTTTTTTTTTCTTATTTTTCTTTTTTTTTTTTTTTTTTTTGTTTTTTTACGAAACGTACGTACTAACTAC